TCAAAAAAGGGTCATTTTGAGCGATTTTGGTGGGCTATAGTCCATGCATTTTGACGAAAAAAGGGTCATTTTGAGCGATTTTGGTGGGCTATAGTCCATGCATTTTGGTCAAAAAAGGGCCATTTTGAGCGATTTTGATCAAAATGCATGGGTTATAGGCCACCAAAATCCCTCAAAATGATCCTTTTTTTTGATCAAAATGCATGGACTATAAACCCAGCAATATGCACGAAAATGGTCGATTTTTGACCAAAATGCTTTGGCTATAGCCCATGAAGATGTTTTTCACTAGGATAGCATTATCAGGAATCATCTTCTGTTTACATGGGTTGTCAATGCATGGTTTGAAGCCCACAAGAATCGTGAAAAGTGAGGGATTTTGCACGTAAAGACATTGACTATCATCAAATGTATGGGCCGACGTGAAAGTATTTTTGAAGTATGTTTGGATAATCACATGATAAATGTAGTGTATATTTCCATCCCAAAGGCAGATTCTTACAATATTTATTAGTTTGGTGTGTCAAATTTTATGTGTATGATGCACACTGCTTTATAACGTAAGTTGACTGTCTAACCTATCTCATTAGGAATTGATAAGTGGTATTATCTTAATTAACACAGTGTTCAAGGTCAAATCAATGGAGTATATGTTGTAGTTCAGGTTCAATATGATTTTGAACCAGTTCATTTTCCTCTGAACTGGTTCAGTTTATTTTGAGCCAGTCCAATATAAGAGTCAATCCTGTACAAATCAGTTTAGGGTTAGGTTTAGGGTTAGGTTTAGAATATCAATATTTCTGTGGTATAAGATAAAGTAGGAAATAGTAGAAGGTAGAAAATAAGATGATAGATAGAAAATGGGAGAGAATGAGATGGGATATAGTTCTTTTAGTTCTTTTAAGAATGCAAAAGCTAAAAAAAAAAGAAAAGACCAGTACAAGAAGTCTTGTACTGGAACAAATTAGATTAAATTGGTTCAAAAATATATTGAACCTGAACTACAACATATGCATTCAGCTTGACATTAAGTGGTCTTGAACACTACTAATACAATATTAGCTATTAATGATGCGGCTGCATTCCATTGTTTTTGTCATGATGAAATTCATAACATAGATAAGAAACATTGGACTATACAACAAAAAACAGTTACAATGTCTATAATACAACTGTCACTTAAATGGTTTATAAACTGTGAGTAATACGCTTCCTCACACATCAAAATAAACGTTCATCTTGAGTYGCTACAGTTGAACATGCATTCTTTGACAGCTTTACATTTAAATCAAGAAATTTCTAATAAGGTTTCATTGACCAAAGTCTTTAGATCTGAAATTACAAATAAAAAATACTTAAAAATGAATCTGTTGGGAAGATCCAAACATTTTCGAAAAGAGGGGGGATGGGTGTAGTGTTGTACTGTGTAAATCAAACACTGAAGAGGGTGGAACTAAAGGGTCTGGCAAAATGCTTCCTTGAAAATTTTGAAATTCAGATGTTAACAAATGCAGAGAACTTTTACTGCTTTGTAGGAGAAAATACAATCAATTAACAAAGTGCTGTCAAAATTTAAAAAGTCTAAGAGATTTGGATCAAATTGTAGATGTAAACAGCCCCTTAATTGTTGTTGTGATCATCATACATCTATTTGCAACTTGATAAATAGTGACATATTGAAAGGTCACTCATGGAAATATTCTGCAGTCCTTTATGACAGTACCTTTTTGAAGGAAAATCACTGCAAAGTTGCAACTAAACTTAAACCATGTTCAAAACTCAGGCAATGGTTGTGCGATGATCCCAGGGCGGTTTACAAGTACGATTTGAGGTGCACAAGATTAATCTGCTGATTGTCATGTGACAGTCTCATTGCAAAAATCTCAAGTGTAAAAATTATTAAACATTTAGTATCTGCATCACTGTTTTCACTTACTGCATCAACATCTGCATCCTCCCCATGTTCTTCATAATCATCAAAAGCAATTTCATCTTCATCTTCGTGTGTAAACAGATTTCCTTCATTTATCTTGGCTGTAAAACAAGACAGTCTCTTAGTACAACCAAGCAGTTTACACAAAATCATCTGCACCAACAGCAACTTTCTTAAATCAGGTGGAATTATCAAAAAAGACGTTTACATTGTAATTCTTATATACTGTAGTTCCTTGGTGATAAACCAATACATAAGCTTTTTACATGGAACAATTTGAAACAATAGCTGACTTGCGAATTTCGCCTCAGTAGTCACACACAAAGGAATCAAGACGACGCGCCGTGCATAAAGCTCAGTCATTCGTGAAAAGACAATAGTTTTTCATGATTGATTTAGCTTTACGCACTGCGTCTCGTCTTGATTCTTTTCTGCTTGACTACTGAGGTGAAATTCGCAAATCGGCTATTGTACAGCATACCAGTGTCAGGTAATTCACCAAAAGCCTTTAAACTACGTGCTTCATCTGGGTTATAACGTAGAATAACATCAGCTTTAGCATCTTGATAATCTCGTAGTCCTATTAGGATAATATCACCCTGATTGATCCAGACCTACATCAAAATAAACACAACATTTATCACTAAAAACCAGGACTAGCTACTAGTGTCATGATTGGATGAATGACTTTTTTTGTGGTGTAAAAGTGAAAAGGAAAGAGAAAGTTGATTCAATGATAATATATATACATATATCACGTCATTTTATATAATTAGCAGGTTCAAGTGACACATCAGGGAAGATTTTGCGGTATTTTGAACAAAAAAAATTGATGACCACTGCTGGTAGTATGTTAATACATATTCAAGACTTCAGTATTTCGCCATCACATGTAAGCATTGCTTACTATGACGATTTATAAATGCGCCTCAATCTTAACAATTTAATTCCAAATACAATTTTGACTTTGTGATCAGAGTTTTCTGTTAAGAAATGATTTCAAATAACAGTGAATTTCCAAACCTTTTTACGTAATTTTCCTCTGATATGACAAAGTCTGCTGATTCCATCAAAACAGTTTGCCTCCAAACGGCCATTACCAAGCATCTTATTCACTTGTGCGTATTCTAAAACCATAACAATTTCTACGTTTAAATCAAACAATATCGGGGATAATGATACTGAGATATTTTAAACATACCTTGCCCATCTTCTTTGAACACGAGTTCGCGTTTTTCTGACTCGTTTTCATTCTTTCCTCTTCGACGATTTTTCCCTCCTTTTCCTGATTTTAACAATTAAAATTAAAATGTTAGCGGCTGGTGAATAGTAGATACAATGATTTATTACAGATACCTTTATTCTTCGGCATATTCGCGTTAAACAAGCCAAAAAACAGCCCTAATTTTCACTTCTTCTTGGCTTTTTTCGACGTTTTTTGTCAAAGATGATGTCAGCGGTATTTCCCTGGCGCACGTGACGCAATGTATCTAAATTCGGATAAATTTCGTATGACGCTCGTATTATCTTCGTGACGTTAGAAATTCTTCGGGAATATTCGCTTTAGAAACGGAAAGTCAATCGGAGGATTACGTACGAGTTGAGAAAGGTTTTTCTTTTGACAATTTGTAATATTTTGTTTATTCATTATGACAAAGATCTTACTTGTTTTTTAAAAGATATATAGAAATATAAAACAGCCTCTTGTCTCTCATACAAACACAAATAGACAGCATAAGCCTAGAACAGTCAAGGATTGCTTGAAAACTGTGTCAGCTTCAACTGTTTCAACAAAATTATTTGCACTCAGAAATTATACAACAGTCAGGTGTCTTTCCTTTATTTCATTGTCATTCATCTATGTATCTGTTAGGAAACAGACTCACAGAAAAATGAAATCTATTTGTTTAATAAAATATAATACCTTTGCATTTTATTCAAAAGTAACAATTTTTTAATAGAGTGGTTTTCCATCAACCATGAAAGCACAATAAGTCAAATAGTTAGTAGTAGTTTATCATAGACCAATACCAATAGTCTAGTCTAGAGTACACCACAAAAACTAAGTTTTTTCAAGTTCATTTTAGTGGTTAGCTATTTGTCTATAGTCTACATATTGTCTAAACGTTATATTGACTATTACTAATTGCTACTAACTAGTTGGTCTATTTCTTTTCATGGTTGACGGAAAACCACTCTAATTCATAAGACTATCATATTGCGTATAACACAGATTAAATGGATAAAATATTAGTCTACAGTACTTTAATCATATCATTTTAAAATTGATGTCACCTGACATCATGATAAAGAACTCTTAAAGGTTTGGTTACTCATTCCATACCACATAGTTTATGTATTATATTTTGGTTTTTGTAAAGACGTTGTAGTACTCTCTTGTTTTTATGACAAAAAGGTACGAACTACCTGTTGTATTGGCTTTCTACACATGGGACATAAATCCAGCCCTGATGCACAAGGTGGGCAACAACTAATGTGTCCACATGGTATGAACACAACACCCACTTCAGCATCCATACATATCTTACAGATAAGTCTCTCTTCTTGCATGCTGTCTAAATCCCTGACTGGTTCACTACTGGCGGTATTACTTGATGCATTTGGTGGAGCACTGTTTGACCGCCTTAGACTTCTTTTAGGACCAAAATTACTTGTGTCAAAGGAGAAGCTGTGTGAAGTAGCAAATTGGATCTGTGAAGGATCTGTTGGACTGCATTGGGTTTCAGTTGTCTGCTGGGATTCAGAAGGATTTGTAATTTGTCCTTGTAATGGTGGAGGTGAGTTTGCTCGACTATCATCAAGTAGTGCTTGCATTAAATCATGTAGCCTCACAAACCCTGATCCAGTTCTTTCTGTTTGTGTTGCAATAGCATTCTTGATATCTTCACGAGTAAAACCCATCTCCATAACTCTTGCTAAATCACTGTCACTAAGACTGCTTTGTAGTTTGGTAATTCCTGCTGCTGCTGGAGTATTGCTATTCAATGGCCTTACCATATTTTCACTGCTTGAGGTATATATGTGTTGTTGGTTTTCTTCACTGGAAATATTTCCCCGTCCTTCATAGCAAGGTTGATTCTCACTTTGTGCCACTGCTGTTGTTACTGTTTCATGACTAGGTAATGGCTGCATGAAAGTGTTTGCAAATTCTTGAAGCCTTGGTATATTTGAAATAACTGGTGTAGGTTGTACTCTTTGAGTTGTTTGTTCTTGGTCTTCGACTGGCATTCTTGGATGTTCCTCATGTTCTTTAACCAAAGGACAGTCAGGGGACCAACGTGTATGCTCTGCCCAAGGTGTATCATCAGGTTCCCAGTTTCTTAATGCTACTTTGCACTTGTAACACCTAACATTATCTCCAGTCCCCATGTAGAAGAACCCAGCTGCTGCAAGTTCCCAGGGTTTGACAGGGCAATCTTCTGGCCAATCAATAAAAGTTGCTAATCTATGATGGATACTTTCAAGGTCAGTCTGTGAAGTAGTATGATGAGTATCTTCGGTGCGAACATGAACGCTTGGTACATGTTGCAGTACTGGACTCAGCACTGGAATATCCATATTACGCACAGATCCATGAGCAAATAATGGTTGCATACTTTCTTGGTAATGAAGGGGCATTCTCGAATAACTAGGCAGTGTGGTACTAATGTTAGGTGCAGTTTGTTGAGTTGAAGGATTTATTGTTGGCTCTATACTTTCCTGGTAACCAGGGGTCACTCTTGTATAATTGACTGATAGAGTTGATGGTTGTTGAGTTTCAAGATAACTAGGTCTTACTGTAAACTGTTCTGGTGTTTGTAGCACAGGGCGAGTTCGACGTGGATACTGAGATGTAACAAACACTCCTGTTGAACTTGTAACATTAGACAGATTAGATGAGCTGTGTTGATAAGGTTCGTTATAAACAGGGTAGTGTTGTTGTTGCATATAACCTGTCTGATAACTAGGATCACTAATTATAGATTGACTACCAAAATAGGGGTTCCTTGAATGGCCTTCAAGCCTGCTGCCACCCACGCTTCCTGTTGGAGGGTCTGAAGCCGGTACGGGGTTACAAGTAACACCTAACTTTTCCCTTTCGTATTCAATGACAAATTTACAATTGGCCCTTATTTTTCTGTGTTCATCAAAGGGATCATCGCCAAATTTCCATCCTTTCAATTGCAAATCGCACGAAAAACATCTGACTTCATCACCACTGCCAGTGTAATAAAAGCCAGCGTTGATCAGGTCAATCGGCTTCATTGGCGACGTCTCCGGCCATGTTTTGAAAGTCTCAAAACGCTTTCCTGCACTCGCCATTTCATCGTCGACTTCTGTACAGTTGCCATCAAACTGCAGCATATTGTTTAGAAAGGAATTAATTCTGGCTTGCTCAAAAGAGTTGTATGAGCTAAAAGGAGAATGTGAACTGCTATTAGAAAGAGACGCCATATTAAAGTTAGCTTCCACTTCGTTCTCTGGATATCAATGAACTTCTTGTATTTCCACAGAGAAATGCATGTCGTTCTTTAACCTTGAGAGTAAAATAGAGATTACAGACAAAATGGTTGACCGTTTCGTGTATATTTCAGCTACGTATTAGACAGAAACTTCCGCTGACTTGCGTATTTCAACACCGCAAAACATGTCAAGAGCAATTATTTTGATTGGCTGCGAGTTTAGAACACCAAGATAAAAAATATCATACATACAAATACAAATAACATGGAAAAATCTGTTTGAGAATCTATTTGGACTTGGATAAAAAGTAAATGTAAACTGAAAAGACGCTACCGAACTTTGAAATGTGAAAAATGCAAAGATACTGTAGATGCAAAAATATTGACCGCTTAGCACTGGGGCGAGATCGAAATCCAAAATGGCGTCCGAAGGCGTGAAAGAAGCAAGCCAACAAAAATCCGGCGATAGTATAGACACTGTTGAACCAAAAGAAAAAAAACATAGAGGAATACCTGAAGCAGGATTTTTGGTGAGAAATATTGAGTTAAAATAATTGCTAAGCGATCTTGATGGTTAAAAGTGATGGTGCTTTTTAGCTTGCTTTGACAATCACTTTGCTTGCAACATTGCAATTAGCAAGCTTTAACTGTTTGTAAAAAATGTTATTACAGAACATGCTGCGATTGCTTTACTATCCTTTATCTGAGAGTTACTTGGCTAGTGAGCTTTACCGCTTGTGATTTTTAATTAAGATGTGCGTGTGTTACTTAGGACGATGTTGACAAGTTCATGCTCAAGGGAGGCGAATCGGCCGAAGAAACAATTAAAAAACTGGATGAACAACTTAGAAAGTACAAATATATGGAAATCAATCTGTTAGCTAAGAAAAAAAGGTAATGTTCCCAACTTTCAATAGTGTATATTAACCCTGGAGGGGGTACAGGAGCAGGGACCATGGATCGTGAATTTGTTGGAGGGGGCTAGCGGCGAGGAGGTACTAGGGGGGTTCGGAAATGTTTGAAATCTTAACTCTCAAAGACAGTTTTACCGCACACAGTCAGCGAGATTATCAATAAATCCCAAAGACTTCGCAAAAAAGCTCCAATATTAATTGTTCACGCTCAGTCCAGTTTTTACACAATTTTTATGGTGAAATTTCATAAGGAGGCTCTTCGCTTCTTTATTTAAGAAAATTCAAAATGTCGGAAAAATTATTGTGAGGTCTGTAGCCCCCCAGCTCCGCGGTCCATGAGGAGATAGGTATGGACCCTAATCAACCCTAATCAAGATTTATATTAATCTAGACTACAGGGACAAGTTCCTGATCTTATGTCAAGTTTAGAAATGGTCAAACTACTCCAGAACAATAAGGTAAATTAGCATGGCCTGATAGAGGATTGCAGAATACGTAGTTTAATGGCTATGTGCTTTACCCTATTTTTGCAGGAAAAAGGAACTCCATGTCATAGCAGATTCCTAGTTTCAGATCAGCTTTATGCAAATGCTGTTGTACCACCATCAGAGAAAGTGTGCTTGTGGCTAGGGGTAAGCAAACTTGTTGATCATTAGCCATAGATCTTGCAATAAGGTTATGTATTAGAGCCAACAAAAGAAGTCATAGACAACTTTAGGTAGTTGGAACTCTAGGACTCTCTGTTTGGAAGACCAACGTGTACTTAGATGTTGGTCAATGGTTATTGTAGTAATAATATTTTCATATAAAGCACTGTAAGTGATAACAATTACTTCTTTCCCTAACCCCCCAAGGCAAATGTGATGCTGGAATACACAATTGAAGAAGCCGATAATCTGTTAACAAAGAATTTGGCAACAGCAAAGAACAACTTAGAGGAGTTACAAGATGACCTGGACTTTTTACGAGACCAGTACACAACAACGGAAGTCAGTATCCTTCTTATTTTGTTTAAAACTAATGTTTGTCAGTCCTCCACTAAAGTAAAGTATGAAATAGTAATGTTACTCAAGTCCCTTAACTAAATACCTAGATATGGCCCGTGTATATAACTGGGATGTAAAGAGACGCCAAGCTGCCAAGATACAATCTTAGTGTGAATACTTGTAATAAGTTTGAATTGTGTGTTGAAAGTAAAAACTGTATTTTATGGAGTGAATAAATATCAACCAACATTAATAAGCAATTTATATTGTAGACTTAATTGTAGCATTGTTGACACTTAGAACAATGTAATGTGTATATAATGAGCATCAGGGGGGGGGGGGGGGGGGGGAGTAAAGGGGCTTGCTGAAGGTGTTATCATCTACACCCCACCACAATCACAACACAATTTAATAACAAATACATGTCTTTATTGATGACTACAAACTATAAAAGCATGAAACATTAATTTTGTATTACTTGATAGATGATTGATTTTAGGTAGACTGTGCTAATAGCACTAGACTTCAACCATTGCAATAGTTGTGTGTTATTGTCTAAACCTATTTCACAGTCCACATAACGTCACTAAAAAATGAAAACAACTGAAATATAAATCCAAAAACCATGAAACATAAAAAAAGCTGTTTATCAGGAGTGATCATTCAACTCAACTGGAGGTTGATGGGATATGGTATGCCATCAACCTCCAGTCAAGTATAATTTGATGGGTATAACACTAAACTTGGCGAGATGTTTGACAGATTGTCTAAGTTGTCAAAAAAGCACATTTTACAAATGATCCAAAGACATCATTATCTGTTTCATGCCAAACAGTTCAATATTATGGTAATATTCTGACTGATGCAATAATAGATTTGCAATATTTTTTTCCTTTAAAAAAGTACTATTCACCCATTTTGAGATCATTCCAATTCAAAAAATGCCAGATATTTAGAGTATACACTGAATTTTATAGTTGACACTAGAATAACTTTATCAACAATAAATGATTTAAGATAAGATATTATAAAAATGTCTTACAAACATGTATAATATGCTCTCACAAAGAGCACAAAGGCAACATTTGTACAAAGAGTTTTGTTATTATTGAAAGCTATGTTATATCAGGTGAAGTCATATGGAAATCATACAAAGCACTAATCAGCTAATGGACTTAATTCAATAATAATAAACTCTCTGTTGCCTTGAGTCCCTATTATACCACACAACGATACTATTAATGGCTTTGCTTCATGCAAATTGTATATATTTTTCATCTATTTACATTAGTATTTAATCTGAATATAGTTTATGTTTTACTAAAACATGTCCGTCAAACACCAAGGAAATATAAAACTAGCACAAGAAAGTGGCCAAAGTGCAACATAAAAGCTTTTAGCAAGCAAATGCGTAGAAGGCAAGGCACTGGCATGGATTGGTATAAAATCAGAAGTTACTGTTTAACATTTCCTCTAATGATGCAGTAAATCTATACGAATTCTGGGTAATTCACCCCAGTCAACATGAACTGCAATCAGTTCAACTCAAAATCCTATTTGGAAAACAATTTTATCGTGATTGAACGGACACACAGGATCCACACACACCTCGAAACAATTCAAGTAAAGAATTTCAAAAACGTTATAATTTTATCAAACCTAAATACACTCAATATCTTACAAAGCATCGCCATTATCAATAATTACTGGCATGGCAAAAATAATTGCTATAGCAACATAGGCATAAATACTAAAGCATGAATTGGCATTGCAACAGGTATTTGTACCTTTTGTCTTTAGTAGCTGTTAGAAATCATTAATGTCTAACTACAATATTTATATTATACAGGAGTAAAATAATAAACTTTAAACTAAGAAAGACTTTTTTCATATTTCTAAATATTCAAGCCATTTTCAGTTATAACTATAGCCAAACCTAACTCTTGAGTTTCAACATATTTACAATCAAAACTTATTTACATACTTTAACATGCATAAAATACAAACGTCTTACCAACATGTTACTTTTCTGAATCTAGCAAAATCTGAGTAAGTTCGTCAATATCAGTCACTGTTGGATTTTCATCCATTACTTTAAGAATCTTTGTGGCATCGTCAGGAAACACCTCCACAAGTTTTTCATAAATGCGAATCCGTGTCTCCTCATCACAATCATCAGACCCGGCACCGTCAGTGACATCCCTGGGTGGGGCCCTGGTTCGGTAATAACTATTACTCTGTCCATTATAACTATTTGGATAATGGTGTTGGTAACCATGGTGATGATTAGAGCTAAAATGATATTGTGGGGGGTACACTCCCCAATGCTGTGGTGTTGCAAGAAAAGGTTGCTGATATCCACAAGCGTACATGTGTTCGTCTATTCTCTCTGGATGATGCTGGGGAACCATCCCTCTAGCAACAGTCTCTTGATGGTGAGGAGGATGAGGGGGTAGGTGAGTATGTGCAGGATACATAGGGTGACTATAATGTCCACTACTGCTGGGTAGTGAGGGGTAACCATCAACATACTGTGGACCTAAAGTCATTCCATGAGGTATGCTTCCTCTCCGTGTTCTACCATATTGATCTGGCTGCATGTCATAGGAAGGACTTCTCATGGGTGATGGATCTGAAGCAGGACGTTGTCCAGTTTGACTTGTGTGGTTATTGCGCAGTGTTGGTGGGAAAATCCGTACCATATTATGGTGAACTTCAGCTGGTGGAATTGGCAACGGTTTCTGTCGCTGTTCAGTAGGGAGGGGTGGAAGTGGCTTTGTTAACAAATATGCTGGCATATCAGGTGGAGGAGGGAGGGGTCTGTGGCGTGGTGAACAGTGAACTTCACCATAGGGGACTTCAGGAGGATTCAACAATAATTTCTCTGACAATTGATTGGCTAACATATTCATTTCAGCTTCACTTTTAGAGTTCCTTTCGGGATGAAGATATTTACAACGGTTACCATAGGTACATCGGCGGCCATAAGGACATGGCTTACCACAGCCTTTTTTCAGGAATTCATCAAGAGTTGGTCCATGACGTCCAGCAGGATCATCTGGTGGCATGAACCGATCATCAACAAATGAGTACATGAGTAATCTTTGTTCAATGACTTTCCTCCACTCAGGACTTTCATTTTGCAAGTCTCTAAAGTTATCATTAGACACAATCACTCCATCAGTTTGATGTGCCAGTTTGATGATGAATCTGTCATCATAACACACAACACGGCGGTTATTAATGCATCGTGATGGTGTCCATACCAATATTTGATCTTCTTCAAGGCGTTTAAGCACTTGTTGGTCTATTATAGGACTCTCAGGTTTAGAACTCTCTTTACGCCAGGAAGGGACAAACACTTTTATGTCACGATGACCTCTCTTTATAAACCAGTCAACAGCAATGCCAATCCCTCGGCATGAAAATACTTTCTGGTTTCCATGGCTAAAAATAAGAGAAATTATAAAATTATATATCTAGAGAAAATTAGAATAATTTTCAATCCTTTTAATTTAATGAAACATAAAATATCAAACAATAAAAAAACATAATTTCAATAATTCAAAACATTGCATTTTTTTCTTTATTTCGAACAATATTTCTAAAGTAACCCTAAAAACAGAGCACAAGTCAGTTATACGACCTTAGAGGTCTTAATGTCCATTTAAAGCATTTTATAACAGGCAGCTTGTCAAAAAGCACTTTACATATCAAGAAAATACATAATAGATGGTTTGTATCTTATACTATATTCTGAAACAAAGGAAATTTTAGCAGCTAAATTTGGTAAAAATCTCCAACAATGCCTAATCCTTGATGTTCACCATAGTTATGAGTGGAATGTCTGCCATTCAAGAGTCTACAACAAGATGATGAACAGCTGGATGAAGTCAAGCATTCACCTCGAGTATTCTGCCCCAGGGCAAGTAAATAATACAGCCTATACATTAGTCCATTAGCAGAGAAGACATATCAACTTAGATGTAACACAATGTCTATTCGCCAAATCAAAATGACATTAAGAACATTTTTGAGTTTGGAGTAATAATTTTTGCTGAGCAAGATAACTGTCATGAAATGTGATAAATGATCCATCAAATAGCTAGTAGTAATTGATATTAACTTAAACTTTTACTTCACAATCTGTTTGACTAGAAGAAACAGTTTCAATTAATTCTTCAGTAAACATAAGTTGCTACGTCAATGTCTGTGTTTTGATAACCAGGGTTATCTAGTGTAAGATCTTGACTACAACTACCAATACTTCATAGAAGACCTGTGAAATCTACACTTGATGAAACATTCTCCCGAGGTCACATAAATATTTGGGGTTCCAGAACAAGAGATCGGTTTATAAATATGGATTATCTGTTCTTGAATAACAAGTTAGAAGCAAGTCTAGAACTTATTGCAGTGTTATAGTGAACTTACATCTGTATTCTCAAGAACACAACAAAATAATATGGCACAAAAACATTCTTGGTTTTGTAAAAAATTCCCTTAAACGAAACGTGCTGAGTCAAAGAGGATTGAAAAATGGTTGATATTGGTGACCAAAAACGATAATTCTATTCAGTTGTATTATTGCGGGTGTTTCGTAATGTCATATAACCCAACAACCGTACACAAAAGAATCCACAACTTGGCAAATTGTCACAATTAAAATTTTAGCAAGACAATCAAAAACCTGTCTTCAAATATTATTCTTACAAGATCAGATGATGTTTTAAAACAAAACAAGTAAGAACAAAATTGTTTGCTCGTCGCTTGGAAAACCTTTTTAGTGTCTTGTTGATTTATGCTGATGAGGCGCAATTGCCATCAAGCACGTGTAGTCACTTCCGTTCTAGCTTATTGTATGACTCAAAACATGATCTTGAAGTTACTATCACAACATTAATGCTGTATTTAAACATCAAGAAATCAATACGCCATTATGCATTGTACTCCAGCAACCAAAAAGAGCACAATATTCCTTATATCGTCATCGCAAACGCAATGCAAGTAGCGCCATGCTGTGCGCGCAGTACAGTGCAAACCAGACTCGTTTTTGGCGGGTTTTCTCAAGATAAAACAATGCAAACACGTCAAAATACAGGTAAAGTTAGAAAAGAAAATGTCTGCCTACCTCATAGCCACATTACTGCCATCTAGGACTATTGCCCGCAATGTATTTGGGTCGCTACAAACCACTGGAGGTGTTGATTGTGGTCGATCCAAAGAAGATCCTTCCTCGATTTGTTTAGCAGAGTTTTGAGCTTTGACAAGTTCCATCAATAATAAATTCTTGTCTGCGTCTGGTCCTAGTTTAGACAAGGCTGAAGATACTTCTGATTCTGAGTATCTTAGTTTCAAAGCAAAGTCTCTCAGCGATTCTCCACTCAGTACGTTCGATTGGCCGTGACCTTGATCGCATTCTGTTATGGAATCTGTCGAAATTAACTTTGATTCTGTAGTTTCATGGCATGAATTTTCTGTTAAAATAGAATTAGTGCTTTCTTTTGCGCATTTGTCAACTTGCTTGTCCGTAACAGTTTCAATTTCTCTGTTGTTTGTAGCCTTCATTTCGGATGGTAAGCTGGAAGGATGGCATTCCTTCATACCCGGTGTACCGTTGCATCTCGAAGGCTTCACGACCTTCGGTGTTGTTTCTCTGCGCTTCCAAACAACTTCTGTATCAGAGTCCTCAGTATTTGTCTCCTTAATATCTTTAACTTCTTCGCTTTTAATTTGATTTTCATTGTAATCTGTTTTTACGGTATCGGAGCTCTGCAGGAAGGACTTCCTTTGATCCAAACTCGAAGTAGCGAGCGCAACGGCCATGTTTGATCCGCAGATTTCAAGGAATCCTTCACTGTCCACTGTAAGATAGGCACACGATTTTCGTTCAACTTCGTCCACGATATTCACGGCGCCTTTTTCTTCGAGTAAATCGCTGACGGGGAAATCAACGCGACACCGTACCTCCGGGTTACACACGCTGATAATATATTCCTGAAAACAAAACACACGACCTTCATTAAACAAGAGCGCGGGTAAAGTTTAGTACACTACTTTTTGTTGTACAAAATACATCAATCAATCAAAGAGAAGGATAAAACACCTTAGCACCGTCTAGTAGCTCTGGATCTTCTTCAGAAACTACTCTTATCCACTCCATGGACGGGTCGCAGTTTTCCAAGTTTTGGTGACCATCGTTGCTCGAATCGTGGACAGGTATGAAAACCTCGAATTCTGCATTAAAAAGCTGTTTAACACGACTCTCAAGAGCTTTGAATTCTCGTATGTTGGTTTTTCTAAGCACAAACTCCCTTGAAAACGGGGGATTAATAGGTTCCTGTAGAACCATGTTGTTTACTCTCTAGAACTTGCTAGTTCATCATGATGATGGCTTCGAGAATATTTGATCGCGCTACACTTCGAAGACACGTACTTTATTGGGTGGGTGTGATCATACCTAATGACGTCACGCAATAACTTGATTTCCCGTGTCAGTCAATAAAAGTACAGAAAGAACAATCAAAGAACAAGAATCCCTTTGCAAAAGCAAAATACGGACGAAAATCAACAAAATGATATAAAAGCATTGTTTATTTGATTTTTTAAGGATTTTTTTTTTCAAATTCTCTCCAGACTGCCGGAAGTTAGCAGATGCCCACATCAAATGCCAATCATTTCAGCGTTCCAAATATGGATAGACAATAGAAATAGTCAGGGAAAACTGCAAAGCAATCAGCGAATAAGGCGAAAAAGTTTTCTCGTCATCTTCAGTCACAACTTTTCTAAATTAATTCTGGATGTTCAAGGTCAAACAACAAACTTTCTGTAACATTAATAGCCATGGATTAGGATTAAAGGCTTAAAATATGACAATTTCCAATCACGTCGTTGTGATCCTCCAAAGCAAGACATGTTTTCTCATCATAACAGGAGTAATAAGGAAACCAAGGTTGTTCATATAACGGATATGAGAGTGATATTCTATCAATCTATGGCATTGACATCTCATCGCAACGGATACTAAAACATCACAAATTCATGGCAAAAAGGAAGTACAAAAATCGGCATTTTTTTAGAAACTAACTTAATTAGGAAATATAGATGAACTAAAGGGTGAACTGAATGGTTCTATACCCGTATTTAAGACCAAGATAGGTATATTAGATGTCTTTATCAAAAGAGCTTAATAACAATGCAGGCGTTCAACCGAAGCACTGCTCGGAGTCATTAGTTAAGCTGATAAACTTACAAACATATCAAAATACATTGTTAAATGCGCCTTGTTTTTTCTTTCTCTACATTTTCAGCTGTGCGTGCATTGTTGTACCTGGCCTTGTCTGTGTATTTTACTAGTAGCCCTAGTAACCCCTGAAGTCTCATTACTGTGAAGTGGAAAGTTAGTCCATCTAAATACTTGTGGTGAAAACCGTTTTATACTTAAGAAATGAAACATTCTAACCATCGGAAATTGTTTTTGTAATAGCACATCTGACTTACTTGTTAAACGACAGACGGGTCGTCTACTGGGCTACTCGCCTAAGGCAATGCGCTCTTAGAAAAGACAATGAAACTGATGCGCATTTACGCGTCTGAGTAGTTTGTTAAAAGAACATCGACGGCGTTAGTATGAAAGAAAGGTTACTACTATTCATTGATATATAGGCTTGGCCGCCGGAACTTGGCTTCTCAATACCACTTGAAAATATTTGAATAACGACTATATTGAAATGCATTTTTTTCACCATAGTTCGTGATTAAATCTATAGTTAGATAGCTTGTGGTACAACACAAAAAAAACACCGTACTGGTACAACCAAAACCTCTACGGTCAAACGTTGTCACGACGGCGCGGTGCAATTACAATTGCGTAAGAACGCCTTGCGAATATGTGATATATCTGAAGTGGCGCGGTTTGTAAGCCATGTGGACCGCGCCTTAAAGTACTGGAAATCTGTTTGGACTGGATAAACTCAAACTAATGAACGCCAGTAAACTACTATTGTTTTATACTAATGGATGACCATGGTATATACATTGGTAATAAGACTTAAAGGTAGAATATTCGTACGCGGCTCCTACATTATCTTTCCCAATCAGTGATAAGGTTTGACTAGATTCATCAAGAACAGGACTACTGTAAGACCTGTCTTGTGGAGATTAATGCTTGGACTTCAGTAGGGGCGATTACTGATCATTACTGTCAGGTTGTTGTATATACCATGCGGCCGAGGGGGATTATTGATGGAATTGCACGGAAAGTCCCAGCAGGACCTAATACTGCACATATATAATACCTTGGTTAATCAAAGTTGCTGGTCCAAGATTATTTAGAATAACAGCCATAAAAGTTGTTTCAGTTATGTAATCAGACTAGAAATGAGAACGGCGATCTTTCCACTCAGCGGCCGTCCCCGAGGGCGTGAATGTGTTATAGATGTGATTAACCGGATTTCATCTGAACTAATCAATTAGGCATCGATAAAATCAGTCTCGCTCACGGTTCCCAGTGATATCACTTACAACTTCATGCAAAACTTAAGTCAAACCATGAAGCGTTTGGTGTTGGGACGTACTGCTGTGTTTCTAGTTTACCTCTCTGGAGATGCCCTCACCCCGCTGATCAGAAACACAAATAATTATCATTATTTTTCATACACAGAATTTTACAAAGATGGTGAACTTTTAACCCTAAAACTAACATGCCCGTGGAATACAATGAAAACTAAAATAGCAACGTCTGCAAGATCGATTAGACGTCCCACTGGGGAGTGTTTTAAATAGAACCACGTCTCCTGCTATTAATCTCTCGTCGTTCAGACCATCAGTAGGCTATACATAGAATACTGCATGACATTGACCCTTGCTACATCTGCTAAGGTTTAGAAATAGTGTTCTTCTGATTGAAAGGTACCGGCGTTCCTGACTGCTTCCTATCGCCTGAAATATGACAACCTCTTGTCGGTTTCGACTTAGATTTGTCTATGTTCACTTACATTAGACGCTTCCCCCCCCCTCCCCCCTCCCTCCATTATAACCATTAGATTCAGCCCCCAAAGTACTCAATATGCTTTTTGAGGAGGATGATATATGCAACATTTTTGGTAGATATTGCGTTACCATTATCCCACGAGTTGCTGGTGGAGTGCCAAACCTTTCCCCTCCCCCTCAGTCTAGAGATTGTTAGGATGGCTTAGAGTGGGTCGATTCTTATCAAAGATGATCTCACTTTCAAACAATCAACGGAAATCACCGATAAAACCAAAAAGCGATAGGCGCCGTGATGATCAAGATAATAGCGATGTTATCAGGTGATGATATTATGAACCTGTACACAGCTTATAAACACGTCATGTGATCATCACCCGACAAAAACAATGATGCCACTTTGTGAATCAATTACCCTTTTATCCTTTGTGAAAAATAGTCTTTTTCGTGATAAACGCTTTCTACATGCAAGGGAACGAAATAATAGTCAATCGCCCAAACACCTTTATGCTACGGACACACCTATAATTGACACTATATACTGATTCTATCCTATCATTGGTTTGATACTTGTTATCCGAGCTAAACTGACTAAAATGCTTACTGAGTACGAAATAAAAGACTTTTAACCGCAGAATGTCTCCTAGGAAGACGAGCCGTCAAGCCAAAACCGCAATCACAATGCACCTTGGGTTCCTGTAATGCAAGGATTACTGTATTCAAAATATCAACTACTTGCACTAATTACGTTGACTTGTTTTGTCTGCTAGAAATAGTATTTACAGTTTTCACTACCTGATAACATACACACTCTTATTTGAAGGATTCTCTTTTTTCAATTAACGCTTTTGACCGTGCAAGTTAATTGCCAAATAAGTACCGCGCACAGTGAAAACACTTTGCCACGCTTAGTAAATCTTTTTTATGAAACTCGTGACAACACCCAATGAGGTGGAAATGTTGTGATATTGAAATATTGACGTCCAGCATTAGGCGGAATAAGCATGACATAACTTTAACGGAGCCTTGCCTTGTTCGTCATTTTTCCGCTGAAAACGAAACGGTTCTTATTTTATACTCACTAAATATAATTAACTGTTGGATCACTTTGCTAAAACAAGTGTCATTGAATTAGGAGTTCTTTACATTTCTATACAATTGTCATTGTTGATCTTTTTCTGCGCCCGACCAACATACCATATGGAGTTCTTAGTAGTGGTTTATAGCGATCGTGTTTCTATTTATCTAACTAACAAAAACATCCACGAACTGTTTATTGTATGCATGAATGCCGTTTGCGGCTCAAGAATGAATATGACAATGCAAGTGTTTACCAGTGTTTATAGCAACAATGTGGTGCAAGTGTTCATGAGGCGGACGCCGCGCCCCTGTTTCCATTTCTTTATTTGGGAGTCCATAGTTGTTTTCTGAACTGTAGTCATTACGCGCGCGCACTCTTCATGGGCACTGCGTAGGTGTAAATTGTGCATGTTGAATGATCATTATTTGTGTCTTTACTTTTACCGATACAAAAAAATGAACAAGAGGGGAAACCACAATAAAGATTGTACAAAATCAACAAGTACTGTAAGTGAAGCTAATAATCCATGAACATGATGACCTCTACATTTCCCCTTGCGAAAATACTTCAAAATCGTGCTCGTTTTCATGTTTTAAGGTTAGACTTGCACATCAGTTTTCAAACACGTTGCAACTCACCTAATAAAAAGAAATATAGGACCAGTCATTCAATCAGTATTCTGGCAGCTCACAAATCCCTACAGTCCGAGTAAAATAGCCTACGAAGATTTTGATAAACACTTCAAATAAAAACAACTTTGGTCTCACTTAATGACTTCACGGTGAATCACGGTTATTTTTAGCAACTGCCAACAAAGATTCTTTTATTTTGTTTTGCGGTCCCAGTTGGTTTGATGAGATGGAAATCATTTTACTTCCGGACCAGATGCACAGTTATTTCCTGTTGTAATCCCTTTATTTACAATCAGTCACGTGACAATGAATCAAGGTGTCACGTTTCACGTCTTTGTAACCATAGTTTCCAAGTGTTTTCATAGAGTTATGGCAAAATATTTGCTGAACATTAAAACACAAGGACTCTCGTGAATATTTAGTCATATCAAATTTGTTTAACAAACATTTCACCTCAAACGCCAGTCGATTGAATAGATCAGACTGAAAACCAAGTATAACGGCTGTGAAACTTGATTATCATGGCAGATCATAAGGCAATCATCCAATAAAAGGTTTGTCTACCGATCAGAAAGTGATTGCTAATGTGAACAATGTTTAAAAGTTGGGAGTGGTTAACAAGATAATATATATACATCCTACACTCCATGGGGCATGGGTGTGGCGGATCAATATGGGGTATGGGTGCGGTTGACCCCTTTTGGGTATGGTTTCAAAATTGTTACAGGTGTCTTACACTTAGACTTACACTTAGTGATTTTTATCAAGAAATTGCTTTGTCAACAAACAACAACAAAAAGATTTAGGGCTGATTGACCTCAAGGATGTGTTATGTATTGAAATGCTTTGGTCTAATTATTTTAATATGTCTGTTCAAAAGTGATTACCTTGCAAGTTTATCACAGCAGGAATGAAACATTATAGAGACACCCCTTCCCACTAACCCTTCCCACTAGCCCTACCCACTAACCTTACCCGCTAATCATACCCATAACCATACCCACTAACCCACTGTGCCAAGCATGTTTCATTTCTCTAAATTAATAATTAGTTTGATTTTAATAGTTTTGTATGGACTTAGCCACTACCCGATATCCTACAAGTTTACATATCCACATCACATACAGGTACAAGAATGATATCAGGGAATACTACTATATATAATCAAAGACTTTTAAGTCTTAAAAGCTAAAGCTAACAGAAATCGATAAATAACCCACAATTCAGACCACTGTCAATTTTGAATGATTTCTTTTTTAGCCCCTGGGTACCAGAGGCTGTATTTAATCTTTCTTATAGTTTATTTACGCGCCGTCTTTGATGCCGTAAGTCCGAATCGTAAATCCAGCCTCTGATAGAATACCCTCTGCTAATTTATGCGTACCTTTTTAGCGCCTGCGCACCCCTCTCCCCACGGGTAATAGACATAAGCGAGTAGATGATAAACAAAATGGCGACGAAGGCTATTTGGGTCATGGTTCGAGAAGAAACCGATGTCAAAGAAGTCAAGATTTCTTCCGAGCCGGAATGTTCGACGAGTTATGTAGAAGACAGGCGGATCTTGCTACAATCGCTGTGCTTGCAGCTTGGTATTGTGTACTCGCCAGATAAAGTGTACAAGTTTAGAAATGGCAGAGGTTCGTTGGTCGTTTTGAACCGAAGTATGACACCGAACACTATTGCAAGCCCGTTTATTCTGGAAATTTGTGAAACACATAAAACAGCTGAACCAGGGCAAAAACAAGCATTCGTTGTTGGAAATAGCAAAACATGCCAAAGGAAGTTTGAGAGCATGTCAAAAAGGGTCGAAAGGCTAGAAAATATGATTCCTGATTTGCCTATGCTCAGGGAAGAGAAATTAACCAATGAAATGAAAGATGTCGAGTCAAGACTTTCCTTTTTAAATGAGAGGATGAAGGAGGCCGAGTCACAAGAATGGAAAGGCATGTTTAAAAAACATCCGTTGTGGTAATCGTTGCCAACACAGAAGTCAAGGGATACACCATTAGAAATGTGGCTGGGGGAGGGGGGGGGGGGGGGGGGGGGGGGGGGTGAAGGGTTAGGATTGGCAAATGACAAATTGCTTGATTTTGGCCCAATCATAAAGAATATGTACCTCTTTGCAAAGAATCGACTATAAATTTTCTAAACAAATTTTCCCCATATTTTTGAAACGGTTTTTAGCAAGTTAGAAGTCGAAGTCCTAATCCCATCAGTTTCCTAAATGGTGGAGCCCTAATCCCATGCTTGTTGCCAATTGTGGTGTCTTTAATGATTTCAATAACTATAAAGATGGAGCTGGATTATCACATCTGCCACAAGAAACACATTGTAAGAAGAAGACGTCTTGTGTTGTGAATAATATTATCATGTAAAACACATTGTAAGAAGAAGATGTCTTGTGTTGTAAATAATATTATAAAACTTATTAATAATGCATGAGCTATTACTCCAATAAGGGTTGTCCATTTCATCAGGTGATTGACCTTGTAAATCAGATACAACACTGTGATACAACACTAGTGTTGTATAAGATTTACAACACGGTCGTCACCTTGAGACAACCCAACACTAGCAAAGGTCTTAGTTTTAGTACCGCATCATAGACCTTCACTAGGTTTTGAAGCAATCAAAGACGGATAACAGAACTGGCTTATGCAACAGATGGCTTGCTTTCCATGTGGGATGGATAATTATTCAAAATGTTCTGTGTTGCAGTAAATTGCGCATGCGTAATAGGGACTAAACTCAGCAGTTACCTTATTTGTCATTTTTCGTCATTTATCTCACTGTAATTCATGTTAATTTGTGTTGGAGTTTTATAAGTCGTTTACAACATTCGCGTCCGTGTTGTATGGGAATTACAATCTCTCGCCTGCGGCTCGAGATTGTAATTCCCATACAACACGGCCGCTCATGTTGTAAACTATACTTATTATGTATAACACTGGATCATGAATAACTGTATTTAATTTCATTTTAATAATGATTATTTTACATTATTGTATAATAGGCACGTCTTGATATTTGTAAGGTTGTGATGTGCAATATACAAATTTGAGTGTACACTTGTTATATTTCAGTGAGAACTGATTTCGAAAAACAACATGGAAATACAAGTAAAGCATTTTCAGCTGTTCAAATTATTTACAATATAATAATTATTTATAGCTTTTTGCATTATGTACAATAAATCTTTCTTTTTGCTTGTTTTTACATCATTTTATACTGTAGTGTAGTATCGTAGCTGTATTTATGTAAACATAGATGGCATCATATTTGTCAGTATAGCTGAGATGATTCCTGCAAACAGTGCTCTTTCATTTCTTCTGTATGGCCCAGAAGCTGTTTCTATGACAACGTTATTCCATGACACAACCTTAAATTATTAATAATAATGGTGAAGCAAGCAGGTATACCAATGTCCAGACCAGTCTTCTAACAGATAAAACTGTCTGCACAACAGTTGACAATTCCAACTAAAAATTATAAATATAACATACCTGCACTCTCTGCACTTCTCACTCTGTCTCCTTAACTAGTCTTGAGCGATCATTTGAGTCAAGTTCCTAAACAATTAATATTAATATCATCACAGCAATGCCACTACAAGGACTTTAGTTGATCAAATACAAACAGCCAAAACAATCCTACCTGTGAATCCTGACTTTCAGGATGTTTTATCTGTTTTTGTTTTACTGAGAAAGAAAGAATTTATTTTACAATCAGCATTATAAAAAGCTCTTTAAAGATAAAACATACTTACACTTCTCAAAAAACAATTTCCTTTCATTGGTATCAAAATACCAGAGAGTGATGGCATATCTACAGAAAATATTCAAAAAGTATTACTGAGTACATGTATTACCAGGCAAATAAGATATATTAGAGATTATAAATGTTAAATAATGAGGGACATTTATATATAGCCACATCCTTTTCCCATATTGTGATACATCGAATGAGTTAAGTAAGTCCTCTTACCTCTGTCTGTAAGCTGGACAAACTTCGTGTGGGTTCCTCTTGTCAGACCAAAACAGCATTAGTCTGTCAAAGATCGGTTCAATGTGCACCTCTGTTTTATTGGATTCTGGAAAACACTTTTGCTCTGGAAACAGCTTGAGAACTCCTCCATCAACCTGTTTTTTACCAGTAACAATAATCATTAGAAAGCAGCATCTATTCTAGCATGTGCTGGTACTGTGCTTTCAAGAGCGCAATACATTTTTAATACATACCCGTGCATCCCATCCCTGATTAAGGTAGTAAATAGTAGTTATTAAACGTCCATCTTTGTTTGGGTTATCAATGTGTCTTTTGTATGCCGCACCTTTACCAGGGTAACATGCAACCATTGCCTGAAAAGAAATTATCAAATTGAATATCCTTTGTTGTAAAGTAGAATAGATCTCTTAGGAGATCAAATAGGAAAATATTTGTAAAAGTATACAATGAGACAGGTTTTGATAATCACCCAATTGATATATAACACATGCTACTCTACCACTTGGATTTCAACTCGTATTCTTATTTTAGAGAAAAACTAGATTTGGAAGACAATAGTAAAGTATTTACTAGTATTTAATAATAATAATAATTTATTTGAAGTAATACAAATTGCTCATTACTACAGGGAACAATTTCATTTTCTGGAATATAATTGTAATTTATTCTATATGTATTTGAGAATATTGAAGGCTTTAGTAATGAGTAGTAATTTTTCTTGTCAATAAAGAGTACTAATCCTGTGCTGCTTGCCTTCCTATGACATCACATTATTAATTTAGGAAGATTATAATAAAAAGTCAAATTTTATTGTCTCAAACTAGTGTCTTACAAGCCATATTTGGGAAAATTTTATTAAAAGAGGCTAGAATATAAGCGACAACCAAAACATGAACCTGATTTTTATCAACACCGGTTACGAATAGATGTAGAAATATTTGCAGTAGTGTTAAGGAAGACTTGTTATCGTAGATGATCCAGTATTGTCAACAATGAGAGACGTGACAATCCGCACGGTTAAACTACAAGCGTGTAAATAGGCATGACAAAAACAACTTTTACAGCTGTAAAGCTACCAAGCGAACATATCATAACAATTTACAAGAAGAACTTTTTAGGACATACAAAACTGATAAAGACAGTGATATAAACTATGAAGAGATATCTACCGTAACATAATGAAATGATAAATGATACAGTTTGCTGTTTTCTTACCGGGGAGCGGTTTTCAATATCGTTTGCCTTGATGAAGTAATTGCACAACTGTAACAACGCGTCGGTGATGGCCATGTGATGAGCAATGGCATTACATCCATCTTCTTCACCATTCAACCATGTTATTTCATCTTCCCGTACTTTCCTGTTCGGAGTGCCATGTCCTGTTGTTGACTGTAGTTGACCATCTTTAAATGAACCTTTGCTGTGTAAGCTTTTTACTTCATTCAGGATTGTTTTTGAGATGTTTTCTCCATGGAAATGGTCTAAAACACAGTGTCCATAATTTGTAAGGTTCTCTACGACATATTTTGCGATGTGTAGACTTTGATTCGTAGTTTTTGAATGATTCCATAGTCCCACAGCTTCTTCGCCACAATTCAAAGGCAAAATAGTTTGCACGCTGCCTATTGGCAAAGGCAGGCTGGTTTTATCTTCTTGGGAAATACTACATTTCCTATGATGAAATTTTGAAGCAGTCTTCAGATGGTCTTTGGAGCAATAACGTGCCTTACAACGAGTACATTTATAACGGCCCTTGGCCCTCTCTGGAATTACCTGCTCACACAAATCACAGAGCATACCTTTAGGAGGTTTAGTTGGACAGTTTATCAACTTCAAGTACACTGCAGAAGAAGAAAAGAGTTTAAAACCGAAATCAGTGATGTTGTGTTGGTTCGTACGCCTAGCTAGGAACGCCTGGCAGATATTACAATAACAATTCTACCACAGGAATCCTACACATCGACGGCGCGAAACGTGACTGCCAACGCTCTAAACATGCTACCACGTGATTGCTGACTTTTTACCATTATTTCCTATAATAACGTTTATACATAAATATATCAAAGATATTCATAGGCTATCTCAAATATTATTAGCAACTTCCACAGCCAATTCTATAATACGAAAATAATAGAAATATCTAGGTTACTATTACAGCTTTCCAACCAGGTCAGTCTTAATTTTATCTTCAAAATTTCAGCCACAAATTATCAGGCGGTTAGTAACTATTGACTGTAAAGTTTTTTTGCTTTTACAGTAGTTTTTGTATTATAAAAAGAGCATATTTGTATGAGTACATATATATATCTTACACAGATACACTTGCACTTTTTGGCTTAAAGGTATTTCATTTTTTCATCTTTTTATCACAAAAAACCTCGGCAACAAACGCTCAGGTAGTTAAAAGCCATTGGATGTAATATTTCGCATGCATATTTATTAACTACAGCTTTTGTTGGACTGTAAAAAAGGTACGAAAGAATGACAGAACTCACTCAAACAGCGGCTATGCAACGACTATACTATAGGCTCCTTTACAAATTGATCAGATGGATTCTACTTTTCAAACAAAGACCATTTACATGATTGAAGATTTTTACATGACAAGGTTTACTTTAGATAAAAGTATAAAGCCCTATAAATATAGTAGAAACAGACGAAGCTGCAGAAATGTGAAATGACTCTCAAGGGGGTTCAGATCCACCCCATGTCTACTCGGCCATGTTGTTAAACACAAAATGCTGGTACAATGCATACGAACTTACGTTTAAAAGTATATATGAGTCTTAGTGAAGTTACTACAAAGCAAACTTATCATGGCATATCGGCTTAGTAAGATGTCATTGCAATTTACGCGCTGATACTGTTTCGATCAGAACATGATTCGCTGATACCGACCATGCTTCCAAAGTTCACTGAGATAATTGGTACATTTTCTGAATAGCGAAACAGCACAAAAAACATTTGGTGCTGACGTTTTAACTGTGATTGTAGTATTTTGCTTTAAAAAACATAAAGTTCCTTTCAAAAATCTGTAGCTTTTCGATTTCAAAATGGGTGTTATTCAACTCCTCAGTGCCAGTTTTGAACTCAGGGACACAGCAGAAGGTTTATACAAATTCGACAGCAAGCTTACTTGCTCTTTACACTCTAGGAAAATTTGTGCAAGCATTTTCGAAAGATAAATCAAATGAATATAACCTCTGTCAATATTTGAAAACCGTAGCCAAAAACGGTGATCAGATCGATATAAGAAAACGGTTTTGCATCAAACTGCGACAATACATGGATGAACTTTTTTTTCAATGTTTTAAAATGCATTAAAATGCGGCAGTTTTTAATCTTGCTGGTGACGATTTGTTTATAAATAATGTGTAAATTGTACTTACATCTCATTCTGTGTTGTGGGATAAATCGTGCTCTCTCCCTGTTTTTGAGAATCAACATAAGCTTCTGCAATCGAAGGGCTTGAAGTCTTACATGATAGTTCTTGTAAATTTCAAGGATATATTTCTTGTCCATTCTCAGCATGATCTTTTAAGTCTTTGGAACAAGAAAAATATTTTCCGAATTGAAGAACGCGGCGCACGGTTGTGGCGGCGGAGTTCGCAGACTGTTTGATCCATTGAAGAGGTAAGACATCTTATATACATCATGGCCGGCCTGTGACGAGTGTACGACAGCACGATCACGCGCCACGAGGAACGCCTGGCACGTTTCATTCTCATTTGTAACTTTATTTGTTTTTTCGCCCTTGAAATCTTGCTTGTTTATAAACTAATCACAAAAATTCCAGAAGGCGGCTACAATATATTGGTTAAATTACTTATATCTCAAACAAGAAACTCCTAAAGATGACAAAGTTCTGGAGGGTATTGTGTGCAAAAGCGTGAAGCTTGGCACGGTTTAAGGTCATGCGATCCCACCAACACATTTTCAACAAACACATTTTTTTGAAATCAATTATTCATGGTAAAGATTCGTTCATGATGCTGTAAAGACCATATTTTCCCCCTAAGGAACATTCTGGAAAAGAAAGATGTACATGTACATCGCCGTTGTTTGAACGAATAGAAAGTTTATCGTTAAGATTAGAATATGATTGTCAAATGACTAATCTCAAAACAAATTTCAAATCATAATAATACAGTACATAACTTACAAAACATATAGGCATAAATACCTAAATATTAAAATTCGATATATATTCAATTCATTCACGTTAAACGTTATATATAGAGCACGTGTAGCTATGACAACGCACTGGAGCTCACGTTGCTGGGATTAAAAACTGCAGAAGGAAATGATGATATTTTCTTGATTGAACCAAAAGATAGTGTTTGCACTAATGATGCTTTATCAGAATCCTCAAATCAAGGAAAAAGACAATAGCGTCGGGCGGAGTAGCGTTATCAATATCATATTGAATCTAGACTGATTTGGATGTCTCGTCAAGAGCGGACATTCACTACTTCTCTAAGATTAGAGATCGTATTGAGTTATACGTTGGATAAGGGTTTATCTCCTGGACAGCGCTATTCAACCTTCGTACAACAGACCCCAGAACAGTACACTTTTAGTGATCTTGTGCGGTATTTCTGACTACCAGTACTTTGTACTACCGTGACCCCCGACACGAATATACACTGGGAAATTGAACAAAACTTGAATGAGTGACGTCATGTGAAAATAAGAAGAAATTAGACTTGTCATAATGAATTTATAAATAATTTTTTTACTGAGAATATTCATCATGTCTGGATGTATTTACATATTTCTATTTACAATAAAATTCGCTATTGAACAATATTTGATATAATTTTGAATATGAAAGTGCACGTCATTGATGTATGTACAACTCAAGGGATCACGTGGTTATTTCTCCACGATTTTTTTACTTCAAACTTGCTGCATCTATATTAGTAGCAAGGTGGCCGTGTATTTGGGCGCGCTATAGAACGTTAGCCATTTAGAGAGCGCACTATTAAAACAAAATATATGACAAAAACAATAAACAGTAGATCCGTATGTTTGCAATAAACCATTCACAACATAAGCAGGGTCAAGCATGATAAAATGAAACGTTTATAATAGCGCTTTTGTGTGTGGTTAACAGGAAGTGCGCTGATCAAGAAATATAAGATTCTTGACAGGACGACGTTCGAACTAGGTGTCATTAGAAATCCCAGAGATCCTTTGCGCGATTGGAGAAGTAGTCAGAAGTTTCCAGTTCGCGTTTCTTCACCAGGTCCAATGATAATAATAGAAGGGGTAACTTTGTTAGTCTTAGCACAAAGCGACGAACAATGATCGATGGCATTATTGATATATTTCTTGAGCTGTGATTTAATAGTTCTGTTCAAATATCCATAGATATAAGGATTTATCATTACATTCAAATAATACATGAACGATGAGACTTCGTAGGCCACCATGTGATTGTTTTGTGCGCTACAAGACGTCCAGACCGTGAGTACAATATGTGGTGCCCAGGATACAAATAACGCCCCCACTACGAACCCCAAAGTTAACGCAGTTTTAACTTCTGATTTTAGGGCGGAGTGAGGTTTTCTGAGACAAAACTGTCCTGAAACGTCGTTGATTTTACCAACTTGTGTCTCCACCTCCACGGAAACAGAATTTTCTCTGAAGTTCATAGCCTCGACTTCGCGTCGTATTTGCTTGGAGTGATGTCGTGATACTCTGAATATCTTGAAGTACAAATATGATATGATAATTAAAGGTACGAAATAACTAGACGACAGTTTGAAGTACGTAAATCCTGTGTTAGTTTGATAAATTGAATCGCATAACCACAGGCCAGGAATGAATGAATATTTTCCAAATCCTACAAATGGAAAACACGAGCAAAGAATCGAAAACACCCATATGCACGTAATAGCAATGGTCGTCCTAGAGCCAGTCACGCGCGACTTATATCGAAGAGGGAGAACTATTGCCAAGTACCTATCCAAGCTTATAGCCACTACAGTCAGTACGCATGCGTAGCTCAAGAGGTTTTGTATATATCCAATGATCATACAACTGGTCTCGTTAAATACACGAGACTCCACTAGGATACCAGGAATACGTATGGGAAGCAAAGTCACTGTCATCATAATGTCGATCATCGCCAAATTAACCAATAGAAATCCAGTTGGACAATGCAGACGCCGAACACGAAGAATGACGTACAAAATGGAAAAATTTCCTAATAAGGATAACGCCATTACTATTGTCAGAAACAGAACTTGTATTATGTCAGCGGGGTTTGCCATTAGATTTTCCGCACACCGAATATTGGTGTCATTGTTTACAACCATTCATAGCAAAGCTGGAAAATAAAATTCAAAAGGTTAAAAACATCTACAAACAACACACTAGTAACATAGGCATTAGTGATTGACCACAAATGAAATATCAGCAAATCGCATAGAAATGCTTGTCTTTTCACGTTAAAGGCCGATCAAATCACATACTGATTTTCTTGCTCTGATTATTGCTTTCTTTAACTGTATATCAGATTTTTCATTCTATGTTTTCTCAGAATCATCGACGCTGCCCACACTGTTAAACGTAGATTATAGAATAACGCTGTCAAAAAGACCAACAGTAAGGTATAGGAATGATTACAGGTGTACGCTGATATATATTGACATACCATGTCTCTCTGTACTTCGAAGAGTAATCGTTTGTCGGAAAACGTAACAAAAATAACAAATGGCGTAAACAGCCCCACGTAGTGTCCGCTGTTGAATGGATAGATCTATTATCTACCGTTCATTGAAAACGTTTTGGCTAAAGACATGAGTACGGTAGCGAAATGCGAGATAATGCTTCCTCATCCAATCATAACTCACGATCTAAAAATGGAGAACGATACTAGCCAATCAGAACACACGAACTGCTTTGCTACTGTACTCAATTTAAAGGGATTAGAAATGTTATGTTAACGACATGAAATGATTGAAAAACGCACTTTATTTTTATCTTAACATCGCTATCTTTTTGTAACGATTGAAATGACATTTGCAAAGATGTTTTCACCAATGATAAAAGGATAAACTCTCTTTCAATTATTCCGCTTGCTCATTATTCAACCGTTTGCTCCTTGACTGAAACCATGTATCTAGTCAGTCGTGTAATGTAACGCCGCTACTCACGGAACATCGCTTGATACGGCTAATCACAAAACATTAATTAAGCTTTTTAGGATTCGTTCAGTCAAAACTCATTGGGCTAATTCCAAAATGGCAATTAACTACAGAAGTTTCTCGTTTTCTCGTCGCAATTAGCCGTTCTCGTTTACACAGTCAGCTATCGTATTGGACAGTGTGATGTTAGACCATTGGTTGATGATGCCGTCTCGTTCATGATGAATCGAACCGAATTCTAGAGTTCGTATTTAACGATAATAAAAGTTAGAGCCTTTGAATGAAGCAGCTTCGTTCGTGATGTTTTTGTTATCGTATTTTGATACATCTTTGTCCAACATCGTTTGAACATCAACTAAATGCAAAAGTAATTGCCTTTGGTAAAATAAACAAACATCTAACTAATATCGTTCATCGCAATAACGTCCACAGATCTAAACTACTTTCCCGACAAACCAAAAAAATAACAATAATGATGATGGATTGGTAGAAAAAGAACCTTTTATAATTGCGAGGAGATTTCAAGAAAAACATGCTACAGAATGATTAGTGGCTGTGTTACACCTCATGTCCTAACCCTCAAGGCATTGACAGACGCGATTGCAATGCATTACGGGCTATTTCAGAGCTATTTCAAAGGAAATGAAAAATGCAACGAAAGATGAAGAAATCTTAGGCATCAGATTTCGTCTTTGATATCTTTGCTTTTCTGTACTCACGTACTACGAGCTGATATCCCAGCAGGCAGAGAATGGCCAATCAGAACGCAAGTTTTCGCATTTCCAAAATATACATATAAGTATTGAATATACAAGTTTCCTGAAGGCAATATGGCCGAAACGTTCAAATAAACAGTGCTAAAAACCTCAGTGCCAGTTGCGTGGATTGTTCTCTATCATTCCACTTTTATTCGAACGTATTTACATATAATAAAGTGTCGAATAATTTGCTTTCATAGAGACAGAATAATCTCCAATTAAATGAAAATATAACCTGTAAAGAGGATAGCCCCCTTTATGTTAAAATTGCTTGTATTGTCATCAAAAGGAATCAATAAAAACTGTTTTCCGTCATTTTAGTTTGGACGTTTTATTGTGAATGTCCTTGGGCACGCAGACTACGTCAGTAGGGTATATTTATAAGATGTTATAGTATTATATAGCAAAGAAGATAAAAGGATAAAAAAGTCAACTTGCATGATTTTCAAGCAAATCCTATACCTTGTAACAGATGAAATCGGAGAAAACGACCCACTTAGTCCTCTTTTTGTTTTGTTAGATATTGTGTTGACTTTGAACTCAGGTTTGGCATGAATTAAAACTCTTTCAAAAGGCAAAGCCTAGAAAACGAAGAATCGATATTTTTTAGCACATGGTTACATGGTGTTTTTGTATCACAATACGGGCAGCTGACAATGTCAGGGGTAAAACAAACTCTTTATTTAATCAGTTGCTGTTCTTTTCCACATTTTAATGTGTTTTAGTTTAATGTTCCACACCGCGAAGGTTATACATGTCATATAGGATAATAAAACACTTTGTATCAAACTACACTGAATTTATAGAACTCAAGACTCTTCTGGAAAATAGTCAACTAAGCGGAAAAAACTAAAATAATAGAGACTTCTAAGATTAATGAGTCTGTAGTGATATTGAAATAGATATAAGACTATACAGTCTCTAATTCCATTGCGGTTGTTTTAGTTTGTTTTGGACCTTTATTCTTGACTTTAATATTCATAGTCTATTTTTTGTCTCTATTTCTTTTTAAGCCACACTAAATAGTCATGAATCCATATCGACGTCTTTAGACCAATCAAATCATCAGGGCTGTTCGAATTTATGTCACTTACTAATCCATGTGGGAGAGATCTTAAAAAATACTAGCGCATGCGCCCAAATGCTCATCTGATACTATATCGATGTAGAATGAACACGGCAGTTCATTGTCTCATCTGAATACAAACAAACTATAAAAAAGCAGTTCAAGTCTGAGTCAGAGACTCCCCATGGGCGTGGGCTTGAAAGGGGGTGATCAGGCCCCGTGGAGCAGTTCCACGTGTATGCTATTCTTGTCATTATGCCGGGAGCAAAATCACCTGATAACATCTTTTACGTCAATTAATGATTAAGAACAAGCTATTTTGTTTACTAAAAACAATTACTCATGTTAAGACTACAAATCTAACTATTACCATACTGTAAACAAGAATCGCGAGGCCGTCTAACAAACTATTAACTCACGTAAAAAATGCCGCATAAATATAAAATTAAAGATGGTGGGTGTTGCTGATACGCGCCCTTGTCCATCGCTGCACGAGAATTGTGAATGACTCGGCTTACGCTCTGGAGTCGAAGTGCCATTACAAACACATTATAGCACTTAACAATAGCCATGCTGCCAACTAGGTACTGTCTTAATTACATAGTCATTAACAATAGCCATGCTGCCAACTAGGTACTGTCTTAATTACATAGTCAACATAGATTCTGATCGCTGAGCACAGAATAAGTAACATACTTCATAGCTTACTTCTCGAGATCATACAATGAATAGCGCGTTCACCGAAAACAACGACAACTAAACCACAAACAGACATAATACACAGACGAGAGATGGATGGGTGGATTAATGAAAGAGATGAAGTGAAAATCTAGAGGAAATGGAAAGAAAGGAAAGTGAAAGAAACACGAAAAGAAGCATTTACCTCTATGTGGAGTGTGCAATCATTATGAAGATTGGTATCGCACTTCGAGTGATCGGGAAACATGTGTCCCGCGAGATTCCCGCAGGCCAATATAAGAAAAGATATTGTCAACCTTCCTTCTCATGAGATAAGCCTCGTAGATGCACTAGCGGATTTTTTAATTCCTTTTAATTTGTTTGTACTTCGTGACATTTTGTTTTCGTTTATCCGGTGATATTAGACGCCTTGTCTGTCTCTATAACAGTTTTGTTTTCGGAGCGTTATATGAAGTTAACCTCTCAAGGTTGTCAGAAAAGGAGACGATTCAGACAAGAATAGATGTATACAAAAAACCTGTAAAGCATTGAACAAAAGATGAAAAGTTTGTTGATAGGTTGCACGTCATGATTGAATTTAGTGAGTAGGATTTCTTTTGACAGGTGGATCAGCGAAAATCAATTACAGAACTGTTGTCAAGAAAACAAGAATAGCTCTGAAACAGTGCAATCAAACGTTGAACGCTTAATTGTATTTATACTTTTGTGGTCGAAAAGTGGGTTTGTTCAGATATACATGATAATTGATTTGTCGTTGACAGGATAAAGTTTCATAAACAAGACTTAGGTTTAGCACGAATCAATCGTTTTCATACATTTTTCAATTCTTTTTTTGATAAAACACAGCGATTTTATACGTGTTGACAGGGTGATCAGTGGATGCTAATTCCACAGAACTCATAAACCGACTTAAACTACTTGATTATCACTAACATATAAGGCCGTCTAGTCCAACGTATTCTTATAAAATTAGTTCAACTGAACATTCAGAATATTATCAGAATCGCGAGAAAACAGGTGCTTTTGATCAATAAAGTAGAACACCGAGTCATATCTAAGTGATAACAAAATTCGTGACAAAAATCGCTTTTACAGCCATGCACTTCTCCGGCGTGCACATCAAAAGTTTCCAGATCGGATTGAAACTACTTGATATATTTACACAGTGTTTTCTACAGTCACCGGTCAACGCCTGGTATTAAATCCTGTCTTGATGTATGTGAGGATCGTTAATTTGTTTTTCTACCCCACTGAAACTGACAAACCTTAAGTCTCACTGTAAGTGCAGTACACTTGAGAAAATGATCGCTTCACTCGAAAATTAGAGAACTACTTACGGCTAATATTTCACATAAATATGCGTTATTAAGCGATCTGAAATGAGGTGGATTGCACAGGCTACACTGTTAATATAACACTGCTTACAATGTACAACAAAATTGTATTATGACCAATCGAAAATTCGAAGAGGAAACACCTCGCAAATTTCCAAAAATCTTAATTCAATTTGAACATTAAAAGTAATAACATCGAGCATTTTGTCTAGTGCTTACCTCCAAGACAGCTTTTACAGTTTGTATTTCTGATCGTCAAAAACGTCTGATTTATTTGTATATATGTGAAAAACAGTTTTGTTTTTATGTGTTTGTTGGCAATAATTTCAGATGACTATTATGTGGAGGTTAACCGGATCTCTTCTTTAGCTTTTTCTTAATAGGTTGCCTCTTAGAATTGTAAATTACTCAAGTTTGTTGTATAATCACGTGGGCCTTGAGGGTTTCAGCTTCCGACGTCGTGTATTGTTTTTGGTTAATCTTTTAATGTTTTTGTGACCTTAGTACTCTAGTATAATGCACGTTGACGATTAGTTATGTAAGTCTCCCTGAGATGGATTTTGCCAGAATTTCAACGTAAACATAGCGTAAAGTCTTATTAAAAATTTTTATTTTGATGACATAACATGGTGCGAACTGATAAATATGGATGAACAAACTGAGTGGGTGAGTGAATCATAGACGCAGAATATAAACTGATTGGAAGAGAGAGAATAAAGAGATGAAATGAAAAACAAATGTGAATAAATGGAAGTGACAAATGAAAAGAAACAAAGTAAGGCAGATTCACGAGGTGAATGACGTTCAGAGAGTTGGAAAACGCAATCTCATGACAATATTGATGATGAATTGAACACCAGCTCCCCTTGAAAAGAGGAACCACATTATGTTGACGTACCGTTCACGTACTTTACTTTAAACAACGCATGCTACGTCATCAAACGGTTAACATCAACAAAAATAACCTTGACTGAATGATATCTCAAAGTAAAATCATCTGTTTTTCACAGGAAAAGATAAACTCATGCATGTAAAATGATTATCGTATCGTGGAGGTGATTGCAAAGACATAACACACACGATTTAACAGAACGATAGCCTGGCAACAGCTTGAGGGAGGTATATTTTGATAAATAAATAATTTTCCATCTACAGAACTGCAAAGGGTAATCAAAATAATACGCTTCTTAAAGCCAATTTGAATTGTGAAATACGGTTACCACTTCAAGGGAATTTAAGGGGTGAGAATTGATTGAAAAAAAGACTGAAAATAATAACTTATGTTGTCAAAACGTTCTCAAGATAATCTCGCTTGCTAATTACACTGAACAGCCTTCATATAGATACGGGGAATTTTTTTATATCATTTACAAAAGAAATGACTGCTTAAGCTTAATTAATTCTACAGAATAAGAACCTTAAGTGGAATATCGATCGTAAAACATAATCAATCAAATCAAGAGGAAATCTTAATGACTTCGACCTGAATTAATGGACATCTAATTAAATGAAATCATGTCACGTGACACATGTGCTACAATCCTTCCATATGATTGGTTATTCCGTTGCCGCAGAAACTAAATTTTGCGAAGAAAAAAATGAGAAGAAAGCATCGATTGATGTCAGTGAAAAAAATTGAAAACAGAGCATAATAATTGACTTGAAATGCAATGAATATGGTATACATATGATTTAGTAGTTGCGTCCATCATTTGTGCGCAAACCTCGATGTCTCGCTCACATTGATGTTTATATAGCGTTTTTTGTATTGTTCTCCTCTTCTCCTTCAAAGGAAATAGATATCCATTAGCCCCATCACTAGATTGAAAATCTTGCCAGTTTTCTCACTACTTTTCACTCACGATTCTTACAGTTTGTTTTCTTTTTTTATGTTTTTCGAAAGGTAAACACGCAACAGTCAAAATGGTTTCTCTGTGATTTTAAAGCAATTCCGTTGCTCAAATATATTTATTGATTATGTAAGGAAGTAGGCATTAACTAACTACCGGTTCTCTTGGAGGTAAATGAGCTGATCTCCAACGATTAGTATACTTTGAAAAAATAATGAAAATAAGTTTTGTTTGGGCTTAAAAGTCAGTTGAAGAAAGAACACCCTCGGGTTAAATAATACAAGATAAGGAATTCTACTTATAAAATGTGATATCCGCTCTGCGCGAGGGCTGACGTTTTGAAATGACAGTATTGAGTTAGATTAAACTCGATAATGACATATGTTTTATTTCATTACGCCAGACAAAATTTAGAAAGAAGAATTTAGCATTGAAATATTAGTAACTGTTGATCAAGATCATTGCTTTGCGCATATTGCAGGCTATAGGACGTTGAGCTTTCGTTGTTCAAKGAATCATATGATGCTGTTTTCAACGACCATTCGGCAGTGTGTACAAACTGACGGTGTTTTTCACCACTGTTTGTGATGACATAAAATTGTATTCAACCAGATTAGTGAATGGTGTCAAAAACGTATAAGACAAGCAGGACTCGAGGCGAGCAAGTTACATAAATAAAAGACCTTCCATTACACGTAACAGACTGAAATATATGATGTTTATACCCTGCTTCTCGTTTTAGTACGACTAATTGTTTTGTTTGCTTAAATTGTTGCTGCTTCTCATTTTGTTCAGTAAGACGCCATCAATATCTTCCGTAAAAGACGCCATTTGTTATGTTATTAAATCAGCTATACTCTTAGTTCTCCCAAAATGCTTTTTTGTAAAATTATTGAGCCTGAAACTTACAAAGTAGAAAATGAGTGTTGCGGTTTCAGAGACAGGGCGCGACTTTGTCATATTCAGTTGTAGTTGATATCTACGTTGTTATATCCATCATGATTCAATGAATAATCTTTGCCTTATAACTTGCAATATACTGACAATTACACTTATTTTCTTGTTGTTGTTTTTTATGGATAACCTGTAGTATATTATAGTGTCCATTAATATAAAGAAGTTAGCATTTTCCGCCGTTGCCAATACTACTGCTTATCATTAGTAAAAAACTTTTCAGTAAGAAATCAATCCAACTTACCATACGTGTACAGCTTTGGTTGCTGTGAGAATTGTATCAAGGTTTTCACTGAAAAAAGAAAAAACAATGATTTGAATATTGATTGTCGATCTCTCTGGGGGATGAGATTAATTGAATGGCATGGTACATTTCCAATCATTCCGTAAAGTTTAATCTTGACTTATAATGTACAAAAATAGTACTTATTAGAATGCGGCATTGAGATGTTAAACTGGGCTGATGAAATATTAACAATTGTTATGGAAATAATCGAAAACGTATTGTTGATCTGAATGAAGGACAAATAAACGAACTTTTATAAAATTGATCTTTTTTTCGCTATAAAAATCGCCATAGTGCTGAAAAAGAAATACGACACTTTAAACTATAAATGAACGTAAAGACGAAAACAAAAATCAGAAACAGTAACAACAGCACATCATAGACTACAAACTAACAAAAGTAAAAAAAATCTTTAAAGTGATGGGAAAAGAAGATTAGACAATCCCACCTGTAGTTTAAAAATAAGTAAAGACGTGTGAACGTCACCTACCACTACCTTTACTGATGCCAGGGTCTATATATCCACCACAAGGAGAGTTTTTACTCAGATACTTTATCTAAAACTCGTGTCTTTTGTTTGAACTAAAACACGTCGGTTGCAGGGGAGAGATTTGTTAATATGAACCCTTGAGGATCGTTTCCTTTTTCATTATAAACATGAATTGTACCCTGTAAGTGTCAGTTGACTCAATAAAACTAATTGGAAGAGATCACAAAAAGAACAGCCTTCAATAACATGCTGTTAGCCCATCTATTTTTTATGAATCCATTTGTTTGCATCAAGTTTGCTGTGTTCATTTACACCTTTTTGTTTCATTGGATTATTAATTGATTTCACCGTCAGCTCATCTATGTTATTTTTTCTCTAGATCTACCCCAGTATTCAATTAATTCATCCCAGCATCCTGCCAACCATCTTAGCTCATCCATTCATTCTTAGCATTCATTCCAGTATTCGTGCTATTTCGAACAATTCGTCCCACTATTCTTCCATCCAACTATCCTTCCAATCATTACTTCATTCATCCATTCATTTTTTCTATTTTCCTGTTCATTCATATTTCAATATGTTCTGTCCGTAGTACTAGGACCATTGGGGGGTAATAACCATTATTCAAGATATGTCTCAATAAATTAAACGTTTTGTTGTTGAACCGCGTAGCTCCTACACCTGCAAACTCATGCAGCTTCAATGGACGACTTTTGGATTTCTTTTGATGATTAAATTAAATTGATCCGCTTAGTGTAGCACTTCGAACACCTCTGTTGTCCGTCTTTTCTGTCGTTGTTCGTTTATCAAGGGACCTCCCTGGTCTGTCTATGACGTTTCCTTGATAGAAATAGCATTAAATATCGAAAATGCACGAATACGTGGATCCTTGTTTACTGAAAAACTTGCTCATTAGCTAGAGTTTCAAAGGTGTTGTGTGACGCGCTAATTAAGTTGTACATTCTCTTTGAAAAATTGAGACAAGCAGTTTTGCAAGGAACATAGAATCAGTTACAATACTTTTAATATTTCTGATGTTTATCTGATTATTGAAGAATTGATTAATTATGGGTTTATGATTAATTGATTGATTGATTGACACTTACCAGAAAGAGTTGCCCAGAATCCACATCGCGCTGTGGTCTATGTGTAGCTGCATTACTTGCGGTCAGCGGCACTACCACGGTAGAATAGGAAACAAGCACCACAACAAGAACAAAGTAGTGTTATGTTTCGATGAAGAAAAGCCATCATTTTGATATTGTTAAGATCTTGATCGCTTTATGCTTCGTGTATAACCATCTTCTAGTTCCCTCCTGCTGTTTAATGCCTGGCGGGAGGAAATTCACAAGTCTTAAAGCCAGTTCAATTGGTGTTGGTATTCAGAACACTCCAACCAGATCTTGCCGGTGATTCAAAACTTTTTATTTGTACTTATATGTACAATACCTTTGAATTTCCTTAAAACCACTTGTGATTGTAGTCCAAGACTCATTGTAGCCATTATGATGTAGAGGGGTTGATTTCAACAAAAAGATTTTGAATATTTTGTGGTCGTGGAACACCTGTGCTTCACGAAAGCTCCTCTCGTTCATAAATCGACTTTTGACAGCCGTATTTTTGACTTCGCAGGAACGGATCGTCAAACATTGGAAGTGGCATACACACTATCTCATCGCTGTTGACAATACCACCGTTATTTCACTTCCCACATCCAAAGATACCAGTTTGGTCGGTGATGGGCTTTGAAGCTCTCTTTCTCTCATTTCTGCTTTCAGCATTAGGGCTTCAGTACATTAACATCTACAAACTGGTAAGACACCTTTTGTATGAAAATTACTGGATATGTTATCATTCATCGTTTCTATGGTTTATTCCATCAATCAATTTATTTGGTTGTTTATATTGTAAGCGTTTAAGCTGCCAAAAATCTCCCTTAACATAACTAATTAAGTATTAATCAATGACAAGGAGAATTTCTGTATAAGCTTTAAATTTTTGGATGAAATACAATGAATTTTTGAATCCTCTATATGCGATACTTTTGCTTTCAGGATTATGGCACTGAATGAATTATGTGAAATATGATCCTTCTAAATTGCCAAGAAACCACACTTGTTATTCTGCCAACAAAGAAAGCTTAAAACATAATAATACAATTGCTATATATTACAAAAGGCTTAAAAGCTTTTATAGAAGCAAAAAGGAAATTGTGTAATATAAACCATTACTCTGTTTAATGGAGATTGAGTATTTCATCAGATTGACTTTAAAACATCTTAATATTTTCTTTGTTTATTTATACAAATTAACTGTTATACCTTTAGATTATTATTCATCAATTAAGTGTTTGATATCAATAAATAAATGTACTCATTAACATTTCTTTTTCAGAACTTTCATGTTGTTGACCCTTATTTAGTGTCATTCATTGTTGTTTTCTTGAGTCGGCGTGTCACATGGATGGTATTCAAACAGGTATGTATCATACTATAAATGTGAGCACTATCAGACATATTATCAGACATATGTTGTAGTGTTTCATGACATGGACTTCATGTGGTGTACAACTTACTCTAACTGTTAATTTTCTACTTAACCACTCAGTGACCTCTTGAGCAGCTTTTACTAGAATTATTTAAGTGTGTTAAATATTACCATGAATCAAACTATGCAACAGACATTAGTACTCTTTCAAGGAGTGGATATTAATTTAGGTTACTCTATTTCAGATTTTGGCTTCTGAGATATTTTATACAGTAAAATACGTAGCAACCATGCTTATCAAGGCAGTATTGCTGTGTACCTTCATTGTTGCTACACTTTGGCTACTATGGAAACTATTCCAGCATAACAGCATCCAGAACTATCTTTTTCTCATATATCCGTAAGTGGACTCTTTATATCAATATAGTTGCTATAATGTTTGTTGCTATGGTAATGCTTGTTACAATCATTGGGCATCGATTAAGGTGGATTTGTGGAGAATATTTGAATTAATTAACAGAAAACTAACTTGAAAACTGATTTGTGTTTTGTGATTTTATTGAAAGTAACACAGCATGAAGCTGACTATAATGTTGTGTGCAAAATGAAAGGGAAAGTTGCATTTATTTTGTTGTTTCATTTAGTGTTTTCATGTACCTTTGTGCATTTGGCTTCACACTGGACCCACAAGGCAACAAGGTTATGTTTAAGCTTAGTCCTCATACAGAAATCCTCCAACCACTCACCATAACAAAACTTACTGACAAGAAAACACTGTCTAATGGAGAAATGAAGCAAGAACTACTTACAACATTGAATACCCCATGTAATTTACCACCGGACGCTGTACGATATGAAGCTGAATGTCTACGGACTGACTTCAACTGGAGAGTAAAACAAGTTCTGTTTCAGTCTTTGGTATCAGCGTATTATGTTGGATTTATACCTATGAGATTCTCTGAGGTTTGTATGCAGAATTAAATGTTTTAAAAGTATCATTTGATATAATTAAATCAGTATGGTTAACTCATGCTATAATCTACAAAGCATATTTGGAAATACATGCAAGTAGAGGGTTAGTAGAAAGTCTACATTGTTTATATCTGAAATCCATGAAGTCAAAATCACTAATTACATATATTTCCTTGCAAAATATGCTTATAAAATCCACCTATCAATAAACTATACACTTCAAAGCAGTGGATATTGAAAACAGTAACTTTTTGAATTCCCTGTACTCACCTGTTTTTAGTCTATAACCAATGTGTTGCCATATCAAACTGGTGACTAGCTCTGTTTTGAGGAATACAGGAAACCCAATGTCTTGATCCCTGCTCGGGCTTTCTGTGTGTTGGACTGTTGGGTTTCCTGTGTCTGATATATGCTTTCTATTTTACAGCAATTTTATATATACTATGACCTATGGTGGGCCCTACAACAGGCTTTATTCATTTGGCTAAGTTCATTAATTATGCTTATGATATATATGTTACCTATTAACTACTGTGACGCACTACACAAGTGCGCAACACACCTTGGTGGATGGGAACGTTATCCATGGGGACACAGAGATACTCCACATATGTAAGTAAACATCAGAGTATTAAATGAAGGAAGTTAGTGACTCATGACATAATTTCATGTTATGTTGTTAGATGGTCACCATTAACAGTATGGCCGCAAGGCGTACTAGTACGATATAACAAGACATTGTATCGTGGTTTAGGAGTGCATAATGTTGCTGTACCGTCAGATCCTCATCACTCAAGATTTTTTGTAAGTTATTGATGGCTTGACATTCTGCATCTACTAAAATCTATTTTCAGTAAAGAGTTTTTTTTTATGTTGTAGTTCATGTTTGAGTCTCCTCTAAGACTGCTTAACTGGATGGCTGGTACCCTACTGGTTCTTGTGTTTTATCAACTCTTTCTGATTACAAGATGTTCTTTCTGGCATCAACTGCTGTCAATAATCGGGATGTTACTATTTAACTATGTTACACTTTATAGAGTATTACGAGATCGATGGGCGCTGCAGGGAGTAGTCAAAGAAAGGGAAACCAATCAGAATGACGACTCAGATTAGAAATAACATATCATGCAATCAAGGACAGAGTAAAATATAAATTCTTTTTCACTTATGGTTGAGCCTTGGCCTGCATTTTTCCTTTAATATTTATGTATTTTATTTAAGTCCTCTTAAATATGTCGCAAGTATTGCATCGTCGTTAGGTTGTCATGGTTACAAATAAAGTAATACCAAATAAAAGGAATATTCAAAAATAAATAGTGTTGGTTACTATTATTAGTCATTATTAATGGTATTATTGTCATTAGCTGATGGTTAATGGTTTTTGATATGTTATCTATGATATAGTATTACAAAGTACTTCTGTGTATTTCATTTAAGACTTTCTCTTGGTCCCCTTAGTTGACATACAACATGATGACAAAAATGGAGGTTTAGGGATTAGTTAGAAAGCAGAATATCCACTCTTCTAACTTTTTACTTTAATTTCCTTTTTTGAACACTTTGTATTCACTCATGCTTTTTTGTAAGTAACACAACATGTCACCATGAAATCTATATACATTGCTACAATCTGGCAAAACCTTGTCTATCATATACAGTAATGCAAACAATAATTCATAATGGTGTTAGGGACAATACTGATTGTCAACAGCAAGACCATGTCTGGTATCATTCAAATATAGTAGCTTGAAGTTGTACAAGCCTCAGCCAATGTTTATATGTTGCTAAAGATGATCTTGGTAAGAATGTGACCAGCAAAGACCAGGAAATGTCTTGTATCATACATAGTAGTTTGAGTTTGCACCTTCTCTATCTGTGTTTGTATGTTGCTGAGGAAGATCTTTGATGGTTTGCTGCACGATATACTGGCTAGAAAGATCAAGAAATGAAAGACATTTTCAAGATGCCAACAATTATTAGAACTATTTTGATATAATAATGGTTGGTGAATGTTTTTGCAATGATAAAAATATATTTTTTATGAGTTAAGCATTATTACTAAAGCACACAATAATTACCGATGACGATGGTTGTTCATGTCGTCTGTTAATATTTGCAGTGATAGCTTCCTGTGCCTTTAAGCGTTCATTGAGTCTATCAAGTGATTGTAGTAGCTTGTTCTCTTCTATGGACAAAGCACTTGGTCCTAAAATAGACAAATAGTATCCCATAAAATATAACAATCATGTAAGTTGCAATTAAGTTGGATTGTTGAGATATTAACCTGTTCTTGTTGTTTGATGAATTTCTTGTTGAGATGCTTTCATTACTGCCCTTAACTCATTCTGTGACAGTGGTGTGGGACCAGCTGAATAAATATAAGTTGATAATTAAAGTGCAAATATTAAATTGTTAACACAATATACAAATTCATAGACTGGCAAAGTATTTAATTTTGCAACCTTATTTGTTTGAATCATACTGATACTTTTCATTCGATTGTTGACAACATTTATTACTTAAACACTTTACTTCTCGTCATCATCACTGATAAATACCTCGTGTTGACATGGTAACAGCAGGTGCCTGCCTACTTGCCATTGGTGAAAACTGTTGCCTAGGAACCACAGGTGGTTTTCCCTGCCCTGATTGACGTGTTCTTTGAGCACGATGTTGAAGTAAAGGTTGTTGTCTGTATGGACCCAGGTTGTCAGCAGACCCATACCTTCGTAAAACCTCCTGGGAGCTATAACGTCGCATTGTTCCTAAACCAGAGATTGATGCTGCTCTACTTTGAGAAAGAGAAGCATCTCTTGTAGTGTTGTGCATCATGTAAGGGCTGTCTTGTGTACGTGACCTTCTCACATCTATTCTATTCACACAGGAATCGGAACCAACAGACTGGGTGTCTTTATGATTTAAACAGTTCCGTACTCTATCCCATAATATATTAATCTCATCATCTGTAGGTGTCTTATCTAGCGGTATGGACTGTCTAAGTGCTGCGGTTTGAGGGTGAACCAATTCTTTGTCAGAATTCTGTCTGTCTGTCCTATCCAAGGTACCAGTCCATGGATGATTGACAGCAGGGGATATCTTATGGTTATCAAGATTTGCTGCTTGATTATTACTTCCTGAAGGTCCTAAATACACAGGGATCTTTGATGGTTGCCCTCTATTTGATGATAACAACTGAGGTCTTTGTTTAGTAGCAGATCCTGCCCTTGGTTTATGGACCTTTTTATAGACTGACTTAAAATCAGTTTTAGGGGAAGCAGGGTTATCAGTAGGCAATGGACTTTCTGATAAATTGATTGTGTTCATAATCTTTTGATGTTCCTCTTGTGCAAGGCTTGCATTGTTTAACATGCTAATACGCTCCATATCTCTCTGAATGTTTTGTAAAAGTTCATCATCTTCATCACTAGAACTTGAATTCCCTCTACTTGCATACCTTTGACCTCTTGTTGCTGTAGAAACTACTTGCTTCCCTTTTTGTTGATTTTTGTTATTTTTCTCTTTTACTTTGTCTGGGGTTTGTTGATTTCTGCTAGCAGGTTCTTTAGATTTTGATGTAGGACTTCTTCTAGCAGCTGATTTAGGCGAGTTCTTCCCTGTGGTTCGTTTAGCTGAAGCTAAAGCTCTTTTTCGGTGTAGAGGACTACTATAGACCACACCCTTGTGACGAGTGCTGGGATGGGGTGGTCTTGCAATCACTTTATTAACCTGTTTAGTGCTTTTAACTTGAGGACTGCAGGTCTGTTCTTCATTTTGATTGATATCATCTGAGTGATCTGGTTTGCCAAGTGGATTAACCCTTCCTGTACTCTTAGAATTTGCTTTGTTCACACCATTACTAGACCTTTGCCTTGCATGGTTGATATTGTGTTTATCATCTATCAAGTCATATGCAATGCTATTTGCTTTCTTTACCATCTTGTCTTGTTCAGTTTCATCTCCAAACACAGTTTTTGAAGAGAAAAAGCTCCCTGGGTACCAGCTTTTGTAGTAGGATGAAGTAGGCATGTACACTGATGTATTAGAAACAACAGACGGCTGTGTATTTATATGACTGTTGTTCTGATTACTTGGGTAAATATCCATATTGGTTGCAACTGAGCCTGCAATATAATCTACAGCAGATTCCAGTAAAAGGTCAGGTGCATATCCATATTGTGGTTCTGGTTCCTTAGCAACATGAGTTACCTGATTTGCTTCCTTGGATGTGTTTCTCTGACCAAAAGGGTTTTTGTATATAGTTGATGGGTTGCCATAGTATTCAATATTAGTATTAATAGTATGATAATCAGTATCATAATTGTTATCATCATCAACTAATGCATCACTACTGGTTTGTTCTTGTTTGGTGTCCATTAAAGCTTCTATTTGTTGATGACTTTGCTGTGGACTTGTATCAGCCTCTAAACTATCATGGAGACTATCAAGACTATCATTAGTCATAGCTTGTTCATCATCCTTTAAACTCTGATTGCTATTTGGCTCTACTTCAGCCACACATTGCTGTGGACGATCTGTGTGAGTGTTGCTTGAGAAAGTAGATTCACCTGACGATGCAATGGGTTTATCAAACTGCAACTGAGAGTATACGGACATTGGTACAACCATGCTGCCACTAGAGGCTGATGGGACATTATGGATAATTTCAGCTGACTTTACAGGAGTATTGCCTGGTGTTCCAACAATTATTTTGCCTGGTGAAGGAGAACCTACTGGTACACTTGGCTTTAATGTGCTGTATGTCGTATTACTTGCAGCTATTCGACTGTTATACTGTTTCACATACTGTTTACAGCTTTCTTTCTCGTCAGTCACTAGTTGACCTGTTAAACCATCATCAAACTCTATACTGTCAGAAAATGTAACTCGTCGTCTTCCAGCAGACTTGACTTTTTCCTTGACAATGATTCCAGGAACTTGAGGAGGTTTCTCTTGTAAAGGAAACTGATCTGGTGGTACCTCATCCAAACTGTCTAAACTAGTCAGACTACCTGAAGGAGAATTTCTTCTCATTGTCTGTGGTAACGCACCCTGTGTAATTTGTCCATTCATAAAGGTAAACATTGGTCCTCCATTTTCCAGAGCATCCTCTCTGAGCTTAATATGATCATCACCTGGTCCAGGTACAAAGACATCATTACCATGCGTGTCATTATAGAGGTGTTGAGGACCATGGTAAACTATGGTGTTTTCGTTATATGGATTATTCACCATATTCAATGCATCTTCTAGTGTAGGAACTGTAACTTGTTGACCATTTCTTATAGCAACAATATGTCCCCTTACTACTCTTATGCCATCTTCAACAACTTGAGGTTCTGAAAGAAACAAAATCATAAATTATGATATACTTTTAAAGACCACGAAAACTGATTACATACCATCTGTTTGTTGTTTTCCACTGCCTGGTCTTGTTTTYTTTCTTAAATAATCTTTCTGAAACTTTTGTGTTGCTTCTTGTTTTGCTTTGTGTCGTTCAGACAAAACAGCTTGTCTATTTCTCTCTTCTTCGTCGGCAAGCTCTTTCTTTCTATTTTCCAGTGCCCTTTAGAAATAAAGATATATTGGTTGGTATCTTTAGTACTTCAGTCCAATACCTGGGGTACATTCTGATCTTACAAACTGGAATTTTATACTGGTAACTTATACAGGACAACAATGATGATTGTCAGCCATTACTCAGCTGTCTTAGGTACAAACCTGATACACCATATTATCCTTACATGTATACAGAAGAATTTGTTCTGAAACATTGATCTACACAACTTTAAAATGCTGTACAACTGACTTACTTTCTTCTCCTGTTAGTTTCTTTTGATAGCTCTCTAACTCTATCTTTGATGTTCTGTCCCTCTTTCTTGGCTTGTTCTTTTAGTTTATGTACATGTTCATCTTGGGCTGCCTTATACTTATTGCTAGCACAAGTCAAGGATTATTAATTAGTTCTACGATTAACTAACTATACACTTGCGGATTTTTTGTATAAGTTAAAAGCAACTATTGATCCATCTTACATTTGCGATATATTGATTGTACAATTCTTCATTTTAGTAAGCAATAAATATTTTGGTTCGAGTCCTTAGTAGCACTACCCAGACATCAGACATCATGTAATAAATATTTCAAATATAATATTATTTACATATAAAGTCAGGTAATTAGTTCACAAATAGACTGAACTGGAAAAACTTAATTAGGGAAAAAAGGTTTTAGTGTTTTATGGTGTATATTTTATTTTTTATTGACTTCATTTGAGAAATGATCATAGATTCCATGTGTAACCATCTAAATCCAGACTTGACCTGTATAAGTTCAGTTATACTAAAAGCATTATATGATTCAAAATAGAAAATTGCTCACCAAGTCAAGTTTAATTTATCATACTATGATTATGTATCGGTATGAATTGTATACAATAAAATAGGCATACAGCTTTATCATAGTTATTAAATGTCATACCCAGAAGACAGAGGGAAAGATTTAAGCTTTAACTTATAATAAACGTTAGAGACATCATCACTTGACCTGATAATGATATATGACTTTTTCTAAGGCTTTTAAAACGAATAGCTAAGACAAGACACGACAGCTAAAAAGCCTAAATACTAGTTGATAACTTTAGTATAACTAAAATATTTGTTTTCAACTCAGTCATGATGATAAACATAAGATTTTACAGCAAAAGCTAAATGACTTTTACGACTCTGAACAAATTTCGTAAAGGATACGAGTAAGCCCCACTTATCATCCTGCATGGTTAACTGTGACGTGGTAGATTTATCCTAGTATCTACGGAATAGCTTGTTCTACGATAATTCATGTTTATCTAAGGGACAATTTAGATTTTTTCAAGGTTTTGACATCCAAACCTTCCTTGTTGTACTCAGCTTGGCAACAAATCGACATGTTTACCGACAGACACAGATGGATCATGGGATATGACTGCCGGGAAGACTGGGAACGAGCATCGCACGGGGCGCATTAATTCTCATTTGGCCCGACAATCCTTTCTCGGGTCTTTTCTTATTTTTTCTTGTCGTTGTTGACTTTTTGATAGTTCAATTATGCTAAATGTTCCTATTGGCGCGGTCTCCTTACAAGCTTGGATGAGATACTGTTGCTTTTCTAAAATGCCTTCTCCTCAGGACGTAAATTGCTCTCTAATTTACAAAAACAAATAATATAATGGTAGAAAAAGCAAAGAGGAAAAGATCAAAGTTGTTTGTGATCATTGTCTCTGCCTACCAAACAAAACAACTCAGTGAGCGGAACCATGTTAATGAGCGGAATTATCAATTATTCATATCTTTATAATAAGGATTTGCTACATTTCAAACCTCAAATTAACGCACCAATTACAGCGTGATGGGACGAGTCTCATTAAAAAGTAAGGATGGAATTGTCATAACGGGCTATCAAACAATACAATTTTTCATTGGGGTGAAATAGTCGTCATGACAACGGTATTCTCGTATATTTTGCATTTAGTAGCAGCAAAATAATGTTCGCAGAGGCCTGTTAAATCAAAGATTAGCCCTGTTAAAGGAAAGTATCAAGTTAATAGCAAAGCGTCCTGGTACTTACTGAATGTTCGAGATACATTTCACAGTCCCATTCTGAATTCTCATTTAAGGCGATGGAAAAAGAACAGATAATCAAAGAATCGAGTATTGCCGAGAAAAAAGGGACTAAATTCTCAACTAAGGAAAGATCTCACTCTCAGCGAGAACTAAAACTCAAGACACTGAAAGCCGACGCGGAGAGCTTGAAACAATCTCTTACAGCATACAAGACAGAGTACGCAAAAAACAGCAGTAACGACCCGCACTATCACGATGAATCTCTTAACGAACTTGTGTCTGCTAGTGGAGTAAAAATGGAACAAGAGGTTCTAGAACATGTGATCGAATTATTGAGACTAGGTGTTAACCCTGACAAGATATTACATTTATTTCAAGTTTTAACGAAACTGGAAAAAGAGGCTGAAATGGTTTCGATTATCTAAGTAAGTAAATGCTAAAAAAATGTTTTACGAGCCCTGTTGTTAACATAACCCTAACCTCATGATCTTTTTATGGAGGTGCATTAAGACATAATTACCATATAATAATAATTATTCACTATAACGCGCAATGTATCGTTGAATTTATATTTTCCAAAATTTTGGATTTCACCATTTTTGTTATTCAAAAATTGTTTTCCGTAGTCAAACAGTGAATCTAATCGCATCTACTAAAATAAACGCAAAACACTCCAAAACAAATACCGGTATTTACTTGTAAAATTTCCCATTTCACCTGCTACTCTTATAACTTGTCCTGCCAAGCAGGCTGTACTCAAAAGAAATACAGTCATTTTCATCCGTCTGTGAAACAATTACTACTAGTCAGTATTTAATAGTAACTATTAGGGTGTAGTAGGCTACCAAACGTCAAAATCAAAATGACTGTTTGCCTAATTGGTTTGTCGCATGTCATAAGTTGAACTATTGGGAGCTATTAGGGGTTAATAGTATTTAATAGTACATTCCTATTTCACAGACGGATGAAAATGACTCTACACATCTGGGAGAAATCTTCTCCCTTTCAATGAGCTGGAAGGGGTAAAGTCAACAAACTCGTGGAAGTTAATAAAGTTTTAATTTTTATTTTTACTTTTTTAGAGCGATATTACTAACAAAGATTTTGATATCAAATTTCGGTCAACAAGACGCACCTCAGTAAATTGTGAGGTGACGTTGTGAGTTACAATAGTCTCCTTCACGGTTACCTGCGCCATCTTGAAAGGTAGCCGTGCCTTTGCATCGAAGCGAGACAACCGTTGAGCGTGCAATGATAGAAACCTNAGGTTTCTATCATTGCACGCTCAACGGTTGTCTCGCTTCGATGCAAAGGCACGGCTACCTTTCAAGATGGCGAAGCTAACCGTGAAGGAGACTATTAGAGTGACTACAAAAATATCGAAGAAAAAACGGTTAAATAATATTAAGGGCATAATATTTCAGTGAAGCCTTCGTTTCACTGCGTCGGTCCAGCTTATAAAAACTAGTCACTATTATTAAAGTCTTGAATGACGTGACATTTGAGCGTTACGTTACACTGCTAAAGTTCATCGCGAGTTTCAGGTTGTTCGTTTTTCGTGTTCAAGTTCGGTTCTTGTTGGTCTTCGATCAAGTCTTCGAGTTCTGCGGCGTGATTTTCAAGTTTTTCGTTTAGCTGAAACAAACATTATAAATCCATCACCGACCAACTAACGCAACCAGCTGAATTTTACCAAGAGAACTAATAAACCACCCCAAAACCTACTAATCAACCTAGGGCTTACGGAATGACCAACTAACAAACCCACTAACCAACTAATCAACAAATGACCCTGCCTTCCAGCCAAGACGAACCACCCAAATACCAGCAAGAAACCACTAAGTGACCAGCTCACAAACACTCATCAACGACCTACTTACCGTCTTTGAATTTGAATCAAATTGTTTTACATCAGACTCATCGAAAAGTCCATCTTTATTCATATCAACATCACCAAACAACTACGAATTGAAAATAGCACATCATTACCATGATTACTAATTAACACTAATAACACAGGAACATCTTACTTGCTGAGCGACTCGGCTAAACTGATTATTCCACTCGTACTTGCCTCTACCCATAAGTACTTTATCCTGAGAAACAGAAAAGATACTATAACGCACATCATAAACAAAGCACACACTAGCAAACTTTCTTTCATTGAGGAATCCTGCTTAGAATGATATACTATACTCACATTCTTCATGTGGTTAATGAACATCTCTAGTGACATCTTGCTTTTATCTGCTGATTTCAAGAAGTTTGAAAAGTACTCTCTGCAAAATACAAAAATATGCTTCACTTTGATTATATAGATAACCATCATTCTTTATCATCATCATCATCATCATCATCATCATCATCATCATCATCATCATCATCATCATCATCATCATCATCATCATCATCATCATCATCATCATCATCTTACATGAGATCTTCTGGACCACGTTCCTCATTTTGTTGAGAGTATGAATCACCATTGGCAGATAAGGCTGAAAATTGAAATTTATCTAGAGTAGGAAAATCTTTGGTCTTGGTTTGACTACATTGACTTGGTACAAAATTAGAAACATGTTTCCACCATACATTTACAGCAATGTTACGATCATAAGACCGTACTTGATGAAACCTGCAGTATGTAAATGTACATATCAGTCAATATTGGATAATATACCATTTGGATATCATACGTGTATTTCCATCTTACCATTTATAAGGTATAAATAGGCAGTCTCCTGTTTCCATGGTAACATTGTAATAAGTAACATCTCGAAGGCCAGGATACTTAGTAAAGTCAACTCTAAAATCAATAAAACCATTACTATCATAAAGCGCTTTTGATCTTCTAAATGTTAAAGAGCGCTATATAAGTCAATAAATTATTATTATTATTAATTATTAATTATTGAAAAAGCAAAAAAGTGGAGTAATAATTTTACAACGATAAAATTATGAAAATCTGGTAACCATACTTATCTACGTCCACTCCTGAATATCCTCCTACACGGTGATCAATTTTCACCTACATAATGCAAACAAAATAAAATAGATGTGATGTATAATATGAAAGAAATGCAGGAAACTGCAGGAAATTGCTGGTACATCTATTTTTCTACAAATGAACAACTGAAAAAAGTTCAACCTGCACAGTGACTAGGTGCCAGTACCACTAGTTGTAAGCACAGGAAAGCCAAACCACAAACCTTTTTATTATATTTCTTGTAATCAATAAATAACAGCTCCTTTGTGCCACTGAATAAACAGTTGATATTATCGACATCATCGTTATGTAAAACAGACTTTGTACCACCACTACTAAACCACATGACCTGGTGAAGAAAAAATAATAATTAGGATCTTAACTCTACTTCATGTCCTTCATGGCCAAGAAAAAGAGACAGGGGTCTTATGTTTATGGTTTTCATGGGGATGGGAATCATAAAATACTAGTGGGAATCCCTGTTAAAAAATATAAGAGCAACTGGGATTCCTGTGATGAGAAAACAAAGGAAGCCCAATACTTACAGTATCGACCAACATATCCTCTGTAACATCATCACATAATAGTGGTGGTGGGAGAATTACATCTTTCCTGCACAAAGATTGTTATTGAAATTTAAACTAGTTGAGAACACATTATACATCCATGGTTATATACACATAGTTTTTTTAGCACATTTTATTTGAAAACTTGGAATGCCAAATATAAAAAAAAACATTAGCCACTATAACTTCTTGCTGAAGTCATGCTGTGATACACGGAACTAGTTGTTCCATGATGTATGAATAATATATATATCTGAATACATGAATATTCAAATAATATATCAACCAATCACACACCAACACAACCATCAAAGACAGATTTTACAACAGACATAAAAATACTCTAAAGATCATTTAATTTCTTCGAATTTAAAAAAATAACTAAAACTTAACTTGAGTAGTGCAGAATAAATTGTGAAAATGAAAAGGAGTTCCATAATAAAAGCTTACTGCACACTATGCATACTATTTCATAACCTGTATAAATATTCTAGAGAACTTTATCAAAATAAACAAAATAATCTCACTTACTGCAGGAAGGGTATTACACCGTTCACCATGTAGATGTCTTTTTCTTTATAAGTTCTTACAAAGTCATAGAAACTTACATCTTGGCCAGGATTTGTACGATTTTCTTTTTTTCCTTGTTCGGCAAAAATCGTTGCTGATTTTGATTCAGGTTTGGACATAAAATATTCGTCTGTCCATTTACCAAACGCTGGCGAAAGCTTGGCTCCTCCTTTTATAAAAAGTGGTTTGATTGGACTAACATATTTGCTGAAAAACTCTTGTGGAGAAGGCCAATGGTCAACAGTTTCTAACGATATTTTTGGCTGTTTGGAACCTAGTGGTTCCATGTGTCCTGGCCAAGTTGTTGGATCATCATCGGCTGAACTTGTGTTCAAAAATGCATGAAAAAGTATAAAAACTGTCACAACATTATAGAGAAATCCTGCTGCAGCCATTATAGCTAAGGCGGATGGCGCTGAAGCATTGAATTATGTTTAAAACATGATTATTCCGTAAAAGTTCAATCTACGTGTACGACTGTCAACAAGAGGCCACTTTACATTGATTAGCATGTGCATTAGAGGGTGGTCACCAAGGGTTACACTTTTAAAAGGACCGCCTACACGGAAATAATTTCACTTTTTTTATCTGCCTAAAAAAAGAAAACAAGACAAAGGAAACAAAGCAAGCGTCGCTATCTAATCTCATTTGATCAGGTACAATGGCAATCATAATTGTAATATTTTTTTGTAGTATAGCAATTTAACATCTTCGGGCTTTTCTTTTGTTTTGCTTAATAGAGATTTCCCATTTCTTTTCATTTTTCTTTTCCCATTTCATTGAATGTAGTAAGCTCCCCTCTGGGTTCATGACTTACTAGGCTTACTACTTTTCTCTCTTAGCCTCAGGCCTATCAGATTTAGAATTTTCCCAATGAAAAGAAAAGAAAACAATGGAGAACTTAGTGATTTATTTTTCTTTCTTCTTCATTTGATAAACCAAAAAGATTAAGAAATATATACACAGAAACAAGTAATAAAAAGTAGGACATTAAAGTATATTACACATGTTCATGAGGTACCACAAAATGAATTTTAACAATATTGAAGCTAGCTAAAATGTCTTGCTAAAGTTTCTCCACTTGTCCTTCAAGTCCACACTAGTACGAAATCTAAAACTATACATTCTTAAAATTTTAGCCCAATTTCCCTCTCCATATATGTCGACGCCTTTGCATAACCATGATAACTCTTCCTCTGTCCAAGGGTTTTTCTTGCGGCGTTTTGGAGGTTTTGGTAAAGAAATATTTAAGCATCTTTTAGGGGATGGTAAACCTGGAAAAGAAAGTAATAAATTATGCTAATAGCCATTACAACAAAAGAATTAAAGAGTAAAATTCTAAAATAATGTGTTGCAGTGAAAAATCAGCTTAAATATCAAGAGTCACTTAAATTGAAGTTCTTGCTATGGTGATACCATGAACATGTCATGATCTTGTAAGATTATGGCAAGATCATTCAAAATAAAGGTAAATGTATGAATGATATCTTGCCATGAAATGGTGAGATCTTGCCATGAAACTAGCAGGATCTTGACATGATCTTGTCACAAGATCCTGTAAGAAGCTGCAAGAAATACAAAGAACTTGCATGTTTTTTAGCAAGATCAAGGTATGATCATGGTAAGATCATGCATGATCTTCCATGAATTTTGATGGGATGTTCAACCTGGGATTATCTTACCAGCCGTGATTGATGGAATGTTATCTTCATCTGAATCTGACCATGTAATGCTTTCTGCATCATCTTGATGTTGATTCCATCTTTTCTTGTTAAATGGACTTCTTTTGCTATCATTAAATAAGTTATAATATTTTTCAATATTGTTTTCTCTAATAACTAAAATCACAATCCATCCAATTATATTCTCAGTGGAGAAGCTAGGGATAGTACTTTATGTTTGCTGTATGGGTATATTTACTGTGTGAAAATTATGGTACAATATTGTTATTGCAAGGACAAAGTAGCACCTTTCTGCTGGCACAAATACATGATTCAAACATTAAAAAATCAGCAAAAGCTACATGACTAATAATCAGCATACAATTCTTAGGTATTGTCTGGTGTAGGTATAATGCTATTAATTACATTGTTTATATTACATACCTGGAAAGTTTCATTCTGGACTGAACATGATCACTAAATAAACAACATTTCAGAGTAATTATCACAAATAGAATAAGAAATTGGATTTTTTTCAGCATATAAGTTCAAGAGGCCAATAGTCTACAAAATCTGCATTTGTCTGTCTCTAATTCCTTATGTCCCAAAGAAATACTAACTTTGGAAATAATCTCTTATAGAAGCAGCAGGGTTTTGTTTTGCTCAAAAGTCCCAGTAGTAAAATTATAAAGTAGAACCAAGATAGCTGCCAATTAAAATAAAATGAAATACAACATACTTTAGATCTTTTGATGATGTTTTCAGCTTGGAAAGCACTTGCTTAGTCTTTTCTTCTATGTTTTTATCTTGTTTAGTCCTTTCTTCTGTGTTTTCATCTGATTCATTGTCATCCGTTGAAGTATTCCTTTCAGAATCAGTGTTCTTCTGTAAAATATTTATCCCCATTAAAATATCATAGATAATGATTATTAATCATATATCTATAATCACCTGATTTGATGTCGAGGATGAGTCTTTTGTCTTTCTAGTATTAGGTGTGTTATTTTGTTTTGGTTCTTTTGTTTTTAATGGGAACTTCCTCTTTTTAAATGCTTTGATATCTGGGTGATTCTCGTTGATAATACTATCCCAGGAAGATTCACTTTCTTCAACACTGGTACACATGACATGGTCATGGTAGATTTTGAGAATAGAATGAGAGGTCCTATTATACAAACCATGATTAAAACACATGAACAATAAATAATTACAACTAGAACAAATTAGTGGTAAAGGATAGTTGCCATACCTGTCATTACATTCTGAATTCATGGATTCTTCAAACTATAGACACAATCAACATTTAGGTCATTTCATCTTAATCAAAAGTACATGTAAATTTTTTAATTTTTTTTTTACCTTTTCAAGAAAGGGAGATTCATACTTTTCCAATGCTGGTTTGAGAAAACTGATCACTTCTCTCAAGAACTTGTTATAAGGATACTTCTCTAGAATTTGTTTTTGTAAGTTTTCATTTTCAGAATTTAGCAGTTCTCGTAGCTCTTCTTGATACTCCTAAATCAAACAAAGCCTGGGGTTGGTCAAGTTGTTATCAAAAATATACAAGAAATTGTGAATGATCCTTTGCCATAATTTTCTAACCTCTTCTTGACTTGATTTTTCATCATAGAAACTGTTGAACAGTTCTTGAGCTTTCTTCATCTTGCCATTAGTGAAGGTTGTTAGAATTATCTATGAAAAATATAAAATTTCAGTTTTAAGCCTGATTTTTACTAGCATTGCAAAAGCAAGCACAGAAGCGAGCACAAATGCAAGAGGCTATATTTCATTGTGGAAACTTCCCACAAGATATCAAAATGCTTCATTTTTTCTTGTCTTTCCGTTTGTACAGGTGTTTGATTTTGATAGGGAAAACACTTGTACTTGCAATTACTTCTGCACTTGCACCGATATTGAAAACCAGGCTTTACAATCCAGCTTTGGATGCCTGTGGTTGCTATAAAGTATATAATTAAGTTATAGGCATACAATAATAAGACCATTTTCTGTAATAATACTAAAACAACAATTGTTTGATCCAATGTACCTGCAACTTAACAATGCACTGGAAATGCTGCTGTTCAGCCAAGGCAAAGGGATATAATCGACATATACCCTGGGCATGTGCAAGACAGGACGTGTGTAGAGAAGAAACCTCAATATGTCCGTCATCGTGCATGATCTTTGACTCTGATAGACCACATATAAATCTTGTACAGTGCAGTTTCTTTTGCAATTCCTCTGAGCATTCAAGATTCTGGTTCCTGATAAACAGATCTAGGGTTGTGTTAAAAGAAATAGCTTAATTTTTTATCTCACATGTTACAAGTATCGTTAAGTTTACTTTTAGCGCAAAAATCCACTTACCACGAAGAATCAGAAGAAATTCATTTGACATCTTGGAGCCTCTTTTAAACTCTTTCCATAGCTTGTGAGAGCTGAAGTCCAAAATCAATTCTTTCTTTAGTTTTTCAAGTTCCTCAAGATGTCGCTCTTGTTTATCAACATTGCCCGCCATCTTAAAATTTGAAAACGAAAACGACGTCCCATGGGACATTATATCGAGGGGCGATATGAAAAGACACAGGCTACCCAAAGTAGTTGCTATAACAAAGGGAACCGCGCTACATCTTTTATCTATTAACGTTAAATTAGGAGTTCAAACATTTATATTATTCGCATTCCGAGAAGAACATTAGCCCTTCAAACGCCCCTTTATTTGGTGTAATTTCCAAAATTTGCATGGCCTTACACACAGGCAGCCCAAGCAAAGTGGTGACTTTTTATACCCCGAGTTTGGTAAACATATCCTTTCTCATAATCCAGACTCTGGAAATCATTCATTTCAAGAATAACAATTATGAACAATACCTTATTCAAATCTATATTTATTCAATAATTTTAATATACATCAATCTTGTGATCTCAGGTTTTTTGTACATAATTTACAATTAACAGTGTTTTTTAGTCTTACTGTTGACTTATAGTTAGATAAGTGATATTAAACAGTTCCATCTGGTGCCCAGAATAAAACATGATCAGAATTGCTTTACTCAGGTACAGATATGACAAATGGAAGCAGATCTGAGTCGTAAAAATTTACATTGATTCATGATTTCTGACAATATTGCCCATTCTTCAAACACGACAATGAGTGATTCAAATTTACTTATTCTCCTTGTCCAAGATGTTTTAAAAGATTATGAAATGCTTTTCTTAATTGATTATCTGTCCCGACACCACGTGATGTCTCGCTTTGCATCATGGACTGTTTAAAGTCTGGAATAAGACCAGTAATGAGTGGTGGGTCTAGCACAGTAAGGGGTTTGAGTGTAGCGAACACCTGCCCCTGTAACAGACCATATGATTGATATAAGACAAAGAAAGAAAAAAAAATATAATATATACAAACAAACCTGACATTTCTGTAAATTATTTGCTACAAATGTCTTTAAAAGAGGTGATAAAATGGACCTGCAAAAATAAAAAAACGTGAGACACAGTCTTGGAGAAATGTGAAGAATGCTTTGAAACTGATCACACATAATTCAATAAAACACAATTTTTATTAATATTAGGAACATACTTATAGTTTTCATCTTGTTTGGAGCTGTCAATCATCATCCTTAAAATGTCTGTTGCTACAAGAATAAATATTAGCTACATTATCAATTTCTCCTATAATGATCAATCACTCTTATCATAATACCTTGACGTCTGATGTTTGGTGGTTCGTTTCCTGGTTGGCTGGTCTCGCAAGCCAACAAACAGCCAAGAATTGGAACCAGGAGTGCCTCAGTATTTCTACAACAAACCAAACAACCTTTATTTCAACACATATTCTTGAATCAGTATTTTCATTTGCCAAACTCTACCAGGTGATGTTCCATGACCATGTTGTGATCTGCACAGTTGCACATTTATCTGCTCTAACTGACATCATAATCACTGTCATCACCATCATAATGATAATACTAATTGTTATCAACATTGTTCATTCATACCTGGCTATTTGTTGTAGAGACTGTGTTCTTTTGAAGAGGTCGACCATGAAGTGAAGTGTCTGTAACAAGAGACAAGAAGTGAAAACAGGTCAAAATAGTAAGTTAAGAATTTCGTCGTACACAGGCATATTATTATTAATACTTGTTGATTCTTCTGTGCAAAATTGATTTATTTTTTAACTGAGCTTTCGGCTTAAGCAGCCATTTTCAAGGTTGTAATCAACAAGTATTAATAATGTATAATCTTACCACATTCAGTTTCTGAGGTGGCTGTGGCAGCTGAAAAAACTCTTCTGAGATATAACTAATGCAGAACTGTCTGAAATCACTAAAAATATTACAAAAACCAGTTCTACTTAGCTTCATGATACATAGCAGGAAGGGCAAAGGTTAGTTGGCAATAAACAATATCAGTCAGAATTATAATACCCCAATCTCTCATAGAGCCACCTCTTTTGTAATTGCTAAAACATATATTTCATAATGTATTTATACCTTGATTCCTTGGTAGGCTCCTTTTCTAAGGAATCTTTTAAGACAGCCTGCAGAAGAGTTCTTGATTTAATTCATATTTTTAGCACAATCAAGGTCATGAAGTACTTACCATGAAAGGGTTGTTAACAGTTGCTGGAGGACTGGTAGTCATCAAACTCTTCTACAGAAATCACAAATAAGACTGAACAATACTGTCTTATACAGCGAACATTGGCACTTATAATAAATTATCAAAATGATGTTCACTACTGTCAGGACAACATGCTATGGCACTTACATGAAAGTAATTATCCAATATTTTGCGGATTTTCCTTTTTATAAACTCGTCTTTCCTAAAGTCGAGTTGTGATAGACCTTGCAAAAACTGAAAAGGAAAATATGATTAAGTTAGAGCAGAAATTATTTTATTTATTTATCACTAAATTAACAATTGTCTAAATATCTCTGTATATTAATTCATCACGACTGGAACATTACCATATGCAAGTATCGACTGGCATGTTGCTGGACAACAGGAAGGACTTTGTTGGTATGCAATGGTAGGATTAGTTGATCAAGTAGTTTTGGCAGCAGGCACAGTTGTATAGACTGAAATACAGTACACAAATATAAGTGGTTTTTTATAGTCCGTTTAATTCATTAAAGCAAGCTGTCGTACCTTACTGTAAATGATCTTGTAGCAGTATTTAAACATTGAACCACACAAAGAGAAAGCCAGTCTGTAAAATGAACCAGAAATGACGAAGTAGAACAACTATCTAACAACAAGATGAACAACCTGAACAACAATGCTACAATATTGAACAACAAATCACATTATTAAAAACATTTCTACCAATCAGAGACAATAAGTATCATCTTGAAAAGGACTATCTACTTACTTAGATGACATGGATTACCTGAGAGAGTCTTGTGGTTTTCCAGTGTTGATAAATACTTCAATGTACTTCTCAACATTACCAAAGTACAGCTGAGCTCGAGTACGAAACTGAATGATTTGTTCAAATGTTGTCTGCAAGAAAATGGCAACTGAGCAAGAAAGAAATGTATATCTCTTTTGAATGATTATGGCATTTCTATCACTATTTTTACAATGTATCATGTTGCCATAGTGATCACTCATTGAATGCATACCAGTGATTGGTAATGACTGGCTAGTGCCATAATAAACTGCTTCAGAGTAGTTTCACTATTTTCACTCAAACCAAACCCTTCCTGGAAAAGAAACACGATTGTTTTAGTTCATGGTGTGACTGACATAAAATGTTGAACAGGAAACATAATACTAATTACCTAATTACCTGATTTTTGATTAATGATGCCATTTCAGGAAGTTGAGCAACAGCCCTGGAAGTAATACAGATAATATGTTACACAAGATTTTATTCTTCAACCTCAGTATCTTAACCTAACCTTGACAGTGTAAAGCAGCTCTCTTCATTTGTAGGCAATTGCAATAAACATCGAAACCAAGCATGAATCACTTGACTTTGTAATGATTCAGCTTCAATGACCATCTCAGCATCACGAGCTGTTATTACATGGCCCAGAAATCTGCAGACAAAACTAAAACAAAAACAAATGTATAGCCTGTGTACATCCATTTCTTAGAAATCTCCCCGAATTTTCCCCGTAGAGGGGGAAGGGGTGGGAAACAGATGTACACAGGCTACAAATGTAAAGCAAATTACATTTTTCAGATAAAGGCAACAACCTGGCAATATATCAATGAAACAAAAACTTTACCTTGCTGGAAGTTCATCTTTGATGCCATAGTCTGACATTAAATTCTTGAAAGAAACACTTCTGTTCACAGTATCAGGGTACCTAAACATGTTCATACAGTTCATGAAAAAGCTATGGTCATACAGATGGCCATACAGGCAGTATCAGGGTACCTAAACAGGTTTATACAGTTCATGAAAAAGCTATGGTCATACAGGCAGTATCAGGGTATCTAAACAGGTTCATACAGTTCATGAAAAAGCTATGGTCATACAGGCAGTATCAGGGTATCTAAACAGGTTCATACAGTTCATGAAAAAGCTATGGTCATACAGGCAGTGTTGAGGCAGTGTTTGGTACATAAATAAAAGTAACTTGAGGATTGAGATACCTCTCTAAAGCGAGTAGGGTGAACCCAGCCATTGTATCTGCCAGGATCGTAGAGAGCGGCATCATAATGGTGCGATCGCGTGACAACAGTTTTTGTAAGTACGGGAACATGTTTGACCACAAATATCCAGACATTTCTGCAAGCAAGAATATAAAGTAATTTTTTACAAAAGAATCAAAATCAATTGTATACTAATGATTTTATATTTCAACCTTGTTTACTGCTGACAGCTGTGTTGTCTTGTAATGGCCTGAAAATCAATCAAAGTTTGAACATCACAACAAATTTCACCTAACAGTCTGTCAAGGGTACCAGCCATTACCAAAATATTTCTGAAATTATCCTTCATGTGTTATTTCATGTTGTCACATAATTCTGATTGCCTTCATGACTGACTTTCCTTACCGTACTAATGCTAAGACAGACTGAACGAACATCAAAAGATGTTGGAGTTCATTGCCACGACAACCCTCAAAAAGATATTTAAATCCTGGACTCTCTGGAAAATACAACAAGAAAGACTATGGTTGTAATTGTTATTAGACCCAACAGTGCAAATCAATACATCCCTTGTTTAACAATGATCTCTTCATTGACTAGAGAGTTTTATTATAAACCTGTGCAACAATAGTAATTAACATACAATGTCATACCAATCAGTTTAAACTCAGACAAATCATGCTTATTCTTGTGTTCAAGTATTTCCTGTGTGCCGTCCAGGTACACCATTACCAGGTCCCATAGTTGTCGTTTGTCTCTCACTTGTTTTTCAGGAGAGAATTCCTTACAAACCAACCAAAACATGGTTGACATCTTGTTGGACAAATATGCAAAGTCCATGTTTCTTTCTTTGTAGATTAACATCAAAGTAAACAAACCTGATAAAAATATCATCATCATCAAATTCTCCATCATTGTCATTATCAATAGTATTTGATTCAATTCCAAATTTATTGTCTGGTTTGGGAGTCCAACTCAAACCTGTAGACATAAGCCCAACTCTAACTAAACCACTACTAGACATCACATCTCTCAATATATCATCAGATCCAGGCGTTGTCCATAACGGCAAGGACTCTAATATTTAACTTTTCCTTACATTTTCAATGGATTTATTGAAAAAATTAGTATGAATTCTTTATGCTGGCCATCTTGTCCAACAATTGACATACCTTTAACAATGAGAACCTTTTTACCAGGAGATTCACTGGAGAAGTCCAGTAAATCCAGAAAATGACACATTTTAGTTGCCTGGCATGAAAACAAGCAAAGAATAGGTTTGAAAAAGACAATGATAACAAAAAATAAACTTACAGAGCAAAACTAAGAATAAAATAAACTTACAACAAATCAGAGGTAAGATCACACTTACCACATCTTCCAGATCAGCGGCAATATAAGACAATGTAAGAAATAAATTAAGAAAATGTCTTGTACCAGTCTCACTCAACTCCTCCATGCGCTTTTTTGTGAACTTGGAATAAAACCTAGAATACAATGGATACGTTATATAATCTGTGTGACACCTCAGTTCAATGCTTTGTTGATGGTCACTGAGCCTGTAGTATCATGTAAGATTTCCCATAATGCAACAGTAAAGCACATGTTATACCTGCCCTTCATCTGTTTCCAGCCTTGCTGTGACCCTGACAGCTGTATTTTGTTGAGATGAACAGCAATAATTCTTAGCAGCAAAGAAAAGCTGTTTTCCTGATCAAGGCTGGAAAAAAATATCTGTTTTTTACTTTTGTTGTAATAAAATTAATGTCATATGTTTTATCATTGATATTTTAGAAGATAACCTTGACAAGTGATCTTGACATCTACCAGCACACTGCTCCATCCACTGGGTGACTGTTAAACTGTACAATGCAAATGATTAAAATATATTGTAGTACAGACAGACAGATAGTTACAGGCAATTCAACTAAAAATATACAAGAAAAATAGATAAAAAATGAGACTAACTTGACAGTGGTCATTCCATGGAGGGTATGACTTGGAATATTAAACAATTCATTCTGAAAAGAAAATTCACAAATAAACTGAAAATCATATATAGTAAATCAAACAATGAATTCCTTGTTTTTGCACTCTCTTTACTGGTACTTTACTGACGGAAGTAGCTAAGACGCAACAGTTTATGTTCATATTAAGCAGGCATTCAACATTTATAAATGTTGATGGATCTTGAAATGTTAGCATAACATAGCATGATGGACTTGCTGTGTTAATGGGAAGTCATGTGACTTACCAAGCGTTTATGGAAATACTCCCATAACCAAACTACAATTCCAGTATTAGCTGACCAATGACAGGACACAGCAAGACAACATCTTAGATAGAATCGACGATGGTACTCTTCTTGGCCACTCTAATGACATATCAGAATGATGGTGTTGATAATGATGATTAAAACATCATGTTAATGATAACTTTGCGCTTACTTTTAAACTTGAAAGTGAAGATTTCAGAAGCTCTGTTATGAACACCCAATTTCCTGGTTTTGATCCCTGGATTTGATCAAAAACAAATACAATCAATAAAACAAACAGAATGGACAAAAGTTGTAGAAAAGCAAAAAAATAGCAAAGTTACAAACCTTTCTCCTGACTGCATAAACATGGCCGTCATTAAACCAGTATAATGGCGCAACCTTTGCAACCAGCCACCAACAGAAATGATCAGGATCGTTACAAGTAAAGTCAGACTGAACTATAAAAACACTAAAACACCTTAGTTCCCAGTGTTCCTTGACACCTCGGTTTAATAATTTGTTTGTGGTCAACGAGCCTGAGTATGGAAAGTCGTGAATTACAATGAAAGAGATGAAAATAGTAGCAGTACAGATTATGGTGATGATGATAATAATGAAAGCAGTGATATTAATAATATTTCTTACCATCAGAAATTTCTTCTTCATTGGTATTTTGTGATGAGTTATCTCCTGGACTGAGAACTTGTTGTAGAATACTGGACAACAATGACCAGAATGGCTGTAAAACAAACATTTATCATTATGGCACAGGATAATGAAATAACAATAAGAATTAAAATTCAAACTAACATCAAGATTGTATTGTCCTGACAGCTGGTCTAGAGTGTGAATAAGTGATACCCACACTTCACAAACACATGAACAAAGAAAAGGTGAGGTTTTGTGAAGATCTGATCTGGGTACCTGAAAGAAAAATTTTGACAATAAGTAAAAAGGGTATAAATTTGATGAAGAAAGAACGGGAAAATAAGAAAAGAAGAAAGAGGAAAGAAGAATAGATGGGAAGTGAAAAAAGGGAGAAAGCAAAAAAGGAAGAGGGCAAAAAGGAACTCAAAAGTGAGAAGGATGGAAGAAAAGAGGTAAGAAATGAGCAAAGAAGGAAATATAGAAAAGAAAGAGAAGAAAGAAAACTTAAAAGTACTGACCATGTTGAACGATGTGGCTGCTAGGGCAGTTAGGTCCCATAGTAAAGCCATTGCAATGTTTTTGATTGACAGAATGATGTCATCAATCTCTTGTAAATTGTTACAGCTTTCTTTATCTATGATGAAATAGTTTTATTAGCAATATGAACATAATCAACTGCCCAGTATTTGATTTTATCATTGCAACAAATTCTCAAATTGATAACAGAATATTTGTTTGTAAAATGAATTGTGGCCATATGTAGAGGAAGTGAGCCAAATAATTGAAATATCAATGTGAATAACAAAATCCAGTTGCTTGTACTACCTCCAGGGATTGATTATAACTAGTGTTGGATACATTAGGTCAATGGCAAAAAAACATTTATTACTCGTTATTCTCTCATCAATTAAAAACCACCATTCACGACAATACACAAATCCATTATCCATTTAAGGGCAACGTTTCGATCGCTAGCCGTACCGTAAATACGTACGACATCAACACAAGAAACGTTTTTAGCCCGAGCTACGTATTTATGTACGATCGTCACGTAAAAACAATGTTTCGGACTTTTATTGAAAACGTACGTCTAGCGATTGGCAGTATTTGAACTGATATTCGTTCTTGTCAAAATGCAACAATTGGACACAGGGTTACCATTCACAATTACACAGTTACTGCGGCGTTATTTATCAATAAGTTAGAAAATTAACGTTTCTTGCGGTTTCATTACGTAGCGATGTTTCAACCGCGTAGGAAACCATATCGACATCATGTCTGGTCCAGCGGCTACAGCATACTAACATTACTTCTGTTTTCTAATGCCAAGGGCGTTGCTAGATACATATGGCATGTTAAACTAAATCATATGTCTTTAAAACAGCGAGGGAGATCATTAAATATCGGCCAGCAATACCATTGACGGTTATAATGATCAATACAGCCTGTGCTCAACGATTATAATGGATTTTAAATACTTCAAGTGGTAATGTATTTCACATTTGTTACGGGCGATAACTACGGTGTAGATACAATAATCGCCCTCCATGAAGCACAAAAACGATTACTCGATCAACAATTCCATTAAACGAGATTCTTAGATCCATTTTTCGTCGATGAATTAATACTGAAAATGAATGGATGAATGAGCAATTTAAAGTGCACTGGAACGAGTAACTGACTGAACAAAACTGAATCTATAAACGAACGAAAACTATTACTTGTAGAATTGGAAGTAAATCTGGTTATCATTAACCCAAGTGTCAATGGAATTCGATAAAACGTTCTAGAACATGACATCCAGGTATTCTATTCTATGAATAATCAAGCATTTGATAGTGAAATATTCCAGAACAGTCACTGACAACGGAACATGCGATCATCCAACACGGTTTGCACATGAACAGGACGGTATGCAAACAGCAATTCATTTACAGAACTAGTGTATGTTTTTTACTCAATTTGCATGTTCCCTTTTTACGGCTTTCAATAACTTTCTTGAGGGTGGGGCAGCACGTGTTTTTTGCAAGCATAAGCTAACGCGAACTTTCAGTCAATTAGCCCTCCCCCCTTAGTTATATTCCTTGTATTTTGTACATCGCATGGCATTTTGAAAGTGTTGCCAATATTGAGGTTCCACATCTGGTGCGCACTTCAAGGTTATTGTGAAGTACGATAATCGATAACACATCGACACTGCTCATCGTTTGATAATTCAACAATCTGCTGCTCTATTTGAGATTATTGAATTAATCTGATCCATTCACAGAACACAAGGTACAGAGATTCATTGCACTAACGCAGTATGACAAAAACGCACCAATTAACTGAAACAGCATGCTAGAGGAACAATGTTTCAATGTTCTGAATTCAAAAAGAATTACTGCAATTGTGCTTTATGAATATTTGCGATTATTTTGTATTGATATAACGGCTTATCATTCGAGAATTGTTGATCAAAGTCGATAAACATTTGAGATTGATGAAATATCCGATTAACAGTGATTGAGAACACCTTTAAAGAAAATTTACGGATCAAACGTTCCATCACTACTCGAGAATTGTTGATCAAACGTTCATTGCCATTTGAGAATTGTTGATCAAACATCGGATTATCATTGAAGATCTGTTTTATTGCCAAACACGCTTCAGGCTAAACATATGTAGTATGCAATGCACGTATCAGGACCAACCACTACATCCGTTGATGATAATTAGGGTTATCACCTCAAGTCCTTAAATCACTGCTTGTTTTCCGGTCCGATAAGTATAAATTACACGTCAGGGTGAATACTGGGTGTTACTGCACGACAGTCAGGTCTATATTGAGTATTATAACCTCTTTACGGAAGGAATTGTACTTCAAGTCATTGTAGATAAGGTAGGATTTGAATGAATTCAGCTTTGATGTCATAGTCTATGTGTAGGTCTGTAGTTAAGGCACATGACGCAGCACCAAGCAATGTTCATGGATCTGAAGGGATTAGAATTTGCTCTTAAAAGGGTCGCGAAATCAACGACTGTTTTACTAATAACGTTGATTGTATACGACAGATCAATAATTCCATTACCGGGGCGTTTCTCGAATAGACCACAATTTAGAATTGATAATCTAAAGCCTTCTAGAACATATAATCATTCAATCAAAGCGCGCGCAATCACTGATGATTTAGAGCATAGTTAACTATGCTTAGAAGGCCCATTGTTATGTTACTAGCTGAATTAGTTACTTCGTATTATTCCGTTGTTTATACATATTGGTTAAAGCTGTAATTTAGTATTTGCCACTAACACACACTACACACCCCCCTTCAGAGCACAATTAGCGCACAGCACTACAAATGCTTTATCTAACGTTCTTTTATTTTAAGGTAATCATGATGGTCAGCGGTCTCAGCACCATAGTCATCACAACATTTCTCAAAGTCTGTACTGACGTCACAAGCCGACGCCCTGTGACCATCTACAGGCCGCAATGCCCCCCTGGGTACTGCTCCCTAGGAGACTATGCTCAAGAAACGCATTCCCATGCACCAAACTATGGCGTCACACTATGCTTTCGTGCCAATAACAACAGCACCTTGCTTGCAAGGCCTCGTGGGTTCACCCAAATATGGAGTGCTGAGCATGATGGGTATGATGATGCAATGAGTGGAAGTGGTTCAGGGTCTGGGTCAGGATCCTCTGAATCGTATGAGTCACAAAAAATAGTTTCATTTTGGCGAGCTATTCCTCCATCTGATGAGTATGTCTCAATTGGGGATATGGTTACCACAAACTATGAACAACCCTCCACAAAGATGACATGTGTTGTACATAAGTCCTTGGTTACTACAGCAAACAGTGGCCGGAGGGTCTGGCGGGAGCATTCAGGAGCAGCCAGTATCTGGATGACGGGCCGTAGCGATGAATACCTGGACCTTAGAACATTTAGGACCAACGATAACAAAGATGACCCTGGAAACTTTAGGGCTCTTATTTTAGAAGTACTCCCACCACCACATGATGGCACTTTTATTAAAAGAACCATAAGAGGAAATGACCTTAAATTGCTGTATAAGTACCAAAATGGAGAGGCCTATGAGAGTGTTAACATTTATGTGCCTCAGCCACCTCCAGGATTTGTGCCCTTGGGATTCTATGCACAAAAAGGACACAAAAGAAATCAAGATGCACAAGTTACTGTTGTCAAGGTGATGACTACCTATGGATCACGACTAATGCTCACTCCTGCTGGATATCGCAAGGTTATGGAATATAACGACCATCATAATAACAGCATATTAACATACTGGAGACCGATTTCTGCCCCTGGGTACTACTGCATGGGAGACATTGTCACTATCAATCAACACAATGTGCCATCATCAGATACAATAGCATGTCTGCATTGGAGTCTTGTTATGTCCAGTCAACGAGGGTCAAGGATTTGGTGGAGTAAAAATCACCCTTACAAACACACCCATACCAAGAATGATTTTACCCTGTGGGGGGTAGGGGGTAGGGAGTTCTGTGAATCACCAAATACATTTATTGCACATCCTGGCTTTGTAACCCCACCTTCCGAGAGGCTGTTATTCCACTGCCTTCCTAACCAAGGCATTGAAATCTAGTACCCAGTCTACACACAGGTAGCCCATAACATCAGTAATATACTACATCTAGTACCCAGGTTACCAGCAACTGAACATCATGCAGGTAGCCCAAGGATATTGAAATATAAAACAAATCTAGTTACAAAGATACTTGACAATACAATTATAATCTAAATCGTTACAACACAAGACTTGTATGTTCTAACATGTGTTAATATTACCAGTATATTCCCTTTGATTCCATAACAGTGGTTTCATATGACAACAATTCAATATACATATAGTACGAAAAATTAACATTGTCAGTATTCCTTTTGATTTAATTGCTGAATAAATCTAACATAAACAGCAAAAGCGACTATTTATTGGACTCAAGGGTCTGTTTTCCAGAAAAATATCAAGGAGATTGCATGTCTGATAAGAATTCTTACCTTGTTTGTTAAGAATTTCCCATAATGCTTGAATGACGTTGCATACCATATCAAGATAAACATGAAACATGTGGAATGTTGCAGACGGCCGGTCAGCTGACAATCTCATGTCAGTCCTTATAAGGGAAGTGATTGACAATTCCGTGAGTCTTCCAAGGAATTGTACAATTCCTCCAAGTTCTTGCCTGAGAATTGCAGGCATATGAAGAACACTTTTAATAAATTGACCGTCAGGTAGATTACCAACGTCACAGTGACTCATACAATATCTGAAAAGGGATATCATATATTATTTTTGGATTGAAGTTGTTTTGCTAATAATTGATAAGTGCCTATCATTATTAGAAAGAATTATGAAAACAAAGAGATTAGAACAATGAGAGAAAGAAAAAAACAGAAGGAAAGAAAACAGGAAAGGCAAAAGAGATTCCAAAGGGTATAAGTGATGAAGAAAGAAAATAAAATAGAAGGGATGACTGCAAGGAAGGGAATAATAGGATGACAAAAAAGTCAGAAAATACGAAAGGGAAAGGATAATTAAAGAATGAAGAAAGAGGGATGGAATGAAGCAGAATAGATTAGACTGATTGGAATATAGAAATTCAAATTCATCTACAGACCTGTTGATATAGTTGTGTACGTAGGCCATAAAATGTGCACATTCTTTTCTTATTTTTATACATTTTGAATTCATTTCAGCTGCAAAAGAAGACAAAAAATAATCACTCATTGTAAACACAATAAACTATTATTATTATTAGTTATCAATGTCATTATTTTAAATTTACTGCATGTGAAATCAATGTATAACTCTTTCATGGTACAAGGAGTTCATGATTGACAGTATTCAATAACTTATTGTCAAGACTACCAAAACACGTCCTCTTTTTTGTCTTTTTTTGGACAATATTATTGATTATTTAGTTAAATGATATTTTACTCACAAGATAAGGGTAACATCCCTTCCTCACTTTGCATATTCATTAATTTAAAAATCTGTTGTCTGCAATCAAGAATAAACAAGGATGTCAAAGGTTCTGAGCAAACATGATATTAAAGAAAAGGAAAAATTAAAATCTGGTTAAGACCACATAAACTAACCTTAATAAATAAAACAATGTGTCTGTTTTACAGGCAAGTGCTGAGCCAGCAGCAAACTTTGAACCAAAAAGTTGAATGATGGGTTCGTTAGATGATTCAGCCATCCTACAGATAGATTTGATACATTCATTCAAAATAAATATGTTAATGAATGTCAGTAGATTGATAAAATAGTTATTGTACCTTTGTACACTGTTTATTTGACCTAATATGATATATCCCTGTGATTCATGCAAATGCAACTCAGTCTAGGTGACAAGACAATTAATTTTAACTTCCTAGACAGCAAGACTTTGTTTTGTATCCTAGATGAGGCTGCTTTGGGGGTGTACAGTAATAGCACTAATGGTTATGATAATCACATTTCATTATGGTTTCTGAAATTAGTTGAATACGTACCCATCAAGTGATCTAAGGTAACCAGAAAGAAGAGAATTCTCTTGAATGTGAAACATCTTCCCCTGACAACTTTCACCCAAACAAGAAAGCTTTCTTGACTTAAGATCTGATAAAAACAACCAAATTATGTGTAATGTGAGAGCAGTAGTTCACTAACCACAACAAGGGTGGACACATCTGATATGTCCAGGGGTACATAGCCCTTTGAAAACCTTTAATACTTCCTCCTAATTTGAATCAACTTTGTGACCGTTTTCGTGGTGTGTAATCCCATCCTTTTACAGACTTGCACCACTCCCATAAAAAATCCATGATCTGTCCCTGTCCTAGCATCACCACCACTACTACTACTGCTACTAACGTAGTACTGCTATCAAGACCACTTCCACTACCCCTGTAACTACGAACCCTTGCATAACTACAGTGTTTCTTGGCGTGTTATTGTTTAAATCGATTTGGTTGAAGTTCCCCACAAATGACATGATATAATTACAATATATTACTTATACCTCTATTTTCTATACATCTTCCATTATTTTTCTCAAGTGGCTGAGTAATATTATTCTGCATGCTTCCATGGACTAAAGCGCTCTCTGTCTCCATGAATTCATCTTCTAAACTATCTGTCCATTCAGAGAACTCAAATTCCTCTATGTTGTCCTCCATCTTGATTTACAAATCTTCCCGCCACACAGGGACCCCAGAAACATTACAGTTGGTAGAAAATCGGGAAACTATTTGTAATATATATCACATAAGAAAGATTCCTTTCTTTAATAATATATTTAAGAAAAGAATACTGCAATTTTTAATTTCATTTTTTTTCAAGATGAAATTAAGTAGCCAAAGTGAGACAAAGTAAATTAGTTATACTACGAAATTATATCGATCCGCAACGAGGATTTTACGACCCCTTAGCTCTATAGCTGTGCACCCCGCAGTAAACAATACACGAGGTGATCAAGCGTTCTTTTCGATCGAGAGTTTGCATCTTTGTCGTGACTGTGTTTTGGGCATTAAAGAAAGAATACACAGACTCAAACATGGCTGATGACGGCTCTGGCATGACCGAAGAAGCGCAGAAGCTAGTAAACATCGGCGTTGGACTTCGAGTGGCGAAGCGAGTTGGTGAGATCTTCAGTAGTGGCGCGCTACTTCCCGAAGAGCTAGATGATAGAGCACTCGAGGCATTGAAGGAGTTTAACGAGGAAGGAGCCTTGGAAGTCTTGAATCAGTTCGCTAGCAGCGATCTATCGCATGTACAGAACAAAAGTGCATTTCTGTGCGGAATTATGAAAACATATCGTGAAAAAAATCGGATGAAACGCGAAGGACAAGACCCAATGGCTGGCATGAAAGGACCGGATGAGACAAAGATAAAGGCCTTACTCGAAAGAACCGGCTACTCATTGGATATCACTACAGGACAGAGAAAATATGGTGGCCCACCGCCTGGCTGGGAAGGATCACCTCCTGGTACTGGATCGGAGGTAAGTTTCACTTTTCATAGCTTTATAACTGAATTGTTGTCGGCGGTTCGTCGGTTACGACGCCGGCTGTCACAGAATCTGAACGTTGTCTCTTGGTTTTACTATTTCACATCTCAATGACTTTTCCTGAAGTGGTAGTTGTATAGAAAAGGCTTGAAAGCTTTAGATCTAGAAACTTGTGACTGTGAAATGTATGTTTTCGTGATATGAAATCTACAACTTAGTGTCTGTTTACACCACGTGCGAAGTTTCGCTACACTGCACACACAAGCATCATTCCATTTCCTTGTACTTTGATGATCGTTAAAAATTGTATTTGACGTTTTTTTCTGATGAAATACTGTGTTTAAAGAATACCATGTTATACAAGAAACTAGAATATTCTTCATGTTCATTTAAATGATTATTATTTGAGGCAAAATTCATTCAATTTTTGAAGGTCTGGATGTAACTATAGTATCATCCCTTTATCAAACTTGATGACTGAAAATGACTTCAATATTTTGTTGTGAATTGAATCTTTGTATTTAAATCTTTACACAGAAAGTCTGTTCGCAAGTGTTCGTTGGTAAGATTCCACGTGACTGTTTTGAAGATGAACTTATCCCAGTTTTAGAGGACTGTGGTCGAATCTATGATTTTAGACTCATGATAGATCCTATAAGTGGACTCACCAAAGGATTTGGGTTTTGTACCTTCACTGATAAGGCAGAGGCACAACAAGCTGTGAAGAAACTAGATAACAAAGAAATTCGACCAGGAAAGAAGCTTGGTGTATGTATATCAGTCGCTAATAACCGCCTCTTTGTTGGCTCAATTCCAAAAACAAAAAGCAAGCAAGAAATCTTTGATGAATTCAACAAAGTCATCAACGGTCTCCATGATGTCATTGTATACATGTCATCTGACCAGAAAGGAAAGAATCGTGGCTTTGCTTTCTTGGAGTTTGAAACTCACCAGGCTGCTGCTCTTGCCCGCCGCAAGCTGTCGTCAGGACGGATTAAGGTTTGGGGAAATGTTGTTGTTACTGTAGACTGGGCTGATCCTCAAGATGAACCAGATGAAGAAGCAATGTCAAAGGTAAGTAAAACATGCATACAAACAGATTTGGCATGCTTTGCAGTTCTGCAGGTTGTAAGCTTGTAAATTGTGCCAGTTCATTTCATTGATAAGATTATGTTAACTTTTAGGTCAAGGTTGTATACGTACGAAACTTAAGTCCAACAATTACAGAAGAAAAGCTCAAAGAGTTATTCCAGCCATATGGTACAGTAGATCGCACTAAAAAGATCAAAGATTACGCTTTTGTGCACTTCACAGAACGAGAACATGCACTTAAAGCAATTGAAGAAATGAACAGTAAAGAACTTGATGGCATCAGCATTGAAGTATCTCTAGCTAAACCACGTGATAACTCTCAACAACGTGACAGACGGCAAGGTCAATCAGGCTATGGCTCCTTGAATCAGTTCCGTGGTGGTGGAGGAGGAGGAAGAGGGCGAGGTGGACGAGGTCGTGGTGGTGATCGTGGACGGGGTGGTTATGATCGAGGTGGTTATGATTATGGTGGTCATGATAGTTATTATGAGGAGGGTTATGGTGGGGGTTATGGTGGTGGTGGTGATTATGGTTATGGTGGTGGAAGTGGTGATTATTATGATAGTTACTATGGTGGTGGTGGTGGCAGTGGAGGTGGTGGATATGATAGCTATTACTCTGGTGGTAGCAGTGGTGGAGGAGGAAGAGGCGGCTTTCAGCGTGGAAGAGGTGGCCCAAGAGGGGCTCCAAGAGGTGGTCGTGGTGGCCGAGGTGGTGGTGGTGGTGGAGGAGGAGGCTATGGTGATGGCTACAGTAGAGGGCGTGGCCGTGGAGGTAGAGGCGGTGGCGACTTTGGAGACAGAGGAAGGGGAGGTCTTCCACCTTCAAAGAGGAAGTATGGTGCAGACAACCCTAGTGGCGTTGTTGGCTACCCAGAGCCAAAGAAAAGATACAATCCTGATGAGCAATATTGGGGGTCTCAACCTATCCCACAAGCACCACAGTACAACTCAGGATATGGGGACTCTGGACAGGAATGGTATCAAGATAGCTATGGTCAGCAGTGGAACTAATTTGGCTCTGATTTGTTATCAGATTGGCTGCTAATTTTCAGATTTCATTTGGCATTGGTGATATTTATTGACTAAGACCATGGATTCTATGTTAATTGATTTTGGCATTGATTTGGAATATCTGGAATTGGTAGTCAACTTTGGCCTTTTAATTTGAACATCTCTAAGAACTTTTACAGTTTTGTTTGAACATTGAAAGTCTTTTTTTATCTTACAAGATTACTCTCCTTTATTTTAACGTGTCAGTTCATAGAAGTATTTTATATCTGTAACGAAGTAGCTTCAATGACATATATTATCTGATATTGTATACAGCATATCATCTTACCCAGCATATTCAATAAGCAAACATTTGTGACTGGTTGAAGTACTCTTGATAAGTTGTCAAGATGTTGTCCATAGTAAGAGGACAGACAACAAAAAAGCACAAAAACCTCAAGACATAGTATTAGTGTAAAATAAAGAAAAACAAACTCAAAAGATCTCTTGAAAAATTTGTTTTGCCCTTGGAATTCCACCCATTCACAATCAAGAAATTCAACTCCAAAATTTATCAACTCACAAAATTATCATGAAATGAAATTTAATTAAAATCAACCAAAATATTATCAACAAGGAATCTTCCATTCAGGTAAGTAGAAATCCATGATCTACTTCATACAACCACTAGGGAGGACCACATGACTGCAGAAAGCTTGCTGAAGAAACTGAATTTTAGTACCGTGAAAATTTGAGGACATCTTGAATTAACTTTGACTGTCATTCAGAGTATGCTCTTTCTTTCCTTATAATTGATTGAACATTTTACAAGGACTAACTTCCAGGCATCATTGTAATGCATACATTTTAAAATAAACTTGTCAATATGAGCAAGTAAGACTATGAACTTGAATGTAAAGAAAAAGCCTATTCATTAAGAAGTGTTTAGATTGCTAATGCTTTCCCAACTGAGTTTGTATGAAGTATTTCTGGTTGTCAAGGTAAGTTATACATGGTGTGAATGGGTTATTTATTTGCTAGAAAATATGTATAACAAAAATCAGAAAATTACTCAAGGCCACTGAAGTCCCTTTTTACATCTACTGTTATGACAACAATCAATATCTTGTCATTGTACAATAAGTGTGTGGCTTACTATGAAAGTTTATCATGTTATGAAGAGAGTGTCTAACTGTACGACAAAAGGAAATCCTGATAATTACTGCAACTCCTCAACAATCAGAACGTCATTTTAAGCGAATTGTATAACCTGCTTTGAGGGAATGATATTGAAAAAATGAAATGTATAAAATCAGTTCTAAATGAAATAAAATTGTTGACACACTGGAATAAAATGGTTTTAAATTTGAAAGGCACAGCCCCTTCGGAGGATAATAGGAAGACGATGTGTATGAATACGTGGAATAAAATTGTTGAGATTAGTGTATATCAGTTAAATGTTTGTTGTATTTTACAGTGTGTTGATGTCGCCAACCTGCCTTCTAGATTGGCAGTGAAAAAGATAGCTTCTTTACCATGGCAATGGATGCACTGCAAGTACTCATCAATGAAATCTTGTGATTAAAAGTTTGGTTTCTCAATGAAATTTAGTGAAATTTCAATGAGAATTGGATTTTTGTCTCAAGCATTTATTCATCAGGGTTCACATGGTAATATATGACATCATATTATTCAGTATTTATGTATTATGTTTCAGGGAAAATAATAAAAAACATTCAAAAATATGTTGTGTCAAAGTTGTCTTCAAAACATACTCTATTCCCTAAGACAGGAATCACATGTCAAATGCCAGGCTAAACATTGAAATGAAAGTAGAATCTATCTACACAAAACGTTTGTCATATTCACATGCAAAGTGAAATAATAGTATAATGTATCCAAAAGAATCCAATGAGAACTTGCCCTAAGATCTGGGACAGTCAAATATACCAGATGTACCCATGCATCTTTTACCCCCCAAAAAAAGATAAGGAGAGGAATCCAGCAGTAAAATCAACAAATAAAATGAAACTTTCAAATGTATGAGCTGAGATGCCAAAGTAGACACTTTGCAAACACTTACCTCGATTTCCTTGATGGACAAGAACAGCGATTGGTCCACGTCAGGGAATACCCCGCAACGAACGCGCATGCGCTACACCATTGTTAAGAGCTGATTTCCAAAATGGCTTCCATTCAGACATTGTCGTGCATTTTAACTCTTTTTCTTGCTTATTCGCTTGCCAATAAGGTAGAGGATGAGGAATCCTGCAGGACATATGCTGGTGGACAAGTTTATCCTGAAAGATCGAAAACACCGGAACATGCAATGCACTGGAGCAAAGCTAGAAGTAAGCTTTTATTACACGTGTTGATAAACACCGACGAATCTGAACAAATATTTTTCAAAAAAAGTGAAATGTGTTAGTTTTTGGATCATATTTTTTTCGGTATTCGTTTAACAAAGCATAGCGTTGTAAGGTGTTAAGCGCACAACAAAGCAATGCATCCAGTTGTTGACTTCTATATTGGTTAAACGTTTTGATCCTTTTGTTCAACATCCTTCCTTCTCGCTGTTGACGATTTGCCATTATGATGCTGTTGTCACGCAACGGTTAAAGCTTATTTACGAGTCTTGCTAGCTGTGTTCTGTTATTTTCAGAAATATACGATTTGAGTAACTAATTATCGTTTTGCAGACATCATGATTCTCAGTTCTTAGTTTATTTTATTACACTTCTAAATAGCTTTCGCTAATCCTAGACGGTTCGTAAGAAATTCAAGTAAATAAATAGGTGTAGCTCAGTACATTTGTAATTTTTTAAACAATTCATGTATTCCTGTTGATTTCCCACCTACAATCTCGATCCATTCATAATTTGTAATCAATTCTTCCCTTCCATTCATTCTGCCATTCAGTTGTCATTTTCTTTCGTTTTAGTATCTAAGCCAGCACCAGTTTGGGAAGGAAATGCTGTTGTCAATGGTGAATTCAAAGAACTGAAGCTATCTGACTTTCTAGGTGAGAGACAATCTAATACTTGTTGAGTTTTCCATGATTTTTGTGAAGTACACTAACATCGCTTTTCTCTTTGTTGTTTGCAAAGTGAACTGACATTATTTCTCTCTTTCAGGAAAATATCTTGTTTTCTTTTTTTATCCTCTTGATTTGTAAGTACAACAATAGAAAGAGGGATAAATGTGTGATGAAACAGAAAAGCCCCATGTAGATGTTTTGTGGATTTTTTTAATTTTATACAAAGATAACAATGACCTGTTTTCTTCTATAGCACCTTTGTATGTCCAACCGAAATCATTGCCTTCAGCGACCGTATCGAAGAGTTCCGTGCTATAAACACAGAAGTAGTTGCTTGTTCAGTTGATTCAGTCTTCACACATCTAGCATGGTAAACAAGTATAAGAAAGGCAGTCAATATCATCAAGGAAACTCTAATACTGTTTGATTGTTATACAGGATAAACACACCTCGTAAAGAAGGAGGACTTGGCAAACTGAAGTATCCTTTGTTGTCAGATCTCAATCAACAAATCTCAAAGGATTATGGCGTCCTGTTAGAGAACGAAGGACACACGTTAAGGTAATTAACAATAATTCATAAGTTGAGCTTGACTTTCTCTTGATCACACAAAAAAAGCATCCTTGTGTATCTTTAGCCTGATCTTGGGATCCCTGTGGCATTGCCAGGAAGTTATACTTTATCATTTTTATCATGACGTCTTTGTCTTGTAGAGGTCTGTTTATCATTGATGATAAAGGTATTCTACGGCAGATAACCATGAATGATTTACCGGTAAGATTTTCAGTTCTGTGAATATTGTAACTATAATATACATTGTGATGAGAAATTAGAATGTAGGATAATACGATTACTAATGTACATCTATCTTGATGTTTTTAGGTTGGTCGATCTGTAGATGAAACCCTTCGCCTTGTCCAGGCATTCCAATACACAGACAAGCATGGCGAAGTTTGTCCTGCTGGCTGGAAACCTGGAAAAGATACCATTATACCAGACCCTAAAGAAAAGGTCAAGTACTTCAAGAAACAGCCAGAACAAAAAGGAGAATTATAAATCACCAGGAAAATATTATCAACTCACTTTCCTTCCACCAGTTTTCACAAGTCTCCAACAGTATCAGTGAACATGTTTGATTTTGTAATAAAGTAAAGATATTTTGTAGGAATTTTACTGCTCAAATATTTAATAAGGTTTTTGTTGGTTTTAACAAGATTGTTTCATCACCAATATTGTACTTTATTTTAAAAATCTTTCTTTACAATAAATTATAATAAAATAACATCAAAACTCGCATAAAAATGTATCCCTTTTATTTACATGCACTTATACCTACAATAATAGTTTTATCTATTCTGATACACAAGAATTCTTAGAGTAACCACAAATATACTACAAATAATGCCAAACAATGTCCAATGCAAATATTTCAAAGTATTAACCAATAAATAGTGCTAAGGGTTGCATACTGAATGGTTTTGCAATCTAATGCACCTTTTAGAAGGTGTTTTTATCTTTAGTTTCCCTTATACCCCTTGACTTATTTGTTTATTCTTTAGAGTGCCTTCACTATAGTAGCTGTAAATAAATAAACATCTCTGACTGCCCATATCTCTGATTTATCAATACAGTAGTAAAAATTGAACATAGAAGGATGCAAACCAAGTTGGAATTGCTTAAGTGCTATCGTGGCCACTTTGGAGGCGGTCTTGTGGTGTGGATTTGACCACCAGGTCCAGCCAGTGATGATGTGCCCATCAAAGACAAATCGATTTCTCTAGCAGCTTGACGTCCTTCAGCTATTGCAGTCACAATGAGGGATTGACCAAAGTGGCAATCTAAAAATATAATATAGATGTTGGGATTCCTGTGTTTTCATTAAAGTAATTTAGCGGGATTCCTGTGTGCATTTACCTCCTGCGGTGTAGAGTTTATCAATGTTAGTTTGATATTCTCCTCGTTTTGTGGCAAAGTTTCCACGTAAATCCTGCAAGACAATATATGGTGATGAATGATGATGATTGTAATGATGACTGATAGATAAGAAAATGATGACATTAATGTAATGCTGTAGTCGAGAGTCTCTATAAATCACATATTATCAAAATATTCCTTATATTGACATACACAAATCATGGTAAAAGCCCATATACTTCTATACGTACGAGTTTCGCGCCAAACTGTTTGGCGAGTGATTTTTCAGGTCCAATGAATCCCAAAGCAATTAGCACAAGATCAGCTTGTATCACTTGTTCTGTGTTGGGTACTTCTCTTATCGCCCAACGACCGCTTAAATCCTATGATTACAAAATCACACTAGTATCGTTTTCGTAACTTAAATTTTACTAAAGACTATTTACGACTATTTTAGCGTTGTTTTTAGCGTTGTTTTTAGCGTTGTAAGCTTTTTATTCAGCTTAAGAAACCTGCAATGTATGGAATGTATTGCCATATCCGGAAATCACTGCTTATACTATATAACGGTACTATATACGCTTTACCGCGAAAAAATCGTCAAAACGAAACTTCTCGTTTCCCATATCAACGTCATGTCATACAACGACACACTTTGGAGATGCAACGATAGCAGAAAAGATCATGCGCCGTATTCATGATATTTACAACGTTGATTTCCCGAAAATAGCTTTAGTGACGTCACTAACACTATCCTTGGACTAAGCGCATCTTTCCAAAAACTCACTAAAAAGTTTTTGAGAATGACGATGTGTGAGTGTTCGTCCATCGAAGCGATGATGACCATGATTTCCCACTATGACGTTAATTAGTTGCGGTGACAATAACTACGCCATTAACGATAAACCAACGATAATATGGGATATGTAATAAGCCTACCTTCACCCACTGAATCTCAACTGCCTTGATACCAGTCACGTGACCATCCTCGTTACCAATGAACTCCTGATACATAACATGACGTCATTAATGCAAAGGTAATATACATATATCGCAGAACTTGTTACATACTTTACTCATGATATTATACACACGAGGATCACGTCCATATTTGATAGCAACCTACATAGAGAGAAATGAGATAACATTTTAAAAACTATGAAAACACATCTCTTCCTTGAAGGACCAATGTGACAAATGTCACTAGTATCATTTCCAGCGTATTATTTCTCATTTTAAATGCTACATTACATAAAGAAACACGAAACAACAATAGACAATGTAAATACCATTATATAAACAAACAATTCAAAATACCTCCTCGTGCCCATACTCTACTCGGAATATCCTCGGCCATGTTGGCCATGGGTTGTTTGCTGACCGAGTGTGCGGTGGCTCAGCAAGAAGCTCAAACGTTGTAATGCTCCTGGCGTCCTGTGTTGCAATAAGAAGCCAAACTTTAGCATATGCCTCAATATGACAAATATCGCAATAAAAATCTACATGCCTGCCTGACTGAGGTACCAATACAGTCGACTCCAGTGTCTCCTCCACCAATCACAACCACGTCTTTACCCGTGGCGTCCAATGAAGGCAGATTATAGTTACCTAGGATACGGTTGACATGGTTACGATAAACAAGGTTACGTAGGATGCATAGTATTGCCAAGACGACACCGTGACGTGTCTAACAAAACCTAGGCAACTTTTTATTATCATGTGGGATTCATAATTATGCAACTGTACAAACGGTTCTGTTCACCAGAACATCTTATAATTGAGAGTTGAAGGATTTTCTCACCCATTTGTCTCTTTTGACTTGTCTCCAAGAAGTTCATTGCAAAATGGACTCCCTTCAAGTGACGACCTACAGAGCAATGTCAAAAAATGTCATATAATTTGTATTCTAAAAAGGTATGGTTACTTTTCTTTTCTAGGTTACATCTTTTCCAAATAAGGTAAAATTACCAAATATGGATATGAACTGATTTCGAAAAAGGAGTACCTGGAATAGGCAGATCACGTGGCCAAGTTGAGCCCACAGCCAATAGTACAGCGTCATTCTCAGACAAAAGCTCTTTCGCGCCAACTGTTTTTCCTACTTCAGCATTAGTCTTAAATATAATACCTTCATCCTTCATCAGGTCAAGACGACGCTGCACAATCTGAACAAAATGAAAGAAAATGGCATAAATTTCTCATATTGTTTAAAATTCGTTACGCAAACAACCCAACACAAAAGTTGTTACGGAACGTAATTACTTACGTATTTGTCAAGTTTCATCGACGGAATTCCGTACGTTAGAAGTCCTCCACAACGATCGTTACGTTCGTACACCGTAACTAAGTGACCAGCCTGTAAGAAACAAAAACAATAATGGCCTTGTGTCGACAGTTTTACCTTTAACTATGAGACAGGAATTTGATTAAACTACGTCTTTCTTGCTGTAAAAACGATCGGTGCTAAACTTATTTATGCAACAAATAGTAATTATTTATATAAGTAATATCTGTTAATGTGCGTTTTGCAAGCCGGAAATTTTAACTCTTTCACTTCATATTTATATTAAGTCGTCAGTCACCTTGTTAAGCTGCGAGGCTGCAGCCATACCGGCCGGTCCACTCCCCACGATAGCAATGCATTTTCCTGTTCTTTTTAGAGGAATCTAAATACAATAATCATAAAAAAATAAATAAACAAAGTTGACTTATCAGATGCAATCAACAATCACACACTGGACTAGACACTTGGACTAGAGGAGGACTTGAATTGGGTTACCTGTGGCTTAATCCAGCCCTTTTCAAAGGCGTGGTCAATAATTGTACATTCGATCTTCTTGATTGTTACTGGTTTGGCGTTAATACTTAGTACACAGGCCCCTTCGCAAGGCGCCGGGCAAACTCGCCCTGTGAATTCTGGGAAATTGTTGGTCTGTAGAAGTCTATCCAGGGCTTGCTGCCATTCATCCTGAAACAAAGGAGCGTTTTTCAGCTCACTTACACAAAGATAATACTACGAGCACATTACAATGATAAAGATGGCGACGATGATGGTGATGATAATGATAATAGTGATGATAATGATAATGATGGTGATATTATGTGTATACCTGGAATACAAGATCATTCCATTTCGGTATAACATTTCCAAGCGGGCATCCTGTGTTACTCTGGCAAAATGGTACTCCACAATCCATGCATCTTGCTGCTTGCACTTTGAGGTCTTGCTTCTTGTGTGAATAGATCTCTTTCCAGTCATTGATGCGTTGTTTAGCAGGACGATAAGGATTGCCACTTCGAGCATACTTTACAAACCCTCTAGAAACAACAAAACAATGTCACGCAAGCGTACGGCGATTAATGTCACACAAGTGTACGGCGATTAATGTCACGCATGCACAAGATCATAGTCACGCGAAAGAATCAGAATACAAGAATCTTGTATGTGTCGTACCTAGTCTTATCGAGGACGCGGTCAATAATCTTCTGTTCCATCGTCATGTCAGGAATAGCTGACTCGATGTCCACGATCGGTGCGTTGTTGATCTTCTTTACAGGTGGTGGGGAGTCTTCTTTCTTTTCTTTGTTTTCACTTGATGATCTAGTTTCCTTTTCAATGTTCTTGAAACATTAAGTTTTAAAGGTAAATACATATCGAATAAGAACTTTCTTTGTATAATGAATGTGCAATACCTCGTCGCATTCTTTTTGAAGGTTCGCTAATACGTCTTTATATCCTTTGGGGATGATCTGTGAACATAATGTCGTTATTATTATCAATCATAATAAATACTGGACATCACTATATTATCTACCCCCCCCCCCCCCCCCAAAAAAAAAAAAAAAACAAACAAACAAGAAAACAAACAAACAAAAAAAAACACACAGCTGTGGATGTCAAACTTTGGTTTACAATGACTATCATCATTACAAATCTAACATGCCTACCTTTGTAAAATAATGGACAGCACTCGTCCAATCATCCAGCAGGATCTTTGCCACCCTAGATCCAGTCTTCTCCAAATGTTCCTCCAGCAATCCTTTCAACATATCAACGTCATTTCCAACCACGCTCTCCAGGTCAACAGTGTCATGGTTGCATTTCAAAGTTAAAGTGTTTTCTCTGTGAACACAATCATTTGTGGATATCAAGATCCTAATGAAATTTATGCAATGAATTATCATCTTAACGTCAATGATGCTCTGAAATCATGTCCCTCACCTATCAAGTACAAATGCTATTCCACCGTACATCCCTGCGGCAAAGTTTCGTCCAGTAGAACCAAGAACAACCACCATCCCCCCTGTCATGTATTCACAGCAATGATCACCAACACCCTCACATACGGCTACTGCGCCCGAGTTGCGTACACAGAAGCGCTCAGCGGTAATACCACGTATAAAAGCCTGAAAACAATCCAAGCAAGAAAATTAGGCGAGCAAATCAGGAAGAGAGAGACAAAAAAGAATATCCCTTGTTGAAATCAAGTTGAGCCTCCGATTTACCTTGCCTGAGGTTGCTCCATACAAACACGTGTTTCCCACTATGACGTTGTCTTCTGCTTTAAAGTGAGGCCCGTGTTTTCGACTCGGATACACAATCACGTGACCTCCAGACAGACCCTTAAATATTTATTGATATGTTAGAGCTTAGTCTCTCTTACTGTTAGTAACACAGGTAGCCCACCTTCCCAACGTAATCATTAGCGTCTCCTTCTAGTTCCAGTGTTATCCCTTTGGATAAAAATGCGCCAAAGCTCTGACCTAAGATAACGCGAAAAAGATGTGAAGGACCAAAATATTGATTTGGGAGGGGAGGGTGGGGCACACATTATACCTGCTGAGCCATGAACGTTGACGTGAATTGCGTCATCAGGAAGACCTTGCTCACCGTAAAGCCTGAGTAGAAAAAACATTGTTAGAACAAGACATATGATTGGTTCCGTAGGAACATACTTGCCTTGCTACATGATAGCTAAGAGTAGTACCCAGGGCCCTATCGGAATTCACAATAGTCACGTCCAATACCACCCGCGTAATCTTGCCATTCAGTACGTCCTGGGCAGCAGCTATCAGATCATTGTCCTTTAAGAATATCAAATGTATTAGTTTAGCATTACCACGCCGCAGCATTTCTTAGTATAGTTATAACCTTTGTTGGAAGGTGTTCAAAAACACTGTAGGAAAACTGACGCTTCTCCCCCTGTCTTTTTTCTGTCTTTTTTCAATATTATAATTGATAATTTTGAGAGTATTTCTTTCTTCTTCCTTTTATGATCTAAAATGTCATTGAGATTGACTAAAACATATGATCAAAAAAGCACCAGGAAGATCGTCCTAGTTTTCTGAATTTTTCGTCATTTATTGCAACTTCTAGCAAGATTTTATTGATAACTATCGAGTTTCAATAATAATTTATTAGTAAAGCCAGTGGCAAATCCACAACATCACAAATGAGGGCGGCCAACCCAAGAAAAAATATCAAAATGAAGATTTAGGGCTGCGGAAAATGAATATTTTTTCATACGAACGCTACCGAGTTGTTTTTCATAATTAGCCCCATTTTTTCTTTTATATACTCAGTTATATCATAATTCTTATTTCTATATTTTTGAACTCTGATCTAAAATGGGAGATAGCTAACAAACCTAATCACCACCTCCCCCTAGATCAGCAGTTGAAAGCTGTAAGTGTATGTGTCTCGATAATGATCCTCACATCAGCAGCTGATAAAGGACTATCGCGTACAAGCGTGATTATGTGATAAGATAAGAACAAGACATCAGCACCTTTGATTCACAATTATTGATTTCAGAGACTTTTGAATAAAAATTCTTCAAAATATGCTCGGTGACTTATTCATCCTAAGACAGACTGTAGATCCATTAGACCTCTCTGGTATTTTTTCAATTTTTCCTAACGACAGATGTCCACTCTTACTTCCTCCTGTTTCTTGAAAGCATAAGGTACTAGATAAACTTGCACATTCATAAAACAATTAGTTTACGATGTTTAAATCCAAATGAAAACCGTTTTTGACGATCTTCTAGTAATCGTTTTTTCATCACTGTGTGCACTTTCCATGTCATCAAGTGTCAGTGTAATTGTTCTACTTACTTATTGGGAAATAGTCAAAAGTTGTAAATAGAAACTTTGAAAACTATTTAACGTAAACTAAATGTAATACGCCATCAATTTGTTTACAAAAACTATCGCTTGACGTAAGATAAGATAATGATCACGTGGTTGAAAGGCATCGACACCTTTGCTGATTCTAGCATTATTTTGTAAATAAAACAGGGTTAGGAAATGAATTAGGAAATAAATGCTGGAAAGTATTCAGTGTAAGAGATACTGAAGTTTCTTTTTTCTATTCGTTTCTTTCCAAACTTAGCTGATCATTTTTTTGTACATAAATTCCGGTCTAGCCCCCTCACATTTCATGGTACCCCGTACTGTTTGTTATCATGATAACAATCACCAGATGATCAACGTATTGTAACTCTTTACCCTATAAAACAATTCCCGACCTCTTTACTTCATGTTTAGCAGCAGCCATGAAGACCTACATAGTTCTTTTATTTAACTTTCTTTGTTTTTGGATTAGTTCTGTGCAAAGTCGGCCAGAAGTCGCGTGTACTAAGAATGGCCGTCCCATCCCATGCGGTAATTATTATACCTATGGAGGTAAGTGATCATTGTACAAACACACTGGTTTCCATAGAGCCATAATCATAGATGTTAGACTAGTACACCTAAGCCCCTGTTTACATGAGATAGGGTGCTCCTACTTGGTAGGGCTAACTACTTTGTTTTCTTTTCCACTGGAAAAAATCGCGCGCTTTAAAGGTTGTAAAGGCCGTGTCACACTGGCGTTTTTTTCGTGCAACTTGTGTCGCGCAAAAAAATGTTGTAAGTTGCACGAGCGTTTTTTACGTGTGACATCCCCCTCCTGCAACTTGAACATTTCATTTTTTTGTTGAGAGAAAAGTAGAACTGGCTTCTACTTTTTTCAACATTTTTCGGAAAAACGCGTGTGTGACATGGTCTCTTGCAACTTCCAAAATTTTCAATTAGGCGCACGAACCCATAAGAAAGCGAGAATCTGTCCTGCTGTCACTTGTTGTAATAATCAACAAAGATGCCCGACGCCATCTTTGGCGAAAGCGATAATTTTGAAGAAGAAAACGAGACAGAAGTGAGGTGATCGTACATTTTCAATTTACGCGTGCAACTTACAATATTTTTTTTGCGCGACACAAGTTGCACGAAAAAAACGCCAGTGTGACACGGCCTTAAAATTGATGTAAATATGATGTAAGTGTCCAAAATTCTGTAAATTTAATTAATGGAAATCATTTACATCAAATCATAATCGTATGAGGAAGTGGCTGATCCCATTAAAGAGTGCTCAATACACATAAAGTGTAGAGCTAGTTATATATATGATATCAAAGAGGCAAGATTTTGCTGTAACTCCGAGTTTCGTGCTACGCACTCATCATATTAAATACTGTCTGATGATACTGGATTAAATACTGTCTGATGAGTGCGTAGCACGAAACTCGGAGTTACAGCAAAATCTTAAATACTGTCTGATGAGTGCGTAGCACGAAACTCGGAGTTACAGCAAAATCTTGCCTCTTTGATATCATATATACATCGAATCATATTTACATCAAATTTATAACCTTTAAAGCGCGCGATTTTTCCAGTGTTCCCTGGAGGATTGAAAACAAAAGAGTTTGGCTCTACACCTAGGGTCACCCTATGTCATGTAAACATGGTCTTAGCAATAGGCGCATTGTTTTCTCTTTCAATCTATTGTACGTGGATGATGTTTCACATTTTAAAAGTCCCCGAAACAAATTCTAATTATTAAAGAAAACTATGGAGTTTTGGCGAATTTAGCCAATATGCAGTGGCCAAAAATGACTTGGGTGGGCACAACCATAGCCTTATAGTGATGACGTCCCATTAACTTTTGCAAATGCATTTTACATTACAAAAAATGAATAATTGAATGTTTCGAGCCGTTGTGTGTGTGGAGGGAAGGCCCCTCCAGAATTCCAAAATATTTTGTTGGGGTCCGACGCCCCTTCATGACTTTATGGAAAACTTTTTAATATATATATTTTTTTAACGGCATAACATGTACAATCTGTCATCATTTTAACGAGTTTCAGTAGAAACATGGAAACCAGAGGCCGTTTGTATGAAGGGTGGATAAAGTTATCCAGTTGTTTTAGATGGATTTTATCCGCTGGATACGAATTTAACAGGTGGATAAAGCTATTCACCCTTCACACAACCAGTCCCTGAATCCCTTTCAAATAACACATTGACATGTTTCACTAGATGAAGGTAAACTGGCAAAAGACGAAACCTACCAATCATTCCCCTTTTGCGAAAACCCCGATGCACAACCTGGTGACCCTACCGTAATTCCGTGCTTACGAAAACGATGGTATGAATGTATGACATTATATACTTTTTGTCTTTTAAATGAGCTGAGTTTCTAATAATATTCTCTAATAAAATCTCAAAAAGTGTCTTTCAGAAAATAGTAAAAGTTTATAGTCCGATGGTCGATCGATTTGTATTCCTTCACGATATAATATCAGATTTTAAAAAGGAATAAGCGGACACCAGCTCCCCGCAATCTTCTCCTCAGAGTAGTGAAAGGAAAGATAATCACCCACTTCAAAATAACCGCAATTTTTGAAAGTCAAATAAATTTGAATTTTATCACCTTTTGCTTAGGAACAAAGTTTATCAAGCAAGCAAGAGAATTGGAAGACTCTGAACACTATTGTAATTGAATAACAGATAAAATGTATTAAAGTTGAACTTAAACTATATGGCGTGTATTGTTGATTTGGATTATTGTATACATGATGGCTGAAACCGCCGGCTAATTCTACTTCCCTATTCTTAAAAACGAAATGCAAAGAAAAGTAATCACATATGAAATAGACTAAAAACTGAATTGTGTGAAAACATGGGACTGATAAATGGGAAACGAAAGATAACCCATTATTAGATACCATCGCTGAATAGATAAGTTAACCAACCGGCTGGGACTGGAGAGGCGGATAAACAAAGTCCGCTCCAGATAAGAATTACTCCTGTGGATAGTAGTTTTCGTAACTACCCCAGGAAATAAAAAAAAACAACCCACCTTACGCTCCTCGAGTTTATGATCTTGAGGCTCTGTACCCGCTGAGTGATCGCCGGCTCGCAACTCATTGCTGTGCGTCAAGAGGGATGAGAAGTCCAAAAGCTGAAATACGTTTTACAGGGATTAAACAGGTTTAAACAGGTCAGTCTAGTATCTAGCATGCGTTGTTATGCGCTAAGAAACAAACCACTTTGCTACTATTGCTTAAATACAGGTTTAACAGGAATTTAAACCTGTTAATCCAGTTTTTTTTATACCTGTGTTTTCCTGTTCTGAGCGTCGTCTGATAATAGTAAATCACATTGTCCAATAATGTCACTCATACGACGATATCCAAACCTTGCCAAGTATGTCCTCACCTAGAATAACAAAACAGTTAACATTGTCAACACTCGTTATGACGGATATCTTATCAAATGTCTACTGTTGAATTTCATTTTCTCTCCTACTTTGATGATCATCTTACCTCTTCAGCTAACATGAAGAAAAAGTTCACGACATTTTCAGGTTTTCCTTCGAACTTTTTGCGTAACACAGGATCCTGAAACACACACAAAAAAGACACAATGAAATTAAGTAGCACTGAAAATATAGCGACGAAAACATAAAAACGCCTACCTGAGTTGCTATGCCAACAGGACATGTGTTAAGGTGACATTTTCTCATCATGGTGCATCCCAGGGCGATAAGCGGCGCAGTGGAAAATCCAAATTCGTCCGCCCCAAGTAATGCAGCAACAATGACATCTCGTCCAGTTCTCATTTGCCCGTCAACCTGTCAATCACATTACAGTCACGTGATTACTACATGACTTACTGTTCTATGAAACACGTTGTTCACTCACTTGGAGAACGACGCGGCGACGAAGATCGTTTAACACAAGAGTCTGATGAGCTTCTGAAAGACCTAGTTCCCATGGTAACCCAGCATGCTTGATACCTGACCAAGTGCTTGCCCCAGTCCCACCGTCATGACCAGAAATGACGATATGTTCTGCGTGTCCCTTGGCAACACCTGAAGCGACCACACCAACGCCCACTTCTGACACCAATTTTACGCTGATACGAGAACTCGGATTGGATGCCTTTAGATTGTAGATAAGCTGAAACAACGAGGAATACGGTATATCTCTTGGAAGATATGCAGAATTGAAATGTGTCTCTCGAAGCAAGGAAGGGAACAAGTGTAATATTGGTTCGAAATCATGACAGATATCTGCTGGTATATGCTGAAATACGTACCTCGGCCAAGTCCTCTATGGAGTAGATGTCATGATGTGGAGGGGGACTGATGAGACCTACACCTGGAACTGACTTACGTGTCTTGGCGATCTCATGGGATACCTGTGCCATAAGTAATAATCACTCTTAATGTATTTATTTTACTTTTGAATAATAATAATATTTTATACCTTATGACCTGGTAATTCTCCTCCTTCTCCTGGCTTTGCTCCCTTATATCATCATAATAAAAAAATGTCAATTCAACGGAATACCACCGGAGGTTTGTCATAGTGGGTTGTATGAATTCAGCTGACCTGCGCCATTTTAATCTGCAGTTCTTCAGCGTTTGCCAAGTAGGTTGAAGTTACACCAAATCGTCCTGATGCTATTTGTCTAATGGCTGAACGAGTATTATTCATCCCCTCACCACCCCTATTGGGGTCTTCTCCACCTTCTCCAGTGTTACTTTTTCCTCCGATACTAAAAATAGTCATATCATAACTTACAATGATACTAGATAAAGGTAAAAACCAATGATTACTAACCTATTCATGGCTTTGGCTAGTGTCGTGTGTGTCTCTATCGATATCGACCCAAAACTCATTGCACCTGACAGAAAACATGATAATTGAACAACTAAACAATCAACCAATCACTCTGTCAGTAACCAACAAGCAACAACAAAAAAGTCATGAAATCGTCAAGCAACCATTAAAAAAACACAATTACGCAAGTGAAAACAGTCTACCAATGAAAAGGATAGTTGGTATACCTGTGACAAAACGTTTGACAATTTCAGCAGCTGGTTCTACTTCAGACAAGTCAATAGGTTTATCAGAAAACTTGAACTTTAACTGACCACGAAGGGTACAAGCTTTGACCTGAAACAGTAAGAAAAGAGGACTTAAAGAAAAGAAAGTGGAGAAGAAGAGCCACTCATTCTATTAGAGCTGGAAGAAGTCACTGCTGAGACTGATTTTCCGATTTTGATTTAAAGTTTTTCATTAAATCGCCAAGTAGTCTTTTGATAAAATAATGTCATGCAGACTACACTTTATCCAGACAAGAAACAGGACACTACTGAGCAATGTAAGATTTTGATTGACAGACAAATGAAGAGATATGGTTGTTATCCACCTCACCATTTCTAGTGTTGATACAGCATATTTATCATAAGCTTCCTGATTGGCTTGTTTGACGGCATCCTATAACAAATCAACACTGATAAGTCGACCTACAATCATAACACTTCTTGCGAAATGTGAATGAAATGGTAGATATTTTGAAGTAGGCAGTGAGTTTGACAATATAATGAAGCATATGGTATGAATGTGATTAATTACTAATTATGCATGCCTGGCTATTTACCTGGAGATGTGAAATACTTCTTGGGTCATTAACATGCTTCTCACCACCATCACGCCAGTGATATTCTCCCTATTGTATTGTAAGCAAAGTATTAGGTCACTAGCCCCCTCTCTTAGTCACTCCCTCTTCCACCTTAACCTCTTGTCCCACTACAGGAGACAATAGAGCAAAGAGTTGCCAACAGTAGAGGCAAATGATTGTGCTTACTCTGTTAGTCAGAAGCCAATTGTCACACTCTCTGTCAGCATATGCAACACTGTGTTTGTCCAGAGCCTACACCACAAGTATAAAAGAAACAGTTAATAACAAATACGAGACAAAAAGGAGATGTCGAAGAGAAAGAAAAGCTCTCACCTCTTGAGCCAAGATATCAAAGGAAACACCACCAAGACGAGAATCAGTGCCAATAAAACACTTATCAATGACCTGATAGAATAAAACAAATTTGTTGATAACTAGTGAAATATGTTGTAAACCTAGCTTAATAACACCAACCTCTTGTGCAATACCAACAGCTTCAAATCGTTGAGCTCCCTGGTGGAAGATATTTAAGTTATATCGGTAAGATTGAACAACAGTGTAGCTGATGATGGTAGCTATGGCGATGATAATGGTAACTATGGTGATAATGGTAGCCAATGTGTATGATTACGATTACTATGGTAATGATGATGGGAGCTATGGAGATGATGATGGGAGCCATGGTAACAATGATGATGATGATAGTAACTATGGATATTATGGTGGTTTTGAGGAAACCATACCTTATAGCTATGTAAGGTTGATATTCCCATCTTGGCCATGACTTTAGATATCCCTTTCTGTGTAGCAATGATATAGTGTTCAACAATCTCTTGATCTGTGAGAGGAGGCTTAAGCAGATCTAAATGACAAAGCCAATTAATCAACAAGCATGAAATATACAAAATTATCAACCAATGCAATTACTATATACTATCAGGTTTTACACTATTTATAAACCATTGAAGTTATACATCATTGGTTATATCATGTATAAGATAAGCGTAATTGTTACATCATCGAGTCAAAATGCTGATGCAAAGCTTACTTTGATCTCGCATATTGGCAACTGTCTCCAACAGCAAGTATGGACAAACAGCGTCACCACCATAGCCAATCAACAGACAGATATGATGTGTCTCCCTGGATATAACACAGGAAAACCAATGGTTAGACACCACAGGAAACCCAACAGCTGGGTGCCACAGAAAACCCAACAGTTAGACACCACAGGAAACCCAACAGCTGCGTGCCACAGAAAAACAAAATTAAAGAAGTATCTTAACCTTATCTCAGCTGATTCAATAAATAGTCCAATCTTCCTTCTTTGCTTTGTCCTGTTCAGATAATGATGGATGCAGCCCAGTGCAATAAGGCAACTGCAAGAGATGTAATAAATAATATTTATTTTATTAAACAATATATTTGTCAATTATACTTTGATTGACAGTTGCTTACCTTATGGGAACACTTTTAGGACCAGCTTTTCTATCACTAAGAATAATAAATGCACATCCTTTATCAACAGCCTCTGAAGCCTGTGAAAAAAAAATAAATAATAATAATAATAATATGTGGTATTTATATAGCGCCAATATCCTCTGAGTTCAAAGGCGCTTCACATGTATAGAAGATACACAAAAAACACAATTATGTAATGATAATACTGAATGTTGTCATCATTTTCTAAAAMTTATTTGTCTGTTATCTCATCAATTGGCTGATTGCTTCCTTTATACAATTTATAAATWCTTACTTCTTTGCAAAGCCTGTCAAGTGCTAGTTCCAAGCCATCTGTGCCATCATCAACTGGGTAAACAATATCAAGGGTTGCACTCTAATGACAATAACCATCAATTATTAATTATATTAATAATCATCACTCACTCAAAGAGGTTATACAGACCTTCCATTGTGGCAGTGGACATTCACGAATGATTTCCAGATCTGCACACGACAGCACAGGGTGATCAAGGTACAGTCTCTGACAGGTTTTAGCACTTGCGTCCAGGAAATTGTGTTCAGGTCCGACTGGACATGCCTGGAAATTGTACTACCAAATCAATGTCTATTCAGTGCAATATCTCATAAACATATCAATCTACATACCAATGACATAACAATGGCTTCTCTGATTGGATCTATTGGTGGATTGGTGACCTAAATAACAACAAATAATGTTTTGAATAAACCTAAAAATATTCATTAAGTCATGATTTTAAAGCTACTGTCATGAAAGAGTCTCTATGAATACAGACATACTTGTGCAAAGAGCTGCTTGAAGTAATCAAAGACCATCTGTGGATGTGTACTGAGACATGCCAAGGGTGCATCATTACCCATTGAACCTATGGCTTCTTTCCTAGATACATGATAATAAAACTATTAAACCTTGATACCTTTCCACCATATGCTTATCAGGTACATCTCAAATGAATGAATTAACAATATAAATCATATTCATAACAAAATAACCAACATTTTACATACTTATTGATGATCATAGGAACAATTAACATTGTCAAGTCCTCCACAGAGTAGCCAAACAAAGGTAATCGTCGATCTTGTTCCAAACAGGTTATCTTCTCATGGCTACGGATTACAGGGAGCTCCACATTGACATCAAGACACTTTGCCTTTTTGTAAGCCTGTTAAAAAATGCTTGTCAATTTGTAGATAAATATGTAGAAAAAAAGAGAATAAATATGAAATGAATGAATGGAAGAGAATAAAATGAGAATATTGCACAACACACTGTAAAAGAAAAACTAGGAGAGTTTATGAGGAAATACCATCAATAGGAGCAACTAACCTACCTTATGCAGGTCAGAGAGAGTAACAATTCCTTTGCCAAGCCACTCCTCAACAGGATATTTGCATGCAATGTTATGTTTCAACTCTTCATCTTCAACAAGGATTCCAAGCTTTGTATCGACAAGAAGCATTTTACCAGGCTGAAGCCGTCCCTGAAAATGACATCAGTGCTGCGTGGTAAGAAATCTAAATGGAAGGATTGGGTTCCTGTGGTAAAGTGGCTTACTTTGATCTTGATTTCTTCATCAGCAAATGTGTGGACACCTACTTCACTTGCCATTACCATATGACCATCATGGGTGATGTAATACCTTGAAGGGCGCAACCCATTTCTATCAAGAATGGCACCAACATAGCGCCCATCAGAGAATGTAAACTGTGCTGTGGGATAAAAATTCAAACAAACAAGTACACATATTAAACATGTAGAAATGTATCATAAAATAATGTAGAGAAGACTGGCATGTTGGGATAAACATGGTGGATATTGCCTCTGTCTGTCATGACATATATTGTCTTACCTGGACCGTCCCATGGTTCAACTGAGCAAGATGCCCATTTATAGAAATTTTTCTTCTCTGTGCTCATCAGATCATCATTTTGCCATGCTTCAGGAACTAACATCATGACAGCCTGGAATATTGATAGTTATCACTCAATAATTACCAGGAAATATATCAATAAAATCATCTTAGACCTTATCATTTACTTCATCATATCTTAATATCATGAGCTCAGTGTCGGAATCATGATTGCAAAATTGATCATTTCTATCATCACCATTATGACAATTACCATAATCATCAAAACATCTTGACAATCATAAACAGTGTATGTGACAAAGATCCACATACCTCAGGAAGTGTTCTATTACCAGCCATGATCAACAATTCTAGAATGTTATCTACTCTTCCTGAATCTGTCTGTTCATCCTCAACGACGGGAAACAAGCTATCAAAACAATACATCATCAGTTTTATTAAGCAAATCATGAAGTGCAATGACATCCAGATTGAGAACTGACCTTTCTGTCTGCTCTGCGTAATATTCACTAAACATGTTTCCTTCTCTAGCATTCATATTGTTAGTATTGCCACATATAGTATTGATTTCACCATTATGTGAAAGATATCTATAAGTGAGAAAGGTTTTGTCAAATATCATAAAATAGACTATTTGATGAATGTCAGATTATAATAATTCATACACTACCTATTGGGATGAGCTCTTTCCCAGCTTGGAAATGTGTTTGTTGAGAATCTCCCATGGACTATTGCAAAATGGGTTCTGTAAAATATTTGTTTATTATAATAGCTTAAATGGGAATACAATGTATTTTTCCCTTCTCTCAGAAAACCATTGCTTTTTTTTGCAGCTTTAGGAGAGATTGGTGTGTTTGACATGTATATTGGTCAACACTGCCAAATGAATCAGTACTCATGTCAACCTTTGTGACACCATAATCATTTGCTATGGAGAGCTGGATGAAGGGAGCGAGTATCAGGTTACTTACACATAGTCTTCCCTGTCAAGATCAGTATAAAACTCTGAGAGCTGATCAGTCGTGAACATACCCTGTAAAATAACATGGATTATCAGGTTAGTACTTGRATTGTACATCCCAATATTACTGAATACATACAATATGCAGTGTTACACATAGATACCTTGTATACAATGACGTCAGTAGAGAGACTACAAATATAAAACCTCCTGTTCTTGGTTCTCACTGTATGTGTTGCAACTTTTCTCATTTGAAACAGTTTATGGTGGAATAATTGCTGGTCATATGAACTTGTTACAAACACCTTAACAAAACGTAAATAAAGAAATGAATTATGGAAAAGAGAGGCAGACGATTGAGCGGTACTGACCTGCTTAATGATTGGCTGACATCCTTTAGCAGTTTTGCCAAGAGTAGTGTCATTAAAAGGTATATCATACCAACCAAGAACTTCAAAACCATGCTCATTGGCTACTTTTTCAAACCCTTCCTGGCCTTCAACAGCCTGGATTATTGATATAATAATTAATGTAAATTCCAACGCAACAATACCATAATAATGTTGCACTAAATAAGAATTATATATAGTTTACCTTGTTAATATCTTGGTCCAGGAACATAACCCCTGAAGCATACTGACCAGGAGGTGGGAGAGTAAACCCAAGATTATTCTCTCTATCATGTAAGAATTGATAGATTACTAATCAATTAAAACTATATAGTTAGAAATATGACTCCAATCTTCTGGTAAGCCATGCCCCATCCCCTGTCATACTAGACACTATGCCCCTCCCATTCCTGATGTGCCCAGCTCTCCTACACACTTACTCTATAATATTTAGGTACATTTGGTGAGGGTGTCCTGACATTATGCCAGCACCGTCACCTGTGTTTTTCTCACACCCACAAGCTCCACGATGATTCATTCTCTTTAGAAGGATAAGAGCATCTTTAACAATCTGAAAAATATTATGATATATTTCATGAGATTGATAAAATTCACTTTGATCATTGACAGGAGACTTTTTGCAAACTGCTTGTTATTGACAGGCATGGACTCAGTATAATTATGATGCATAATTCATTTAAACAATCATAAAATACACACACAAATAACTAAGTAGACAACAAATACAAGTCCATCTTCAACCACTCTTAATGCATTAATTTATTACTGATATTTTTGAGAGGAAAAAGCAATAAAAAACAAATGAAAATACAAATAGCCTAAACAATATACGCAAAAGGCATGGAATATAACCAATACAATATTACTTGTGCAATCATTTTTGTAGAACATAAGCAATTTGAGGCGAGAAATGAGTGTAAATTTTACGCATGACTTCATTATTGTTTGGGAGCAAAGTTCACATCCACCATCAACAAACTGACATGTGATTATGTAATAGTAAAATACTGAAATACAATTATAGGGAATTATATACATTATAGGAACATATATAGCATAAAAAGGTTGCAATACAGAGTTCTATGAATTTGCTTATATTAATTGTCGAAGTAGCGCACAAAAAGATGAAAGATTGAAAGCTACGACCCTTCGACAATAACACCTGTAATTTGTAACTTCCATATATTCATCCATGCTTATCGCATGTCAGCTCTGTTCAAATGGTTAAAATGTTTCAAACTGTAGAAACTTTTAGAGAGATTGAAAAGTCAGCATGAGAAATCCTAGTCAAATTGAAAGGACAGTATTCTAGGAAGCTCGGAGGAAGTGTTCGTCACGTTCGTGTTCAGAATTCCAGATATTTCCCAAGCCGGATGATAAAAAAGTGTACATCGCCAGATAGTTGACGTACAGTGTTCATAAAATATACGAATGAACAATTTTTTTTTTTTTGCGAAAAAGAGAGCTATACAAATGTTTATGATGTTTGATATATTTTTTTCATTCTTTGGGCGGCCTATCCTTGGAAATTGCTTGCATTTGCAAACCTTTTTTTACTCATAAAATTTTAACTTTACGAACCTTGTGAGAGGTTTCTCCATTAATTTTAGCGATAAAACCAACTCCACAAGCATCTTTTTCGTGTTCAGGTGAATACAGGCCTTGTTTTGGAGGCAAACCGTAGTCAGATAGTACCATTTTGACCCTCGTGGCCGGCGACCCTCAGTGAAGTATCAAGTACGATCTTTCTGTTTATCTTCCTCAATTCATGAGCCCCCTACACGCGACATGTAAAATATCAGTAAATCAATTATTTACTGTGGAAGTTGTTCTTCTTTAGAATTGGCAGAGTTGTTTGCAAATTACCGATTACTTATAATTGACTTACACTTTTATGTTGTATTTTGTATAGCCGAGTCTGTTTTGACCTCTGTACCCTGCTGTATATACGGCGCGCACGTGGGCATCATGCACGTAAACATTGGCACATTTACTTCCGGAATTTTGGCACGTTCATGTACTTTTCCGGTCCAGTGTATTTCAAGTAAAAACTACTAGTAAAATGGTTTCAAAAAATGTAAGTAGTTAGATTAATCGATATAATATATACTACATTAAAAGTATTTCAATTTAAGTTCTGCCTTTTTCGAGGTATTTTTTGTGGACGCAAAAGCATGTGCGCAAAAATTTTATATGCAGTTTAAAACAATCCTATATTATATACATATAATTGGAAAGAGCTAAAAGATGAGAAGCAAAGTAAGTCGTGGATTAAACTGATATCTAATCGAACTTTAAGCTAATGAGTAACGGCCGATCTCCGCCGATATAACGATTTATGTGGGTTACCTGTGCTGCTTACGGTCAAGTGAAGTGAACTGAAGTGAGAGACTAGTGACGATAAAATCAAAGCGCGGGCTTTTTCCAACGAACGAAGAAGAAGCATTACACAACAATAACACATTTTAAAGTGATTTTACAGTAATTCTTTTAGTTTTTATAGTCAAGATGAGAAGAAATACTCTTGGAGTATTGAATGGAAATCAATCAGCCCGTCCTAAGGACAGAAAATCGTTAGGGCCTCGTCCTTCGACTGGACGCTTGTCGACAAGCGGCCGACCATCGATCAGCTCTAAAAGGTATAAGCTTACTTAAGTATTTTGATAGATACTTTGGCGTTTTCCATCTTTATTGGTTATTCCAATAAAGCAAGTCGTTCTTAAAGTAACTTACATGTATCAATGTAATCACGTTTTAAAAATGTTTTTATATTTGTGTGAACTAGTCTCCTTCACAGCCTACCCTCGGTTTTCCTGATTCACACCTATAAATTATAAACTGCAACATCTCTGAAAAGTTCAGCTTAAAGATCATAACGACACATTTTGTTTAACAGGCGATCAAGTCAGTATGGACGAGATAACTATGCTCAGATTAAAGACACAAGAAATTTATCAGACAGAGGTAAACAAACAGCTGAAATTCTGCATAAATTTAAATGATCTTAACTTAAGTTAATCTTAAACTATGTTCATAATATTTAATAAGATTAGTATTAAGATTAATTTCCATTATTTCTGTAGGAGTTTATCGTAAAAACATTCGAAATTTGATGGAGGTATGTCAATTTCATTTGCACATCATCAGTAGTGCGCCTGTTTTGATTGTTTTTGAAATCTACAAATTTATTTGTTTGTTGATATATGAAATATATGTTTTCAGTTTTTGACAGAGTTCAATTATCCAAATCCAATATCAGAACGAATACTAAGTGCCCCTCCAATGAAGGAATTTAAAAAGATTTTTCTGGTAAGAAAAACAGCAATGTACATGTATGTACTAATATTTTCATAATTGTGCAACAATAGGACTCCACACAATGTGACCCAGGCATTTTGTCTGTGCAAAGGGATTTAACTACAATAGTGATTTACCAATGCATACAAATTGTTATTTTTTATGTAGTTTGTGTACAGTTTTATTGACCCAAATGTCAAAGAGAAAACCATTGACAAACGACCAGAAGAAGAAATTCCTAGGATCTTCAAACTTCTTGGGTCAGTGTCATGTGATGAAATTCATTTAAAGAGTTGATTCTTGTGATTTACTAAGATTTCAATAATGTGACCTTAGTATTCCCCTCTATAGATTGCTAGATATTCAATTGCTTTTGTAGATATCCCTTTACAATATCCAAGAGTTCAATGTTCTCCGTTGGCAGTCCACATACATGGCCAAATCTTCTTGGCGCTTTGTGTTGGCTGATAGAACTAACCAAGGTACATCATCTACACAATACAATATAATATAGCAAAAATAGACACTAAGCATCTTTCTGGGACAAAAAGAGAGACAAGTATCCACATTGTCAACAGCATTATCAGAAATAATACATAATACACTCATCACAACAGCACTGTAGTCTATAAGCTCCTACAGGGCAGTAGCCACAACAAAATGAAGTATTGAGCAATAATGTGAGTCCATTGTCTTACAATGTTTAGTTTGCTATGAAGACTAGTGAAAACATCAATGAAATCTTATTTGATGAAGACAATGATGTTGACAAGGTAAGGACATCAAGTGATGAGTTTTCCTTGTAATATTTCTATTGATATCCATTATTTGTTGTTGTTTACATGTATAGCTCTACTTTGAGTACTTGGAAGACTCATACCTGGCCTTCATGAAAGGAAGAGAACTAGATGATCTCAAGGAGTTTGAAAGTACTCTTTTTGATAAAATAAGTAAGTGTTTAGAAAAGACCATTGAAGAGATGGTTATCACTATAATAATGTTATGTTGTCTTGTTAATTCTTTATCTTCTTTTGTTTTTTTCCAGAAGAGAGACACTCTGTTGCATACAAAGGTAGGCTATTGCATGTTATCATTATTATTGATAATGTAATAAATTTGATAAAATCGTTGTGTATTATATCTCTCTGTAGAGCTAGAAGAACTAGAAAAAGAAAATGAAACCTTGGAAAAGGAATTGGCTGAACTAGAAGGACCAGTAAGATTTATAACACCCAATTCTTTATACAATATCAAATGAATTAATATATCATCTTCATATGATTTCAGTCCAGGTTGGAGGCTCTGGTTGAGAAACAAAAGAGTCTAGAAACTGACAGGTAAGTTGGGATCCCTGTATAGTGCACAGGAAGGCAAAACATATCTGGTAAGCTATGGTCTAATGCTTGATCTAAATTTAAAATGATTCAGTGACCTTGTTATTTTGTATTTCATTCAACATATACAGAGAAAAGTTCAAAAAGTACATCCATGATCTGAGAAAGCAATCTAAGATAATATCAGATAACAACTCACAACAGGATGAAGAGATTCTGGCATTGAGTAAGTTTTTTTAGACTTGTTAATCCCCAATATAATAGATCACACATGAAACATTTCTACTTTCACCTCACCTCAACCATTTCCCTTTGAGAAGCCAATCTCAAAGTTGTGCTGACAGATTATCATATGACTTTTCGTTCTTGTAGAAATGGAGCTTGATGCCTTGACAATAGAGAACATTCAAAGACAGGTTAGACAAGTTATTGTTTGTACTTAAGTTATTTGTGTGTACGATCATTCTTAGAAAGCACCTCTTGTATGCCTGCACTAAAGTCAATCTTGAGCAGATGTAAACAGGAGACCCATACCATGTAAATACATTACTATATGGACAGTATCTTGATCTAAATAAACATCGTTCAAAGACTTCATGATACATAATTAATGTACAATAAAATTATTCCTGATCATGCTTAAGGAAATTTTGGACAAGCAAGAGCTGAGCCCAGCTGATGTACAGCGCATGAAAACAGAGAAGAAAGAATTGATGAAACATTTGAAAGACCTTGAAGGCAATTGTGATTATCTTGACAAGAAAATCTGGGATCTAGAGATGGACTACGCTAAGCTACATGAAGAGGTACAAAGAAACCAATATTGAAATTTTCATTTGGAATTCAAACTTAGTTCTGGAACATTTTACCATAAGACAAATGATAAACAGGTTGATTGTTCCATGATAGTTTTATTTGCAAAAGAGATCTTAACATAGTAATATTGATCTTTCAAAGGCTGAGCAAAACATCAGAGAATACAACGAGACTGCAAGAAAACTAAAGCTAGTTCCAACAACAGCAGAGAATGCCAATGGCTTTGACTTTGAGATGCATTTTAACCCACAGCAACTTGGAGTCGTATCACACTACAGAGATACTTTGAAGGTGAAATGACTAACTATGGATTATTGTATTGACTTTCACCACATTTTTGTGGGTGAAAAATGTCTTTTTTCTTCTTCAAGAGTAACAGCTGTGTAAGGTGTTAAATGCATCTTGCAGAACTATCTCACCATTATTTTTCATCAGTGGTGATTGCAGATGTAAAATGAACAAAATACATGGGACAGTGAAGTTACAATAAAGGACTTGTTTTGTCATTATTTTTTTCTAGCCTGCATTGATTGATATCAAAGAAAAAATCACAGAAAGAACAAGAAACATTCAAACACAGATAATGACAGATGAAGAAGCATTAGACCAGGTAAGATTCAAACCTTTTTTTCCCTAAAAGGCAACTTACATATTGTACTCATCCTTCGATTTAACAGTTAGGAGATCTGATCACAGAGAGACGTGAAGAATTAGAAAATTTAGAGTCCAAACAGGCTTTGATGGACAAAGACTTTGAGACCAAAAAAGAGGTAAGTACATGTATGGATGGCTTACAGACCAAACTGTTATTGTCAACTTATTCATTGTATGTTGTGGTTTACACTAGGAAATGGCAAAACAACATCAAACATTAACAACAGAGTTACAAGAAAGACAGCAGGAACTAATAAACGTGAAGAAACAAGACAAAGAAAGCACTGAAGTCAAACAACAACAATTACTTCAACTACAGGAAAGGTACATGTACTACTAAAAACACAAAACATTGTGCTTTTTGTTTATATTCTGTAATGTATGTGCACAAACACTGAAAGTCTGGATGTTCTATGGTGGAAATAGACTTGTTAAAGTCAGACTTTTGACAAACAAAGATACAGAGATAAGAGTATTTTTTGAAATCTGTATGACTTCACCGTACAAAAGATGTCTAGTGCCTCACTCAAAGATGAGCAGACTTCATAAACAATACCACTTACTTTAACTATTAAATACAGAGCTGATAAAAGAACAGTGGAGCTACAAGAAGAGGTCTCAGAGTTTAAAGAATTCCTGGTAAAAGCATGTCACTTGGTGATGGACCACAAAACCATCATGAATGTAAGTTGTTAACATTATTTCAATGCCTTGCTTTATGTGTGTTTTATTTGTGTGAAAGGTGTCATTCTTCTTCATTTTAACTTTATCTTCTTTTCATTAGAAATCTATCAAAGAAATAGAAGAAAGAGCCAAGCAAGCCTTACAAGAAACAAAAAGTCTACAAGTTCCTGAAATGCAAAATGACAACTAAATACACAGATCTTTTATTTTTAAGATGTTGCTAACTAAGAACTGTGTTGGTGTTGTTAATCCTGTCATTACATGAAAACATGTCCATTCGTGATTCTGTACAGTCATGTTTAACGATAATACCAATAGTACAGTAGTTGACAATGAATCCTAATGGAGCATTAAGAAAATAGCCTGTACTGCTGTACTAATGGAACATATTCTAGCAACCTTAGTGAGATGTCCCTAGCCAGTCTAAAGTCATTCAATTATTGGCTAGGAACACTGGCAATGCAGGCTACAGGCTAGGGATAAAGGAAGTAATCATAACGTATATGATATTAAAACCAAAGCTTGTTATTTAATATGTTAAGTTCACCATTATTACAAAAGATATCCTGTGAGATTTTTACACTTGTGGTGTTATGAAACAATAAAAGACTATCACAAAAGGAGATACATATTGTACAAGAGCTATAATTCGCATTATCATTGGTACATACTAATAAAAGTGCATCTTTGTTAGTGTCTTTCATGTCGTCTTTCCTTTGATGATGAATACTTTTCACTGAAATTGATAATAACGAGATTATGAGAAAATAAATGAAATCTTATCCAAAGCTTTGTGTTTCCTGTGTTACTTTAGATAAGGTAGCCTGGTACAAAGTTATTTGACACAGGAAACCCACAAAGAAAGCTGGACTACAGCATAAACTTCATTATTGTCAAATTGGTACCTTTTACTACTGTGGTGCCTTTTTTTGGAATTCTTGTCATCATCAGAGCTGTAACTCTCCTTTCGTTTTCTTTCTTTTGTTCTTCTTTCATCACTGTATTGCTCAGTTCTTTTGTTCCTTCTTCTATCTTCCTCATCTGAACTATATTCTCTCCTATCTTTTCTTTTATATTTCTTATCCTCTCTCTTGTCCTTTTTCTTGTATTCTTCATCTGAACTGTGGTATTCTCTCCTCTCTTTTCTTTTTCTTGTGCTGCTGTTATTATCACTAACTTTATGTTTTCTTTTTCTTTTATCGTCATCACTAGAGCTGCTACTTCTGTGGTGCTTATGTCTTTTATGACTATCTTTATCATTTCTGGTCTTTCTTTCATCTCCACTACTATTTTCATACACAAGATCATATGAGTCTTTTCGTGTTGTATTTTTTACAGCATACTTTTGTTTTTCTTCTTTCTTCTCACTGATAATTGGTTTGGCTCCTTAAAAGAAAACCAGAATAACTTATAATATCAATTATGTTAATGGTTATACTACTAAAGGATCCCAAACCTTGTTTATTCCAGTTCAAATGAGCTACTGACTGCGAAAAGTCTACATGAATGCGGCGATCATCAATCAGTACATTATCCATCTTGAAATAAGCTCTTTCACAATCTTCTTCCTAAAGAAACATTGATTCACACAGTGCAACCTTTATACATGACACCAAACTATTTATTTCAATGAACTATATTCACATTCTACCACATATTCTACCACTATTTTTGTTTTGTTGTAAATTGACGCATTAGTCTAGCAACAGGACTCCAGTTCACCCTTGTAAACTAAACCACTACGATAACGATGGGATGTTATCAATACCTTTTCAAACTCAATAAAAGCATATTGCAGTGATTCTCCACTCTTCTGATCTCGCACAATTTCACAACTGAAAACACAAAGAAAAAACAAAATTTGTTTTGAAATAATTATTTGAATGCATAGTACTGCATCACAAAATCAGTATAATGACCATAATAAACTAAGTAGAAAAGACAGCTGTATAAGTCTGTTAACATGGAGCTACAGGTATTATATCATAACATTAGTACAGTATTTCATGGAAGCATGTACCTGGTAATGGTGCCAAATCTAGAGAATATGATTTCCAGGTCTTCATCTGTAGTGACAGGATTTAGTTTACAAACAAATAATACATTTTCAGGTGGCTTGACATCGGCATCTGGTATATCACCAATCTATTACACCATATACAAGCATCGTTTCAAGACATAATTCTAATGGTTATTTCTGGAAAATGACTGATCTTATGAATATAACAAACATGAATGTCTGCTGACCAATACATACTGACATGTTCTTACAATGTGAGTACACCTGAGGTCAGTATATTGATATATGGTTGCTATGAAACCAACAACACCATGGTTACAAGGCAATGTTGGTATTGCAAACATAGTAACCAATATTTATATTATTCAAAATAGGCTTTAAATGCTCACCATTTCAAGTATTTGTGCTCCAGCCTTTTGCTCCTTGTTAGCAATCATCTCATCAATTTCCTCCATCGTCTTTCCTTCTGTATCATCCACTTTCTCATCAGCACCAATACGACCACTCTAGGGAATACAAAAATACAGTATCCATGAGTTTTCCATCTTGCAATTCATGTACAGATAAAGGCTGTGTCATGCATACCTCAAGCTGTTCTTTGGTTGGCTCAGGTGAGCGATCTGGCACCTCAAGACCACTAGGATCATCAAATGGATCATCTAATATGACAGTATGGCTTATTCTACAATAAAATAAACACTTGTCATTGATAGCAGCTGCATGGATTTCTCAATTGTCTATGACGTGTTTACCTGATATCTTGGTAGGGTCTGTAAGCATCATCACAGATTGTTTCATTAATTTTTTTAAGGATATCGAATCCCTCTGAAACTTCACCAAACACAGTGTGAACACCATCCAAATATGTTAACCCATCAGCCAGAGTTATAAAAAACTGAAAAACAAAAAATAAACGTTTAATGTTTTATGTATTGCTTTTTTAGTTAGAACAAGAAACAAGAAGCCAACCTGTGATCCATGCATGTTGTCTCCATTGTTCACCATTGAAACTGTTCCTCTTCTTGTGTGTTTGAGTCTTGGTTTCGTTTCTGCTTCAAATAACCTGGCTTGATCTCCATAAAGACTCCTGATGAATTTAAAACAAACTATGTTACCATACACAACAAGTAACTATTTTGAGTACAATATCACTTGTCTTGGATGTAGGGGTCGCACAGCAGTCATCATTTTATTTTTCAAGGTTCTACAATAATTGTATTCTATGATATTGTCATTGACTGTTGATCTATTACCTAAAAACAGAATCACCTCCTTTGCCTGTACCAGTAGGGTCTCCTGTTTGTGCTGTGAAGTTTCTCTGTAATCACATCAATCATGAGTGCGCTGTCTTCTGATTGGTTGATACATTCTTTCATATATCAAGCTGTCTGACTAGTCTGGTCTAGTATCTTTTAAATATGATTTTAAAGTTATCCTACTTGCATAGTAATGTGTAATTAATAATCTTTTACCTGTACAGAATGGAACAAGCAGTAGTTATAGTATTTGATTTTGCAAAGCTTGAGGAAATTCAAGCACGCTGAAATTCAAGAATAAAGCAAAGCATAGGATAATCAGATATAAATAAATCGTATGCATAATACTGTCAACAAAGCTAGGTACCTCGTGGTCGTTCTTCTGTGAATAAATCGATGACAATGTCACCAACTGTAGTTTCAAGAAGAACCGACATTTTGGATTGTTTTTGAAATAAAAATCGACTAAAACACTAACGAAAATGAAAAAAATCGGCTCCCATTACTATACAGATAGCATCTGAGAATCTTATGCTGCCAATTTGTCACAAATGTGCACAAAAGACAAGAAAAAGAGTTGCAAATTATGAAGTCTTCAAACGTGCTTTGTACGTTCCAGACATGAGCAAATTTATACTTAGGGGGGTAAGGTAAAATTGTCCAGTTTTGAAAATATAATCGAAAAACTTTAAGAATGGATAGAATTTGATTAACGGTGCATCTGGTTTAATATGTATTTGATATGAATAAAACTTATCAACATTTAAACTTTGAAAGAGTCTTTGAATTATCCAAATTATTTTACATCCCCCCCCTCCCCAGTAAGTTTTACTAATACCGCTGACCGCGCGCCAATTTTCAAAACAGTTTGATTCAAAATGGCGCACTTTGGAGCAGAGTTTTTCTCTCAACTTCGATCATTTACTAAGAATTTAGACAAAGATTGTCATGAACTCAAGTCGAAAATAGAAAATGAGGAGATACCGTCTTGTTCAGAAGGTCGAGCGCATCTTATTTTGCGCGAAATTCTTTCCGATGTCCAACATTTCAAGGTAAGCTTCAGCTTAACCTTAAGTTATTTTAAAAGATGAGTCTTGTTTATGGGAACCGGCAAGATCACTGAATTTTGACCTTTGTTTGTAGGTTGAGGTAAAGGAGAAAGTCTCCCAGAACAAGAGTAATTTCACTTTCAGTGAGGTTTTGGGTGCCTGTGAACGTCTTGCAGAACACACAAAAACACAGATAGATGATTTACAAGAGCATCTGGCAAAATATGGCTACAAACCACGTAATGTTTCCCATTGTTTTTGCCTTCTCTTGTTACAAAGGAGCGAATGAATTACCTAGTGAAGAGGCTACTACAGTCCAAACTCAGGAAAGTTGACATTTAGCTACTGTAGATTAAGTTCTACAAACAGGTGTCCATGGGACTGACATGCATTCCAGTGATACTAGCCTGTCAATCATGTTTGCATACATTATAAGAGGGTAGTCAGGGCAATGGCCTAAACATTCTGTATTTTTATATCAAGTGATCATCCCTTTATAATCTATTTCAGTTGAGATTCTTTCAGTCCATGATGTCCGCAGCAAAGAAGAAAACAACAATTTAAAGTAAGATATCTTTGTTCCATTTTAAAGTGCTATGACTGAAACTAGACCAATATTGATCCTTGTTTGTTAATTTGACAAATTAGCTCTGCACCAGATAATGATTCCCTGGACAGCTGTCAATCCAATGATGAGGATGACGAAGAGAAAATGTCAACTAATGAAGAGCCATGTGAGGCTAAGCAAAATGATGAAGGTATGGCTCAAAAATGGACAGGCCTTGATAAACCCAACACAAAGCATTTTTTTAATGTTTTAAAACCTTTTTGCAAGCTTTAGAAGTGTATTTGAATGATTATATCATCTTTGATGCAGATGATGTCATGATGACACCAGTTAAACCAGTAACCTTTACAAAAATGTTTGAAGTCACACCACCAAATACAGCCTATCAGAGTGCAGAGCCATGTACACCTGACCAGTCACCAGTCCCTCCCAAGACAACAACACCAATGATTAACACAAGGTCATGGACGCAAGTAAGACACACATATTGGCTTTAATTTTTCCACCAGTACCGTGATAATGGCTATTAGTGTGTTAAAATCGAGTTTTATGGATTTCGCTAATGTTATTCACCATACTGTTTCACTCAAAGGTTAACCAAACTCACAATCAAAGTTTTGATTCCCCGTTACCACCAATGCTAAACACACCTGGTTTGAAGATGCTGGGATCTCATCACCATAGTAACAGTATTAAAGTCCAGGGATGCAGTCCAGTCATGACAGATGATATTGACTCATCTCCAGTCCCTCCTGACATAACTTGCACAGTTCTGCTAAAACCAGGTAACTTGCCCTGCAGAAAACATTTAGTGTGTACAATGTGTTAGCACTCCTATGTGATGCTTATCCCCATTTAATACGATACAGTGTCAACATTGGTAAACCATGTACAGTTCCGCTAGTCAATATAATGGACATTTAATTGTTTCAGATGATTTAGATGTACCCAAAATGAAGACACTTCCCGAAAACAACATTGAGGACCTTAAACAGAAATATACCAAACTACCTCAATACTTACAAAACCACTTTTCCATTAATGAAATTCAACACCTCTTCCAAGAAATAGACAGCTATCTTTCTGACTATGGTAAGTTTAGACCACTGACAAAGAACGGTAAACACTTTGGGTTAGAGTTTGGTGAATCTACTTTGTATTGCATGAAAACAGTTTTCAGTGATCTACAGCATGTAGATAGTATATAATTGCAAATTAACTGTAGTCTGTACATCTATTAGATTGTAACTCCCTGAGTGAAGAAGTATTAAGAGAAGTATTCAACCTTGGCGCCAGGACAAAGGCATTCATGTTGATACTAAGCAAGTTTGATAAAGCACACATGTCTATGTCTAATAGAGAATTAACCTTCAACCAGTGATTTAACAAACAAACATAACTCTACACTTTTATAAAAACATGGATTTTTTCCAAAGTACTGAAGGATTAGCAAAATTATGAAAAACTCATGTAAATAAGGTTAAATTTAGAAAGCACATTGATTCATGAAGTTTCAGTCAGCAATAATTTATTATATTAAAGGACAAAAATATAATTGTCTCTTGTTGCTGAAAATCATAACACATGATTCTATAAATTCATAGCATTATCCTTTGTGTCCTTGTGTGTCTCTTGATTCTCAATGGAAATGATGTACAAATTCAGTGTATCAAAAGGCACACATAGATATCAATTCATGGTTTATTGTTCATGTCTTTGTCCTTTTATTATTATTCATGGTATCTTCCTCTGTATTCTCATCTTGTTGGCCTCTTTTAAGTCCCTTTAGTTTTCTTGTTTGTAACTTGCCATAGTCTTGTCTTGTCATATGAACACGTCCTGTCTTAGTACCAAATGCATCGTAATCCACATTCTTGACTTTAGTTGGCTGTAAGCAGAAACATACAAAATGAACTAGCACTAATAACAAGCATAAGACTTGAGGCAATACACTTGCAAATAACAAAATATCCTATGCATCATGCACAGTAAAACAAGTTTTTAGTTTCACAATCCCTCAATAATCAAATGACAATGACTAAACTTCAAAATAATTATTAAAAAAGATGTTGTTTAATTATTATTGCTTTTACCTTAGCAACTTTTGGAACTTTAGTAGCTTCCTTCATTAAGTCTTCTGAAGCCAACCTTGTTCGTCTCAGAGTAAAATCAAAAGCTGGCCCCATCTCCTCAAGCTCCACTCTAGGAGTTCGACCTCCAGATTTCTTTAAAATGGTTCTATTCAGAAAAGTGTACAGCAGGTTAATTAACTGTATCACATACTTTTTATATGTACATATTAAGAAACAATACCTGTAACTCCTGAACAAAACATGTTTATCTATTGCCGTAATCTGTATGACATGCTCTAACCCCTGCAATCTTATTTTGTCTGTAACGGTTCCTCTGAAAAAGTCTCAACATTGAAATTATGTTACAATCAGTAATAATAGTTGCCAAGGTGACTTTACTAGCATCAATTATACAGGTTTTGTATCTAATTGTACAATGTCTTTATTATACCTATCAATAAATTCTTCAATCGTTTGTATTCTAACTCTGTTTCAAAGAGCTCTCCTGAAAAGAGAAGACAAGGCTTTGTACCAACTGTGCACTTGCTTGTCTGGAAAAAGAACCAAAAAGTTTTACTGATTTGAGCTCTTATAAGGACAAATATAAAGTATATGCAATAGATTCGACATATCACAGCTCTTGATAAAAGTCATTGTGGTTGTTGTTATATAGGCTGTTTATGTCTTGGTCTTTAATTTTACTCTTTGTGATCTCAATATGATATACTTTTTTACAACATCAAAGATCTGGTCATAAGCACAATCTTTACCTGAAAGCTTTGTAGAGTTTTAAATCTATCAATTCCTAATTCTATTAAATCCAAGACATGCCCATCAAATGTTCGTCCTATAGGAAAAAAGAGCATTCATTATAAACAAGTTATTTTCAGACATAACACAGAAACACAACATACCTAAAACAAGATTATGAGGTCGTTTCTTGGAATGTGATCCATATGCGATCAAAGACGCATCATTTTTAACAGAAAAGAATTCCTATGACAAAGTAATTTCAATACTATCAGTGGACTGCTACCACAGCATTATCAAAATGAAGAGAAACACTTTCAGGATAACTGTTAATAAGATCTCTAGATGTCAATGACTACTTACGAGTGAGGTTTGATCCTCGAATGGAAGAAGTACATTTTTTCTGTAAACAAATAACATATTCTATAAACAAACCCCTTATTTAGATTTGCAAGAAAATCTAAAATGCAAGAAGCTCTGTTACCTCTGGAACATGACTGCATTGGGTTTCTTTAAAGCATACTACGAATACAACAACAACACAGACATTATTTGGTATTTCTGGGGAACGATGATAAGGAAAACAACGGTACCACGTGGTCAGCTGTTTGACAACTCAAAAACACGTAAAAAACTATAGATAAGTATCATTTATCACACAACTTACTAAGTCTTTAAGAGCTTGAGTCACAAGCTCACTCGTCCTTCCACCTCGAATAAATAGGGCTTTCTTGGTATTTTCTACGGCTTTAGGAGACTTCGCTTCAATAGCGCGCTTACCGCGCTGTGTCTTCGCTTTTCTGCAAGGAAACCAACACCAAAAACAAATAAAAACACACCAACAACAACAATAAAAGCAAAAGATCAATAAATGACATACAAGACAACTTTCTAATAGCTACAGCAGAGATAAATGTAAAAGGAAGATATCGCGGTCGACTTACACAACTTTCCCGTCCGCCATCTTGAATTTTCTGCCTCAGTCTCTCTCGGATTATTGGGAATACTGTTGGGGTTCCTGTGTTCTTATAACTCTTGGCTATGTCTTTTTTTCCCCTGATCATTAATGAAAAAAACCCTGAAAGATAGACTTTCTCGATATATGGTCATCAGCCAATCAAAATGTGCGTTATATCTGAATTAAAAGTAATCCAAAAAATGAAAAGTAAAGTAAGCAGGTGTCGAATCGATTTGCGTTACGGTTAGAGAAAAACTTCACATATCAGGATGCTGCTTCAAAAACTGAAAGTGATTTACATATTTGTATTCTCTTTTAAGTGTGAATAAAAGATTAATTACTGCGTTTTCTTTACTGTAATTATTAATTATAATTTCCTGTAGCCTGTGCATAATTGATAATTGTACTTTTAAAAACATATAACACTTCGAGTATTTTAATTGTGTTTATTGTGATTTCAACGATATAGTAATAGTCTGTGTTAATGGAGCTTCTTGTCTTGCTATCAGTATCGACCTCCCGTCGAGTCTGCTAACGCGAAATTCTGTGACAATATCACTGGTAATGAAAGCAAATCGAATTCACTTAGCTTCAGGGACCGCGGAGCGGGATCTTGTTTGGAGGGGGGAGGGGCGAGGAGGTACTAGGGGGGTCGGAAATTTCTGAAATCTTAACTCTCGGAAATGCCATTTGCAGCGTTTTGAGGCGTTATCCAAGACATATTTACCGCAGACACGGTCAGCAATATTATCAATAAAATCCCAAAGACTTCATAAGGCAGGAGGCTTTTCGCTTCTTTATTTAAGAAAATTCAAAATGTCGGAAATATTATTGGGGGGCTGTAGCCCCCCAGCCCCCCCTGCTCCGCGGTCCCTGAGCTTAATTAACTTTATTGACGATAGCCCTTTTTGGAATTGAAATGTTATGATATTAAAACATCGGTTTGTTTGTGTTTTTAGTGACCAGATATTGATAAATGTTTGCATCATTTCTTTCGTCTGGTTTTGTAAGCATATGTGACGGTGGATTGTCAGAATAGACAAAGACTTGATCATTCACGCAGGTAGAACTTTTACTGACGGACTAAAAGCATCTGATATACTGGGCTACTTACAAATACACAACACCTATGATTGCATAAAGTCTACTAGGTATATAAATTGACTGAGATACTAGTATTAAGTTATAGGGTCGGCTCCGTTAGGTCTATTACAAACAAAAGACTAACAAGTCAATTGGTTTTAATGTTCTTTGACGGTGTGGTCATAAAGCGGAGAGTATTGTTAGTTACAGCTTCAATTAGGGCTTTTATAATCTTTACTTAATCCCTCCAAACCAAGCTAGTTATATCCAACTCCCTTGGGGCGAAATCTATACTTTAATATAACACACAAGACTGTTTGATTATTATTAGTTAGAACACTAATTATGTCTTCTAGGTTGGACGCTTCGTGTGGACAAATGACTCTTCTAAGCACAAATTTAAGAGAGCAAAAAAGGCTCGAAGGTCACATTAAAGAACTTCATTCCTCAACTAGGTTTCGTATGAACAAAATCGACCGTGAAATTATGGCCTTGAAAAAGCAGTTGGAAGAAAACAGAAAAGTATATGGAACCCATTGTGATATATCAAGACAAAAGGATAAAAATGAGGCACAACTCAAAATTACGAAGGTGACTGCAACACCTAGTAGTCTGCAGTCTGTCAGACCGAGTACCAAAGTAAGGCCTGGGAGAAGACACTCTATAGCCTCACCAATGGAAATGAAGTTGGACTATTCTGGGCTTGAAAGAGGCATTACAACAAACTTTATTGATGAAAATGTTTATTACGGAAAAGACAACAAGAATACCCAGAGAGCTCGGCTGTCAGCGTTTTCAAATTCAACCGAAAAGTTACGCCAGGCATCAATAGGAACGCCTCAAGGATTGGCGACACCAAACATACCATCAACAAAAAATATTAAGCAACAAAGAAGACACTCCATAGCTTCACCAACAAACCAGGAAATGACGTTACTGGACTATAAACCAGAAATATCAATGAACAGTCCAATTGTAGCTTTCTCCGGCAAGGACAAAAATATCGAAGTGGACCCGGTGACATTAGACAGAAGCGCGGGATATTTTTCAGTTACGAGAAAAAAGTATCCAAGGTTTTCTTCGTCGTTTGCAGGGAAACGGTTGCAAAGTCAAGGACCACAAAACAACAAGGCAGCCCCTCAAAACTCTGAAACCAGGGGTTTTGCGCGACGAACTAACTATACTTTAGTTTTTAGTGATAGCGAACACGTAGATGATAAGTGTAAGAAAGCTAGACATTTCTCACAGGCAACCGCTGAGAAACCCTTTACTAACTTAAATGATGTACCCTCAAAGAAAACACTTTTCCAAAGACGAAGATCTCTTCCAAATGCTGTTTTACGTACCAACAAATGCAATGTTTCTGCATTTAAGACCAGTAACAAAACAGAAAAACTAACCGCAAAGTTACCAACACGTGTGGCCTCAGCAAGAACGCTACAACCTCAACAACGGCAGAACCGTAGACCAACACCAGTCGAAGAAAATACAGAAAGCGAGGAAAAAAATAATGAAAGTGAACATAAAAGCAAATCTGAAAGTAAGAAAGGTAACAAAAGCAACGATGAAGACAAGAGCAAGGATGATGATGAGGTTGAATGTTTTAGTGAAGATGAGGCAACGGAACCCCATGAACTACGCATGCTGCCAAAGATAACACTTGAAGAAAAAATTGAGAAGTATTTTGCAGGAACAGATGAGAATGCAAATAGTGTTATACCGGGACATTTTCAAGAGGTTCTTGAACAATTTAAAACAAATGAGGAAAACGAGAAAAACATTGAACACTGTTCTTCTGAAAAGAACTAGTTTGACGACCAACAAAAAAGCCAACAAGACACAAAACAATTTAAAAATCCAACACCAACAACAAAATGTCAATTTACAAGTAAACAAACAAAAGAAAAGCAAACAAAACAGGCTGTATAATCAAGATAAAAAACAAAGACCGCGAGTAAACAAAGAGAGTGCTTAGCAACGAGACAACTGAGACCATTCTATAGAAAAAGTTTCCTAACTATAAAAAGAGTAAATATCAAATATCATCTATACTATTAAAATGGTTCCTTATCATTGAATAATCTGTTCTTATAGTTTGTAAGTGTTGAATGGACGCAAGGGGCGTGATTTTCACAATGCGACGAAACAAAGATGATATTCGCTGTCACTCCGCTATTACTTTGTACAGCTTTTCTCATTGGTGCAATATTCATACATTGGGGATAACTTTCCGCTGGGACACAGCACTGCTGATATGGGCTCTATCCACAAGTATGCGGATATTCTAAATTCGCTTTTCTTTACGGTGATAACTTCACAATATTAAAGGTATCCGGATATATTTCTCTGATCGAGATGTGTAGTCTTTACGTTAATCATCTTAACGCATTCGCGTCCCGCTGTTTTATGATTTCCTATATTAATCTAAATGTAAATTTTATTGTGTTAAACTAACTCCAATCAATCCTCCTGTCATTTTTAATCATGTTCACTTATGTAATGCGTATGCCGCGAGTAGACGTACTTAGCTCACGTATAATATAATCCAAGATTGACGCAAGGACGCAGCACCTTGTCAAAATACTTCATAGGTACGTATACACCCTTTTAATAAGTCCTGAGGTATTGTGTTCTCCGCACTTGACGTCAAATTTATTCTTTTGAATTCTTTTTGTATTGTAAAAATTTCAAAAGAATAAATTTGACGTCAATTGCGGAGAACTCGATACCTCGGGACTTATTAAAAGGGTGTATAGAATGGAAGATGGTTAAAAAAATTCCCTATATAGAAATCAACGAACTGAGTTCCGCTAATCCCTTGACGTCTTACTTGGACAAAGGACTGGCGTCACGAGAAGATTGTTTCTTTTCGCTTTCATTAGTGAACACAAATCAAGAAAAGATAATAAATCAATGTTATTTAATCTGATAATATAGTTTGATCATCGATATTTCATTTGAAAGTAACAAAGTCTTACACCAACAACTTGAACCGAACCAGCCTTGGCGGCATATGGTTTGTTAATAGAGAGAGAATGGGGTCGAGCCACAGGGAAACCACCTCAAATAACATAAGAAAGTCTCATTTCTAGTAAGTTCCAAGGGCTTGGATAACAAATAAAGCAATTGAAACACAGGCTTCCCAACAAACATGTAACGATGGAATAAGTCAACTTGAAGGCTCTGGAATGATAACACCAGACACAGGAAGCCCAACTCTTGGCCAACGTGGCGCGATCACGTGTCCACAAACACGGAGGTCATAACTCTATACTTCAGACTCATTAGCATCAGCATTCACTTTGACATTTGTTTCCGTATCTTTGCTGTCATGACTACCAGTAGCTTCACTTGGTACAGCGTTATCGGAATCACTTTGGTCAGCGGACTTTGCCACAGCAAACTCATGTGGAGTTATAAGTGGGATAGCAGCAGGTGCAAATCCTCCAGATGACACTTTCTCTAACTTGTCGTCGGTGTTTACAGGTTTACTGTTAGACACTTTAATCTCTGATTCTCTGAATTGCAAATCGCGTTCTTCTGAGTTCAATGAACACTCGTCTTCTAAGATCTCTTCGTCTTCAATCTCTACGTCATATGAACTGTGACTTGGAGCGCCTTCAGACATTGTGTCTAGCGATTCATTCCCATCGTTGTAATGTTTGTAAGTGACATGTCCTTGCTGAGCGAGTTCCTTTGCAATGTTACTGCTTTCATCTCCAGAAATATAATGAAGTTTGACAGACATAGGCGAACCATAGGCCTATATGTAATACGACTACAATTAGTACACGCTCAATCCGTGAAATTACAGATAGCACTAATTCACGTACTAATAGCGTTATAGTTAATATACGGTGAACTCAAAAATATTGTGAAATTATACTATACGCTCTAGTACGCTCTAACTGCATTGCTTTTGTATCTGACTACCACTGCTTTTGTATCTGATGAGACATCAGACATCATTTAGTAATTAAACACTTCTTTTGTTGTATTCATGTTTTACGGGTTAATTACACGAGCTCTCGATTTCATGATCAGTAATTCAGTAAACATACCACTATCCTAGCTTCCAGTCTCCTCCCAACAACGAGTTCAATTAACTGGTCTCTACTGCTATCTGGCCATGAAGAGCCTTCTGAAGGTGAATCAGCAGACATGGGAGGTTTAACATGCGCGAGACTACATTGTGTAGCTTGTATTGGAAGATCGAGCAGCTCTGACGGAAAACCACGCATTCTGGACGCGATTCAAAATGGAAACAAAATTACTTCAAGTTATTATCCACAATGATACAACTAATGATAATAAATATATTGTGCCGATAATAACTATGATTGCTGTGATGGTTGGAGACAATGAGAAAAGACAGTAAAGGTAGTCAGTCCAAACAGCAATAGACGAGTAGTGTAAAAACCAATAACAAGTGATATCTACCTTTCTCCCGACAATTCTTCCGAGTTACCATAGTCGATATAACGAACCAAAGCCTTGAGAGGTTTTTCTGATGTAATTTCAAGTACTTGTGCCCTGTACCATGTATCATCCTCGGTATACCTACCACAGCACAGCATACCTATAATGACACCAATAAATTACAGTTATTATCATCATGGGCTCCCTAGAGGCGCGAGACTGGTTTTAAGGCACATCTGCCTGGAGGAGCGAAACCTCTTCTCCACAAAAAGAATCCCAATCTCAACATTCGCTTTTCTATTTGTTTGTCTTTTAATTCACAAGTTTACCTTTACTAGCGTGTGATAAAGGTTCATATTTCTTAAAGTAGTCAGGTTTATTAATATTCATTTGCATTTCTTCCAGTCTCTCCAGCTCGTCCTCCACATCCAGTAGGGTGGGGTCGATATCGTAGACGTCGTCATCCTCACAGTTTGGTGATCTTTGTATAAATAAACAGTCAGGCTGCTGCACATGAGTGACAATCACGTCAAATGGCATGTCTACTTCCGGTAGCTGTGTACTTGGTAATAGCTGGTCGGCTTCTCTTGCTCCTATCAACATTGCTTGCAGTCTGAACACATGAAAACGATAATCTTTTAGACTGACATCCATGTAGTAGTGTTAACAAAGGTAAATATTGTCCATTAAATGGCTGTCTTACTTGGTTTCTGCTCTCGATGGATGTTTACTTCTTCGATTCTTTACATTACCAACATATCCTCTCCTCACCCCTGCAGGTAGAACATTTGTACTAGGATCCAGTCCATGTATGCCATCCGATAGCCAAGCGAGACCTTTTGACAATAGCTCATCTGAAACATTTCTTCCCTCTGGCGTACAAAGCCTTACTGCAATGGGCTGGCCATCTTTCGCCTCGCCCTAGATTAGCAAAGATGGCTTTAATTTTAAAACAATGCTTGTACAGCAGATCTCTCACAGCCGTAGCTTGCGGTTTCGTCAAAGGGACAGGAATACCAACAAGGAGACTACATCAGCCGGTCGAGCTGCACGGGAATGTAATAACCATACAACACGGACCAAAAGATAAAATTGAGATAAATCAGGAAATATAAAAGAAATAAGTCAACTGTTGAGTTTAGCCCCTATTAGACTAATAATACATGAATCATTAATGAGTTTTATAATAATAATGTACTAATGTCATATCTGACCTCTATCATCACTGAGCAGTTTTTCCCCACAACAAGATTAGACAATGCAGACACTGCCTTGACTGACCAACGACAATCAGACGAACTCTTCAATAAAGAAACAACGTTAATACAATATGGAACAACTTACATCTATTAACACAACTACAACTACACATACAACTCCGTCTTATCACTACCACGTAGCCACTTACTGGTACAACTCCGTACAAGAGAAGTTGAAGACATTGTTTTGGAATTTCCATGTCACGTGGTTCCAGCCTCAATGCTGATAGAGAGACAACTTCAGAATTGCCAAAATCCACATAATTAACCTTATAAAGAAGAGAAATATAATGACTGCTACTGTGAACAATAATAATCTAATTACTGGTCTCAATTCTTTGTGCTACAACACAAAACAATCCTTTCACTACTATTGTGTTGGTGATGGCAGTCAAGGATTCTTGTACATATTGCTTTCACCACACAGGGTACCCACCTCTACTTTATTGATTGACATCACCTTGGTTACCAAAGCCCTGTATAATAGTCCATCACCGGAAAAGTACGCACAGCATGGCTGGCCTACAGTTATGTCATCCGTACTAGAAGCAATCTTGTTGGTATCTTGACGCTTGTTTAGTCTTGTCATTATTTCTACTAATGTGTTGTCATCTGAAAGATAACGAATTGATCTTTTTATGCTATTTTCTATTATACTAGTCATCTGTGTGGTGTGGTGCTATGTGGTGTAGTGTGTTCGGTTGTGGCCTGGTGTGGTGTTGGTTTGGTGTGGTCTGATCGTTTACCTGGTTTTATTTCCTGGACATAAATATATCCATCCATGCCAACATACGTCACTCCTGCCTGGAATTGTTTATTGCCTGGTACCATAGCTGGTTTGTACGATGCTTGGGCTTGAGGAGGACTGGGTTCTTCCTTTTCATCTAGAAGACTGGGCACTAAGGGACTGGATTCTAAACCTTGCTCTAAGAGAATGGGCTGGAATGCATCTTCAGGGGGAGTAAGTTCTGCTGTCTTCTCTTGAGGAATAATTTCTTGTTTCTGATCTAAAGGAGTGAGTCCTAACAATTTATCTAAAGGAGTTGACTTTGGCTGGATTACTGCCTCTTTTTCAGCATCTTGCAGCTGTTCACTATTATCACCGACTGTATCTAGTTTAACAAGAACAAAGATTAAATAAAATACTCATAATTCTCAAAAGGACACAACCTTCTCCTTTCATTCATCTCGTAACAAGTATCACAGTCACCTTCATCTAGAGCCTGGTTCTCTTCCAATGCAGAGTCTTTGGAGACAACATCTGATCTTTCTTCCTCATCTGTACACTCTTTAACGATTCTGTGAATTGCATTACACAGACAATGTTAAATTTTAATAGACGTAGAAGTTAATGATAAACAATACATACCCTAGTCCAGTCGGTACAGCAAGATGTGATTGGACCAGCAAATCATTAACTGATACATCTTTGATAGTAGTATCATCATAAAGAACCATGGACATGTCACCATCATTGACACCTGTCAATCAAATGATAACAAATGAATAACAATGCACCCAGTGAAAAAATCTGCACTTGATGCACAAGAATGAGAGAAATACGTGCTATATCACAATACATGTATGTAGGAGTCAGAAAAATCAGACTATCTAAGGCCTAATAACTTTTTACAACTATTTACAAGGAGAGAAAGAGGTTACCAATGGATTGTCAATTTGAGTGTTGACGAGACAACATAATGGTTCTAAGAAGAAAAAGGAATGAGAAAAAATGGGAAAAATAGCTTTTAACAACGCAAGTAACAGTAAGCCATTGAAATATACTCTATTAAGAGCTTGAACTTGCACCAGATATCTTTGCCATCAGCCCTCCAACTAAGTAAAGAATTATAGAATGAGTGAGGTAAGATGCTAGATGAGGTTAATATAGGAAAACACTGCCCAAGGTCTTGACAGTACGGACCTCATGCACAACATAACTGCAGGATACTGTGGACCAGGCATATTGTGAAATACCAGACTGGATGCCAGCCAATCACAGCCGGCAAATGACTAGGATACTGGACCGACAAAAAATAACTCTTGTTTATTACACTCACTTGTAACTGTAGCGGTGAATGATCTCCCAATTAACAGCTCACAGACAAATTGTCGAACCTGTACAAACACATGGTTAACGATACAGGAATATTTAACGATTAAGTTGTTATATTAAAGTCCTTTACCTTGTCACTCCAATCACCATTGGGATCTTTGATGTCAGCCATTGAAGCCCTCCTGGCCTGAAAATATAAATAAGTCCCTTTGGATGTTATAATTATCATTGTCTTCATTACAGTGAATGTCATTTATATAATATAATATAAGTAATATAATATCTTAATATATTGACATTGTTGGTTCACCATTGTATTCCATCATCATCATCACTATCATTATCATCATCATCACTATCATCAACATCAGTTACCTGTCTAGGTAGAGCTAGTAGTGAGTCAGGAAGTTTTCTGAGAGCAGAAAAAGGAAGTCTCTCAGAATTTCCATAGTCAACATAATTGACATCAAGCGTCTCATCACTGTTTACACCAATAACCAAAGCCCTGTACCACGCCTTGTCCTCTGTGAACTTGGCACCACACACAAGACCTGTATTGATAATCATATAATAGAATGATGGACAGAGACAGACAGACAAAACACCAAACAGAAACATGCACACTATTCATGTTGAACAAACCTCTATAAGGCCAGAGTACTTGAAGATCTTTTCGTTTGTGTTTTCCATTGTAAAGCTTGGCCATCTCATCCATGACTTGCAGTAGTTTCTGAATACTGTTGTCTTCAATCTTTGATAAACAAATTAATAATTACTAATAATATCACAATAATAATATGAAAGAGTGATTAAAGTATAAAAAAAATTTATACATTTTTTATAAATTTTCATAATTTTATAAATTTTATATAGCATTTAGCAGATGGTGGACATAAGAAACTACCATATTTGATCCACTCGATACACATATTAAGTCAATATATTTGTCATTCAATACAACGGAATGTAATTCATTGCAAAATAATAGAGCTGCTACATTGTATTAATCTCTATTTTGTAATTATGTTATGGTTTCAGTGTTGTAACTGTAAAAGAGGAAACAACTTTACCAGTTGGAAGTAAACCTCATCTGGACCAGTGGCATGCGTTACAAGGACTGGTACACACTGACCCTCTTCAACAGGTGTTGGGTTCTTAAACACCCGCATTGGGAACGTCTGCTGACCTAAAGATACAATACTAGACATAAGTATATAACTGTGTAACACTACACAACATTGTTGGGCTGCCTGTGCATTTTGCCAGCTTGTAAGACTTGTTTGCTGGCTGTTTGGATGTTGTTGGATGGAGCATATAACAAATTTTTGAAGATTGAGTTTGCCTTTGTGTCCAAATAGCAAGAAACGAGAATTGCTGCAGGTACTTCCGGAATCAAAAGTTAGTCTTACCTTGGACATTGATTTGTGAAGCAGAAGTCTTAAACCTGGCTACTTCTAGGAACACTAATGCATCACGAACTGATGCAGGTCGATCATCATCATGAGTTGGTTCTTCATCATCAGGACATTTAAGATCAACATGTAGAATACCACTGCCACCACGACGGTAAGCCTGGAGGTACATCACTACCATCAGATCATATTACAAGTTTATTTTACTACAATTTATCAAAACTTACTGTCATCAAGAGTGCTTTGTTGCCTGTCAAACTACCAAAGGCTTTGATGGTCTTGGAGGGCCACACAGTTTGCTGCATCAAAGAAAAAAACATGGCCAATTCATAAAACAAGTTTATAAAATAGTGAAACTTTTTTTTAGTGAAACAAGTCACATTTACCTGAAATGGAGGTACAATGTCCTCTAAGCAACAACACACTGCCATATCAGGGATGTGTAAGAACTTGGTAGGCACATTGCGCAGCCTAGGGACATAAATGCTCTTAACTACTGCCATACTCGTCAATCCCCCTCTAACCCTATTGTTATCAATCCCCACCCTATCCCTATTGCAATCAATCCCAACCCTATCCCCTATCCCTATTGTAATCAACACTTCCTTTATACCTTATCAAAGGCACCCATTCAGAGTTGCCATAATCCATGTATAACACTTGTACGGATAATTTGTTGTCAATGGTTGGTAACGTATTAGGATGAGATGGTGAATACACAGACATTATTCTTGCCCTGTACCAATGATTATCGACTGAGAACTGTGCGCAAACTACATCACCTTAACAAGAGACATAAAATTGTGGTTTAGTTCACTATATTAACTATTGAGAAGAAATATGACAATTTTACAGCAACATCTTGACAAGCCTTTGCTTGTAAGCAAGGGATTCACATTCTTGACTATATCTACATTACCATCTAATATTATAGACTCAACCATTCTCTCACTATAGTGGAAAGGCTCAGTGACCTTTCAAGAGGGTGATGGTGATGTGTGATCATGGTTATTTTCACCATTTTTGCTTTCGTTATCTTTGACACCAAACCAAGTCACCACCAGAATAATATACTTACCCACGTTGACCTCAAACACCATGTCAGCAGCATCAGATGACTCACAGTGCTTGTTGATTGCATTCATCATGACATTAAGTTGGTCCATATCGGCAAGACGCTGTACCACAAAGCATGATGGGTCCTTTATGTGAGTCACTTTAACCAGTTCATGACGATCTACACAGTAAAACGTGAAGCACTTTAAAATCTAATGCAAACAAAACATCCTAAATGATAATAGTGTGGTATAACTCCTAAAATAACTCTTCAAAACCAAAATTATTTTTATCAATAGAATAATGAACAGATATACATGAAAGCATCTCTTGACTGTGAGAAAATACATTATGGTCTTAGAAATACATTACATGGAATACTGAGAAGTTTTCGAGCTGCACGTGTCCGTCTACCATTGCTAATTATCTCTTCTTTTTCTTCTTCTTGAGATGAGTGGTCATCTTGTTCAACAAGGTTTTCATCATTTTTTTCGTTGTTCATATCTTCCTCAGTGACATCACACAGTTTCTTCATCTCCAGTCTTACAAATAAAGAAAGAAAATAATAAATGAATGGATGGATGGATGGAAGGTAAATGAATGGATAATGAATTATTGAAGAGAGGGATAGCTTGACTGATGGAAAGATGAAGGATTGTATAAATTAATAAACATAACTAACCTACTTATCACCACATCTTGTACATTACCATAGTCTTTCAAGGAATCCAAATAGTCCTTGTCATAAGAAAACCTAAACAACAGCACACAACAATTATGCAAACAATAACACAATAAAGAAAACAACTTCACATAGTTATGTATATCGTCTATCATTGGCCTTGATAAAATAATGATAAATGTATAATTATTGTTAAAGGATTGTTCAGAAACCTGGAAAAATCTTCACTTTTTTGTGATGTTTTGATTGCAAAACATGCCATGTCCTGCAATTCTTGAATCTCATTAAAAAACTGCAACAAATATGAAGCTATAATCAGTTTAAGATTTGTAGAGTGTAAAATAACAGGTATTCACACAATACTGTTTTGTTTAGTAGTAAACTGACCTCTTTAGATCTACTGATAAGTGTAGTAGGCTCAAGTAAGGCATCTTCCAGTTCTGTTAATAATAATAATAACTATCATATTGTCAGTGCCCTCATCAACATCTGATCGGTAATTGTTTTACATATAAGAGGTATCATCTAACCTAACAACAACAGTCTTGTTTTCCTCACACTCTCTGCAAGACTCTGTAAAAAAATACAAACATTTTCTAGATAGACTTCAAAATGATATTCGTGTAAGCAGTGTTCATACCATTTCCAGGGATTCCTCTGGACATTGACCTGCCTCAACATCTCTTACAAGCATATTCTCTCTGAAAAGTAAGCAAAACAAAAGATGCAGTCTGCCTGTCCTCAGAGAAGAAAAGACAAACAACTCTTATTAAAATAAATCCTCCAAATGCTTACTATAAGCGTTAACAGAAAGAAAAAACAGACAGAGAGCCCTCATGACAACAGGTCGCTCATAGACACAAACAGAAACAAACCTGACTTGAAGAGCAGATGACAGCAGTTGGAAATGCTCTCTTATTTCATTAGCTAAAACTGTTTTCTCTGACTGGTTTTGAGTTAAAACCTCTCTTATTTTCTGTGATAAAGAAAATTGTATTAGAAAGAGTAGCAACTCTGTGTTGTAGGATATACAAGAGGCAAATTCCCTGTTGTGTTCTTTGAGACTTTGTCTCCTCTCACTTCTCCTCCCTATTCCTACTTTCCTGAATCTCAAGCTGCCATGTTCTCTGTCTTTCTAGCTTGCTGTATGGTATCKGCCTTCCAGTTTTCTTTATAGTCCTTACAAAAGATACAATGTACAGGCTCCTACCTGTTGTGATTTCTCCAAGTGTTTTAGGATAGTCTTTCCTGTATTCAGTTTCTCTTGAAGTTGTTCTTTAATATCATCAGCCTTAAAGTTAAAACACAAAAAAAAAGTTTGGCCCAAGTATAGCAAGCTATTTGTTTCTGTATTCAATAACTCAATTGCTTATCACAGGACATACCACTTCAGCGATAGGTACAATACTATTAATTTCTCGTTCACCAGTGACAATACAGTGAGCACAAACTGGTTTATTCTCATCCTTGTCAAAGAACTCTAATGGACGATTTTTGTGTATTGAACAGCCACTTGATGACTTGTCAGAACTGTTAATATGATTTAAATAAAAATGAATTGCTAGAAGGAAATAGACAGAACTGATGGGTAAAAAGAGTATACCTTGATGACAGCAGAGGATACTGCTTGTGTTTCCTCAGCGTGTGAGACATTGAATGGACCTATTTGTAATGGATTAAATTTTATATTCATGACAAATATTTATAAAATAATACAAAATAGTTAATTGCAATGAAAGTTGTTATGTAAACCCTACAACAGATTAACTCCATTGCTGTAGTTTTCTACTTAATATCAGCAACTTGATTGTTCACCTTTTCAAAGCATTTGACACAGAAAACACATTCACACTTCAAACATCGGCTTGTAGCTGAGGCACTAAAGCATTCCTCACACTTGAGATCTACAAAAGAAATGTACTTTCATGTTATCATTACTAATAGTTGCTAAGATTTTAGACTGTATTTACTGACAAACTTTCAGATATATTCCTCACACTTGAGATCTACAAAAGAAATGTAGTTTCATGTTATCATCACTAAGATTTTAGGTTCAGATTTTAGACTGTATTTACTGACAAACTTTCAGATATATTCCATGACTTGTGCTAAATATACACAGAGCCACGTACATCATTATACAATTATTTTCACATACAAAAATTTGTCATCTTTGATTTTGAGCTAATGAGAAAGCGCCTTTCATTTATAAAACACAAGAAATGATCATAAACTAATGTTGTTGGATGTAAGTGGACCTTTCACATTACTATACATTGCTCTAATAAAATGCCCTTTCATAGCTAAATCATGGTTTCAAACCAAGATAAAACATTGCTAGAATATATTCAATCTGTGGCAAAACAACTATTGTTTAACAAAATCTGATTTGAACACTTCAACACAAAAAAGGAAATGAAATTTAGCTTGAATTGACACACATGTCGTAAGGAAATGTCTATTTGTTCAATCAATATCCCATAAGCCCACACAAAAACATTACTTATAACTTAGCTCAATTTAAAACAAATTAACACCTATGAATTTGAAGTAAGTAAAATCAAATTGAGAAGACTTTTTATATAAAATGTTACAATAGTTTGAAATTAATGGTATAATAAATAATAATTACAATTCACTGTTTTTATTTCTGTTATCTCCTAGAAATGCCGACATTATGTTACAGTAACCTTAACAAACATTTCAAGAGGATTAAACAATGGGTTTTTGTAACACTGTATTCAACATAGCTAATTGGTAATATTGCCAAAAAATATATTTACACAAAGATATTTCAGATTCAAACAATGGTATATTTAAAGGCATACAAAGGGAGAAGAAGAGCAGCATTTGAGACAACATTCAATCAGAGAAACAACTACTACAATTACGGACAACATCTAAAGGTAAGAGTGAAAGAAACATTTAAATGACATCTCATTTCTTGTAAGGTATATGTGAAAGATATTTGGTGCAATTCCATGAAAAAATGTTAATCCTCATACCAAAAAATATCCACATTTAACAAAACAACAGAAGCACAGAGAGAGAGTGAAACTGATACAATTCTATACTATTTCATGATATTTTGTGAAAAATAATATATACTGATGATGAAGTTTCATCTTTATCATGATCAATAAATGGTTACCTTGAAAAAAGTACTAAGGAAATGAAAAAATATATGACTTTGATGAAGGAAGGAAGAAATGAACAATTTCAAAGGGAGAATAAAAGTAAAATAGGAAAGAAACTATGGATGGAAACAAGGATGAATGGATGAAAAGCAAAATGTTGGTAAATGAACAAAGAAATGAATGGATGAATAAGAATAGATGCAAGCACTGAAAAATATTTAAATAAATCAATAAATGGACAAAAAATGATTGAAGGAATGATGGCAGCAGGATTTATTGATGAAATATAATGAATCTAAACTACTGTATTTCAGAATTCACAATGAAGCTTTTGTTTCTGACTGTGATACTAGTTGTTATGACAACAGTGCTGACAAGTCCAATTGAGGAGGTAACGGATGTCGTAAAGAGAAAGAATTGTGGGAATGTTTGTACAGTGTTAGCAGCATGCTGGTCTTTCTGCCAAGGATTTTATCAATGTGTACAGTGCTACAAAACAGCATTAGCTACTGGATGCAGCAAATTCTGCTAACTATAAATGGACATAAACACTGCTAAACACATTAACTTATTAACCTACAATATTTATAATGATTCAATTAAGCCATGACTACTTATATACCTATTCTAAGTTCAACACTATGTCAAGAAATCCAATGCATTAAAATATGTTGCTCAATAAAAAAACATTATCACAACACATTTTCTGTTATAACACAACTGGGAATGTTGGACATTTTGTGCTTTGCACCTCAGTGACAAAGAAGAAAGTACTATTTAATTAAATCAAATGAACACAAGACTGCCTTTTGTTTCAATACCTTTTGTGCAAAGTGTTATAAGCAAACACAGATGTCCATAACTAGGACGGTGGGAGACAATAATAGAAGACAAAAGAGAAGAACAATAGAGTTCAAAAGAGAGAGAAATTTCACTTATATAAGACATAACAACAGTTCAATGAAAACCTCTTTTTAAACAACAGAATATTATAAAGGTCACTATTCTAAAAGGAATGAATACCCTAATTTAATAATATACATCATTATGCATTTGAGTATTAATCATTATAAATGTACTAGCTTTGATTCTGATAATGGAGGGAAAAGGCTTTCATTACACATTGCATTTCACATTATCTAGTAATTTTCAAGGAAGTCATGGGATATTAATGAATGAACCGAATATATTTATCACTTTTCCACTTCACTTTATTCAAAATTATTGAAATAATAATGAAAAATCATGGACATTGCTACTTTATTTTAAAAAAAAGAACAAAAAAAAAAGAACTTAACTCAACATAAAACCAGAAGTTGTAATTATTCGCAAAATCAAAGTCTTCTTCCTGTTACAAACAGTCTCATTTCATACATATCATGCATTGTCAACTTTTTATTAAACTTTTGTCATTTTTTAGCCAAATCCAAATCTGTTCAGGAAGTACAGAGTTATCAAAATTATGTGGGTGAAAATGGTCGTGACCTATTATCAAGTAGCTGAAATCGTTACAGGAAATTTGTTTGGACTTCTATCAATAAGCATCGTGAAGATGGAAATGCTGTCAACCTTGTATTACCTGATAATGATCATGATTCAAAAACAATCTTATTATTACAGTTCAACACATTAATGAGAAACAAAAAAAATATACTTGAAACTAGGAAGTGGATCTTACATCAAGACATTTATTTTGCTTTCACAACACACATGTATCATACCTAAACACCAAAAATATCAACGAGAATGAAGATTAAAATACTAGAGAAGCTTTGCTAAAGACAAGTAATTTTCAAAATAGTACCAGCTTAAGGTTCAACTAGACAATGTGTTTGTTAGGAAAATATTAAAATCACCACCTTTTATTATAGTTGTGTGAAAAGATAAATTAAACACTGTAAAAAAGTAGGTGAAGTAACTTACTGATGTTTCAGAAGTTAATCCTTCATCGAAGTAAAAGTCCTACGAAGGATTAACGTCCAAAACGTCAGTAAGTTACTTCACCTACTTTTTTATGGTGTTTAATTTATCTTTTCACACAACTGTTTCTTTAGAAACAACGGCGCAGCTCACTCTAGTTTACCGCAAGTTCCCACCAACTTTTATTATAATTATATATTATTCACTAATAGTTCCAGATATAGAACAAGGTGGCATCATTTTATCGTTTTTTCATTGAATATGATAGCAATGCTCTATATTCATTAAAGTATTACCACAATTAAACACAAAGATAGTCTAGTTTCACACTTCCTATGTCAAACAAACGCATAAATGTAAATAGAAACTATTCAATTCCAATGAAACACCTATTAACCGTCGTTTCACTTGCTTTTGAAATATGAGTTTCCTTTCAAAGATAGATCAGCCAATAGTTGGATACACACACGTTGTAAGTCCTTTGTGCTTGAGCAAATATGTCTCATTTATCAGACTTGATAACAATCTATTACAAATGAGGCAAAATTTTTGTCAGGAAGTACTGCTCTTATAAAAGTCATAACACTCTCAACAAACTCCAAACCTGATCATAACTCCAAGCACTGATTTAGGTAAGTTGAGCAAAGTTTTATTAAAATAATTGTAATTATACATAGAAACACCAAAAAGAATTTCTTCTTATCTAATTGAATCTAGATAGAAGTTTTTATGATAATTATGCCCTAAGGTAAATAGTTTTAAACCTCACATTTCTTTGTTAATTTACAAGCAATGATTTCAATACAGTATCATTTTAAGGTGTTACTATTAGGTTACTTTCTTATTTCTTAATTATACCATCAGGAACACTAGATTGTAACAACACATGTAATAATAACTAAAACAAAAGCTTTTAAAAGAACAGTGAAAGTTTTCTTTACAAAAAAAATACTACCTAAATAACAATATTATGATCACTCAAATACTGGCAAAACAAAAAGCATTTAAATAAACCTTAAAAGTAATGTACCACTTATAAAAAGTATCTTTAAGTTTTCAAAAATTAATAAATATATTTCATTATATTTAACTACTCAAATGATTCAAAAAATTTATCTTGGAAAACCCAATTTAAACTTAGAAATCTTTTAAACCGTTAGCAAAAATATTGTGAATGTGGGAAGAGAGTATCATGCCATTATCTCCATGGTAACCCCATCATAGTTTCTTCTTGGTAAACTTACTAACTTTTGAATTATAGCTGCAATACCTTTAAAACTATTACAAAGTGTAGAAACAATAGAAATCAAAAGTAAAATATGTGTAAAATGTAAAATGATATTGGATATTTAATATATTGGATATATTAAATGATAAAACTGATTAATCACAAGACGTAAGCTAGGTCAAAATAATGACTAATTACATCAATAACTTACAGATAATTACTTTGAAAGCAATATTTGCCATGAACTTGAGTATTAGAAAACAAACTTACAAAAGCAATAAATTTTAAATACTTTTTTTACTAAAACAAATACAAAAACTACACAATTATATGAGAAATAATCAAAAGTATATGTATTCTTAAATTGATTGCTTTTTCACATTACACTGTTTTCATAGAAAATTATTTAATTCTCACCATGAAAAATGCAAATTTAGCTTATGTGAAAATTTGGATGTTTGTTTATATATTTCTTTCTCTTATTTTACAGTATCAATCTTTTGAACACAAAATCAATATTCCACAAAAGGTAAGCAAAATGAATAAATTAGAATAGTACGAGAATTAACCTTCAGTCTTGAAATAAAAACTCACATTTTGTCATTATTGTCATGGTTACATAATATCTCACATCTTCACTATAGAACGTCACTTTTGTTAAGAAATAATTTATCATAACTGTGGCAACAGATATTACAAGTAAATTGGAGAGAAATGGACAATAAAGGACTTGATAGAGTATGCAAATGATATGTAAATTAGCTGTGTGTTGATAAGGTTGTCATGAATAGCCGACTTTAGATATTTTGGTTCAGTGACCATGCACAAAAGAATTKSAGACGRGGCTCCGRGGAAATAAAAGAATAAATCAAGATTATCCATTGTTTTCCCAGAGCCTTGTGTGCATTCTTTTGTACATAGTCATTCAACCAAAATATCTAAAGTTGACTATTTAACGAAAGAATTGATGTCTGAGTTCTCGCATACAAACACCTAACTTTTAAACTTTAACTGAAAAACTAAGGTATATGAGGTGAATATGAAGACAGGATTAGAACAACCACTGGACTCTGTGTTTTAGTGTTGATGGAGCTTGAGAGAATTTAAGTAACCAGAAATAATAAATTCTTCAGTGAATAATTGTTGATTGGGAGGATGGATGTAGTGAATGAATGAATGGAAGAAACGGAAGGGAAGTGTGTGGAAGGATGATTTGATTGTGTCATTTTTTCACAGAATGATGTCACCGTCTATGCTAGCTGTTTTGTGTTTATTCCTGCTTGCAAGTCAAGGAAGCACACAAACATATGAAGAATGTATGGCGGCATGTGATGTCAACTATTTAGCCTGCATTGCTAATTGCTCGGGCGATCAGTGCCAGCTATGTAAAGATGCATACGATGAATGCAAAGATAAATGTCAGCCATAGCAATGATTGAGCAGACATCATCTAGTTTCCTGTTATCCTAATTCAAATCTTAATGTATTGAAAGACTCTCTTGAGGATGGAAAACAATGAAATGGATAAATATTATAAACAATTATAGTATAACATAACTAGTAAAATAATAGATTGATAAGGTGATAATGTGAAATTCTAAAATATACATATAAAATAGTCAAAGATTTCATGGGTGTATTATAAAATATCTTACTTCAAATGTACAAAATATTAGTTATTTCTTCTAAATGTTAGACGACATTGCATTAAACTATCATTTTAACTTCAAGAAAGAACCAGCTTTGCTCCTGTTTACTGGACAAAACTAGACTAGCAACAATGTCTTACCTGGTGTCTTGTTTGATGTGTCTTTCTTCATGAAACCCTGTGGGATTCCTTTGTTGGATGACATCTTTGCAGTATTTGAACCCTTCCTTGGACTACCGCTAAATGTAGGATCAATGAACAGATAAATAGAAACAGATACTTGAACAAATGAATTTATACCCAATTATATAAATGAATGGATGGATAGATGGATGAGAAATGAATGAATGAATGAAAAAAATATGCAAATGAATGAAAAATGGTTGGATTAATGAATGGATGGTCGAAATCCATGAATGAATTTAATAACAAACAAATCAAAAGATCACCTTTCCATCAAAGACTTTTTGTAGGTACTAGCAGCTAAGATACCCATTATATAGACATTTACGTTCAGGTCTTTAACACCTAATATGCCTTCTTTGCTGAGAGAAGTAGGAATTGTGCATTCAGGACAGGGGATATGAGTTTTGTGAGTTCTAGCAAACTTTGTCAAACATCCTTCGCAGAACGTATGTGCGCAATCCAGTAGCAATGGGATATTGCCTCGATCCTTCTGCTTGGACAGCACTGAAAACACAAGATAGTTTATCAAAACATATCTGTTCACGAAGTTGTATTGCACATAACCTTTCATTTGTAAAAATTTCGTGTTATATTTAGATAGGGTGATTTATTTAGAGAAAGGATCTTCTCTAAAGACCCATTTAAACACGACTTCCACACTGCAGCAGCTGTAGAATGCTCTCTCTGACAGCTGATATTCAGAATAAAGCGATCTATTGTATTATACTTATAAGCACTAACTTCATGCCATATCAAAACAGAAACGGCATTTAGATATCGCAAAACAGTTTAGTTCCAAACTGCTGTAATTAGTTAGATTTTACATGTAATAAACTAAAAGAATGTAAGCTTAAGCTTATTCCAATAGCAGACACGCAAGCTTTACAAGTAAAACTCTTATAAAACTTACCCTGAAAACTGTAATTCCTGCAACAGTTTCTGCAAGTTGGAGTACGCTGCATGTCTTCAGATATTTATCCCAAAAACATTCGGTTAAAACCTCTGAATCAACAACAAATTCCAACTTCTTCTTGCGCTACGCTCTTCCACATTAAGGTCGCCATTTTGTCAACAATAGTTCCACGTGCTGTGTGATCAACCAATCAGGTCGAAGCACATGTAAACATGCCCGGGAGGGCGAAAGGGGCTTTGGGAAGGAGGGAGTGCAAGACCCAAAATACGAAAAATTGTGAAGAAAAGAAAGGAAAGGGAAAAGGAAATTAAAGAAGGAAAAAGTGATACGTTGGAATAGTTGAATTCGCTACAAAAGAGCAAAAGAGCAGTGCAAAAGAGTGGATAGCTATAGTGAGAAAGTTAGAGAGGATTTCGTATGAGTGGGAAATGGACGGTACTGTACTGTGACCGTAATCGTACTGTAACCAAATTCTAGTGCCCCATTGGTTCACCAAAATTGTGAAGGCCAGGTCCGGTAACTGTGCGGTAACCGTGCGGTAACGGTGTCCCACTCATACGAAATCCGCTCTATTCACACTCCTTACGTACAGTCTATTTAGTTTGCACACTGAATTCAAGTCAAGAAATATCCGAGATCATTTTCCCTCACGTAAATCGATTCGACGGCATACATACCAGTAAATTATAAGCATTAACGACGTATTCTTGTATGAGCTTGCATGTATTTCGTGATTTCCAGTCTGTTCACGTCATTTTATGATATGGTGATTGGATAATCTGGCCACTGGTGACCAGATTTTCTGTCTGGACAAGATAAAGACGTGCTAAACGATCTATTTATCACTGTTTATTTGTTGACTTTGTGAAGTCATCCTGTTCCACTATAATGTGTGTCATGATGACCATTCCGGTGATTATACATTGATATATTTAAAATAGTGCAAAACAGTGGGGTTTTTTCACAGCTCACAATATTTACCACCCATGAACTAGTCCTGTTTTATGATCTCTTGTAATTGAACACCACCTAATACACAACTTCTATCGTCAAAAACACTCTGCACTGTTGATCCTTGATCTCGCCTAACAATAAGACGCTTTCCCATATATGCCACACCAACCACTGGCTGTTAAACAGCACCTACCAACATGAAGATCTTTTTGCTCGCTTTTTTCCTTGTAGTTTTGGTTAGATTGGGATGTTCACGACGTGAATATAGGGAAGGTACGGCCATTCTGATAACACATGCATGTTAGTTTATGATTACATTTTAGTTTTTGATCCAATAATATCCAATAATACAGTTTAATAATGGACTTTAGCACAGAATTTAATATCGAAGTGTTTGGAAGACAATATTTTCAGTTGATGATTTCAGTTTTTGTTGTATTGACACATTTTCTATGTGCGGCGCGTGCGGAATTCCGTGAAACGCCGAGGGCTATAACTGACTTCCTTAAGTTGTTCCTGGATTTCAACAAAAGGGTGCACATGGTTGTACTTCTCTATAATTAAGCTTACATACGATTCTTACAAGTATTTTTACGTTGATTTTTTTTAAAAAGAGTTCCTTGACGACGATGAAGCACGACTTCACCGTGACTTGTTTGGTAATTATACGCCTGAGGTTCGTCCAGTAAAGAAAAAGACACAGGTTGTCACAGTAAAACTTGGCATTACCATCCATCAAATCATTGACTTGGTAAGAAACTCATAACAATGCTTTTGAAATGTGTACGTGCGTGCGTGCAAACATGTATACTATCATGCGTTTTTTCTGTTCGGTGGAATCCATAATACACGATAGATCATAGTGAATAGACGGAGAGATGCACGCTGGCGTTAAATCATTTAATTAAAAAGAAACATTAAAATCATTTGAAAAGAAAAAAACATAGGATAAGCATTTAATCGCTGAAAAACGTTGTAATAAAGTAAAATTTAATGTCAGAGGTTATCAAAAGAAATCTATTAGTCTTCTAATATCATGACATTGGTTCCATACGACAGAGATAATGAATTTTGAGTACCGCATTTCGAATGTGTACAAATCTTAAATGGTGATTTCTGTTTGATAAGTTTGAGACTAATCTTTGCGCTAACAATAATAGCCGAAGAAAGTAGACTTAATGATAACTTATAGATAGATGCATTTCCCTTTCTTTTATGATTGATTTTTGGCAGAATCGATATTATGTCAGACCAGTGCACATCTCAAGCATTTTTTCAATTGAATTTCAAGTGGGGTTTTAAATGCCATGTCTTTTAGCAATTAACAGTTTGCATGATACAAGCCCCACCGTAACAATGGACTCTCGGCTTTCATTTACATCGTGTTGTTTTAGGTTGAGAAGACACAACTTTTACAAACAAGTGTTTGGATTCGCCAGGTTTGTGACTAAGTCACTTGTTATCTTATCATTGATTTGTTGGGGGGTGGCAGGGATGAGGGGTAGATTACTCATTTCACCTCTGGGCAAACCAATATTGCTTCAGGCAAAACATGAGGCGCAAATTTGTCATATATCGAATCCAATTCATTACGAAGAAGTGCCGATTGTTACAATGTATTTGAACTGTCAACTATTAATTTGAGCCATTCAACATGATTCAAATTAAAGTCAAATGGCTAAGGTGGAAGCTCAAGTGTTATTTTGGTCATCATTGTAATTGACTCTTCAAGGTTTTGCAATGATTGTCTTAAACCAAGCTTGGGATAAGAAAGAAGCATTTGAAAAAGGTTAAGGAGTCAATTACAGGGGGCTATTTTAGGGTGTTGTCAGTCAGCAAAACCAATTATTTTCACCCATTTTCCGTCAACCGCCACAAAAAGAATCCGACTGAATATTAAAACAGTTTGAATTTATAATATTGAATTATAAAATATAATCGTGCAATGCTTTGTTCTCCTATGTAGTCATGGAGAAACCCATTATTAACATGGGACCCAAAGAACTACGGAGGGATCGATAAAATAAACATCAAGGCTGAGCGAGTGTGGGTACCAGATATCTATCTTTATAACAAGTAAGTTAGTGTAGATCAACAGTGTTTTTCTTCATCACTTGAGAAAGTCTTGGAGTAACTAGAAGCTTGCCGAAATATCTTAACGTTTAAATAAAAGTTGTTGTTGTTTAGCGGTGAAAATGTCAACGATGGTGGAATGAACCATTTTTCTACGCAAATCACGCTTCATTTCAACGGGATGAACATTTGGCTCGCACCTATACTGCTGACCAGTAGTTGTAAGATCGACGTCACTCATTTTCCCTTTGACGAGCAGGTAATATTTTTTGGTTGCGTTACATGATACTGTCTGTAAGGGAATAGCTTTTCATTGAAGATAAGCTTTTGGGAAGCTGTCCGGACTCAGTCCATAAGTAAGATTAACTAGGCGAGGCTAGGAGAGATTAGGGTTAGGGGGTCGGGCGGGGTTAGGCAAGATTTGGTGAGATTATAGGCGAGATATAAGACTTCTGTCAAATATCATTTGCATATCTATGAAATCTACTAGGTCTACTAGCATTTGCCAGTCATTCAATATATATTGATTGCGGATTTTCGGGCTTGAAATTTCATTATGATAAACGGGGCAAATATGAGGCAAACAGGGCAATTTTTAACGTAAGATTTAGTTTTGAAGGCTACTTGAATTACCTGACAAAGGAAAAATGGACAGCGTCAATCATTGATTACTCCTGTGATTTTCCAACAGCGCTGCATATTAAAATTCGGATCCTGGACATACGATGGACTTCGGCTTGATCTCGTGAGCGAGTCTGACTCTGGAGACGTGTCCAAGTACGTCACTAACGGCGAATGGGATCTGGTGTCTTTTCCCGCCAAAAGAAATGAAATCGTGTACGTTTGCTGCCCTGAGCCTTACCCGGATGTGACGTATACACTCCATATAAGGAGAAAAGCACTGTACTATTACGTCAATCTGATCGTACCTTGTATATTGATAACTTGTAAGTGACCTGGACAGTACAGGAAATATAGTCTTCTCTAGAGCTCTGTTACACGGTGCGCTTAAAAAACAACTTGAATCTCAACACTAGAGTAACAATATGGGAGTATTGCACAGTGTAGCAGGGTGTCGAAAAATTGCGCATTTGCTCTTAGATACATGCCACACAACTTGCGTGTAAAGTCTGGAGGGTTGGATATTAGATGCTTTGTCTCTGGTTTAGATATATAATGAATATGTGCAGTGACAGAAGCAAAGAATTTAATCTCCATGATGAATCTTGGCTGCAATTTGCTGGAGAGTTAATACACTGCACTATGTAGCAGCATGTTCAGACTTATCATCATCATCAACTTCACTATCATCATCATCATCATCATTATCATCATCATCATCATCACCATTATCATCATCATCAACTTCACTATCATCATTATCATCATCATTATCATCATCATCATCATCACCATTATCATCATCATCAATTTCACTATCATCATTATCATTATCATTATCATCATCATCATTATTTATACCATTGTTATGGTTGTCTAAACAATGTTCTTTGTCACCAGGTTTAACTTTGCTGTCGTTCATTTTACCGCCTGACTCCGGTGAACGAATCACACTCGTGATCACCAACCTTCTCGCCATGACGGTGTTTATGTTACTGGTGGCAGAAGTATTGCCTGCTACGTCAGAGGTCATACCCATAATTAGCATATATTACTCCGTCACTTTATTTGAGGTTAGAAACAGCATGCAGAATGCGCAGATTTAGCTTGACAAGTGTCGATGATCTTTTTTGCTGTTGTTTTATGTGCTCGTTGATACTCAGTGTGCTCATGAACAACAAGTAATTTCACTCATTTTTAGGTTGGTTTGGCTTTAGTAGCCACGTGCATGGTTCTCAAAATCTACTTCACTAATCCAGTGACAACAGAAATGCCGAACTGGGTCCGAATAATCATTCTTAATTGGATGGCAAAGTTTGTTCGCATCAAGGTCCCGTCAGCCATTCAAGAAATCAAAAACGTTTTCAAAGAAGAAGGACGAGAAGTCAATGAGGAAATACGTCGTGAGCACGAGACGATTTCACGCATTCACGAAGGAAGCGAAGTATCAGGAAGCGGCTCAAAACAACCGAAAATGACAGAAAGGAAATCGTTTATTAGCAGCGAGAGTCCCGTTTTCCAGCAACTCGAGATTGCAGACTTCCATCGGCTCCTAGCACAAGAGAGAAGACCTTCCTTGTGGTCGACCCAATCTCCTGATCGTACAAACCGCACACGGCCATCCTCTGTTATCCCTGATATTGACATAAATGCGTTACTAGGCAACGAGAGATCTGCCATATTACCCATGATGATTTGCAGGCAGGAGAACATTGCGAAAAATCTTCGTAGACTAGTGAAACTTGCTCGTTCAAAAGAAGAAGAAGATATCAAGAGAGAGGAATGGAAAGTAGTGGCAGAAGTCATTGACAAGTTTTTTCTTTGGGTTTTTTTGACTACAATAGTAACATCAGTTTTGTTGATATTTCTACAGACTCGATAACGCATCAAATAATATCAGTCACTACACGAGTTAAGTTAGTTATCAGGCGATATCTTTCAATCATGAAGTGATATTTTCAAAACATTTGATTGTCCTCTCCAATCATCTCTTTCCTACTACTGTGTTGCGTGTTGTATATCAATTTTTAGTAAATAATGTATGGTATAGCATTATAAATGACAAGAAAACACACTGTAATTGTAGGATACACAAACTCACCTAACATGTTTACACTATAAATAGTTTATATACAATCCCATAGAAAAATGATTTGGGTTATTCATAGTTAACTTGCTTTCTTCCTGACTGTTATTTTAGGTTTTGTTCCCATTTACAAAAAGTATTTCGTCACACCTTAAGTATCTACATTCACTAACATTAGACACACTATCCAGCATTCCTTCCAGTTCTTCACTATTTTTTCGCATGTACATTTTCCACTTCCTGGAATGACAAGCTAAGTCATCAGATTTAATACCAGACGCCGTGGAATTCCTGGTAATATCTTTACGACCAAATATTGGAGATTTAGCAGGAACGCTACGAGTGCGCAAGTGTACCTTGGCATCTCCAAAATGATACTGTGATAGTTTCAATCTTCGTTTTGCAGACTCCTCGATCTCAATTCTCTTGCGGTATGCCTGACGAAGAACTGATTCTTCAGAAAGTGACAGATCAGTGATGGATTCCACTGATGACAGTGCGCTATCTGGCCTAGAGATTTTCCTGCCATTGCGTTGCTGTCGATCGGTTATGTTCTTTGGTAATTTGAAATTCGAATGTTCCCCTTCTTGTTGAAAGTCAAGTTTTAAATCTACTGTTGTCAGTTTTGGCGGAGAGATTTCCGGCAAATTTTCATGATCATCCTTTTGTTCGTTTGGAAGATTTCCTACGGATCTTGAGGTTGCAGCAAGTTTATGGTTTTGTAATGGTAAAGTTAGTGTTTGCGTACAAGGCATGGACAATCTCCTGGTCGATGTTTTCAAACATTGACTTGAAGTAACTTGTTCTTTTTTCTCGCTTTTTGATGTAACTGCTAAACTCACTTCGATCTTTGGTACATCTTTATTGGGACTGCTGATGCTATCTTCCTTGACTGGTTTTTCTGGATGGATGGCATTGTCTAGGTGGATGGGTTTGTCTGGTCTAACAGGTTTCATCATGTCTGGAATAAGTGGTTTATCTTGATTGGCAGGTTTTTTTCGATTGACTGGATTGTCCGTTCCTGACTTCAAAGTATCCTTGCTGACAGAAGGTTTCGTTTTTCGTAAAGCAAAATACAGTGATTTTCCTCGAGGGGAAGCCGTTGTAGGCTGACTGGTAACTTTCACACCTGATAAAGAACCCTTCCTGGTCTGACCAGGAACATGATTGGTCTCGTTGACAACACTGCAGCTTTTTCTTCGACGAAGTGAGGGATGTATAAAATTCGACGATCTTTCTTTGGCTTTACTGTCATCAGTTGAAATGCTTTTTGATCGTTGGAATCGCCGTTTGGGCTTTGTTGGAGGGCTTGGTAACAGACTTTTTTTATTGTCATCAGGCGCTTCTTTGGGTATTAAAGTATGTATATCTTCCAGTATCTTCCAGACTGGTTGTTCTTTCTGCTCGCTATTTTCCTCAGCCTCGGCGTTATGTTCTGTAAACACGTCACATTCCAAGTCATCTTCACACGAAACAGAATCGACATCGCTAATCTCGTCGGGATCTCTCTCCGAAACGTTATCGATCGCGCCTACTTCACTTATGCAGTCTGAATTTGAAAGTCGCTCAACTGTATCATCATTGTTAATCTTCCCTGTCGAATTTGAAGATGTGTCAGATTTGATGTAGAGATCGTCGACGTCGATCTCATCTTCAATAAAATCTTCTTCACTAAGTTCTTCTTCTTCTTCTATAGCACTGCAGCATCTCTCTTCATATTTTTTTATCAAGTCTTTAAGACCCTCAAGGGACATTTGACTTGGCATGGACATTCGGCGCCCAAACTGATGACTAGAAGATTGTGGCAATGGGGCGCTATCCTCAGTACCATCTTCTTCAAACTCGGATGCGGATAAATTTTTGGCGATTCCTGAACCAAGATGCACTGAATGTCTTCGTTTTGATAAATAAGCCGCTTTTTGATCAAAACGCTTTTTAGTTTGAATCTTTTCCTCAAGTTCTTCGGGGACACTAACGCGCACTACTTGTCCAGGATTCCAGGAAGTGCTTGACGAAGAAGCTGCATTTTTCATTGAAGATATTGTGCGTACCACTCCTGATGCGCTTATCAACGCAGATCTTGATTCTTGCTTAGTCACACGCGATTTACACTGTTTTACTTCGCTATGGCTGCTGTTTTTGTCACCATCATCGTCATTTTTGCTTGTCGAGACGACAACATCCACATATCGCGAGTGCTGCAGTCTCTGGTCTAGAAGGTGAGGAGCTGACTTATAAAAATTCCTGGAGTACTTTTCTTTCCTGATTTCAATCAACTCCTTTTGTACAGTCGTCTGCTCTGAGTCGAAAAACTTGAGTTTCTTGTCCAGTAGATTCTGTTCGGCTTTATTTCTCTTTTCTGCTTTCAGTAATGACGTTCTTTGCGGGATGAATTGGAACGTTTTCAGGCTCGAGCTAGAAAACATCCTTGTTTGTTTCAGCTGTGCATTAAGGTTTTTGTATATGACGATTAATTATTATAGCAAACTATCATTTCCCTAGAGTGACCAGGAACAATTGATGTTGTTCCAACATATTATTTTATCGTTGTCACGCGCGAAGCCAGTCGTGAAATCTCAACGAGTATTTTGACGTAGTTTCTCTTAGGCGCTTCTCTCGTCTTTCCTGTTCGACCGGCATTAAGTATTAAAAAGAAATAACGAAGAAAAGAATAAAGAATTGTTTGTTTAATAAAGCTTGATAATTTGTAAGTTTCGGTAATTTGTTTTGCAATGCATATTGTTTTAATCACTACTAAACCAGTATTCTTCACTTGGACTAGCTATAACAATGGAGCCCTGTTCGAGGTATTTCGTAGGTAATAATCTTTTCAACTCAACAACAAAGGACCATAAATTTACCTACTCAATCAAAAAGACGCCGAAACGTCATAATATTGATTTGATGTATCTAACGTGCTGGAGTCAAATCACGATATGATTACTATACCTCTTGGTTATGTTGTCATGTTGTTTAAATACGACTCACGTCAGCATGAAGGGAGAATAAGCATATAGAATAAGTTTGCAATTACAGTTCAACAAAGTAGTGATTTAGCTTTTGTTCGACTATAAAGGCTGATTATCTTACAAACTAATTTGAACGTGGTCATGTTATTAGGGCGGGAGGTTTACTGACACTTTTTCTGATTTTACGTTAAGAAATAACTAATACTATGTGTTTGCAGGCACAGTGGAGATCTAAAGAAGAAGGGATGGTTGATGTCCCTATAGGACCCATGCTACGACCCCTTCCCGACAAACAAATAACTTAATTTACACCTTTTATTCAATATTAACTATACAAGTATCGAGCAACATTTTGCTCGTAGTGATGGCTCGTGATGAGAGGTTGCTATAGGTAACCATCTCTCATCATCCGAATAAACAAGGAGTTTTTTCTTTACGTTTACTATTTTTGGACTTCCTGTGGTACATATAGGGCTAACTAAATGTACGGGATCCCTGTTTGAAGAATCTCGTGGTTCTATATTGCCACTGCGAAGTTCCTTTGTTAGTTCTAATCATGACTGGTTTTACATGCCCATCACGATCTCTTGTGGAAGTTTTGTTTCTAGCATTTTCGGGGTTCCTGTGTCACTATAAGCACGTTTCATACTCATTGACCACAATGATGCCATTGTCCGTTAGAGCTGGGACGCTGTTTAGACGACTTTTCTCATGGACGAGGTAGACTTGGTTCGACTGAGAAAGTGAACTTCTTCCCACCAGGTGTGAGTTCTGGTTAGAATATTTTCGTAATGTTTCTGTGTACGAAGAAACTTGTTCTCTAAAACACTTTACACAACGGATGTATTGGCTGTAGCTAAGGAAACCCTTAGCAAAGTCCTTATTTAGAGTGCCATATATTATGGGATGTGCTGCACTAGTTGCTATAACCAGCAACACGCAGAATTTCTTGACAATGGAATGGGGATGTCCAAATATGGCGATCAACCAGGTCACGTGGTAAGGCAGGGTTAAGACTGCGTTGACAGCCACGATGACGATTAACATCTTGATGACCTGGTGATGGAAAATATCGACAACAAATTCACTAAAACCAATTCATTGAATAAACGCCTCTTGGCTATGATGGAGGTTCGACTCATTCTTGAGTCTGTATCAAGTAATCCAATACTGTTGTCTTAAGAAATTCCCATCCACTAACTTGTACAGATATACTCAAAAAATCAATTATAACTTTTTTGATTTTCAAATGCTTTGCGAAAAAAGAGTGAAAACCACGTTAAATACCTATGATACATTCAGTCTTTATGATAATGCTTGCTGTATGTATCACTGTTAACCCCTATTATTGCCGACATATGGCATTGTTTAATACTCTATTCTGTCCATATTAGTCTCGCTGCTGATATCAAGCGAGGTGACCTAAGAATCTGCCTCGGGAAAAAACACATGAAATCAATCGGTATGATTGAGTGTTTTATGCTAAATTCAGAAAGATTCCATATCAGTGTTTTTGTAATGAATTTTATGGTCGTAAAACAACGATAACCCTCATATCTCGCACTCAAGACATACATTAAAATGTTGCTCATTACCGCAAAAATAACATCAAATTCTTGACAAAGGGCACAAGATTGTCGTCAGAAAAACTGGTCTGTTAGTGTGGGCGTTATTTGTTTCGTCATTTTTATAGTCTGTTCTTACTATTTATGTGCTGCTGTCTTTTTATTTGGTTACCGAGTTTTTTGCAAATGTGTAGTTGTTATTGTTGTTCGTGTGTTGCTTTTTTTTTGTCTGATTTTTTTGTGTATTTTTTGAACCTTATTTAACTATCTACTCATTTATTCGTTAATTTGTTTATTTATGTGGTTTGAAATTGTTTATTTACCTAATTCATTAGCTTTTATTCCCTGCATGTTAGTATATTTTCTCACTATTCTTGATAAAAGTTATGATGGCGCGCACGTTTCACTAAGTTACTGTCAGTCATGATTATGTCAATTAGAAAATGCCATCATTCTCAGCAAACCCTGAGTAATCTAATCCGATCTTGTAATCCCAAACAAACACTGCTCATTACACAGTATATTCGCTAAATCTGCCTGGTTTGACTCAGATATTTTAGCTTGATACGATTATACATTGGACGATTGCAAACAGCTCATAATACTATACTTCAATCCAGGAAATAAAAATATTTTGAACAATAATTTTCATCCGTGACGTAATATAACGATAATCAGCACCTTCTACTGGCATGTGCTCATATTTTAGGTTTTATTCAAGGAAAACTACCAGAGATTGCCTGTTTTATCCTTTTTGGTTTTCCGCGTTTTAACCATATAATTTTCGATACATCAACCTTCATATCCTGTCATCAATACCTTTATAATTCCCACCAAATTTAAGCCAATCAAATCGACTAACTGACTAAAGTCTATTTAATTTTTCTTGCACTGTTTCCTGAGTACTAACAACATGAAATGTGTTTCTATATATGACCTGACAAGATTACTATTTTGGTTCAGCAAATCTATATAAAATCCTTTCATACTGAGCCGTCAAATAAACCAATCAAGCTGTCTTTTATATTCATTCTCTTAGGAATATTCTAAGTAGTTCCGGCTCCATAGAAAATGTTAATTTGAAGTTTGTCTTATCGTTAGTGTGGGATGAATTTCATCAACTGCTTTAAACCATGGCAGGAGGTCTAGGGGAGTTCACTCAGTAACTCTCCTGTACTTTTTACGTCTAGACGTGATTCATAACTAAACTGACCAACTCAAGGTATATAATTGTTGAAATAATAAAGTTACGTATCAAAATGAAATCCAATGAAAAAAGCAAACATTCAAACACAAAAACGTCTAAAGAAAGCGTGCGGAAATRGAGAAGAAAATAGTCCATTGTTTCCCGCAGTGAAAGCCAAAATGTGAGATCTGTATTTTCACAGTTTTCACAAAACATTTGATAAAAGCAATTAAATCTAGAATTAATGGTTAATGAGATCAGTAAAAAATTCAGGAAAAACATGATTTTTACATTTTTTCATGAAAATTTCAACACCCGCCCAAAATTTGCGTGAATTGTGAAACTGAAAGGCTACCACAAACCACACATTAGTATGAGAAAACGCTTACCTTTTTATTCCGTTTCTCCCTCAATTGCAGTAAACTCTGAGCTAAAGCCACTTCCATAGGAGGGTATTTAAGCTTTAAGCAGACATGTGAGTAAAAACCAATAATTACGGACATAGGAAGGAGATATTGAAGAAAAAACAGCATTACAAAATAGCATTGTTCAAATTGTAAACTTGGCCATATATCAGTACACACAGGTCTTCCTTTACGATCTACCAGTTGTAAAAAGAAGTTAAGAGGTAAAGTAATCAGAGCCGATACGAACCAAACTACACCAATGACAATCTTAGTCTGGGTGATGGTAATTCGCTTTTTCAATGGATGGACTACAGCTCGGTGTTGGTCTAGAGCCATGATCACAAGTGTCGCCGATGAAGCAGTGATGAATAAATAAGTAAGCATTGGGATTATTTTACACAAAAACCAACCAAAAGGCCAAATGTAGGAGTTCTCTTGGTAAGCCAGCCTGAATGGTAGATTGACAGTCAATACAGCTATATCTGCTGCTGCCAAGTTACAGATCAAATAGTTGCTGACAGTCTGCAGTTTTCTGCGCCGTACAACCATACGAAAGATCAAAGCATTCCCTATGACTCCAATTATAAAGACAAGCGCATAACAAACCAATTTAGTGATTTTGATGGGTAATGTTTCACCCAGTAGTAATGGTAACGTTGAATTAAAACCATTTGTGGACGTATTATGTTCAACCATCATATCGCATTCTTGGAGTTCCAATGGATTGACTGTAATATAATTCGCGTTGAAATCCCAGTTATTCCTCAGTTCATAAAGTGTTTTTCTAAGCTTTTAGATACAAGACTTAGATAAAGCAAATCTTATAGGTTGTTCCCACCGCTGCACCACTACACACGTGCGGTTAATATGCAAAAGTGTTTTTGGTGTAGAGATTCTAGTGATGTCAGCGCAGCCCCTGAAATGATCGAAATAGAATCGATAAGTCTGGTGACACGATAATGAGAAACAGCCTTTGAATAATATTTCTAAGCCCCCTCAGCTGGGCTCTTTTTGTTCGCCTAGTAGCAAGGTTTAAGAACCTCTTAAACGAGGGCAATGTAAATCATCTATTGAAAGCTAGATTTACAGCCTTAGGAAATCTTTGTCATCCGTCATTTTTGAGTACACCATAGCATGGTGCTCAGGCTGTACTCTTTTAAGTTTCCCGACAAAAAGGTTTAAGTAGACTAGTCTAGCAATGACAGAATCTAGGAAAGTAGTCCTTGTTCGTCATTAAGTTCATTGCTGTGGGAATGACGAGTTTTTACAATCATTCACCATAGAAAAAACAAGTGGTTAGTTTCAAGTGTAAAACTGTTTGCTGACTTCATCGCCGACACAGATCAACAAACGCAGCGCGCTCAACAAACAATTCCTTTATCAAATATTAATTGTTTTCTTTTTCAACTAGGTTTCGGTGTTACTAACACCATCTTTATTGCATTGCTGCCATTTTTGGCTCTTTAGAGAAACTGAAAGAGAATGTCTAATGAAGAAGAAATTTCTATAGTTTATCACACTTTTCTTTCATTTCATCTTTTTCTATTATCCTTTTCGCCATCTTTTCTTACTGCTTTATCTTCATTCAAGTCTGTGTTTTCTTTTTTTCCTTCCTTCCTTCATGCTTCCTTTCTTCTTTGCCCTCACTTCTATTTGTTTTCTTTTACTTTCTCTATTTTGTCGTTAAACCTATTTTCTCTCAGGCAGTTAATGAAAAGTGTAAAATCAAATTTTCAACTTAAGTCACTCAGTTTTAACGCATAAGTACCATATTGTAATAGGCATGATAACATATCTCTTCAAGTCATCTATGTTGTTAGCTGTCGGTTGGTGGCTAAAAAACCAAGATACGAACCCTCTAGCGGTTTGACGGACGTCACGACTCGGCCAATCACATTACTGAAAGACAACTCAACTAAACTTACAAAGGTCGCTGATATATATTGTCGGCAAAAATACAAGAGAAAAAGAACAAATAGAGTTACTGAGAAGCCTGGATTCGTTAGTGTTTAATGGGCTTCGTTTATAACGCTATTACATACAGTAATGTAACTGAGAAAGTACTCCGTGAAGTGATTAGTATTAGTCACCGTCGGTGTTGAGTCTCGGTGGTCAGCCTAACGCAAAACTGAGCGATAAAAATAGATGATGATGACATACATGATGGGAGTTTCTCTACTGTGACAGCATTGGAAAGTCATTATGTGGTATCATTGTATATCGGTGATATGGACCAACTTATTGTACGGACAATTACAAATAACGATAGAATAGATCATTATTTATGGATCTTTATCAGTGATATGTGCTGACTTATCATATGGAATGCTACATGGATCGACTTATTGTACAGGACGTGACAAACAGTGATAGATTATCATTATTATCGGATTTGTGCATAAGTAATATGAGCTGATATGAGTGATATAGATTGGACTATGTAAGAAGTGATATATGGATCGACTTATTGTACAGGACTTGACAAATAGTGATAGGATATCATATTATTGGATATGTACATCAGTGATATGAGCTGATATGAGTGATATAGATTGGACTATGTAAGAAGTGATATATGGATCGACTTATTGTACAGGACTTGACAAATAGTGATAGGGTATCATATTATTGGATATGTACATCAGTGATATGAGCTGATATGAGTGATATAGATTGGACTATGATAGCGATAGAGTACATACTTGGAATCGGTTTTGTACATCATTGATATGAACTCACTTATTATACAGTGATATGGATCGGCTTATTGTACAGACAATCACAAATAACGACATAGTATCATTATTATTGGATGTGATATGGATTGACTGCATTTGCTATTATGAATAGCAATTTAATATGACCATTCTTCATGATTTGCTGGACCGACTTATTAGCCATGCAATCCATCATAATGATATCATGTACTCATGATGATATTCGTTTAAATCTTTGCGACTTTCGGCTTTAGTGAGCTGTACACCCGTCCGACACATTTCTCACGATGCCGACAGAAACATGAATGCAATCAAAGTCTCCGCAAAGAGAAATACTTTGCATTTGACAACCGTTCGAATAAGTTGGTTTAAACTGTTAATATTCAGACATTCATTATTATTTTTCTTTCTGTTTGTATAGGCCGTGACAGCTGGATTTTCTGCTGTGGGTTTATAATAGGACATGTACTGATTCTATTTACCGAGGATGTATTAGCTATCAGTAGCCAGTACAAATAATAAAAGTGTGCAACACAATAAACTATTTTACTACTAAATAGTGCTAGCTGAACAATAGAAAACAATATCATTAGCGCAATTTATCAGTATTTTGTGGTATGATATTGCACACTTTTAGTGTCTGTACAATGGGCATGGCAACACAGAACGCTAATTCAAGCATCTATCACGGTACTTTTTGTGCTCTATGATTGAAACGCTTCAATCTGTTCATAAACAAGCAACATTGAGTTACCTTACCAGTGTACATTTCTGTTCAAAGCGAGTTTGCGCCAAGGCCAATGTAAAAGTAAATATACAAAAACCGCGCATTTGACTACAAAACCGCAAGAACGCGATATATATTGTCAACTTTATACCAAATATCAAATGGTGCATATTTGTCATGATAAATAAAATGCATATTGGTGGTGATAATACCTGATATAAAACATCAAAATAATAATGACAAACACTGATTAGATTATCGTCAAAACAACGGCTTTTTTTTCTTGCATTTTTTTTTTCTTCTTCAATTTTTTTGAGATTATTCATATCAGTTTCATTTGTTTAGCAAGAAAATCTTAAAGGTGTACCAAAACTCAACCATTTATGGAAAACAATATTAATGTTTTGCTATTTTTCTGGTATTTTCTCTTTGTGGTTCGGCTTATAAAATATTTACTTTACAATTCAAATTTCAATGGTTTCTTACCGTCAAGACCACGAGCCCCTCTTGTCGAAATGTTATGGCTTTAACTTTGGTAATAATAGTACGGTTCTAGACTTTGTGTCGACTTTAGTTAACGGTGCTGTTAGATGTTATGTCAGTCAAGATAAGGAAATTGAAGAGTTTTCCTGTTTTAGCCTCACGCAGTTCTAGACATCGCAGGGAGCTAAAGAGAGAAGACACTTGAATGTCTCAGTTTTCAAATAAAGAATATGCAAAATGATTGCTGTTAACAATCGTTAATGTACAATTTCTTTTGAGTCGTAAAATACTTAATTAAGTGTTATAGGAAGAGAGAGACATGGCAAACTATAGCTTTTTTTAATAAGAACTTTTATTCAATGGTTATCACCCGAAAATGGTAAAAAACAAAAGAAAAAAACAGACACAACGGGAAAATATCAACAATGTGGTGCTAATATTTTGATCAAGGTTAAAATCGCGACATGATCAAATCTTTTCTTACAAAATGATCTTTTTTACAATTTAGATATTGAGATTTTAGTTGCACAAATAAAAGAGCGATTCTGTCTTACCTTTGAATGAAGAAGACAGCGTCTGAGAATCGTGAGATAGGTCGTTCAAAGTCGATGAATGAGTATGACAAACACGACAGTACCAAGCCGACCAAACCATGCTGTGTCACTGAAAGAAATCTCTCACAGCCTGCGCAACTATAAGACTCTGCAATCTGTGGTCAAACGTCTGCTCCCTGTTGACAGTGAACTAGGAAAACCCTTGACGTTTCAGACAGACCAAGACAGTCACACATCAGGATATTGCGCACCCACAGGGAAACAAATCACCACTAGGGCTGTAAGGTAGATTTCACTTTATATCAAAATATCTTGTCATACTCTGTTTTATTGCTATATGCACTATTACTATTATATTGATATTGCACTGATTAGGGTGATGGTATTGGTTATAAGCCTGTGATTGGTCCGCCATCGAGACAGGAATCCCAATTTTAGATCCTAGCATTTGTGCCTTTAAACCACCAACTGTACTTTAACAGTATTTTTTGAAGTTTAAAAGGCACTATTACTTTTATAATCCCTCTGACTCTATTTCTTTAAAACGCAATTACATGTATTAATAGTGCAGGTGTCGAATTTTCCAATGCTCTGTGTTAGCCTCATTCAGTGTGCGCAAAATATTCCTAATTGTGAGAATAAAAGTGTGAGATTTCAAATCAATACTATCGTCTTTCTTTCTCGGGCTATCAATAAAACAAAAGAATGAGTTGCTTGGTGTTGAGGCTAACACAGAGCAAACCAGAACTCGAAATCATGGAGTATTCTTATTTATATTTTTCACTTAACTTTGTCACAAACACTTTATTTTGTAAAACATGCTTTAAAAACATATGAGCAATAAAACAGTTTCAAAGCTGTGGAAATGTGAAAAGGAAAAAGAAAAAGAAATAATGAAAAAAGGGAACTAATGTAAAAAAATAAACCGACCCCTTGGGATTCGAATCCTTGACAAACTGACAAAATAAGTCGGAAAAGGATCATAAGGACTTCCCCTAGACATTCTGTGAAGCTGGGAGGTCAAAAATAATTTTACATTTTGGTTAGAGATTTCGTCTCTTCCAACATGTCCACGGCTATCCCGATAATTGGTTCTAATTTCGCGCTAACCTAAAAGCCAGCGAGGAAGAAGCTAATCGGCAAAAAAGGCGGGAAAAGGCCCTGTCATCGGCTGGCCAAACACCCTAAAATTCTGGCTGTAATAAGTAACATTACACATCCATCGTCACTATTTATTTTGAGTGCATGGGTAAGTCCTTGTAATTACATTCAACTACAAGTATTTTCCTTATAAAAACTTAAAACTACTACAAAAGAACTATTCGAGGTATATTTTCAACGATAGTCACTCTGAAACCATGAAAACTCATTTTGAACGGTGATAGAAAAACCCACAATGCATTTCGCTCTTTGAAACACTATCTTCAGTATTCAAAGTTTTCTTAATTAGCTGTTTACGCTACAAGGAACTGAAAGCATCAAGTGGCGATCAACCATTACGTTGCCACAACAGGCGGCGATTCCCAGGGGCCAAGAAACCTATTGTGATGGTTGATCATTCCTCCCGTGGGGGCCTGACGCTGGGCACCCTGTTTCCCTGCCTAAAGTAAACATACCTGTCTGAAATATTCGTAGAAAGGAACTTTTATCCGCGACATGGAGTTCTTAGAGCTTTAATTTGGTTGTAGTCAAAGACATCTTTCTGTATCTGTTGATTTATAAACTCATGATTAACGTTTTCTGCGATAAAATGTTTACATCATTTAAAATGTATCTTTAAATATGAATTACTCTTATTCTCCTGATTATAGTTTTGCAATAAAATCCCAAAGATTGGTAAGTTTTTCCGTATTTCTTTATCAATTTTATACCGATTGTCATCATAGTTAATAGAGGGAGATATCTCCCTCTATTAACTATGTTGTCATTCATCCTCTTGAATTGTTAACATTCTCTATATCAATGATTTGTAAACTTTTATTTACCAAGATCGAAAATGTGGAACGCTCGAGTGTAATGTTGGAAGTTCAGAGGTCTTCAATTATTTTCCATTGAATCCCTGCAAATCTTTGGCAACAGCTAGTATCTGCCTGGTGCTGTAAACCGCTTACGTTAAGAATTTTAAGAGATTTGTCGTGCTGTTTATCCGAATACTAGTGATGTCTGTCTGATATAGGAACTGTACACCTTTTCCTGTGATGATTTGGAAAACAATAACGACAATTAAACAGCTCCGTGAAAGCCGCCACATTACATCGAATACATCGGCATTCGGCCGCAAACCAGCACTCGGCACCCACCCCACCCCCCATCAAAAAATAAATCGACTGAAGAATGATTATGCAAACCCTGTATCGCTTGCTAATTCCTCAGCTGAGCTCTGATTGGCTTGCTGTTCCCTAAGGATTTTGATGACGTCATATATTAGCATACAACTTCGCCGAATAGACTACCCCAATTAGATATCAGATATCTACAAGTGTCCTCATAGTGCGATGGTCTAAGAGGGTAGCTAAAGGTATGCTCTAGTGGGCGGCTACCCCCTCACTCCCTGGCCTTTTGGTTAAGACTAAGTTTTATGTTCACTCGGGATAGCGTGGAAGAGCCGAAATCTCTAACCGTAACGTAAGCCGATTCGACGCCTCAGCTTCATAGAATGTCTCGGGGGAATCGTCCCATCTTTTTAGTTTTTCATTTTCATTATTTCTTATATATGTCCGGGGGGGTTACATATTCTCCTAATGTTGAAGCTCTGAGTTCGAGTCCTACTGCTGGAATTTCTATTTTTGTTAACTTGATTCTTGTTTCTTTTTCGTTTGTTCCTTATTTTCTTTTCTTGTTTTCTTTTTCTTTTTCGTTTCTGTTGCTACTTTGTTTGTTTATTTGTTTGTTTGATTTTTTCCTTTTCGACTTAAAAATATCAAGAACTAAATAGCAAGGAACGCCTGCTACAAGTGGATGGTTACGGTTCGATCACCCACACGATGACATAGTGACGAGAGGCCCCATAAGGCCTTTCGTCACAAAAATAGTGTCAAATTATTTGGGGTAGTCTACTCCGTGAAAACGGCAAGCAAGCGATCTATTATTATGTAAATTAGCTGGAAGTATTTGTCAAACCCTTTCTTGTCCAAGCATGAGGCTTAATTTGGTCAACAGTTCGAGTCCAAATGAAGGACGTTTCGATCCTTTCTTATATTTAAATTTTCTTTTGATTTCTATTCTCCTGAATTATTATTTTTTTGCTTCAATTCAATATATTATTTTTCTTTTGAACACAGTTACTTTTCCATATCGTACACAGGTAGCCCGTAAGAATTTGACATCGAACACAGGAATCATATGAAGAGATACTGTGTGATCAAAGGAACAATTAGGGAGAATGATTCATTATTGTCATAAACCAATGCTTCACAATGTCACAACTCGATAATGTTTCAAGTATTTCATGGTATGTTTCTAACAAGTTTGTGAAAAATAGATTACGAAGTACTCTTTGATTTGATGATAAGAAATTATGAAATTACAAGCATCGCGTACAATCAAAATAACTGACACTATTTCCAAATTCTTTTTTTATTTTTACTTAGACGAAGTGGCGTTCCAAAACATGAATAGATGTTCTAGAACTGTTACTATTGTATTGTTGATCAACAAAACAATAGTCTCAACAATGCCCTCAGGGTGCACAAAAATTCCGCGTTTTAACAATTGATAAGCCAATTGTCCTTTTGATACAGTCTCTGAAGTTATAGTTAGAGCGACAAATCATAGTTAATTTGGACAAATTCGAAGCCATTAGAATGCCGAAAACCGTTTAAATGCTGCTATTTCGAAGTCGGAAAAACCATTTGAATGGTCACAATTCGTGAATGGAAACCATTTTAATACCAAAAAAACTCACCAAATCAATTCATTCAAACTTATTCAATACTAAACGTGCGGTTAATTCTTGAGAAACCGTTTGAATGGTTTTTCTGATTTCCGTTTTCATTTCCTTTGCTGCTTCTAGAGCAAACGATCAAGCCAAATGGGGCGTGTCAACTATGCTTGAGGGAAACTAATTTCGTTCCATTGCACGTTTTGCTCGAAATAGCTAGATACGCTGTTACTAATTTTGAATCTCATAATATGAATATTGGAGCATGACAAAAATCATCCTGCGTAGACCATTGCTATTCGTAGACCATGTAGTAGAACTAGACAGCCATTATAGTTCACGTTAATCATGTTGTCGGTGCAGAAGTCAAAGCTGTATGTAATTGATTGCCCCAAAAACTATCAACAATAGTTAATAACAACAAGTTACAGTAAATAATTGCCAATATATCAACAAAAGTCTATTTCCATTATACTACTTCAAGTTATTCCAAACCATCATTATATCACTACACTGTTCTAGAACGTCTGATCAAAGCTTTTGAAATATAATACTTTGTTTTCCACTATATATTATTAGTCCATAGGGTAGTCAAACCGTTAACCGGTGAATCAAAAACATAAATGCGGTCATAGTCAATCGCATTTTTCACTTAAGTCTTGAAACCACAAGAAAAAAAAACCTTGGAGGACCCCCCTCAAGAAATCACTGTGTACGTCCGCCCCTATTCTTAATACAGGTTATAAGAAACAGGTAGAAAACAGCATTTTATGATTTCAATGTTTCTAGAATTATACACATATACGCGTGTCCACCAAGCACAGTTGAAGACCCTCAAACTCACTGACGCAAAACAACTTTATGTGAGCTAAAATTAGTGATATTATTTTTTTGGCAATGAATAAAGAAGGCAAAATGCGCCCGCGTATCACTAAAAACAGTTCAGTTCAAGTGTGGCTTGGAACACGAAAGATCAAAGTCCAACTCGCATATTTATCTAACGTTTTTTATGTGCGCAAATGTTCTCTCATGATTGATTTTTGTTCCTAGTTTTTACCTGATTTCAAAAGGTCACGTTGGCGTATTTTCACCAACAAAATGAAAATACGAGTTTGATTAGGGTATCAGAAAACAGAGAAGCGAGTAGAAATAACGAGGCGAAGTCGATCTCGGCGGAATGTTTGATCTTCCTTCATAAGTGAAGTGTTCAATGTATCAATATATAGTCATGCCTGTGATTATGATGATTGGCATCGATTTAAGCGGAAAAAATATAGAAAAAGCGCAATAAAATGGACTTCATTGCATCAACAACATCAATTGTTCAATTTTCTTTCAATTTCGATGTTATTATTTGCAAGAAAAGTTGAGATTTTTCATCCTCTTCCATCTCTATCTAAATCCATTGATTTTGAGTCAAACAAACAAGTAATATCTGGGAATTTGGCAAAAAGTTGATATTTTTGCCTGTTGCATATTCAAAGAAAAAGCTCTTCAGGTTGTTGATGTTTTTTTGAGAACCAGGCTTGTTAATGAAAGCACATGTCCGATTGAAGATTCTAGAACATCTTTTCCAGCTCATTGAAAATTTAAGAATATAAACAGTATCACGCTGTTGACAAGCATACAATCTCATTGGGACAGTACTTATCACGACCGATTGATTCTTCTAGAACGTTAACACACGGTGTCACGTGACACGAGAGATGGAGTATTTTACTGTGTTGATCTTTGAGCAGGACACTTAAGCAAAGGTACGTAAATCTTTATTGACTTTTCAGTAGCATGCCAAATATAGATGCATGCTAAGCTGATACTCCTAACTGTTTTGATCAAGTATTCTAGAACGTTTTTCATTTCTTGATAATCGAAAATATACGCGCGCTCTCGAGTTATGTAACTTATTCATGCATTCACATTTCCATGCATATCAAAGATAACTGCGGTTTGTTTCCCTATTTCGAAGAGCTGTATCACTCATTGATCGAAGAGTTGGGTATCATTGAATTCTCAAACCTTGCTGTTAATTTTTTTTGAACAAGACTTCATGATTCCATTTCGTCATGTGATCAAAATATTCACCAACAGTAGATAGATGTAAAATTCTTGTAGTTACGTGACCAATTACTCTAACTATTATGTAAAAGATGTATTAAGAATGAATTAAGAATTTATTATTCATGCAAACATTTATTCATTATTTGGCGTGCCTTGCCCTAGGGGAGTGGGGGTCCTCCTTTTTGACCCCTCCTCCCAAAGAGGAAAAAGGCTAAAAATAAGCTTTCTCGAACTTTAAGCGAAAGACGTTTCTAGATTTGCGCCTTATCAAGACAAATTACTGGGGTACTCGGCAATCCTGATCAAATATTCTAGAATGTAAAGAATATCTTGATTATGAATCAACAAAGAAAAGAAGAATTGATCAGACTTGGACTTTGATAAGCGATCGGTGTGCGAGGATCCGATTTTAAGGTAGCCTGCAAAACGTGTTCATTGGAAGTCTTAAGCCTGGAAGATTGAACACAGTTTCATTAAAAACAGTCACGTCTTTTTAGAGCGGTTCTCATCGGCGATGGAAGCCAGCGATGGCAGCCGGCTAATACATCTGAATCTGTCAACGTTTCAAGGGTACAATGACGTCATTACTAGTGCTGTTAGAAGTGCTCCTCTCGGATCAGTGACTCAGTAATCCAATGTATAATATAAGTATTACGAGGACTTATACGTTATTTTTGTATATCACCAAATAATCTAAGTTCTCAGATAGATATATTAGTATTGAATAAAATCAGGTTGATGGGTCATGGGGAATTCTACAATAATTACGTAACACGGAAGATAAAAAGATAATCTTTTGAAATGTGAAATTATATATATATATATTTTTTGATTAATGGAAGAAAAAACGCAATACAACAATTCAATACCAGAAACAGCTATGTAACAACATTTCGGGTCTCAAGAAGACCAGGCGATAGTGAATTACTGATAGCTTCTGCTATATTCGAAAAATATCGCACTTTGATATCATGAAGTGGTGCTTTGCCTTACTAGTAAATCGATCACGCCGTCCACGATTTCAATTCAATATCAAGCTTTGATTTTGAAATACTCAAGAAATGGCCACGCGACTTCAACTAGCGGCAGAAGTGCGTCATCAATGACGTCAGTAGTCTAGCTCTTTGGACTTTTCCAGGAGAAAACTTCGAGCTTGATGATTAGAAAAACATTATAATCAATCATTTTACGTCCAGAAGCGACGATGGTGAATAGCTAGAATTTCATAACATAGTTTCACAATATTTTCATCGTTTTGAAGACAACAAGTAGGACATATGTCGACAAAAATACGACATCCGACTTCGATGACAGACAGAAAACATAACACATTTTGGTATGCATGGGTTTAGAACTATTTCACTCACACGATACAAAATATGCTTCTTTTATTCTCGTTTTTTGTAGCTATATTTTGAAATGTTAGGCATTACGACTGTTCTTCCTGTTTTGCCTTCTGTTCTAGTATGACAAGAGTATTTTTAATGGCTTCTAGCGCCATGTTTTTCGATATTGCAAACCATTCTACATTTGAATGTATTCGACTTAGCTCTCTCATTAAAGCTAACAGTAAATCTCTCATTGTTTTGTACTCTTGTGTATTTGATGTACCACTAAAATTATGAACTCTTGTCTGGATATCTTGAGTTTGCTGTGATATCGCTTCGATCGCACCAAAATTCCCAAAAACCTCCATTATGGAATCATGGGTCATACTTGCTGTCATGGTTGGCGTAGAATCTTGGCTTGACGCTCGATCATTTGACGTAGAGAATGTTTCGGTAGTTGTTATACTATTATTAGACGAGGCTGGGGTCACCTCGGCGAGGTCTGACAATAAAAATACCTTTTTAGGGGCAGTAACTTGAGCAGAAGTAGAACTTTCTTCACCGCCATTTGTTATATCAAGATCTTCTAGATGTACTTGTATATTTACATCTTTGTGACGATCTCTAGGAATGTCCGAGACTGATTGCCTGGTTGTGTCAACATTAGGTGAGAATGCTTTTTCTAAGTCTTCTTCACAGTTAACACAAGTACAATCACTTAGATGCCCTCGATCATTATACTTGTAGCGACTCGGTGTGTCGCCTTTCTCGCTATCTGTTCTTTGATACCAAGGCTTACTCCATGGCGTCTGCCATGATGGGATTTCATATTGTGTGTTGGTGAACTGAGGCTGTCTTCCAGCACCTTCACTGTTTGCCATTGTTTAGTAATTTCTAGATTCGATCTTGTTTACCTCCAGCGGGATTCATTCAAATTATTCGCCATCTTAAACGGTCAAATTCTATGATTTCAAGGCGGAAAATGCAGTTCAAAGTGAAGGTCAATCTATTTTTCGTAGTTATTTACACGTTCAACAAATGGCAGTAGCTTTGAAAAGGTAGTTTAGCGTAATATTACAGCATTGCACCAAGCGGACGTGAATTTTTGACACCAGAAACTTCTAACGAAGAAACCTTACCCTACCCCTACAGAGAAGTAACTTTATGTGCTTCTTAGTGGGGTACCCTAAGTATTATATTTTTTATCTTGTAGTTTTTCATTCTTCATGCAAAAACTAACCCTAATATTCTATTTAAATATCTTTTATGAATTGTTTGTGCTATGTTCAGAATTTTATTGTATTTTCATCGATGTTTCTTATGAAAATTTTACAATTGAAAAGTATTAAAATCAATGACTTAGCCTCCCCTCCCCAATCAATAACAATCGATTGTTTTTTTCTCTTTGTCCATATATGGGAGATTGATCTAGAACATTCTAAATGGGGGGAAAAGTAATCCACAAAGTCATGTTAGTCTACACAGAACATTTTGAAATGCCAAGCTGACGCCGTATTTTTAACGCTTTAGATTCCCAGTAACAGTTTCCTTCAGAGGACCAACGACCGAATTCTTGGTTGGTTTTCAACATCAATCAAGAAAGAGACTATGGGTCGCGATTTTTACGCAGTTCTTGGCGTACCGCGAAATGCATCGTCAGAAGACATCAAAAAAGCATACAAAAAACAAGCAAGACTTTATCATCCTGACAAAAATAAGAATCAAGGGGCCGAGGAGAAATTTAAACTGATTTCCGAGGCCTATAAAGTTTTAACGGACCCACAAAAGCGGAGTATTTTCGATACGTATGGCGAGGAAGGCCTTACTGGAAACTTTGGTATTCGAGGTGGATTCCCGTTTGATGACCCAATGAAAGTCTTCAGGGAAGTGTTTGCCGATGAAGATCCATTTAAAGGTAGTTATTAGAAGAGTTCTATTTTTTCACTGTTAAGTGAAATTTATGAATAGATTGGCAATGACCTCTCTTCCCTCCCTGGGACTTGAACGTTTTTGTGGTATGGAAGTAAATTATTATCTTGAAATATTATATCCGAATTTGAATTTATTACAGTCAAATACCCTGGTATACCCTTTATCAACCAAACATTTACTTGCTCTTTTAAATCTTCTTTTCGGTATTTTTTCTACCCTGTAGAAATGTTAACTTTACGTTCAATTTTATAATTCATGAATGTTATATCCTGTACTGTTATATTATATACAAATGCAATTACTTAAAAAGTTATTTCTATACAGTTAAGTTAGATTTCTTGGTTGGAGCGTGATTTTCGTAACGTTGTCAATCTATTTGCTAGTTAGGTCAAAGTAAACGCGTGACTCAATGTTCTAGAAGGACGTATCGCATGACTTGAGCGCCGTCCTCTTACTGTTTGTTTGGCCGGCGACATCTAGTTGTACAATAACAAAACTGTAGGGGATATAATATGTCTATAGAGTTTTCATTCCGAAAAAGCCTTGTTGTCGCTGTGTATGGACCTAAAATGAATTTAGAGTTGTTTGTGTGTGAATGTTTGTTGTTAATATGGTACATTTTGTATTGATTTTTGGTATTTTCATTTGTTTATATATATTAAAGTTAACATTCAACTAATTTTCGCTTCATGTATTTTGTCTTTTGCAACTGTACAATTTTCTGTGCTGATACATTTTTGAAACACCAAAAGTTATTATGTTTTAAATCATTTTATCTATTTTTTTTTTTATAGAATTTGACTTCTTCTTTTTTGATGGTCTTGGTGGCGATAATTTTTCTAAAGTTTTTGAATCTCATACATCAAGTTCCGCATCCTATGGATGGAAAAGTTTTGGGGATGGATTTGATTTCCGCACTCCTCATGATCCATTTAGCAAACAAGAGACATTACCGCAGGATCCCCCTATAGAACAACCCTTACCTGTTACCCTTGAAGAACTGCTTACAGGAACAATGAAAAAACTGAAAATTAATCACAGGGTATTATCAGCAAATAATACATACGTCCAAGAGGAAAAGATCCTTCAAATTGATGTCAAACCTGGTTGGAAAGCTGGGACAAAAATAACATTTCCAAGAGAAGGAGACATGAAAGCTGGCGTTATTGCTGCAGACATTATCTTTGTTGTAACTGATAAACCACATCAGTATTTTAAACGAGACTCGGACAATAACTTATTATATGTTGCAAAACTTAATTTACGGGACGCACTTGTTGGATGTATGATTAATGTGCCAACAATTGATGGAAGAGTTTTATCAATACAAGTTAATGAAGTCATTCAACCAGGCACTCAGAAGAGAATTCCAGGAGAGGGCTTACCAATACCAAAGAGGAATGGAGAACGAGCGGACATGATAGTTGCTTTTGATGTAGCCTTCCCTACAAACTTATCACACGAACAAAAGGAGTTTCTTGCAAATTTACCATTTTAGTATAAGAAGTAATTTGAAAACGTAATTGGATATATATTTATATCCAAGTATTGTTTTTATTCCAGCTACTTCTTTTTAGATAAATTATAAGTTTATTATACAGAAATTAATGGGTCAAGTTAGAGAATATTTTGACTAATAGCAATGCAATTCCAGTAGAGGAAATTCAAGGGATCAAAAAGTTTATTTTATAGGTAACATTTTTAATGATTTTTAACATGGTATTTTCAAGGTGACCTGCACACTGTACAGGTGTACCCAGTAGATTTTATCAGCTTTGAAGAGTTTGTTTTTATTCTAGGCATTTACACTTCTACACAATGGTCATTGTTAGCATTACGCTGCAGCACACAATTCTTAGTCACTTTAAGCGATAAAGTATTTGAAGTATCATTGAGTTTGAAGACATGTTATTTGTCAATAATATTGTCTTGATGAGTACTGTATTTCACTGTGAGTCAAAAATGTACAAACAAATTTCTTTGAAGTCTATGCACTATTTCCAGTTCACAATGATCAATGAAACTAGCAACCCTCCAGTATTTGCAGTGCCTTATACATTATATGTTGGCTATACTTACTATTTGTAATGATGGTGGATTATGTTATTGAATTGTAAAGGGATTGAAATTTATATTGTGCTGTAGTTGTTTTTTTTGTTGTTTTTTTTTTTTTTGGGGGGGGGGGGGGGGGCAGAACTAATGTGTAGAGGTGACTTGTGTCTAATGGTTTTTGTAAACTTGAGAAACAAAATATATTAATGTGGCTCATTGGCTTAAAAGGAGGCAACCTCCTAGAAGCAGCCTATGTAGGAAAATATAAATATCACATGTGTAAAATAGTCATATTCAGACTAGTAAAAGATAATAATTTGAAAAGGGTTAGGTTGGGATGTATGTTTCAAGGGTTTACAAAAACCATGTTCGTTAATGAGCAAAATGTCTTGAACTAAATGAAGATAAAAGAAATTGCTCAGCAGTAAAAACAGATTGCATTTATATTTGTACAGCCTAAATATCAGAGATGTCTGACTTAAGAAGAAGAATTTATAATGTATAAGTTTAAAAGAGTGTGAATTGTATAGTATAAAGATATGTTGTACAAAGATTGTCTTACAAAACCATTAGTGTGAATTCTAAAAAATAAATGAAATTTAAAAGCTTTGTAGTTTTAGTACCCATACTGTGGTCATTTCAAGAAGTTACAATATTACAACACTTTGTAGTTCCATTTTTTGCCTTGTGATTTTCAGGGGCCATATGGCTTCATAATTTTGAGGTATAAGTATTTTGAGTAGAATACTTTCCCTGTAGTGATATCCACTTCTCTTGAGTGTGTTTTGATGTGTTTTCCTGTTATTTGCCTTGACCTTGTTTTAATATTCATATAGCGTTTGACGGCATTGTTTTGTCTAGTTCACAAAGCACATTGCATTAAAACGTGAAGAGAATTTGCACTAGAACGTGATGAAACTTTGTTACAAAGTCTCAAAATAGGGCTTAGTCATCGCCCTGGGGTGATTCCATGGATGACTGGGCGGTTGTGTGTTTAATTTTATCCTTGGTCCGATATCTTTAATGCATTATCAAAATATATTATACAACCACATGTTGGTATCAATAATATTAGTTTTCCTCATTTTCTTCTTTCATTTCATTTTCATTTCTTTTTCATTTCTTGTGGCAAAGCAGTCTCGAGAATGTTAATTGCGTTAGAATTCAATCGTTTTCAAACTACTTTATGCCTGCAGGGCTATCGGTACAGTACATAGAGCGGCACGTATCTTGAAGAGTCATTGCCACGAGAATTGAACAAAACGTTGCGCCCGGAATTCTATAAGCGGAAGAACAATATCTAATCTAGAATTTTCACAACGTACTTTTATCTTAATTCAACTGGCATACAAATAATGATATCACAAAGAATAAAAAGCGCAACGAAAGGAATAGAAATCATAAGAATGTATTATTGTAGCTATTCTAAAATGAAAATAAAGCCTTTAGCGCAGCAGTGAACTGGTAAGGAATGAAGGCTGTAGTCATGAAATACGTTACACAACATTCTTACCCTCCCCTCCCTAAATACACAACAGGTGCGTTCTCGCCGGTCACGTGTCACCAACCAGGACGTCATGCTGTTAGGAGGATTTTTGCGTGATAAAAGCCTTAACGGACGCAGAAAGTTGAGCGGTTCTTTAACATGAGATTCCTCTAAGAAAACGTGTCGATAAAACCGGACTGGAATAATGAATTGATGCTGTTAAAAGCCTTTGCTAAGTAAAGTCGCATCTTCGACAGTGATTTTTACTTCAATGTGACAATGTCATTAGTGTTTCCTTTTTTACACTTGTTGTTTTGATTGTCGGTTTTAATTTCTATTTTTACTCTGAAAAACGTAGCGTTTTTGAACTCAAATGACAATAATAATAATCAAAAAAGGAAGATGATTGACGGACATTAGCAGGGAAAAGCCACCGGCGAGTGACCAGTAAACATCCAATGTTCCTCCCCACCCTACCCTCTATTATAAGCAAATCTCCATCAAGAGCAGACGCTGAATTGACAATCAAGACAATCACCTGCTTCCTTTGTGCGCAAGTAACGCTCCTGGCGATTTAAAACGTTTTTAGTGGCATAAGTACTTCGCGGCGTTATCCGACATGTTGCCCCCAAAACTACCTCGTGAATCTTTCGGAAAACATGATGTTATTGTGACCCTTTTGTTTTAGCCAAACTGCTAAGCTATCGCCATGACAACATGATGAATATTTCATCCTACTGAGTTGATTTTTCATTCTTAAAGTTTTTGTATAAAGCAGTAGTTTGAATAGCTTTAACTGTGGTCACACACACAGCTTTTAATTAATCAGTAATATCCATGAAGAAATTATTCATTTTTTCTTTTTGAACAGCTGCGAGATGAAAGCGATATTGAAACTGAGCTTTTATTAAACATCTGTCAATCATTCTAGTCGTGGAAACATCTAGAAACAACAACCTTTTCTAGTACTTTGGCAATGAATCGCATATGACCTGTTTTTGCTCAGATGAGAGGTGTTGAGGAAAAATAATATTGTAATTTACAATTAGATTGCCTCGATTGTGGGGATTGTTTGGTAATGGTAGTCCTTCTCCGAAGATGGTTTGTGTTCCTGGTTGAATTATACCATCATGTTGGATTCTAAGAGTTCGTCCATCAAGGGTTGGAATATCTGTCGCATTGCCAACCAGAGCATCTTTTAAAGATATTTTACAGTTGTATATCAAGTTATTGTCAGAGTCTCTGGTGAAATATTTGTGTTCTTTTTGTCTGATAGTGATGATAATATCGGCTGGTATGACGTCGGGTTTTCGATCTCCTTCTCTAGCAAATGTCACAGTTATTCCTTCTTTCCAGCCCGGCATAACATTGATGATCAATACTTTCTCCTCTGATCGACTTTCTCCACTGTTAAGGACGATTTTTCGGTTGATTTTTAGCTTTTTCACGATCCCTGTGTTTATTTCCTCCAAGCTCACAAAAAGATCGTATGAAATAGGAGGATCTTGTCGAGTCATTTTGACGCCACAATGATCCACGCACATCTGATCACTAAAAATAGAAGAGGATCCCTTGAAGATTCTTTCAAACTGTTTAATGTCCAATGAACAATCATATCTCGCTCGTTGAATTGGATCGTTTAAGACGCCATATGCTTTACTTATTTCTTTGAATTTCTCGGCAGTGTCGGGACAATCACTTGTGTCTGGGTGATAGCGACGTGCCAGTTGTAAATATGCTTGTCGGACATCAGAGGCAGTAGCTGTTCGCTTGATATTTAATGTTGAATAATAATTTTCCATTTGACTAAAGTGCGACACCTCGGTTCGCACGTTTGTGAATGAGGAACTTTGAAAAGGTCGAGGCTTTTCTTTTGTTTGGTTTCTTCTCGAATGTTCGATCACAGTGGTTCGACCAAAGCGGGGTTTTCCCTATAGAGGTACTGCTCATATCCGATCACCTGTTAACAGCTGATTGGCTACTGCCAAATGAAAGGAAATGTTTTCCAAACTTATCATTCAAGAATAATTTATGCAATGATGTAAGGCGTAAAAGAAAAAAATCTTGTTTTGATCGAGTATTCCACAGAGGCAAATGCTTTTCAGTTTATTGTGAACTCTACCATTCACGACAAGTCATGTCTGATATAGTATAGTACATTGTCAATCAAATACGTCACTAGTTTTAATTTCTAATTATAGTAGCAGAAAACCAATCAAATGGCAAAAAACCAATCAAATGCCAGGAGAACATTCGATAAGGAAATAAACGTGAATTAAAATAGATAAAATTTATTTGTTTAATTCATTCACATAAATAATAATCATAATAATAAGTTATTTTTAGATTTATAGTAAGTATGAACGTAGTAAATTCACCGGTCGTGAAATGACATAATATATATTATAAAATATATACAAAATCTTTAAAATATAAAATATCCTATTTATTATGTGTAGAATTTTGAATTTTGTTGATATTATGTTATTCTAAGATGTTTTTTCAGTTTCCCAAATTTTTCTTTAACAAAATTGTAGAACCTATACTCTATTTATTATGTGTAGAATTTTGAATTTTGTTGATATTATGTTATTCTAAGATGTTTTTTCAGTTTCCCAAATTTTTCTTTAACAAAATTGTAGAACCTATACTCTATTTATTATGTGTAGAATTTTGAATTTTGTTGATATTATGTTATTCTAAGATGTTTTTTCAGTTTCCCAAATTTTTCTTTAACAAAATTGTAGAACCTATACTCTATTTATTATGTGTAGAATTTTGAATTTTGTTGATATTATGTTATTCTAAGATGTTTTTTCAGTTTCCCAAATTTTTCTTTAACAAAATTGTAGAACCTATACTCGAGGTGAAGTCTTCGTCTCAAAACAGAACGAGCTTTAGCAGAAAGCGATCGTTTATTCTTGGTAATCGTTGACATGCGCTGGGATGAATTGCCTAAAAAAACACGTAGCTGTCTCTGAGCACTGGTTTATCAAGTATGAATACTTACAATAATTAAAAATACTTCTATTTCCAAGTGGAATCCCTCGAAAGCACCTCCTAACCGTTTATTTTTTGAGTGTGTTATCAATTGTTTCTTGATGGGGTCTGTGGAAATGGATTGCAAATACAACAGTTTGATTAAGAATTTACCAATTTTAACTGCCTCCATATATGCTTCTTTAAAGAAGGCAGGTAAGAGTCTTTCCAATACTTTGATAAAACTGTTGACATCTTCAAGAACACCAACAGCAAGATAATTGTTGACCACGTTATTTATCGCTCGTCTTAACGAAGTATATGAAGATCCTCTAAAATAAAAAAATAACGAAAAAAAAACACAATTATTTTCATTTGTACTTTATTATGAAATGGCAAGAATAAATATGAAATGTGGAGGTGAATGGATAAAAGAATAAAGAACGAACAGATAAGGAGTTAGATCATTCTCCAAAAAGTGACTAATGCATGTGATTGCAAACGGACTTCCTGTGTAAGTGTATCGAGTAGGTTTCCTGTGCCGTACCTACATCCTCTTGTTTGTCCGCAGAAGTAGGGTATAGTGTAAAGAAGCTTGTTGGAGTTCGTGCACTCGGAATAGTTGCTTAGAACGCATTCATCTAAAGTCTGAAAAGTAGAGAAAGTTGCATAAATTATGACAGAAACATTTAATAATTCATGAGAACTACCAGGAGCCCAGTAATGGGCTCCTGGAACTACCAGTAAGATGAAATTACCATATTTATATATGTGACAGCATCAGTCAGCAACGAAATCTCGTAATCTCATCTAGACAGAAGTATTTCTCATGAATTGTGTCGCAGAAAGTTTTCTTTTCGCAAACTTCTAAATTGAAGAACACGGTGATAAGTATCTTCTTTGGTCTACCTGTGTACTCGACATATCTTATTCAGTTTTACTTACTCTGAATTTATCGCTTTTCGTTCCTTTAAACCCCCATGTTCTGTTTCTTCCGTCGCCAAACCGCGTGAAATAGTAAGCTGACACAAAGCGGTCAATTGGATCGCGGATAAGATTGATGTAAATGGGTGTGGTACTGCCGTATCTTTACAAATAATTATGAATTATGTTATTTATAAGTTGTAATCTCATAACAATCAATCTCATAACGTTTGACTGAGGGCTAAAGCCACAGGCAGCCCAGGCATAACAAAAGTGTTGTTATTGATGAGTTTGGGTTGCCTGTGACTAGAGACAATACTTACTTGCTGAAATCAACAAAATGAAAATGACCATGAAAAACGAACGGTGGCTGAATTTCACTGATGTGTGCAACTAATTTCATCTAAAGAAGGAAATATCAATGAATTAGAAAGGAGCGCATCAAACACGTGGGTGCCACGCCCTGTTTCACTACCTGTTGACTTATGGTGAGTTTTCGTTGCGAAGAAGAAATGACTCCGTTATCAGAGGAGGATACAATCTTAAACTGATTTTTTTCTGCAGCCTTGGACATTACAGCCAACATGAATCGACTGCCACATTTTCCAACTCGATTGTAAATAATTCGACCCTGCACACGAATGAAGTGACAGCCGTTAGAACTAGAGTGAAGGCTGCTTACTTTCCATTTACCAAATCACTTTTCTCACCTTAAACGCATTAGCGGTAAAGTTTTCCTTTAACTTTGCCTCGTTACCTTAAAACAGAAGCAAGGTAGCATCGATCATTTTCGCCTGTATGCGTATGCAAATAAAGAATCCAGACTGTGCGCGCGCACGTTATATTAAGATGATGTAATACTCTATACAGTATTTTAGTGTCGTAAATGGAGATCATGTTCATGCCATCATCCTGTGATTTTCATATAAAAAGTATATCTCAGTTACGAAACAAATTCTTCTTACTTAAAGTCTTATAGCTTTAAAATGGCAGAAGAATAGAATAGAATAGAATAAAATAGAATAAAATAGAATAGAATAGTTTATTTTATTAGGTACATGTGTATCGGTATCGGTGAAGATTCAAAATGCTTACATGAATATACATAATATATAGAACGATTACCGTTATTAAAGGTAAAACTTATGAAAGGTAATAATGATAATTAAATAATAACTGATTACGTTACGAAGACTTAGATGTATACGTAAAGATCTTACACACACATTGTGTATACGTCGCTTTCTTCGATTAATACAATATACCAAGAATTCTAGCTAGTTGAAGAATAAACTCTATCGGTTAATTATCATGTTTTTTATCCTTTCCAGCGACCATTTTGCCAGCAACAAAGACTTTTTTGATGTTTCGATCATCGGCGCAATACAAGAACTTTTGCACGACTTGTTCCATGTCATCATCATCAAAACAATCAAACACGGATTCCTGTGATGCTCCATCAACTAGCAAGGCATCGAACTCTTTACCAACTTCAAAGTTACCCACAATCTTGTCCAAACCAAGGACTTTGCTACCACCCAAAGTTGCCAGGTAGAACGCTTCTCTGTGTGAGATGGGTTTGTAACCATCACACCTCATGGCAAGAATGTTAGAAACAGTCATGGCTGACTGGATGGCATTTAACATGGAATATGAATGACCACCAGAAACATCAGTTCCAAGACCAACTTTGATGTTTTGAGATTCCAGGAATTTCACGTCAGCAAGACCACTGTGGAGATTCACGTTTGAAGCTGGACAGTGCGAGATACCAGTACCACACTTTGCTAGCATTGTCGCTTCAGCTTGGGAGACGTGGCAACAATGTGCCATGTATGACCTGTCTGTCAGCAGTCCATACTGTTTGTAAACATCAGTGTAGTGTGCGCAGTTAGGATACATTTCTTGGACTGTCTGGATTTCTTGTTTATTCTCACTTAGGTGTGACTGGACAGGTATCTTGTACTTTCTGGACAATTCACCAAGTTCNTTCCCATGTATGGATACTGCGGTGCATGTATATGAGTATCAATAAAACCTGGCATCAAGAATTCGTGTTTCTTTAACACAGTGATATCATCACTGCCGAAGTTGAATGATCTCTTCAAGTGTTCTAATTTGGATGAATCTTCTAAAAACACGATCTTACCCGCTTTGCTCACTCCAAGAACCTTATTGTTTAAGACGTTTAACGGGCTTTCGAACGTCGAATGAACGATCGCTCCATGGAATACTTGTTCACAAATTTCGAAAGCCATTTCGTTTTAGGCGATACCTATCAACGCAAGGTCTGTAAGGCAGTGGAGCAACTTCGATACACTAGGTCATGCCTCATTAAATATTAACTTGTTATTATTAGCGAAATTTTGCCGCTGTTTTATGTTATTTTTATGAATTATTCAATAGCTACAGGTAAGTTATGACAAATTAAGAAGCAAAGAATAATTACGCATTTAAATTTAATAGAATATGTGCCGAATATAACTTGTGCTAAATTGTAAAGAAAAAATGATTTTGAATATAGATTGATTGATTTGAAGAGTTATTTAGGTTTGTTTTACATTAATGTATTTCAACCTTCATTTAACAATCATTCACAGCTTAATCACAGCTCCAACTGCGGCTTACTGAAGCTTACGCAATTCATCTTTTAGAATATTAATCGCAAAAGACCTACTTCAAAAAAATGTAGTCACGGGTTACAGATAGCTCTCATAACGATGTTTGCTTATTTTTTTGTTGGTTAAAATCAAGTTGTTTTATTCCTAAGTCGTTGCTATGAATAATTCTCGGAATATATTCTACCCCGCTTTAGACGTTTTACCCCCAACATATAACCGGACTCTCGACCAACTACCCTCGACCCTCGACGTACTACCCCCGACTCTCGACTGTCGACACTCGAACCTCGATCAAAAGACAGACTTTTCAAATGTCTTTCATAACTTGCATTATTTTATCCAACAGTGATGTCAATTACACCAAATAAGACATAGATAAAAATATACTGGCATGCAGAACCCGATAAGTATGAAGCTGTATTTAGTAGCAATGAAATATAATAAATCATCAGGGTCAAGGCTTGTAAAATACTGATGAAGGGCCATGAAAGTTCTTTGACGACTCTTTCCGTGACGGGACCCATGTTTATCGAGTATGTATGACAAAATTCTAGTTCGGTCAAATTGCGAATCTGTCATTCCAACGCGTCATCCTACACAAAAACGTCATCAAAAATCTACGGTTTCACACTAACAAGTGACGTATACATTTTTTGACGGCGAAAACAAAGAAATCCATTGTTTTAGCAGCGAAAGCAATGCATTGTGGGTGGATAACATCAGCTCTGACCTTTCCGTACTATGTTTTCACTAGGCAACAAGTGACGTATACATTTCTTGACGGCGAAAACAAAGAAATCCACAGTTTTAGCAGCGAAAACAGTGCATTGTGGGTGAATAACATCAAGATTAGCTCTGACCTTACCGTACGTTTGTGTGCGAAAAACATGTCCATGTCTCCATATTTTCTGAATTAGATCACTGCCTTACTTTGCTCGCTTCAGGTGCACTACGCTGCGACAGCAATGATTAATAACGAAGTGGCTATATGAGCGGTAGCCGCTCAAAGTCTTCAATGGACTAAATGAGAGGTAGTTTTCAAGAAAAAATCGTCTAGTGATATAAAGTCCCCTGAAACTTGCACTCGCTTGAACTCAGCGAGATGGTAATTATCGTAAAAGAGAAGAAATGATGGTTGAATAAAGTCATGTAGAGTTTTAGAAATTTAAACTGAGTATCAGTCCTTCGAGGGGACCTGGGGCGGAGAGGAAGGGAAACAGGAAGGCCTCCCCCTTTTCTTCTCTTTACATTTTTCCCCCTCGAGAGCCTGGTACTCAACTTACTAGAAATTCAACACAATTGACGAGATTGGGCTACCTGTGTATTATCTGGTGCGTGAATTCGATACATCGATCATGTGTGTTTGTGTTGCATAACAAACCAGCTATCAAAATTACACGACAAAATAACTCGGACAAAATAGAAAAAAATAGAAACAGAAACGTACTGTATATGGACAAAATACGTGCATGAATTATCAAATAAACTAATTGTAGGGACATGTGTACTGTTCAGAGAGACAATGCATTAATCTTCATAATATGATTCATTGTAAAACAAGTAACGGTAATGAACAATACCAATAACTTGACTTATCCTTCAACCCTCTAGATTTATAAACTAATTATATAGCCACATATTAATCCCAAATAGGTAAAAGCTGGATTTTTCGTTAATTTTGGAATCCTGTCCAATTAAGAAATTAATTGGACAGGTTTTCAATTGGGTTTTTGTTAAAAGCTGTGGTTGGCTTTTACCTATTTGGGATCAATATGTGGCTATATAATTAATAGGTAATAAGACTCCATGCTGTCCAATTAAGAAATAATTAGACTCGAACAATTCCTCTGACTGCCAAATTGGACTCGGCCACGGCCTCGTTCAATTTTTGGCAGTCCTCGGAATTTTCCTCGTCCAATTATTTCTTAATTGGACAGCATGGAGTCCTATTACATATAATAATTTAAGACAGCATTAAATGAATTAAAATTCCTGCATACTTAAAGATAAATAACTAACTTGTTAATAATGTCTTGAGTGGTTTCTCTCCACGAACATGAAGATTGTAGATGAAAGTAATCACGAGTAGAGCGTACATGGACAACACCAGCAATGTCACGAGGATGCTCTTAGGTGAACAAATACTCAAAGTAACCATTATTAAATAGAATAAGAAATGTTCAGTACCATATAAATCCACACATTGTATGTTTACATAGCTAACATACAGGACTGCATTCAACCGCATAAACTTAGGTCAAGCAATGTCGCAAAGCATGCTGGTTTGTTTTAGGCCAATCAGAAAACTTGAAACCCTGTGGAGAAAGGTCGTGATAATGTGAACACTGTTTCTTCTCAAAATATTTCTCCTTCTAAAGATATCTGAGTCTTTATAGACACCATCCAAACCCATACTGGCTGATACCCTTGAAAACAATACAGCATGTAACGTAAGCCAGAAAATGATCAAAATTATTTAGGGAAACAGATCAGTTATTTGTTAGTCGAAATGGCGGGGAAATTAAATACCGGTAATTGGTGTGAGCTGCGTCGGTGTTTCTAAAGAAACTGTTTTGTAAAAAGATAAATTTAACACAGTAAAAAAGAGGCAGTCGAGGACTGCATTTGACTCAGGTCATTAAGAGATTTATTCAACTTTGAATACAGTACTTATCTTCAGTATACAACCTTTTCTGAATTAACCTGTATACGCTGCAACCATTACGTTGCCTATGAATACACAACAGGCGGCGATTCCCAGGGGCCAAGAAACCTATTGTGATGGTTGATCATTCCTCCCGTGGGGCCTGACGCGGGGCGCCCTGTTTCCTTGCCTTATTAAACATATCCGTCTGAAGGATTCGGAAAAGGAATTTTTATCCACGACATGGAGTCCTTAGAGCTTTAATTTAGCTGTAATCAAAGATATCTTTTTGTATCTGTTGACTTGTAGACTCATGATAAATTCTCGAACGTTTTCTTCGATAAAATGTTTTTATTATCGAAACTATTTTTAAATCCATGTTTTAAAATTCCTATTATTCGCCTGATTATAGTTTTGCAATAAAACCGAACGCTTGCTAAGTTTTCCTTGATTTCTTTATCAATTTTATGGGATTGCCATTCATCCTCTTCACTGCTAACATTCTCTACATTTCAAGAACGAAAATGTGAAACCTTCTAGAGATTTAAAATTGTGTTCCGTTGAATTCCAGCAAATATCTGCCTGGTTTGTAAACCGCTTACGTTAAGAATTTCAAAGAGATTTGCTCCATGGTGTTTATCCGAAAACTAATAATGTCTCTCTGATATAAGAACTGTACACCTAATTTTCCTGTGATGATTTGGAAAACAATAACGACAATTGAAAACCGCGCGTTATATTTCACCGAACATCGGTATTCGGCCGCAAACCAGCACTCATCCCCACCCCCATCAAATAATAAATCGACTGAAGATTGATTATGCAAACCCTGTATCGTTTGCTAATTCCCGAGCTGAGCTCTGATTGGCTCGCTGATCCCTAAGGATTTTGGTGACGTCATATATTAGCATAGAACTTCACCGAATAGACTACCCCAATTAGCTTTAGATATCTATAAGTGTCTTCATAGTACGATGGTCTAAGAGGGTAGCTAAAGGTATGCTCTAGTGGGCGGCTACCCCCTCACTCCCTGGCCTTTTGGTTAAGACTAAGTTTTATGTTCACTCGGGATAGCGTGGAAGGGCCGAAATCTCTAACCGTAACGTAAGCCGATTCGCCGCCTCAGCTTCATAGAATGTCTCGGGGGAATCGTCCCATCTTTTTAGTTTTTTATTTTCATTATTTCTTATGTAAGTCCGGGGGGGGTACATCTTCGCCAGAAGTGAAAGTTCTGAGTTCGAGTCCTACTGCTGGAATTTCTCTTTTTTTCGCTTGTTTATTGTTTCTTTTTCGTTTGTTTCTTGTTTTCTTTTCTTCTTTCTTGTTTTCTTTTCTTCTTTCTTGTTTTCTTTTCTTCTTTTCTTCTCTATTGTTACTTGGTTTTTTTATCTCTAGAGATTTTCTCTTTTCAACTAATGAAATATATCAAGGACTCGCAAGGAACGCCTGCTACAAGTGGATGGTTACGGTTCGGTCACTCAACACGATGACGTGAGTGACGAGAGGCCTTTCCTCACAAAAAGTAGGTGAAATAACTTACTGACGTTTCGGCCGCTAATCCCTCATCGGAGTAAAGAGAGTACGCATACGTAATAATGTATTAAATACCACTGGAAAAAAATGGCACGCTGGGAACCCTGTATATATGATGGGAATACGATGTAAATTACGGGACATTGCATACATTTTCCCATCATATTTACAGGTTTCAAATCGCGCAGTTTTTCCCTGTGTACTCATGACTACTAGTAAAGTGTGCTCACATCAAAGTACGCGTTTGATTTAATGGTTTTCGTTTAGGTTTGGTTTATCGTTTTTATTAAAATGCGCAATGAAATTCTCTACGTCTGAGAGACTTATTGCTCAGTCTCAAGAGAACGCAAAATACCGGAACAAAGTACAAAGATTTGCGACGTAATCCCGACGACATCCCGACTCTGCCACCATAAGCAGCTGTCCGCAAATCACCGCGCAATATTGTAGCAAGGACAGCGTTAAACAAACACATTTAATGATAAGACGGGATCATCTACAAAGACACCGACTGCTAAGTAATAGCACTATCAGCGGTTGTTGGTTTGTTTATTTAAAGGTTTATCGTATGAATCCATTACTACTATCTCGTTAATTGGCAGTTAATTGTATGAATGGTAAGGCTTCTTGATAGCTTTTAGAACCTTGTTGGCGCCATTAGCTCGTTACTACATGAATAGTACCATGGATTTGGAGGTCCTTACACGGGATCCTACTGATAGCCATAACGGAATGACGAGATTTGCTTTGTGTACGTGAAGTAGCAAGCTTTGATTGTGCGCTTGGCGCCTTGATTTTGAGACAAAGTCATGAATAAGTCTTCGTTTCGCAAGGTTTTTGTTTAGAAAATCCTTCCGAAGTCAACGTGCAATTGTAAGAATGAGTTAGCTTACCGCTTGAGACGCCAAATAACCAATAACATAAATGTGATTTCCGACGCCCATTTCTTGGACACGTCCTTGTTGCGCACAGCTTTCATCATGTCATTAGTATAGCTAGTTAATCTGAGCACGTGGGATCGAACGGTCCATGCTTTTGATAATATGTTCGATTCACTAACTAGAACAATAACATAAGACCAAATAAATCAAAATGTTTTTTCTATATATGTTACGGAGTGTCCAGGTCTTCGTCCATATGATCCAGCTTAGTAATATTTTGTTCCATTGCCCTGCACGTGTACAACAACATTCCAACAGAACAGTTGTCATCTTACCTTCGGGAAAAAAACCCGTCTGTCTATTGCTTTCATTCTCATTTTTTTTTCTTCCTTTTTTGCTTAAGAACAAAATTGCTAACAGACGCACGAGATGAAGTCAGAAATAAAAGAAAACGTCCCCTATTATTCTTTAATTTTAACATTTACTGGGCCTTGACTATCTTATTTGTACTAATGGAAGACCGAGAAGTTGTCATTTTTGTGCCTACTACGAAGTAGTAGACACTTTGTTATCGTGTCTATGCAAATGAGTAAGTAACAATAGAATGACGTCAAAATTCAATCAATACCCCTTCGGAAGACCCATAAACACAGGAAGCCCTCGGAAGCGATCGGCAGAACATATAACTTAGTGCGAATGACCGCCGAAAATTCAATCATCTCTGCGGTTTTACGAACAAGTTCGTGAAAATTTCTCGTGGTAATTCACTGCCGTAAAAGTTTGCGAGGTACGTTTGCTTTTGTGAGTATATTTTGCCTTAGTTCTTCTTTGTCAAAGCTTTCATATCCCAATATTCGGTGTAATGAAAAGTTCTATTAGTATTCTAAAAGTTTTAGGTCTTTCTTTCAGACGAAATTGCTCCTAACAGTCAGATAAAGCTCAACCAAACACTGGTTCTGAAACTTCACGCATGAACAAACAAAACACAAACAAAACTCTAATGAATGTATTCTATTAAAGAAACAAGATCAAACAATGCCTAGTTAGAACTTCCATTGTCCAAAATGGTGACTTAAACTATTATTTAGAATTTATTTCATGGAGATATTGTTCGCACTTTATTACTTTGCCATCCAATAAAAAGTGCCTTGTATTGTTATTAATAAAAATACCTAACGATATTCTGCACTTTCTTTTTGTTGTTGTTGTTGTTGTTGTCATCTCGGCTCATCACATCAACAGTACAGTACCAAAATGAAGGCTGTGCGAGGCTCAATATTTGTGTTCCATAGACTTAAAGCACCGATATTTAAATAAAATAAATAAAAATAAAAAAAAAATAAAGTCTTTTATTTTGAGAGGGTAGCACGTAATAGTCTCGAGACTAATAAACTTGTGCCCCTCTACATATTCACTCACACACTCACTACCTCAACATTCATTATTTTACCACACGACACTCCTCACAGCTAGTTTTTGACTGAGGGAGGAAAATCGCCCCGTGTAAGAGAATCCGGAATCCGGAATCCACTAAAAAAACAGCTTTGGAATCCGGAATCCCTATCCTGGAATCCGGAATCTAAATATTTGGAATCCATAATCTGGAATCCAGCAAAAAAATTGATATCTAAAAGACACATAGGACATCGTCCCGCTGACGCCCCTGCGCAGGCTACTGACACGCTGAATATAAAATTTTCAGGAAAAAAAACCCCTGAAAATCAGGCCATTTATTGTACAGAATCCAAAACAAAAATTCTTTGGAATCCGGAATCCCAAGGCTTGAAATCCGGAATCCAATGTTTCGGAATCCGGAATCCAGCGCTTGGAATCCGGAATCCTCTAGTTCTCTGGATTCTCTTACATGGGGCGAAGGAAAACCAGCGGACCTGGAGAAAAACCCTCGGAGCAAGGAAAAGAACCAGCCTACAAACTCAAATCACATATAGTCCCGGACCGGGAATCGAACCAGGACCACAGCGGTGATAGACCGGCGTTTTAACCGCTCGGCCATCCTTGCTCCCCTCTAATTTACAATCTGCATACAATCGTAGTAGGCACATGCGCTGATTCAGCGCCTTTAATTTGATTTGTTGACTTAGTAACAAGGAAACTGAGTTGTTCAGCCCAAGATCCAACTGAAAATCACTCGAAATGATACAATATCGTACTTAATTAAGACATTAATCAAACCATTTCTCATAACTACAAATAGTATTGTCATGCAAAACTAAATCACCGTAAAACATAAAGATAACATAAAGAAAGCGACGAGAGCATCAAAAGAAAGCGCCTTGTGGCCGCTTCGAGTCAAATAAAGTAACAATAGTACAATTTTCTTGTAACAATCCAATATTAGAGACCTTAAAACAGCTTTGTAAGTGGTGGGTATATTTAGGGAATGAGGACTTTCTTTTAGTGCTCACCGCACATCTAAGATCTGACGTACCGATCGGCTACAAACACTTCTCAACTAGTTATATTGCACTGTGCACTAATTTGTTTATTTGATGTTTGATAGGCTTGTTATTTTTCTTAGTCAATGTAAACTATGAAGCAATGAATACTGTTGGGAATGTATAGAAACAAGACGTTCTTCACACTCTAAAGAAGACACGAAATTCGCGCCATGATCAGAAACATGCCGACTAATATTCTAGTAGACGCAGTGAAATATCCAAATTATTCTTGTTTGAAAAGAGCTAGTAATGCTCTAGTAAAGTGAAAGATTAAAACAATTCAGTTGAAGCAAGAAGAAGAAATGTATATGTTTAAGATAGATATCCAAACAAGACAAGTAAAAACGAATGAAAATTGCAGAAAATATTGTTAGAATGAATATGAGACCGCGTATAAAACGTTTTAAAGGTGATCTCAAGAAAACTCACTACACAATGACACTATAGTTATTACACAGAGTACAGTATAGTTTTAAAAGGTAACCAAACCAAAGCGTCACATTGCTATGCACAAAACTCCTTGAAATCTTAGAGGAGCGCGCCTAAAAAAGCGTCTGCAGATAGTCTTATACCATCAATTATTGCAGTAAACACCGAGTCACTAGCTTAAAAACTGATAAAAAATAAAGACCAATGCAGAATACTATATTGTACCATTAATAATCAAGTTAAACCTGACAATGAAACTCGGTAAAGATGGTTTTTACCTTAACTAATGTGCCTTTATGAACATTGAAGTCGAGCGAAAAGCGAGGTCAAGAATGTCATCTGCTGTATCAAGTTTATTCCACAGCTAGTGATGGTGATTGTGTGCCGTACGGTTCTTCTAAGTTTATGACGTTGTGAAGCCCTTTTTAACGTGCTTTTAGGGTAAAATCACCAGTGATGAATAAAACCAAGCCTCTGTTGTGTGGAGAGGAAATGTTCGTGATTTATTCACATAAACCACAATTCGTCCATCAAAAGTGAAGTGAAAAATATGACTAAGAATACTTCCTCATATTCAACACTAACAATTGACGAACTCCTCTTTTCACGTCGGGAAATTCACTAAAACAGAATATTTTAAGAAAAAAAAACACATCTATTGTACATCACGACCAATATAACTACATGGAAAGACTTTTGAAAAGATTCTGTGCAAGATTTATAGTAACAAAATTTTCACTCCTTTAATAATCTATTGATAATGTTTTGATATATCATTTGTACAATGTTATAGCAAATGTTGAACTTTTTGTTCTCGATATCGGTGTGGAGTTTGTGAGTTGGCAGTATCTAATATCTATAAAGTAGTCATTTTTCAAACGGCTTTCGCGATATTGTTGATGAAATCAGTTTGTTTTCATGATATTGCAAGAACTTGACTTACTCCATGAGCACATGGTTCTTAGAACTCTAGATTTCTCAGGTCTGTCAATGAGTAAAAAGCAATTTATAAAAAAGAATTACCACAGTGGACGAGATTTTAGGTTTGATATACTGTGCAGATATAATCGTAGTGGAAATACAGTAAATGCATACGAAATAAACATTCTTTCTCAGATCATTTCTTCTGGAATGTATGATCGAATCTTCGAAATTGCTCTAGAGTGCAAGTATGAATAAATGAATGGATGAATTCTTCAGTGTTAATCTAGCTCATGGTCCATAATCAAATATCACTGTTAAACACCAGCTATTTTTGTATTCTTGCAGCCCTAGTATATTCAACTTAAGACTGTATTGAAAAGGATAGTTTTGTTAGATGGATGTGGGCATCCGGTGATTCGAGAATGACAGCTTACCGCCAAAACAGCGACACACCTATTCAAACAAATATGGAAAACTAAAATATTACCAAAAATCTCATTAAACATCAGTAATATACTCAACATTTTAATCTATTTTATGAACGTTTTGAAGCTGAAAAGTATTTCCTTATCAAGGCTTAAACAACCTTTAGCCTGAGGGTAGAATTATATGTACACAGAATGAGATCTTTAGGGTTCAGATTGACAAACATATTTATCCCTGATTATTTGACATAATGTTCTGTTTGTCAACCAAACTTGAGATTTGGATGTTTGACAAACTATTAATTACTTTTTGCCAAATTAACTGAAAATGTCGATCTCACTGACATTGATAACTTCATTAACTCGATATGTCTCTCGTTTTCACAAATGTAATCGAAACACAATCAACGAAGGCGTTGGTTTTCTCTAACCTAATTACGGCCAACAAAGTTTAATCCACATTTAAACTTGTGATGCCGTAGAGACAAGTTAACTTTATAATCATCCTTATTCTTGGGATACAGTCCAAAAAGAGGTAAACCTATTTCAACGATTAAAAAAATGCAAACTTGACAAAAAAATTTTTCATGAATTATTGAAAAATGGTTGTTGTAGACTAGAGTGATTTCATTAAAGCCGTGAAACAAGAGAAAACAAAAGAATTAGCACTGAATAGTGTAAAATATAACTAATGTTTCACGCTTTTACAAAAACACTCTTCCAACTTTCAGTTATACATTAAACAATGACCCATATTTCGTATTTGTTTTCGCATCTAAATTTTTTAACAAGTAGAATAAAGTAACAATTAGAAGACGTTTTGTCGAACTATGTATCTAGGAAAATAGTAACTCTGCTTAATAAATTATCGCTGGAAATTCGTACTCTAGAAGAATTGCTTCAATATAAGCATACAGTGTGCCATTTAATCTAATCCACTTACAAGATGAGTTTTTGTGGCGTTTTTGTATTGTTCTCCATAATTAAGGAATTGAAAAACAATACAAAAATGTTAAGGAAACGTATCAATGTAGACGGGACATAAGCAAACCACTAATTATAAAATTACTAATTTATATTTTGAACAATAATTGTACTAATTAAGTACAACTACTGACCACTTAGAGTATTGTGTACAAAATGAAAGTTTAGTCGAACATTGTATCAATTTGAGCGCATTTTAGAACAATGTATCAATTTAAGTACAATGTATCAATTTAGGTACAATGTATCAATTTCAATCCCATGAGCCGTCTGTAGAAGAAGAAGGAAATCTTTGATTGCAAGCGATTGAAAGACGATGAAGTCATAGTGTTTATTTGACGTCTGCTTGGTTCCCACAGCCATTTACTCTCTCATCTATTGTTACGTACGGTAAGGCTAGTCGGTTGGATTCCCTTCCATGACAATATAAAGTGTCCCTTAGAGGTCCTTATCTGTTATCGAACTTCTCTGGGAAATATTAATATGCAAACACTTGGGGAATTTCGTGTGTCTTGAGTGATATGCTTTGGGCAATTGATCATTGGTTCTTTTGATCATTGATTCTTTTGATCATTGGTTCGATTGATCATTGCTTCTATTGCTTACAACATACATCCTGCAGTGAGTTAGCGATAACTTTGGCGTCCAAAAGAGCTGTTATTTGAAAGATTTCTTTGGTTTTTGTGATTTTCAAATTAAAAAGTGAAATCAATACTGAATTGTTTGAGATAACAGGTACATGTTATGGGAAAGTATTCGATACTTTGTGGTCATTTATCAGATTCGTAATTAAATCGAACGCCCTACAATACAATATGTTCTAGAGCTAAAAGCCATTGAATTTCAGTGAAATAAAAATACCGGAAAATTACAATTTTACACAACCTATAGTGGATACGAACTCTCTTTCTAAAATAAAAGTAAAAATTATATGCAAAAATATATTTCGCGTTTTGTCCGTAATGATCTTGGTAAATAAATTGTAACTTTCGCGCTACCGTTAAAATGCAACAAGTTCAATTGATCTCTTGTTATTTCAATCTTAAAGAAAAAACGTTCAAATTCATGAAACCATTAAGAGTCTCTTAGTGGGTTAAGAAGAGCTACATTAACGATCGTTACTCCATGTAATAGAATTCCTATAATACGCTCGATGATGTCATAAAGTAATAATTTAGACTTCTAATAAAAATATTTTTCAAGTAATAATGGTGTTTTTTGAGTGCCAACAGACTAAACAGCGGAAATTATAAAATTTAAAACGCAGAAGTCCGAAATGAAAAACAAGAAATTGTTCAAGAAATTCACTGCCAGTTTTTCACTATTTTCAATAAATAAATGATGATGATTTCATGTTTTTTACTTGTGTACAATAGTCCCTAAAGAATTAGTCATAGTAAAAAAAAAATCAAGTTCACTATATATAGCTAAACCACACATAGCTTGTGATTTAACGTTCACTGAAAATCTTTTATTTGTCCCCTCTATGACAGCAAGAAAGAGTTCCGCTAGTCTACGGTTAAAAAGGTTAAGATGTCCACATCGCTATCACAAAAGATAATAGAAATGTATTAAGACTCGAACTTGGAAGTTGTATCAGTCCATATCGTAGTGATCTTAGCCTAATAACTATGCGCCAATCACGAGCAAGAAAATGATGCCGTCCAAGTCACTATGGTGCCGAGTATCACTCGTGTTTTTTCCGTTTCATTGGTGAGATGGGTTAACTTGGTTCTTATCGCTTCGCCTCTAGCGTCCACGACAAGACGTTAAAAGGAGCTCAGCTTGCTGTAGTCACATTAGGTGTTCAACCCGTTCACTTCACATCATCCATTGATACACTATTGGTGAAAGAACTCTCTGAATCTATCATTTCCAAGAAAAAAAGAAAGATTTTTCAAGAAACTGGAAGATATTTTCACGATGCGGATGTCATGTGCTTCAGTATCTTTTCCTCCAGAAAACCCCTATCCTTCGTACCAGCCTCCAAGCCACGATCCATCAGCCATGAGTATGTACGGTCCTCAACCAAGTACTTTACCCACTGCAGTTTCTCATTGTGGTAAAATGGAGCCACGTTTAATGAACGTTAACGTCAGCTCGTCATATCATGGCTTAAATGGTGTTAATTCCATGGCACCTATGCTTACTCATGACCGTGGCCCACCTCCACCGCTACCTCTAGACTTTGGTGTCGACTCGTCAAAACTACGCGAGCTGGAAGCGTTTGCAACACAGTTCAAACTGCGTCGAATTAAACTTGGTTACACGCAGACTAACGTCGGAGCTGCTCTGGCTGCTGTACATGGTACTGATTTCAGTCAAACTACAATTTGCCGTTTTGAAAATCTACAATTGAGCTTTAAAAACGCTTGTAAACTGAAACCAATTCTTGATCGTTGGCTGGAAGAGGCAGAGCGCACTGGAGGCGCCTGTGGGGAGAAGTTTGGCTCAGAGAGACGCCGTAAACGAAGGACAACTATTGGTCTTGCTGCCAAAGAAGCCCTGGAGAACCATTTTATGAAACAAACCAAACCTTCGTCTCCCGAGATCGTTCGAATCGCCGATGGTCTTCGGCTCGATAAAGAAGTAGTTAGGGTATGGTTCTGCAACCGCCGACAACGGGAGAAAAGAGTGAAAACTTCGCTAAACCTGCATAACTTCTTGGGTTACAAGACTGAATGAACTCACTGTATCATAGTGAATGGAAGTTTTGTAAATATCAGAAACACTTACGCACTGAGTTCAGCATGCATTTCTATGTTTAAGCAAACGACAAACGTTTACTGATTTCATGAACAATAAAAAAGGAAGTTGTTAATTAAAACATAATTCGAGAACAAATAATCACAATGCGATTAAAAGCTCTCGAATGCTGTAAAATATGTACAATTGGCCTATTGTAATGGACAATAACTTCACAACAATGCTATGATGGAATGCTTTTGAATCGAAACTATGTACTTGAATGGAAACTTTCTTAATTGAAACATTGTTCCACATGCACGATTATTGCATGATCAACGCACAGCTAATATAAGTAGTATACCGGGATGAGAATCGACCATCAGACTATGTTACATCTGTAATCATTACTAATTGCTTGTTTTGGGTTGTTTACGATGTTACATCTTTATTCTTTTGAAATAAATAAACATGGCTGTAGAAGAGAGTTGTTATAGCTTCATTTTTATTAGAGAAAAGCTGAGAATTCGAAGCAATTACATGCGCGCTTGGGGTGCAACTGTCTCAATTAAAATGGGAGGCGCTGTCACATTTAATATGTCATATTATCTCTGTAGAACACGGATACAAAGACTATCCAACATTGACAAGATGATATCGTGATTTCATAAGTTTAAACCAGGAAACCCGTGGCTTTTACGATAAACGATGCTCAATTCACGCACTGTATTCAAAGAAAATTTAATTCTCTTTGGGTTAACAAAGACACAAAAAAGGACAACAAGAAGATAAATAACAGGTTATAGTTCCTGTTTGTGAAATCAAAGGCAAAGTAAAGTCTACAATCGTTCAGTAATAGAGCTCATGCCGCGCTGTAGTCGATAAGAACCAGCGTGAGCCCGCTAGAATAATAGGCGAGGTGGAAATTATCTCTCTTAGAAGGTAATTTCAAGTAGATAGCATTTAAGCCCAGACTCAATGAAATAGGAATTTGAATATTTACCAAAGTCTTAAGGTTTAACTCAGATAAACGCGTTGAAATCTGAAGAGAACACTTGATTGAAATGAAGGATAAAGATTTTGAAGAATACGTTTTTGGGTAGAAATTCTTAATGACAGTTCTATAGGATACAGATTGATGGTTTTTTGTAATCTTTGTGTAATTGTTTGACCGCAAATAGAACGACATAACAAAATTATATATTGGATCGTCTTTTCAAATATTCATCGCTATTGAATTTAAGCATATTCCAAGATGAAGACAAGAATAGCAGACGCCAGTACGATTAATACATTACAGAGAACGCGACTACACCGCGTTTGACCAAAACTACGTACCTAACGCCTTGCGTACTGCATAGGAATAGGTTTAACGATTGAATTCATATGAAATTAACTTTGATGAAGAAATATAACTTGTACAAACGCACCGTTAGCAAGCCCATTAGCTGTACAAGTATTTGATAGTTGTAATTATGGATGAAATCTAAGGAATAGTTATATAGTAAAGACCGCATTACAGCTAACAAACAAATCACGCAAAATAGACACCGCCGAAAACAACAACTGAATGTAGGGCTGTCAAAGCATTGTTACAAAATGTAACACTTAACGAATGCAACAAAAAAACAATACAATTCTTCGCGCACGTAGATCTAAGCTCATTTGCCTTGAGAATGTACAGTTCATAGTGAGAGTCCGGCTTTTTTCAAGTTGCCGTTACAAACTGCGGTAAATTATGGTGCGACTGGTTTGCAGTTTTAACTTAAAAGATATTGCATTCACAATAAACTGTAGGACAAAAACAAGTTTAACTTGGATTTTTTTTTTATTGACATGATTTGTGGAAAAACTGACAAAGAGAAAGTTTTACGCGAGTTTAGTCCCCCCAAAAAGACAAACGCAGACATTTCTTGTTGATCTACAGGTGTTTGTGGTTCGTGTTTTCAAATCGCACTGAAGACGTGTTCTTGTTTTCAAGGAGATTTGACACAATCCTTGCATGTTAACCGGACAAAGGAGGGAAACCGGTCAAACAGCGGGGCGACGGCATGACGGATATATGTATGGGAAACTAATCAAATCGATTAGACTGATTACATTCATGGCGTTTTGTGGTGATAAAAAATGTCATAGTGGAATATTGTGAGTTTCAAATAAACTTCAAAATAGGAAAACAACGTAGGGAAATCGTTATTTGACGAAAATCAATCGATATGAATGATTCTTCTTTTTTATCGCATGCAAAGACCATATAGGCACGCAGAGTTAAGAAAACCGAAAGAGAGAGAGAGAAGAAAAGACGGATAAAAATTAAATAAAAAAAGTCATTTCCTCCAGTGGGGAATCGATGTCGGATCACTAGGTTAACAATGTGCTCCACTTGACCACGCTCGCTTAAATAATAGACCACTTTCACCAAATAAACTACACCAATTTTTAGTTAGCGCGAGGTTAAGACCAATTATCGAGACAGCATATAAGAACCGAAATCCATTCGACGCCTCTGCTTTACAGAATATCTTTGGACAATCATCTCATTATTTTTTTCGATGTTATGCTAAGGGTTCGAATCCCAGATTGTTCGTCCTACTCTAGTTTCCATTCATTTTTTAATTCTCTTTTCTTTTCCAACACCAGTACCATTTATTTCAATACGTTTTCGACAAATTGTAATGTGTTTTCTAAAAAAATAAGCAAAATGCACCTTTTCTATATTTTTTGAAAGAAGTGGTATGTTTTCTCTTCCAACTAATGTATCTGATACTGACACAGGAAGCCCACCTAGTCAGAACTGTGGTAGTTTTCATAGTCATCTTGCTCCGCTATTTTGATGTTACGGAGTGGGAAGTATCCTACTTTTCTCTTCAGTTCACCCTGAAAATAAGACAAAACGACGTGAGACTTTAGAATGACCACAGGAAAAAATTCAGCTCAGCGCATGAAAGACAAGAAACCAGACGAAAAACAGCAAAATAATTTTTATGTATTTTCATACTTTCATCATCCCATCTCTGTTTGTATATTGTAGCTTTCGAATACGTTGTCCTTTTAGTAGCCTTAGCTCATCATCGTTCCGAGGCTCATACGATTTTGTTACGATGCCAAACCGAGGTTGCGCCGAATCGGAAAACGAGCTGAAATCGGAACTCGAGCTGTCCTCTGAAACAAAAAAGCGATAATTATCTTGGAAAAGTCTTGTACTATAAAAAAAAACATCGATATCCAAGTACCTGAAAAATCTTCTTCACTTCCTGTCTGCTCTCCTGGATGCTCATTGGCTAGACTGTTGCTAGGGACGATGAAGCATCCCCAAACAATAATAATCCAACCAATGAAAAGACTGAATGATATCAGCCCCAGTCCCTTATCAGTGTTAAAGAAATGTGCCCAGCATATGAAATAGCCATTTTGGCTCATATCAATGAAATAAACATCACTGCCATCACCATCATGGTTGCCAAGGATACAGTCATCAACATGATCGTCTGGATTTGAAGTGAGACACTGAATGGTGTCAATATCCTCTTGTTACACCAATTAAAGATATATCTTTCGTCACCACTAGCAACCACTGAGGTGTCTGTACCCCAGCCGTCATCACAAACACATGTGGAACCAACATGCTGACCATGGTTGCAATTGAGAGGTACCTGTACAAAATAAATAAACTTACATTAGTTCATTGTGATGACGGCCACTAACAATAACTGTAATATTTGATGAAATATTCTCCTTCATGGTTCCCTGTGCAATCTTGAAAGTTAGCTGTGCCTTTGCATCGAAGTGAGACAACTGTTGTATGTGCAGTTATACAAAGCTTCTTTTACACCTACAGAAAACTATTCACAGTTATTCATATCCTTGCTTGCTCAGTGCTTTTCTCTTTTTGATGATTTAGCAAGAAACCATGAAGTTCACTACAGAATTGGTATCCATGGCATTATACTTTCTTGTTAAATATTTTAATACTTACTGGGTTAATCTCTTTAATATCCTCCAGGTTCACTCTTTTCTTGGCCAGTGAACTGTGATCACTCCTGTCCAGCAGAAATTTTTTCTGTTTGTCTGTTAGTTTGTCACCAATAAGACTCTTGCACTCGTTATGGTCCTTGTCAAATGCCTGGAAAATACCATTGATTCTGTATTGTACTGTATGTTGTGTGCAGACAAACTGATCCTAAATTGGTACCATTTTTATGCACGGTTCCTTTATTATCTCCAACAGATTATTTTGTATGTCTATGCAAGCCCTTGACTCCACACAGCAAAAAAATTGTATTAATAAACTGAGATCATGATGGCTACAGTATGGCAAATCACAGCACAAAAATGCTATCAAGCATCTAACTCACTATTTCTGGTACTTCTTTGTCTTTCATCTTGGTATAACAATTATGCACAGGTATACACTTGCCACGTTCTTTATCAAAGAATGATCTAAATCCATTGTATTTTTCCAGGCAGTCAACTGGTTTACACTCATTTCGTGGATCAAGGTCCACTCCTTTGCAAGTGCTGAAACCACCACCAAAACCAGTTACTGGAAAAAAAGCAATAAATGTAAATAACAATGTGGCATTGAAACACATACAGCCAAAGGTGCCATTACTTTTGGACAGAAATTTAAACCTGAAAAAATGATTTCAGAAGCCAGTCAGACATGACCAGATCTTACTTGTTGTCATTGGTTAACTTACATGCTTGTTTCCAGCCAATTTCTTTGCGTGGTTCAGTGGTATTAAACAGCACAATATGCTGTACTTTCTGCTTGTTTACTTTAAGAAGAAAGTGGCACTTACCAACCCTGTCCATAGGATACTGAAAGATGAGAACATGATTTTAAAGATGTATGAAATGAATTGTAATATTTGAATTTTTTTGGAAACAAAAACACTGACTTACTGTTGTTGGAAAAAGGAATGATATGTTGTGGACTTTTTTAGGGTGAATTATAACTTCATTGCCTCCAATTAATACCATGGACTGCAATAAAAAAATGGAAAACAAAAACTTAATTGTAAAGCAGAAGAGTGCATACCATGAGCCACATATCTTACTTGGCAGTCCAGGTCTCCTCTCTCTACTTCCCAACAGCAGCGAGGTTTTCCTGATGAGACAGTGAGCTTTCGTCCTGCGTCATTTGCAACAGCTAGATCTGTAACAACAATTACCAAATAGTAAGTTTACATGTAATAACATTATAACATTCACCTTGCACTTCCTGTACTTCAGCAACACTGGCACTAAATACATTGCCAGTGATAACACTGTCCACAGCAATAGATCTACAATTTTGCCTTCATCGAAGACAGGTTAACCTGACTTGGTGTTCACTGACTGTTACTTACAGAACTGTAGAGCATAGCTGTCAGCATTCACAGGTAACACACCAGAATCCTGAATAGAAAATTGATAAGCTTATGTAGCCTTCATTGAAGCCTTTTGGCGTATCTATTCTAACTGTAAGTACCATTTGAAAAACTACATTTCAATGGACGCCTTTTTTACCTCTACATGGATGATACTCAGTGCTGGATGGAGAAAGATTAAGTTTACAACAAAAAGAAGTAAAATATCGTTATGGCGAAAAACTCGACTCATGAGCAGCTCTTGAAATCGACAACAATACCGCTACTACTAGCTCAGTTATAGCTCCTTTTACTTAGTAGCTTAGTAGTTTTTGGCTAGAAATAATATTTCTAAAAGCATTCTAAACCTACGCTTTGAAAAAAAATAGGCCAGCAAGAGAGAAGGAAAACTGTCCAAAAGATCAAAAGAAATTTCGCCATGTTTTGACGTCATAAACAACAGGAAGCCCAATTTGGACTGTCACATCTTAAGTAAAATTATTTTACAAGTTCATTTAAAACGCGTTCAGATCAGGAGAAGCAGGAAATTTGTTTATCATATAGGAAATTGCTTTGACAAGCTGTAGAAAAAGACAAGACATAATGGAGCCTCGATTCTTCTGAATAAATTATGGTTGTTTTTCTCAACGGAACTCGAAGAAGAAAAAAATGAAAAACAGAAATTTATGAAAACCACTTAACTAAAAGAAAATGGAAATAAATTAATTCATCTTGAAACATCGAATAAAACGAATTCACGCATTGGAAACTATGAATAGTTAAGAGAATGATTCAAATATGAATGAATGAATGATTTCCGAAAACCGTTATTTTTTACAAAGGTGAACAAGATTTAAAATAATAAAAGGAACGTGTTATTGAATTGATTAAGGCATTGCTTTATTAAGATAAATTTAACTTCAAATTTTCGTGACGCAATCCATGTCCCTGCAGTCAATTCAATCGGGGGTTGTCATGGAACCCCTCAATTTTCCCACCATGTTTGATCTGATGTGGATTTCAAGGGGTTTGTAGTGTTTCAACTCCAATGAAGACCAAATTAGGGTGGTAAATTACAGAACACCCGCCAGTCTTTTGAAAAAAGGTGTGGTCAAAAAACTCCGGAATTCTGTAAAGTTATCGCGCAAAATTCGAGTTTTTAGTGTCAGTTTCAGTTGTATGACTCGATTAGTTACATCAAGATCATATAACAGTGCTATTTGTATGTCGAATTTCAAGGAAATCTGTTTGATATCTCGTAAAGATTGTTTTCCTTGCACTGGCTCCATGCTGCGGGGGTACCTTTATTAACTTGCTTCATCAATGGTCATCAATGTATTTGATACTTTGATAATGTCCGTGGTCGGGTGTATTTAAAAGGGAACAACCAGGAAACAACACTCTAGTGGCTTCTTGAGTTTCACTTCAGGTAGACCAAACGCCCGATTCCATTTATTCTGTCAAACTTCCTCACCTGAAGTTAGAAATGACACGGTTTTGCAATCACAAAAGTTATTTTACATAATCAAGAATATCAAGTTTCAACTTACACCTGTTTGATCGAGTGCAGTCAAGAAGTTTAATGATTTTTTCATGTTTAAGCTGTTCAGTCAGTCAGTTAGTAAAACAAAAAAGTTCTCCTTTAAACATCGCAGCCTAAAGTGTCTTGATGTAAAATACTGTTTTGTTTAGATAACATATTTAATGCATAACGAACGCAATTCATTTCTGCCTTAAAAGATGGCATAAATAACCTTAGGCAACGTCGAAATGGCCTATCAGTTTGCTCATATCCAAGATTGTAGTCTTGATGTATTAGTTGAAGTCTTATCACAAACAGGTGTCAACAACATGATAAGGTGAGCGGCAAAGTGTGCCATTTAACTTCCACAGTCGTTGACAACGACCACAAAAAAACATCGGCGCTCAGTTAACGTCTGAAATCGCGTTCAGATAACTTTAGAAACTAGTTAAATGCAAAAATAACGTACACAAAAAAAGCTTGGAGTTCGAATAGTGTAAAAGAGTGCAATGAAATCCAAAACTGGACCGTCTGCTACTAAGACGATTGAACCAATCTTCCCCACCACTTAAAGCCTCGAACAATGGGGAACGTTTCTCAAGATTCGACACCAAAACTGGCTCATCATTTATCAGAATTCGTAACGTATGAAGTCACTGCTGGCCTTGCGTTTGCTGGGAACCTTTTAGTTTGTATCCTTTTCTTCAGAAAGAAAACCCTGCTCAAGAAGTCTTATAATATGTATTTCCTGGGTTTGGCACTTCTAGACATCCTTATTGCTGTCACCATGGCAATCACCTACGCGATTGTTCTCATTGACGTCATACCCTTTTCTTTTGGAAATCGGCGCCTCGGGGAATTTGTGTGTAGAGTATTATGGTCTCGATGGTTATTGTACTGCTTATTTGCATTGTCAGTGTACATTTGCCTGTTTTTGACAATTGAGCGGTGGTATGCTGTTGTCAGACCTTTAAACTACCAAGGCACATCAAATAAGAAAAGGGTTATTATTTCTATAGTGATAGCGACAGTTTTTGCTTTGATTTTTACTTGTACTTTTCCAATGGAAGTCTCCTATCTTTCTGGATTATCTGGTCATACAATGACCTGTGTCTGGAAACCAGTAACTGGTTACTCTAGTGGTGTTTGGGGTGTGTTTCAGTTCATTGGTTTATTATTTGTCCCATCGTTGATTATGATAGGATTGTTTTGTCACATCATTTACAAAAAACAAGTCACTGTCATGCCAATGCACGACTTTAGAAGCCGTCGTCATAGTAACATGATTACACAAACAGTACACACCACACAGCGCACTGTTACTAAGATGATTGCAACAGCATCTATTTTTATGATCCTTTGTTGGGCACCAAATCAAGTTTACTATTTATTGTCCAGATTTGGCATTTTGAAACGAGATTCCACAATACACCATTACTTGGAAGCTTTGACATTTTTCAATTCATGTGTGAATCCTGTCATATATGGAGTTACTAGTCAAACATTCCGCAAAGGATACTGGGAAGTCTTTTTAGGTCTTTGTCCTGCAAGCATTCGTCTTCGGCTAGCACAAAGTCGTGGAGGACTTGGAGAGACTGTAGGAAGTGTTGTATTTCTTGTGCATACTCTTCATCGCCGTCGTTCATATGATTGGCGTTTTGAAGGAATTCGTGCATCTGTAGCTGTCCAGGTAGAAAATAATCCAACAATGAGCAGTGATGCCATAGCAGTTCCACAATCCTTACATATTTAAATTTCAGGAAAATGATCCAAGTTATAAAATGCAACAATATTGGAATATGAGAAATACAGGAATAATTTAGTAGTAAATAAAATATTGAAAGAATGTGTAGTTTCTTATAATAATATATCAAATATATTATTTAAATAATATTAATTCTTAAATTATAATGTCCATTGTTGAACAAGAGAATAATGTTGGAAAATCTGTCAAATTTCAGGATTTTATTGTCGATAATTGTTCTTCTGCCCTGAAAAACTTTCAGTGAAGCCATTTCTGAAGCATTTCAGTGTCACTGATAGCTAAATGCTGAGGCAACAAATCCCAGATGTGCACTTCATCATCCATTACATAAGTATTCTTAGGGTCCATAAACAACTTTACCGAACCAATAACAACTAACTGAGCAAAGCGGGCACCAATGCACCAGTATAGCAAGTCAAGCTCACTTTTAGTCAATGGAAATACTGACTGATATCCCTTAAGGGCAATTGTTGCACAATCAAAGTGATTAATGCCATTTCCTCTAATAAATTGACACAGAATTATATCAGCCATAAATATAGCAACTTCAAATATACGGTAACTATAAGACATGTCACCAAAGTCAATAATTACAAATTGGTCTTTGCAAACTATTACATTGCGACTACTGATGTCATTATGGATGACTTGCTTCTTCAGATTCCTCAGAGAAGCTGGTACAATACTCATGTAATTTCTGTACACACTGAAGATGAGTTTCTCTCTGTCTTTACTTCCTAGATACTTTGCGTCAATGTACTTTTCAATCATACATATATTTTGCAAATCCCACATTTCTTTTTTTTCTTCGTTTAATGAAGGATGAGTATATTCCTACAAAGAAACACAGAAACCAAAACATCTAAAATGAAAAATGCAATGTTTCACATCTGAGTAGCATAGATACTGAAGTTGTCTACAAGTTGTAATGTCACTATTTGGTCTAATAGGTGGTCATCACAAAAATTGTTATGGAAGACTTACAAGATATCTTATGCTATAATCTACTACCTTCAAGATGTTATCTAGCTTGCCAACATACTTTCCCAGCTTAATCAGAAGTTCTGTGGTGAAAGATGGCATCTTATTCATCAACGTTCCGTTTATGAAATCAAATAAGCGTATTGCATTGGGGCCTTTTCCATCTGATTGCTCATAACTGATGTACTCCTTGATCAATGACTCAAGTGGAACATTGCAGATTACTCCACGGCTTTTAAGCAACAACATAGCCTTGTTCTGTGCATCTAAAATGCCCTTGTCTGCAGAACCTTCAGTGTTTGTTATCTTCATTACGTACTCTCCTGACGACGATTCCAGGTAGAAGTTTTTGTCATCATAGCCTAAAAACTCTTTAATTTGTCGTACATCAAGACCAAAATGTCTCTTTGCTAGACAAATAGCACGTTGTTGTGAGATATCGGGCCTTTCAGGTATTGAACATAAGTTAAACATATTTTAATATGTTTATCCTTAAAAAGGATAGACGCAACGTGCATTCAGCAAGAGGGGCCGCCCCCCCTATATTGGAGGTTTTTTTTTGGGGGGGGGGATTTTAAGATTGGGGTGGGTTAGCGGTTGTTTTTAAGCGCTTTTCTTGGGCCAGAGGGGCAGGTGAGAACGAGAGATTCTTGGTTTCCTGTTTCCTGTAATAAGGCCCTCTCTCAATGCTATTTTCGAAGGAGTTTACCCTAAACCAGTGACTTTTTGCCCATTTTTTCCCTAATAAACATTTGAACTATTTCCTCTTTTTTCCATTTTTTCTCGCTTAAATTATTCTGATATCCTTAGATTTCCGATAATTTTTTTGCATGCTTTCGTCTTCCCTTCTATTTTTTTCTTTTTCAATTGGTTAGGACTTCCGGTATTACCCATATTTGGATAAATTGGGGGTGTGTTCGTGACGTATTATTCCAGATAGTTTGATTGGTCAATAGCCTTATGTCAAGAAAGCAGTGTCGGTTTATAGCAAAGTCTCAAACCTGTCCCATTTAACCCTAAAAATCAAGCCAAAAACGACGTATTTTAGAGGCCTTCAGAGCCCTATAGTCGGCGCTCCCGGCTGCTGAAGGGACTAAGACTGTCGGGGTACCATGAGTGACGATGAAGAAGATCTTTTGGACGAGGACGAATCGCTTAGAGATTTGAGTGTTTTACGAAGCAGAGATACTGCGAGGAGAAAACGTTGCCTTGATTCCCTTGCTAAGCTAATTGATGTTTGGATCACCCCAGATGAGGAGAATGTAGATCAAGATGGGAAAAAGGCCCTTACAGAGATTTTACCGTCCATTTTAATGCTCTCTTTACGATGTCCTTTCCCAGATGTAAGAGAAAAATGCTCTGAAATCATCGACAATGTGAAGGTAAAACACGCATGGTTTTTAGATGCTCCAGCTTGTAAGATTTCATGAATCAATCAAAGTAATTCTATTCATTCACAGAAAAAAGGGTTTCGAACTCCTAGACCGCTTTTCAAGGGACCATCTTCTTTCATTCCTTCTAAAGAGGTAAGGAAGGAGCACAATCGATTATGCATGCTTTGAAATGTGTTTGCCCCGTAGACCAATACCCTGTCCGAAGCGCGCCGAGTAATTTTACTGAGACGTTTGTATTGACAGTGTGACATCAATTTGGTCTAAAGAAATACAATTTTCAACATCTTTCTTATTTTATTGCTGAAATATGATTGTTTCGATCCAGACAGCTTTCTAAAGGGAGATTTGATTTGAACCCCAAGGGTATTTCATCATACACCATCTAGTGTGACATCAGATCTTTGTTTATACGGCTTCTGAAATAGGTTTTCAGTAAATATTTTAGTGTCTCTGTAGTTTGGATAGGTCTTAGCCTCTGTCGTACAGTTAGAAGGTGTAAATTAAGAGGAATTCAAATATCCAAAAACAAGACTTGTTGTTGAAATCCAGGCTGGTGTGTACACTTGCACGCGCGCTGTTAGTTTTATGTCGTGCATCAACAACAATTCATCACGCTACTGATCTAATTTGAGACACAATTTTTGGATTCATCTGTCATTGGATAGAGTTTTCATCAACACACTTAATGTTTATGATAATCAATTAGGAGCTTGAATTATTATTGCGTTTGAAATATTCACCATGGGCTAACATATTTGTGCGCAAACATGTGTAAATATTTGAACTCCGGGGCTGTGTCATGCCATATAGTAGACAGCATAATATCTTGCTTAAGTGTATAGCTTGTACACTTTTAATCATAATCGTAATAATGGTTTTAGAACAATTGCTTGAATATCTACATCATCTCATATTTATTCATTCTCGACAATGTACTAATTTAATTAGCATCTTGTACATATTAGAAATCTTTTTAGTATCCAAAATAATTGTTCTTTATTGTACTCTATTGATTGTTGCTTTTAATTAATACTTCAAAGCATGGTTTGTGGTTTGGCTTGGATTATCAAAATCTACTTTTCTTTTATTCATGAATTTATTTTAGTGTCCTGTTTACACTTATATATTAATAAATACAAAACAATAAAGTAACTCTCTTTACAAATATTACATAATTGATGTAATTTACATATGGGCCATGTTTGAGCAAGGTAGGAGGTGGCTATCCAGCAGATTAATCCAGCTAATAATTTCATACAATATACGGTGGGAAGTGAACACTTTATCAAGTTTTTAAACAATGGGCACTTGTGTTGAAGAGAGTAATATGCTAGTTTATGATATTGTATGCGCCATGTATTTCAGGTGTAGTGTTACATTAAGGAATGTAGAACTAGCTGGTACTGTTCATTTCCTGGTATAATCTTGGTAACTAGCTAATAAATAATGGTGGTTATGATGATAACAGAAAATTGTTGGATGACGTTAAGCATAATATCATAAATTGTTAAGAATTTGGGTAACATTATCTGTTGAAACTATAGGCTTAGATGGTTTCATTTGCATGTCTGTGTGTATTATCAGAGGTCTTCATGTGCAGGAAACCTTCAAGTCTGTGATAGAAACCCAAGTTTGTATGCATGGGCATGGTATTTTGGTCTATCTGAACATTTTGAAGCTCTTTGATAGCTCAAGCTCATGTAACTTTGTTTAATGAAAACATTCTAAAATGACCTTCTGCAATTAAAAGCCATCCTACGGAATTAATTTGTGGCTTTTGTTACATCGTATTGTTTATAGATTGTTTTCTACTTTGTTTCTAAATGTCAAAATAATAATTTTCTATGAATAAATAATTGTTTGATTGATTTTTTGAATTTCTTGATATTGTGAATGTTATTGTGGTTTGACTCAACCAATCAAGTATCACTGTGAAAGTGTGATTACTTTTATATTATTAAACTTTATATTCCAGTCCATGTTGCATTAAATAATTACACCATGCAGACATAACAATTCCAATTCATTGCTATTTGATAGAGCGGATTTCGTAAGAGTGGGACACCGTTACCGCACGGTTACCGCACAGTTACCGCACCTGGCCTGCAGAATTTTGGTGAAACAATGGGGCACTAGAATTTGGTTACAGTACGATTACGGACACAGTACAGTACCATCCGTTTCCCACTCATACGAAATCCGCTCTAAGAGTTTTGTAGGCTTCATAATGCAACATATCAGGCAATAAATCAGTGATTGTACATTCATATAATGAATGATATTGATATTGCATTTGTTTGGAAGAAGATAAAAACATCATTGATTTTTTCCAAAGTCATTTCATACACTTGACGTTTAACACTTCATTGACTTAAGCTACCATGTGTTTATGCTGACTCACAGCAGGCCAATAACATACTACTGAGATATGCATCAGTACTCTTGTTTAATATTTATAACAATAGAAACTATCGGTAAACTAGTGTTAGCTACAGCTGTGTTTATGAAATAAGATAAATTTTACACTGTAAGAATGCGAACTATCTTATTGACATTACGTACGTTAGTCCTTTGTCAGAGTAAAAGAATGAAAAAGTGTTAGTGAATGAAAAAGTGTTAGTGAAAAAAATAGTAAGTACATCAATAACATTGAATATTAAGGTGCTTTCAAAATATAATATATAATATATAAAATATATATAATATCAAAGAGGCAAGATTTTGCTGTTACTCCGAGTTTCGTGCTACGCACTCATCAGACAGTATTTAATTTGGATATATATATAATATCAAAGAGGCAAGATTTTGCTGTTACTCCGAGTTTCGTGCTACGCACTCATCAGACAGTATTTAATGATAAACATTCCTATAATCTAGATGAAATATATACATGGTATAGAACAAAAGGCTAAGTGCTAGGCTATTTACATACAATACGTGATAGTTATGTTGGAAACAATAGGTGTAAAGGTAAAAATTACAAAGGAGAGTATACTATTAATTAAAACTGCGTAGGTGTGAATACAATAGGCTGTAGAGGTGTCAAGTGTTCTTCAGGTAGAATTTGTTTTCGTGTCGGCATTTAGAGACGAGTTCTGATCTTTTGTTTAGTATATTGTCGTTACTGTGTTTAATTATCATAAGTTTTTCTGTAAGGCASAGGTCGCATCGTTTGGATATGTTGTTGTAGGGTCTTGCAYGGCTGATGATTGTCCATTTGATGTTGAAGTCTTGTTTTTTGTCTTTTAGTTGCCAGATGTACTTAGAAAGTTCGGTGCWRTTGATGTGTTTTCTGTGTTTGAATGTAGATTTGTGCTGCGAGAATCTTTGTTTGAATGTTCCTTCTGTCAGTCCGATGTAGTTCTTGGTTGTGTTGCTGGTTGTGACTTGCGCGTTGTAGATTACACTGGTAGTTAAGCATTTGTTGTCTAGCGGGCATTGGTCTTTATTGCGGCAGTTGCATTGTTCTCCGGTGGTTGCGTTGGCGTTGTTGTCGGCTTTTGTTACTTTCATATACTAAACAAAAGATCAGAACTCGTCTCTAAATGCCGACACGAAAACAAATTCTACCTGAAGAACACTTGACACCTCTACAGCCTATTGTATTCACACCTACGCAGTTTTAATTAATAGTATACTCTCCTTTGTAATTTTTACCTTTACACCTATTGTTTCCAACATAACTATCACGTATTGTATGTAAATAGCCTAGCACTTAGCCTTTTGTTCCATACCATGTATATATATCTAGATTATAGGAATGTTTATCATTAAATACTGTCTGATGAGTGCGTAGCACGAAACTCGGAGTAACAGCAAAATCTTGCCTCTTTGATATAATATATATAACTAGCTCTACACTTTATGTGTATTGAGCACTCTTTAATGGGATCAGCTACTTCCTCATACAATAATATATAAAATATAATATTAATAAAATATTTAAAGCCATTGCACCTAATCAACTTTACTGTTTCATGTTTATGGTTTAATTTAGTGCGACCCAAAATAGAAACAGTGTTTACCAGTAAGATACTAATATAGTACTGGCTGCTGGTGAAGTTGATTGTGAACAGCACCAAAAAAGTCTCTGAAATTAATCTAGTTTTCAGATTATGTATTTGGAGTTTCAGAGTCTTATTTGCACCTATAATTTTGCTGGATGCAAAGTCCAGCATTTTTGGATCATTGGACTCCAATCTTGGATATTTAACCCTGGAAGTTACAGTGTCAGACTCTTAAAATAATAACACAAAAGTATTCATCTTGAATTTCGCAAAAGTCAAAGTCAGTTTTAATTTGTATTTGCCATCTCAGTAGGATCTTTCTCCAAAGTGGAAAGTGTGCAACACTTTCCACTATTTACTACAAAATAGTGTTAATTAAACAATAAAAAACAATAGAATTAGCATAATTTAGCAGTATTTAGTGGTATTTATGTTGCACAGTTTTAGTGTTTGTACTCTAGTCGCCTTGCAATAGATAATATATTATAATGTTATTGAACTAAGTTAATATTATTAACTCAGTAGTTCAATTTATTTGTGTGTGCACAGATTCCACCTATCGACACAGATGATGAACAAACTCACACGCTCCTTGTAGAGTCATTTTTGTCTGCTGGGCGTGTGTCCAGTGTGACAGCAGTCATGTCAATCCACCCACAGTACTTGGAGTGGTTCTCTAGGACAGAGTTTTATATTATGCAGGGAGAAGGTCCATTACCCTTTGATTGGAGACACTACATTGCTATTATGGTAAGATCTCAATATTTGATTTTAATCAACAATACCCTTTGGTATTGACCAAAACTCCTCAAACCTTTTGTCAGCCATAGTACTATATCCAACAAGATTGCTTCTACACTTTAAAAAGAACATTCATTTATTTTATATGCCAAATGAAATATAACCACATCATTTTTGTTTTAGGCTGCAAGTCGACATCAGTGCTGTTATCTTGTAAGTTATGAAATGTTATTTAAGCTCAATTATGCAACAGACAGTAAATAACTTTATATTTTGTGGGGTTTTAAGGTGAATATCTACGAAATAGAGTTCTTGCGGTTTAATGGCAACAAGCAGTGGTTGAAAGGAATTCAGCATGTACCAAGAAAGTTACAGCTCTTGTCAGACATCAATAAATACTTAGCTCACCAGCCATGGTTGATTGAACCACGCCACATTGAGGTAGAAATGAATTTCTTTAGGGATTATTTAACAGAAGAATCAGAACAAATATTAATAATTAATAATTTATCACATTTACAGACACTGCTTAAAGGCGAGGATAACTGGTCATTATCTGAGCTTGTGCAAGCAATCGTCATTCTAGCACACTTCCATTCCCTGGCCAGTTTTGTATTTGGCTGTGGTGTTGTAGCAGAAATTGACCAGGAATCTGGACACACATTTCGACCACCATCTATGACTGACAGCACCCAATCAAGCTTCGATAACTCTGCTGTCAATAGCAATATTGTGGACAACAATGAATTCATGACTGGAGATGAACTAGTAGCAAGAATGGAAGAAGCTCTAGCTTATCAAGAAAAAATCATGGAAGCTTCCCAGGAAGAGTTATTTCACTATTTTGAAAAACTTGAAAGTGGAGAATGTAAGTTTTCACAACATTGTTAAAATCTAAAATGCTAGGATTTTACAGGTTTTTATACTGAATGAAATTAATTCATTCTCAGTGGCCCAATCATCAAGTGAAACAGCCAAGACTCAAGAGTGTTTAGTATCTGATGTTGCCCACTACATTCAAGATGCCAAGTTTAGATATAAAGACTTTGCAAGCAGAGAGCACACTGAAATATCAACGTATCGTATTGGGGATTGTTCATGGGAGGAACATGGCTACTCACTAGTAAACAGACTTTATCCTGACATAGGAACGATACTAGATGAGAAGTTCAGTTCATCTATGAGCCTGACTTATTTAACGTAAGGAACTTTTAACCCCAATATCCAATAATTATGAGAAACACTCTAAGCCTTAGTTTTTTCATTAATTTTCCAGGCTTGGTGACAAAACTAATGTTGACACTACATTATTTCGGCGAGCGACATGGAATTATATCCACTTGATATTTGGGATATATCATGATGACTATCTTTACACCGAGGTAAGTTACTCTATTATCTGGGCTGTCAACTCTCCCATAAAGGCCAATGGCAATTTAAGTACATTTTACCACAAGATGGGAGTAGATTTGTGCATGAATTGCCATTTTGAAATATTGGTGGGGTATGAAATTGATTGGTGTTGACACCCTGTATTATTCATGAAATTCTTTTTCTTGTTGCTTTTTGATATTTAGGGAGATATTACCCATTCAGTTGATTTTAAATATATTGCCTGTTATTATTAATAGGTCAACAAACTAATGGAGAGATCTTACAAAAGATATATAAAAACTGTAAGTAATGGTAAAATGTGGTTTACTAATTATTATGAGGACTAGTTGTCTATTTTGAGATTTTCTACCAAAAGACTCACATAAAGATTCACATACACATTTTAGAATAATACTGCAAACAATTTCAGTTTCATCTTATCTACAATTTATTATGATTTCTGTGATGGTTTGTGAACAAATAAATAGCTTTTCTTTACAACCTTTCAGGTAGCAACATGCCCAGAAAAGACAACTCAAGAAGACTACATGGAGTTTATGCCTCAGCTGACACATTCTGAAAGGGTAACATCTTATTTACAATATTAATCCTTCTGGTTATAAGTCACATATTCATAAGTTGATAAATTATCATTAATTTTTTGTAATGATGTAATTGCAATGTTTCTTGAGCTGTGTGAACTGCAATCTCAACACTGGGCTTTGCTTTATACATTTATGTTTAAATACAAATGAGATTGTCAACAAAGAAATCTCTTTTTCGTAGGTTCACATCAACCTTCTTCTGTTGGAGGCCAGGCAACAAGCAGAGTTACTGTATGCAGTCAGAGCTATTCTGAAGTACATGAAATGAAGAAACAGATAGCAAGTTTGGCATCAATAAACCTTTTTCCAGTACAATGCCAGTGACCGCTGTTTTAGTAGACAAAAAACTCACTTGCTTATAGAGGACATTAGCATGAAAAAATGTCAATAGCTCTAGAAATTTGAATCTTCTATGATTTGAGGCTTAGCCTGAGCAAGACATTGAATCTTCTTGGAATACAGGCTTAAGGCTATTGTAATGACAAATTTTTTTGTGATTTCTTTTATTTTTGGTCAGGTCTTTGTGTGTGAGAGACTGTTGTCAACTAAATCAGCTGTTGTTCGCTTTGAACTGAAAAAAAGGCGTATTACTTATCATTGATAGAGAATGTTTTATAGAAAATATAGTCTGTATATTATAATTTCTTGATAAGACTGACACCTCACTGAGGAAGATGCATCTGAGACACCTGCAATAGGCCATTATATATGATGACATCTGAGACATCGTGTTTTACGTCTGTTTTAATTCCCTCTGGATATTACTCAACAATGGCTGACAGTGTTCAGCTGATTTTAATTACTCATGTTAATGACATTATAAAACATGTAATGGGCAAAATATTCTAGAAATTGTAGTGATGATGCTGTCATTCAATAAATAGCTTATTGACAGCCATACATCACTAATAACAGACCAAAAAAAACTAAGTTATATCAATAAGGTTTCTGATAGACTTACAGCGGATTTCGTATGACTGTGCGAAGGCACGGATCACAACACAGACACAGCACAGTCATGGAACCTCGCCTGGTAGTGATCCAAATAAAAACAAGGAAACAAGAATACATCGTAACCGTCACTGCACAGTACAGACATGACACGAAAGTGCAGTGTTTTTTTGCACAGTCCTACGAAATCCACTCTAGTATGACCATCTGTTAGTGATGTGTTTGATTTGGTTTTGTGTGAAGTCTTGAGAAAGACTTTCTTCGACACTTGACAAAATATATAAGGCTTTCCCATGGAGAGGAGTCTCAGGTGATACATTATCTCCGTCTTTTTGAGTGGATTGTCAGTTCGCAGCTATAAAACAGGAGGATGATGCTACATTTCATTAGCTTGTTGGGATTGACCAGCAAGGTTAGTATTGGTTTCAAAGTACGAGTGATAAATAATTATTGCATGTAGGACATCAATTGGGAGCAATGGATTCAACCTCAGTGACATCAGTTCTTCAGATTGTAACCATGCTTTTATACAGTAATTTTAGACTTGTAGATCTTCATATGACTTCATGTGTCTTGTTGCTAGTGTTAAATAGCTTATGTTTACTTTATAAAGAACAGCAATGACACATAAGGGTTGCAGGAAGTATTGGCATGTTGTTTAGAAAAAGAGATTTAGATTTTTTATGTTTTGATATACAAAAATATGACAGCAACAATGTAAATAGAGTTTGTATATTATATTGTTTCAGTTTCTTATTTCCTTGCAACATTTGATGTGTTGTTGATTAATATATTTAGGGAATTGTTGCATTGTTTCCTGTACAATTGTGTCAAGAAGGAGTGGGAGGAGAAGATAAGGCATTATTTAGACATGCCATTTCTCCCTATTGGGTTGTTGTTGCTCTTGGAACACTTTTTGAATTAGTCTGACTTGAGAATCGGTAAATTCAGTCATAAATGTGTTTTTCAAATTAAGAATGTTTATAGAGAGTTTTTATGTTCAATAACTTATTTAAAGTTAGCTTAGTCACTACCTTTTCTCTGTCAGCTCATGCAAAACAGCAGGATACCTTTGGTCCTTGAGGCTTATTTGAGTAGCCTGGCTAAACCCTTGCAAGTTAAGGGAGTAATGCTGAGTGAGGGACAGAGTTAGCTAGGGATGGGGCTAATTCGGAGTGTATTAGTGAAGAATGATGAAAGATATAAACTGGTATTAAACAATATTTCTAAAACAGCTTGTAGTTTGATTGACTTTATACATGTGTACAATGATAATATTATATTTAAGGGTACAAAGTATTCATAGCAAAAATTGATACTAAGTGTATTAATTACACAAATATTACATGTGTGGATCAGAATATAACTTGTCATTGGTAGCTATTGCTTGTTCTATGTCTGTTATCAAATTACTGGATCCCATGATGGCCAAGAGCTGTTGAAAGGCAAAGAAAATAAATGAGCAATAAGATGACATGACAACTTTCAGTACTATACTCAATAACCAGTCAGACTTTATATGGGGGTGGGGGAATGTTTTTGTACAAAATTCAAATTTCTCTCTGGCCCACCTACCCCCTGCCCCCTGGAGTATGACATTGTGAAATTTGAACTACCATCTTTGGTGTGCATTTCACCAAACAGAAAGTGGCCCATCCTCCCCTAACATAATTTGTTTACCCACACCGGCCCATTCTTTTAGAAATTTAAACCTGCCCCTCTTTGATTTCTCCCCTCACCCCGCCATATAAATTATAACCGGTCCCTAACTTACCTGAATAATTGCAAACCCAAAAGCAATTCCTCCGACTATATGCAGGTTATTAAGCATCCAATCAGTAAGTCTGTCGATGCATCCTTGAGTGTATATGTCCTTAGAAGCTTCAGCCTCCTGTGCAGGTAGAATGATATTTATTATTTCAATATTGCTCACGATCTGAAAGGTGACAGGGGAACTCATCTACTAACATGTTGTAGAAAATGATATTGCTACAGCCTACCGTTTTTTGTCTTCGAATTCCAAACCCACAGTGTGTATTGATTTTATCCTGAAAAAAAAAACAACAAACATATGAAAAAAGTACATTTTCATATTTTTTGGCATTACAAAATGACATTATAGAAAGCTCTCAATATTGTATATAAGGCACCAGTGGTCAGAGTTCGTGAACAAAGCACTGAACCAAGGAGTGAGCATAAAAGAAAAGATCTGTGTTCATTGTTTCTTGATAACTTGTCTCAATGTGGATTAATATGAACGTATCCAACATTATACCTTAATACAGCAGGAGAAGGGAACACCACAGGCTTCAACAGTATTTGCTGAGCAATTGAAGTAAGCATTGTGATCCCAGTCATGATACGAGTATCCTCCACAACACTGTAATCCTTTTTGTATGCCATCAATTGCATTTTGTAAGTCAGAATCATCTCGGTAATGGATCACTAGGTGCTTCACAGTACTGGTAATCTTGGTTCTTGTCTTTGAGGTTGTAAAAAGGAATGATTACATTGAAATATCAATCTATACAGTTATTATTGGATGAGTGCAAGAATGGAAAGTGAGAAATTTACCTCATCAACAAAGAAAAAAGCAACAAATCCAGTTATAATTTCCAGAGTGAAAAGGATGCTAAGGATAACCATGTACTACAAGAAAAAAAATCAAAAGTCATTTAGAATTAACTCAAAAGAACATAAATCAGTTCATCAAATTATCTTTAATGCTCACAATTCGTAAGAGAAGCTTGTTCTCTCGTAGCGCACCAACACATCCACAGAATGTCACCAGAAAAAGAAACACACCAACAACAATGATGAGAACGGAAGGATCAAACGTCAAGCTGCCCTTGGTATCGTACTTGTCTTTCTCAACATGAGCCCAAGAACCAACTCCAATAAACATTATAGATATGACCTGATGACAAAACCACATCAAAGGAATAAACAAGAATCAAAACTTTTCTATACTACAAATGTACCGTAGAATAATTAGATACTGCAGCAGTCTTACCCATAGTAGTGCATTAATTGTAAATATAAAATACTTTGTTACACAATGGCGGTTACAAGTTTTCTTGGTCTCCTCTTCAGCTTCGTCAACAATCATGGTGTGTTCCTTACATGTAATATTATTTGTTGAGTATTATTCTGCAAATATGATTCATCAAAATATTTATTATTGATCCTAAATTTGCCAGTAAGGCTGGGTCGGGTAAGAGTATAGGTACTGGGTTCTGCACTGTAGCCTCCTTCCGTAGCCACCAATCAAGGGTGTATCCAGGATTTTCCTCAGGGAGAGGTGCAGGGCAATAACAAGAGGGTGATTACAATGGGCATAAATGCACCCATCAGCTGGATCGAACCCTGCCTCTGCTCAATCATAATTTCCAGATCCAGTCTGGTTATACTGCACTGACAACGGAATGCATTCCACAAAAAAGATCACAAATGCAACAGAGTCAAACTAGTGAAAATTATTACAGGGTGCAACATATGAAGGGTGTATGCACGCACCAGAAAACATGAAATATCATGAAATTCGTTTCACCATGGTAACAGCTGGTAATCACCAACTAACTCACCAATTTTGGAGTTTGCAGGGCTTTTTCATCGTTTCTCAATCGATAATATACACGTTTACTTGAATATCTACATGCAATAAGCGTCAAATAGTTAGTAATATACACAGAATCAGATATCTTAAGTTGAATTCTTCACTGTTCGATGGAAGTCCATCAACGATTAAAGAATTCCACAGGAAGCCCGACCAACCAAACTGAAAAAATGGACTCACGCGGTAAGAAAAGTAATCTATTTTCAAAGTGAAAATTGAAATCACTTGATATATGAGGTATCTTTTGCACAAAAGATAAGCAATCAAACTGGGCTTTTATAACGCTGTATTTCTTTGGACTTTGATGACTTTGTTTTAACGAGGGAGGGGTAGGAAGGAACAGCTGTCAACCCTTTCGCGCGCAAAGCATCTCGAATCAAAACAATCGAAGACAATATGGCGGTCGCCCCAGCACAGTTTAATGTTGTCTTTGGTTTCAATCAAACACCTCTAACTGAAGCTTTGGAAAGCAGGAATTTTAACCATGCTTTAGGCATTATAGAAAGCCGCTCTGGGAGTTGTTTAGATGAAGGATATTATCGTAGGATTCCTTTGTATATTGTGTTGTCAGGAGAGAATTCTTGTTTCGATGGTAAAGTTTTACCAGTTCATTTGAAGATCGCTCGGTTATTAATAGAGAAAGGTAACGTATTTTTGTGATTGCGTGAACACCATGTTGTGTGGATAAGCAGTCTTAAAATATTGCATTATGTATAACTATGTAAAATTTGTGAATATTCAAATAAGCTGTAATGTAACTCAATTAAACGTTAAAAAAATACAAACAAACTTTGGACTTAACTCTGATAATAATTATTTTTTAGGTGCTGATCCGATGCTCCGAATTCCTGAGGTAAACATCAATCACACAAAGACAAAGTCTTGCATGATAAAATGATTATTTTGAAATGTTATTCTTGTCTAGTTTCTAGGAGCAGAGTACATTGGTCCTGGTAGAAGTCCTCTAGAATGTATTGTTGATCTCTATAATAGCATAACAAGCTATGGGACATCAAGCAACGATACCATGCCTCCTTTTCCTGTCATCTTGCTAAATGGCAAAAAATGCTCCAGCACTAAAGCCCTTGCGGATGATCTCATTTCACTAGTATGGATGCTACTTGGGCATGGTGCCGAGGTTAATGTTCTTGACATAGAAAACAAGACCCCTTTACATAATACACTTCTAAGGTCTGCTGATTTACAAATGGCACAAGTATTATGTGATAATGGTGCGAATGTTAGTGCGACAGACAGATGCGGCAATACTCCATTAATGTCTCTTTGCAGTCCTATGCCCTGGAGAACGTATAATGAATACGGTCCTTGTGCGAGTGGATATAGTATATCAAAAGCTGTGCATTATCTTCTGAGATTTGAGAGTGTTAAGGTATTGACTATTGCTGTACGTCCCAGTGACAAATATGGTGCATTGCACACCAAACTGCTGTGATTATAATTGGCTATGAGTTTTGTACATAATGCAGAAGACAAATATGTGTCTAATTGAACAATCTCATTGTTTTCATTATTGTTGATATTAACATGTACTATGTTATTCTTATTCTAGATTAACCATTGTGGAATTCATGGGAGAACTGCCCTGTTCAATGCAATGCAATCTGGTAACTTTGAAGTTGCACAGATGTTGCTGATAAGAGGAGCAAACCCTGACATAAAAGGAATGGGTCCTGATGGAAGGTGATCACCACTTACTAAAATACTCCACTATCATCAATTTGCTCTCAGTTTACTGACAGTATAACAGTTAAGGTGTAATTGATTTTTGTTTTCTAGGTATATTTCTCCACTCCTTGCTGCAATCATTCCATGGAGAGCTTGGGGAAGATTTGATGTCAAGTCAAATGTGAAAGCCATTGGTTCACTCATTGACAGTGGCTATTTTTCAACAGATAAAATACTAAAAGAATTAATGGATTATACCATTGACAAGGACAGTGATGACGCTTCACTGCTGAAGCTGTTTCATAAAGGAAAAGGTCTAATTCAGCTTCTCTTTGGAAAAAGATCTTGTCCTCTCACTCAGCTTGCTGCAAGGACAGCTGTGGAACATAAATTTCCTGGACTTGAGTTCTCTTCTTTTGCAACACATGACATCATCAAGTTTGTGCGTAGAGAGGGCTTGCCACTGGAACTGATATCTCATTTTGAAATTGTATTGCTCAGAGACAAAATACTGAATGCTTTGGCTGAGACCGACTGGGATATTTGGGATATGGAACAATATTTCCTAGATGAGATTGACAGTGACAACAGTATTGATGATGGTTGGGGTCAAGATGATGATTCTGATGATTCCAGTGATGAAAGTGTTGATTATGATGACAATGCTGGTGTTGCTGATGTTGATGAAGATGGTAATAATGTCGACAATGGTAATTGGTGGTAAACTGGTGATAGCAAACCATTTGTAAATCTTGCCAGTTTTTGTAAATAACTGTATTTATTACTCCCATCCTTTAGGACGTAGAATATCCACTTTTTCTGATAGTGAACCCCTAATCACCTAAATGGTTCAAATGATCAAGAACAGATCTTTCAAGAGTCAACTTTAATAAACTCAAAGAAGTAAGGCTAATAAATATTTCATTTTATTTCATGTAAAAGATGATTTGGGTTTTATTATGAAGGATGGGGTGGGACTGGGTTGGGATCAAGTTTTACCATTTGGTAATTTCTGACCATCAACTATACTGATACTACATAGCAACACAATTTAACATTTCTTATTGACATGTGGAATTTATTGTTGGTGGCATTGTTTTGTGTTTTTACCCATAAAAAATCATCCCGGTTAAGTTTACTCCCTGTTCATTTAATAACAATCTGTATAAAAATTTTATTTACAAACTCTAGAAAACTAGTGTAATATTATGTGATGATAATAATTATCAATCAAACACGTTCCATGATTTCTTTCTAAAACCATAGATATGCTGTATGTAATAAGCAAAGCAATTCAACTAATATTATAAATATTGTAAATAACTGTTTTTTTTTTCACTAGTATATCTGAGCTAATCTTTCTGCATCATATCTCACAACTAAGTAAAATGAAATAAAATTCAACTACTGGTAGGTGAAAAATCTGCATGTCAATGTATGGAAAATTTTACAAAAAAATTGATATATACATTTGAGCTTACTGAAGTTGTATAATGCATGGTTCCATTCTAGTTCATATTAGTACAACAATAGAAAGTGTTTTTGCATCATTTCTGATATACAGTGTAGTATGCTAAAATATAATTTTTGGTGTTTATGAAAACATCTAACCTGAGACTGCACAGGCAGCCCAGTATCAATACACTTACACTGAGAAACTGTTATAAAACTGTGGTATCTGAATCTGTTGCATAACTATCATCTAACTGTTCTAATACTTTGGTATGGGCAGCATGCTGTTTATGCCATAAATGTGCGTAAAGAGAGTTTGGATCTGTAATCAGTGAATAGTGGTTGCCTTTCTCTCTGACTTGACCATTTTCCAGGACAAGAATTTCATCAGCATCAACAACTGTAGACAGACGATGGGCAATGAAGATTGATGTCCTACCTTGTGTTACACTCCGTAATGCTGATAAGATGTTCTGTGTAGAAAAAATAAATCAATAGAGCATTGAGAAATATGTAAAATATTTCCTTAATTCCAATATTCAGCCATTTAAACTATTAATGCTTGATGGTACATCTCACAATAAAGTACCATTTCAGTGATGGAGTCCAAAGATGAAGTAGCTTCATCATACACTAAGATAGGGGGGTCTTTGATAATTGCTCTTGCAATAGCTATCCTTTGCTTTTCTCCACCAGACAGCTTTAAACCTCTCTCCCCAACTGGTGTCTTGTAACCTTCAGGCATTCTCATAATGGCGTCATGTATTTCAGCCATTCTTGCTGCTTCATATACTTCTTCCTTGGTAGCATTCACTCGACCATAATTTATATTGAAAAACACATCATTGTGAAATAATACAGAGTCCTTCAAAAGAAAAATGAAAAAAAACTTGTGAAAGGTGAAGCAGATTGGGTTCTGAATGATTAAGCAACAGAGACAAGAAAGAATAACAGAAATCTCTCTTTTTCTTCCTCCATCTTTCCTCACATCTTCCATGTATTTAAGTAACTTCTGTTTCTGTCTCACTTCATTATATTAAATTAAGCATCGTTAATGTTCCAGTGAAAATGTGTGTAAAAGTGTGTCCAATAGTGCAGCATTTTTTACATACTTGTGGAACAACACCAATAACTTTCCTCAAACTCTCTACTGATACATCCTGGATGTTTTTGTCTGAAATAAGTATTCTTCCCTCAGTTGGATCAAAAAATCTGAATAACAGTCGTACGATGGTTGATTTTCTGAAAAAGAGGCAAAACAGTAAATGTAATAAAAACAATTCGTACCAGATACCAGTAAAGACCAAGGAGACAACAATGGTGATATTAAAACGATAGTGAAGAAAAATAGAAAATAAGCAATTATTTTGGCAACCAAAGTTATACAGATGGCAGTTATCCTTTGAAGAACACTACTGCTTCAGGTTTAAGTTTGCAACAATGTTAGGAAATGCATACCCTGAACCACTACCACCAACAATGGCAATTTTCTTTCCTGCAGGAACCTCAAATGACATCCCATCAAGAATCTTTTTGTCTGGTAAATATTCAAATTTGACATTGTCAAATACCACTTTAGCACTTGGATCGCCTGCCTTAAGGACCAGAGGGAAGGCATCAGGCTTTTCCTACAAAAAATAGGATTTCATAGATTATTTCAATAATAAGGAGATGAAACTTGTCAAAAAAATAATTTTACCTTGTTTCCTGTTAAATGTTGTCAGTGAATAATAATGTCAATCAAAGTCGCTTTTCACTCTCCTTACCTTAATTGCAGAGTCCAAGTTGTGTAATTTGAATAATGACTCCATGTCTACCAAAGCTTGTCGTAAGTCTCTGTACACAGAACCAAGAAAATTGAGAGGGACGGAGAGCTGGAATAGCAGTCCATTAACCATCACTAAGTCACCCACGGTCATAGTACCTGGATAATATTAGATAGTATTATAAATCATTAGCCCTAAGGTTCTTTCAAGGTCAATGTACATCAATGACGCTCACCTTGCATGATCTGGTTGCTAGCCAGAAGCATGATTGTACTAAGAGAGGCACTGAAGATGAAATTCTGTCCCCAGTTCAAGAAAGCCAGACTAGTAGTTGTTTTTAAGGAGGCCTTTTCATACTTTTCAAGCAGGTTGTCATAGCGATCAGCTTCAAATTTTTCATTGTTAAAATACTAGCACAATAAAGAAATACCAAAAATGTATAAATTAATTGCACCAATAGTAATAGGATTGTCTACCTTGCAATCTCTTTTTCTTTTGGGATCCCTGTCTATACATGAAGGGCACAGGGATCCCAAAATGGAAAATAGCTGTAAAGAGACTGTGTTTTACCTTAACTGTTTCATAGTTTATCAGTGAATCAATTGCTTGAGCACCAGCTTTATTGTCAGCTTGGTTCATTTGTGACCGAAACTGAGTCCTGTAATACAATAACAATGTACTCTAATTCAATAGGAAAACTTTTGTAGTCTGCAAGTTAAAAACTTAGAAAAATGTACAATGATAAACAGTGCTACATTAATACTCACCTCCATCGTGTAACACGCAATGTAAAAACTGCATAAACTCCAAGACAGCCTAGTACAACTACAGCAAACTCAGTCCCACATCGGTACGCCTACAATGGTCAGCATAAGAAATTACAGAATAAATCAATTCAAATAAATACTATTTTACACAGACAGAGATCAAGCACTTACTAAAATTCCTGACACTAAAGATACTTCAAATATTGTTGGAACAATGTTAAATACAAGAGCACTGAGAACAAAGTTGATCCCTCTGAAAAATACAATAGATATTGTTAAGATTACATTGCTATAAAATCCAATATAATCACCCAGTTTTAGTAGAGGGAAAGTGTCCTACCGGGTTCCTCTGTCAATGGCTCTGGAAAGTGCTCCAGTTTGTCGATTTAAGTGAAAGGAAAGGTCAAGGTTGTGAAGGTGAAGGAATGTCCGTCTAGAAACAGTACGCAGTGTTCCTTGTGCAACCTTGGCAAAGACAGCATTTCGTAGTTCATTGAACAATGATGCACTCATTCTTGCAACTCCATCTGTAAAGAATACAGTAAAGAATACAGAAAAAAATGATGTACTTCTCTTCCAGAACATTTAATCAGACTTTATATCAAATATCATCACTTCAATCAAAACTGGAATAAAACTATTGCTGATGTTCTTACATCCAAGAACTAAAGCTGTGGATGTCATTGCTAGAAATCCTCCAGTGCTTGCAAGTGATGAGGGATCAAAGTTGTTGAGGTGATCAATAATATACTTGAACAGAAAGGGAACTTGTACATTCACAACCTGGAAAAGAAAGATTTACAATTATATATCAAAAATAATTAATGAATAATAACTTCAGTCAAGCACCAACCTTAGCTGCAACAAGAAGGACCACAGCAGCAACAACTCGTATCTTCAAGTCACGTCGATCTTTAGGCCAAACATGTTTCGCCATGCTCTTTAAGATATGTAGAGAGCTGGCTGTAATTAGTTTCTTTCTCTTGGCTCCTTCTTCTGTCACAGCACCAGCTGCACCATGTAAATATCTTGAAATAGTTGCTAAAATACCAACCTGTGTGGATATAATAAGTTAAACTTGGAGCTCCTGTTGTGACACAGGTAACCCAACCATTGATAACAAACTTACAGGAGATTTCTTAGAATTTTTAGATGCTGACTGGCTCTTTGTACTGACAAATTTTGTCCTTATTTGGAGCAAGCATGGTTTCTGTGAAGACACAACAGTTATGATCAATGAAAATATATACATAATTTTCTCTATATTTTTCTTAAAATTAAAAATTGCTTATGCAAAAACCTGTTAACAATGCATCAAAACTGTTCATAATAAAAATATTCAATGGAGTGCTGCCAGATTAAACTATGGTCACCTGTAGCTTGATAGTAAGTATAATTTATTTTTGTAAATATAACTCATTGCACTTATGCACTAGAAAACATTCGTATTAGAGTTTAACCAGTTAAAATAACGCATAATAGTATGGATATCGTACTGTTTATAATAATCTATGGATAAAAGATTATTCAAGAGTAAAATTCATGCCAGGTCACTTTTAAATTAAAACAGAAGCTTACGTAAGTTAATTAAAGCTATGTAAATACATGTCTTCAAAAAATACAAAACATTGTGAAGTCCTAAAGCCCATCAAAGTTAAGAACTTACTAAAATATAAAGCTATTTCCAGCTAAAACAGACACACAGGGAAGTACTTACAAATCATAACAACACGAGGAAAGAAACCCAAAGATTACAGAAATTGGGAGATCTTAGATCATTACAAATGTGGTGATTACGAAAATTGCACAAAATACCTGTAAATTTGATGTCCTTGATACCGTTGAACCCTTGCTCCATGCATTATTATACCTAAATTGTTGATAATTTGGAAATGAATAAGTTTTGTTGATATTTAAAAATCTATAGCAAGTTCGTCCAGCCGCCATCTTGATTTGATATTGACCGTGTGGAGACTGAGACTAGTATTAGTCTTTCACACATCATTCTTTTTTATTGACATTTTTCCAGCATTCGATCAAAAATGATGTATTTTATTTTTAACAGATTTTGTCTAAGTATTCATATTGACTTTGTAGTGTAATGAATGACATTCCTTGCAATGAATATTAGTATCCCATAGCAACAATTCAAAAAAATTCTGCGGTAGTTACAAACAATTTATTTGATATAAAAAACAAAAGTCAATAGTCTCTAAACTTCACCAGAAAGTATTTTTAAACACTTTTATATGCCTGTTGTTTATTTTTCACTGTTTGATGAAAATTCATTTGGACTTCAAACCGGACGTGACGTCAAAATATTGGACGATCTTTCTTTTACGCGTGCGTAGTTGCTGTCAATTTCTGACTGGTTCGAATTCACGATATGGAAGACCTTTGAAATTCTTTTTCTTCTGTAGAGATTACCAAAATTATGTGGCTTTATAGATTACTTTTAAGTTTTTTACATATTATTTTATACTTAAGGTTCATTGTTTTAGAAATCCTCTGGAAAACGAGAAGATTTGTTGCCGGCGTTTTTGGTTCGCGTGGCACATCTTGTAATGAAATTCATTTGCATTCGAGCCAACTCAACAAGCTCCCTTTACACATAAGTCTCCTAATATTAGAGCCGCAAATAGTGTTTACAGACATAGCAAAGCTTATAGTATGGTCTATGGCATTGGGTATTTCATATATAAGTATCTTTGACAGAAAAGGTAAGTTGAAATGGTGAATACTTGTCGAATCAGTTGTGCAACTTTATGAAGTTCAATGCATGATCTACAATAAGTTAAATTACAAACATTACTATGAAAAGTGTTTTATATTAACCTTCGTTGTTATATTGTTTAAAAGGTATTTTTAAAAAGAATGCAGCTAAGCTGTCCAGTGAGATTATTTACAAACAAAGAGAAGTTTTTACTGAGGAAACCAAGAGATATACATTCATATTGAGGACTAGAGATACCAAGTTTGATCATAGTCTAGGTAAAAAAATTCCTCACTTGCCCTCTTAAAGGAATACCGTTTTTAATATAGAATTGTGATGTAATGCACCTTTATTTAATGCAGGTTTTTGTATAACTGCTCATATCATAACAAGATATGCTCAGGCAAAATGTTATTGCATCAGTCTATGGTTACAGTTCAAGTTTCACAAGACAAGTTCACATTATTGGGGGTGGGCTAGGGATATTTGGTCTAACATTAATACCATGGGGGTGGTTTATAAAACAGGAGATAGAGTATCCATTTATCAAGGTAACACCTGAAATAAGAACCTGTTAGCAAAGGGTATTCCCTATACACTCCCCCTAGGGACTTTTTGAACTCCGTGAATATGCCAAGTTTATCCTGTATTGCATCCAAACTAATCGATCTTGGAACTTTGTAGCATGCAAAACCTTCCTTACCCTACTACCCTTGTTTAGCACTTGACCTTGGTATCTTTGTTGGTGGTAATCCTGTGGGATATTTCCTGTGCCATGTTTTAATGCAGTCCCAAGATGTAATCCTAATGTGTTTCATATTACATATAGATTATGCTTTAGTTTTACCTCTCAATGGTCAACACACATTGATAACATTTGGCCTTCAGGGAAAACCAAGAAAATTTGAAGGCCCCCAAGAGAGAATTTCCATTGTATTGTCAAAAAATGAAACTTTGTTCACAAAGATTTTTATTGTTCCTGCAGCACCAAAACAGGTTTGCATAAGCCTTTTATCAGAGGAAGATGGACGAGGAGACATAGTACAAGCAGCACAAGATTTTTGTTTAGAAATTCAAAGGAAAGAAGCATTACCCAAGCAAATGGAAGTAGAATTGATGGATCAAATGCTTAAAGGTTGGCACTCAAAACTTTATATCTTCTTTCATTAATTTTGTTCATCATGTCATTACAGTGTGAATGCTTCAACTGGGATCATTTTGATGAAATAACATGTATTACTAACCACTTATATTGCAGCCTTCAGACCTCATTCTAAATAAAAGGTAATGAGGCAATCAAAAGGGTGGATAACTTATTATCAGTTCCAATGCCATCTTGCATTTCTGTTATTAATTTTTGATTGGTCAGTTATATTCAAGTGGCTCTGGTTGAGGTTGTAACACAGTTATGAATTTACTAATATTCTATATTTGTTTTAAATGATTAACTAACAATGATATTTCAATAGCAACTCGTGGTATACCTGACCCTGAACTAGCCCTTAAATTTGGCAATATTGATATGTTGATGGGTTTCCTTCCTTGGCAGACACGACTTACAGAATTTATGTGAGTATAGATCTATATTGTTCATAGCATCTTGTTAAGTTTCCTCTGTCTCTTTGACCCATTCACTATCTATTCATTATTCCATCCTATTTTTTTCATTATTTCATTCATCCAGCTGCCCACTAGATCATCCATTAATTCATTTTTAATTCTTTGATTTTAAACCACTTGTTTTTATTATAATGAAATGCATTGTTCCTTTGGCAGATCATGCAAGAGTCATCATCATATAACATTCTCATTATTTCTTGAAAGTTTACAAAAATATAGTAATTGTGAAAAGAGATTTGGAAAATAAAATATGCAGCTCACATATTAAATACTAGAAATATTATGAAATCAAGCAGAAGGGGTTCTGTGATTCTCCAGATTTGGTGTCTTTGTTTAATTTATACAAACTGAAAGCTGTGATTCTTGTATATAGACATGTGTTGTTTTGCATAAAAAGACTATTCATTATATTATTAAAGGTCTGATTTCCTGGATTCTTTGTAAAATAGAACAGCATAGTTAATTTTCAAATTAATAAAACATTTTACAGTTGTGTTTTGAAGTGTCTTTGATGAATTATAATTAAGCACTGTGAGGAATGCCCAATGGTATTTCACTATTCATGGAATTTCTACAAAGCAACCTTAATTTTTACAAGAGTGATAATTGAATTTATTGTGTATCATTACTGCAAAATATTCAATTCTTACTTTTGTAGTTCTCATGCCTTGTAGGTATGTACCTTTATCTTCTCAATATTATACAAGATAAAGGTGGAGTTGCAGTGATAGATACTGTTTTTACTGCCATTAAGGAAGGTACCATAATCTTTCAAACTAAGCCTGGGTCATGGACCTACTTTTCTTATTTTCTTTTTTTAATAAAAGAAATATGAGTGGGTTTCATTTTGCCATTCATTTTATTATTTACAGTATGATAGAGCAGAGTCACATGAACCATGAAATAAGAACTAAAAAGTACTAGCTAATAGGGACTATTAGTTCCTAATAGTCGTTAGCACTGAACCAGAACAGTTTATTTGATCCAATAAGCAATACCCAAGAGACCACTTTAACAATCAAAGTAATCTCTTTGTACTGTTCTGGTTCAGTGATAGTGTCTAAATAGTGCCTATTAGGTACTAAGTATTTAGTTTCTATTTCATGGTTCAAGTGACTCTGCTCTATTACAATGTTCTGAACATTGACAATAATGGTTTTTACTCCTTGTCTTCTTGTTCATTGATTGACTTAACAGCATGGATAGCATAATTAACACTAGTATCATCAATTAAACTCCAGTCAGACATGAATGGATTGAAGCACAGTCCTTGTATGTCGACAGTTTCAAGATTATCTAGAAATCAAAATCACAAAGAAATCATATTAATGAATACATTCTTTTTGTGCTTTTTTGTGAATTACTATAATACTTACATTCTGATAACAGCTCCTTCAAGTCATCAGAGTTGATAAACTTATTCCAATCATGTGTTCCTGGTGAAACCATGCGTGTGAGATACTCTGCCGCGACAATAGCAGCAAGATAAGACTTGGTTGTTTGTCCTATAGTTGTCATAACAACAGAACCACCAGGCTGCCATAAACAGGGAGAGCAATATCAGTCTGTGTACATTCATTTCCCCACGCCTACCACCTACAATGTATCTTTAACAAGGGTCCCTACCCCTCCCCCCTAAAATAATTTTCCACTGGGGCAGAGGTGGGGAATGTCTATACACAAGCTAGAGTAATATATAACCAACACTGATGTTTGAAAGAGATACTCTATACACATACTTTAAGAAGACTAGATATAGCTTCCACAAAAGAGTCTTTTTCTGTAATATGTTCAATGACTTCAGATGACACAACACAATCAAACAAGTGACCATCTTCGGCAAGTTCCTGCGCTGTAATACACTTATAACTTAGTCTTCTAGATAGTACTGGATCGAGAGATAAATGCCGCATTGCAACATGTATATTCTTTGCTGATGCATCTATCCCAGTCACATTTGCACCAAGTCTTGCTAAAGCCTACAAAGAAATCACGCAGTACTGAATAGGGGGAGGCAGTTGGAAAATATCATGACCTATGCGAGGATAGGTAGGTACCTCAGATAAAATTCCACCTCCACAGCCAATGTCCAAGATGTTGACATGTTTCAGTGGCAATACTTGGGATATAGAGTTACTTTTAAGTTGCTGTAACACTACGCTTTTTATATAAGGGACACGGATTTTATTCATTGAATGTAATGCATGAAATTCACCAAAAACGTCCCACCAATCACTGGCACTTTTGCTTAATTTGGTAATTTCATCATCATCGACATTGTTTTTGTCTGAAAACTAAATAAATCATGAATTAATAAATGTTGATACTTAAATTAAATTGAAAATTGGTTAAAAATGGAAAGGAAATTTCATTTTCTGGTACTGACCTGTGCAGAGGTTGTGTAATGTCGATGTTTTTTCGACAATCTGTCGGTATTCTGAGGCCTGATTTTTGTTAAAAACTGTACTGCATGTCTAAAAGACTTAATAGAATTATTCTTCAAGAAAGAACACCGGCAATAAACGCGGGAAATGTTCATTATTTACCAATAGAGGAGAAATTGTCAACATTGTACTGGTCAGCGGTAAACTAAAAACGAGAAAGACTGGAACTAATGGTAAATTTTCAAAAAAGTTTAATTAAATAGATTTCAACTTTGAATTGATTTCAATTCGCACAGATTAATGTAAAAAAAAAACCCGCTCAATTAAGCTATTATCAGGTGGCTAAATCATATTCATATCTATCATATCTCACCAACTTACCGAAAGCACCGATTGCAAGTAGCTTTTTGCGTTTCTTTTGAAATTATTGAAAAATGGACATAGTTTGATGGCAAATATTATATTCAAAGTTAAAAAAGGAAATGAAAAAAAGTAACAAAACTCCTCAAAACTGATATAAAGAACAGGTACTAGTATTACCCATGAAGCATGTCGGTCAGCAGGGGAAGGGTTGAGATTGAATATATTATGCCCCCTGTAGGACATGTGCAAAGACTCTTCGACAATGTAGAGGTGGCGAAGTGTGTGCATTTCTTGCTCATTTTTGTCCGCTCTCAAGATAAAATAGCGAACAGTAAAAGGTACAAGAGTTCTTTAATAAATAATCTTTCTACAGGTAGGAATAATTTGAAGATATTTCCAAGATCTACAGCTATTTTGAGCCACAAGATTTTGGTGTTGACGCGTCGAAGTGGCGGCGTCCCCTTCGAGAACTGGACACATTTGTTACTGAAAAACATTGTATTTGATTTGATTTATATAATGTGGATTCCGTGAAATGATACTCAGTACCTAAGTATAAAGCACGATATGTTTAAAGCAGCATTACTGATGAAGTGAAACTGGATTTTTTTGCATTTTGTAAGAGCGCGGACTTTGGAGTAGGACTTTGACAGGATAGATTGTTTATTATTGCAAAATCATGTATATTTCGTTTATAAACATACACTTTGGATCCAAAATTGTTTATGGACAGTGCTTTAAGGATTCATTCCTCAATCTTGTGATTTCAACATCAAAATCTTACGCCCTGTTCTATGATTCAAGCTTTTAAGTACAAATGGAAATGAAAACAGTGTGTTTGGATAGATATTATTTGTCTGTCAGATAATGGTCATCATTGTATCGATTTTTCTGCTGGTTAAACACTTATCTGGTGGATAGCACTTCTCCTTTGTTCAGCCCTACAAAAACCACCCCATTTATAAATAACTAATATGCATTAACATGTTTTGAATAAAGTATACTCATTCGTATAAATTATTGGAAGTATTTATGTATTTTATTTCATCATGCCTTTGTTGGGTATTCTTACACATTGTTGATAAGTGGTGTAATGATAGTATTGTATTGCGAACTTGCTTTTGACGTCTTCCTAATAGCTAGCTACTATAATGTGGGCCAACGGAAACCAATCCACACAGTGGTGGCCTATGAATTATGGCTATCAATATCCACCCCAAGGTGAGTTTATATAGTTCCTTTATTAATATTTGTGGCATCAAATATAAGTAGACCAGATGATCTGATGGGAGTGCAGTATTATTGTTAGATCTGATAATGATATTGCTGCAAGTCAAAGCTGGTTGTTATTAGATTTTAGTATTTCCAATATCACTGTTCAATAATGTCCACTGATGCTGTGAATCTTCAGTGTGGTGCATACCGCAGAGTAGTAAGGGTGTCGTGATCTGATGTAACCACAGTTATGTGCATTGTAAAGGTTAATTTATGGTCTTTTCTGCAGATTCAAGTGCTGACTGGGCCACCAGGGCTGCGTTATGGGCTCAACAACGACAAGCACAGGAAGATATGAACAAGCAACATCAAGAGTACTATGCATCAACTCAGAAACATCCAATCACTGAACCACCATTACCAGACACTGACCCACCACCTCCCCCAGGGGAATCAATTGTTATTCCACCAAAACCTGAACATGAAGTTGATAATTTAGAGAGTGTTGCTATGGATGATGAATCCTTGGATACCACAACACCTGAACAAGGAATTGCAGTGACTCGACTAGACTATAATCATGGCCAGCCAGTACCATTACCTGAAGTAGGTCCACCACCACCTATTCCTGGTATGCAGACTTTTGATCACAATCATGGCTTTACTCCTGCGTCAAGTGCACAATCATATGGGCATGTACCAGCGCAGAGGTTTGATTATGGCCATCAGAGTCATCAACCATCATCTAACCCTCCAGCATCATCACACTGGTATGATTATGATCATGATGATCGTCATCACAAAGATTTTGAACCAGAACGGCACCATTCCAGGGTTAGCAGAAACAATGAACCAGTAGCACCCCATGGATTTGACTATTCAACTTTATCAGGTAAATTATATTTGCAAATCTAGGATAATTTATAAATTATCTTAAGTATAAATACATGTACTTTATCTTCAGATGTAAAGAAGAAAGCATTGCCTCTTTGGATTCGCGAGGGTTTAGAAAAAATGGAACGTGAAAAACAGAAGAAACAAGAGCAAGAGTTAAAGAAATCTCTGAACTCTTCGACATCTTCACTGTCAACCATTGCAGGATATGACCATGGCAATGTCCATTCTCCTGTTCCTTCACCAACACGAGTTGAGTCAGATGAAGAGGTACTGATTTGATTGAATTATGTCTATATTATGATGTAAAGGAGTACTTTCTGAGGTTATGTTGATGATGAGGTGATGTTACAAGAGATTTTCAATGAGTACCATATTATGTAAATGTTTTTTCTCCTTTTACAGCCAATTAAAACTGAACAAGTTAAAAAACAAGAAATTCATCACTCTAAAGACAAGAAGACAAGTAAGCGTCATTGGTCTCCTAAGAAATCACTCAAAAGTGATTCATCAGATGAGGAAGTAGATAATAAAAGTGAATCTGAAAAACAACAAGAAATGGTAGGTATCAGTCAGCAAGACGACCTTCATGGATTACAAACTGTGTTACTTGTTGGTATCAAAACAGCATGGTTATTTTCTCTACTGTCTATTATTTGTAAATCATTGCATGATTCCATCACTAATGATGATGGCAGGGTTGATAGTGATGACAATTGTGATGATATTTTTTAACTTTCCTATGGCAAGATGTTCAGGCAGGGACATGCCATTAAGGTCATTATAGACATGAGCAGGGACATGCCATTAAGGTCATTATAGACATGAGCAGGGGCATGCCATTAAGGTCATTATAGACATGAGCAGGGGCATGCCATTAAGGTCATTATAGACATGAGTGGGTTATACCTTAATGGTTAATAGCCAAAGTAATGGTTAGAAAAAACACAACATTAACAAAACATAGTTTGGAAATATAGCATCGTCTATCTTCTAACACCTTCATCTTTTATATGAGTTTGAAATAAAGAGCTTATAATGTTCACATTAATAATAATTAATGTCAGCTCTTGACATTACCAAGTAGTAGTATTCTTTTCTGACATGTGAACTTCCGCTACAGCTGGTAAAAATGCGCACAATGCTGACAGAGATACTATTAACTGTTACCAATGATGAACTTCATAATATTGCTAAAGAGAGTTACAGTGAAGCATTGACAGGTAAGTACTGATGAAAAATATTTCTTGCTCAATTCAAGGTATTTGATTCACTTAAATATTGTACCAATACATTTGACTTACCTACAATATTTTTTGTAGCTGAAAACAAGCAGTTGAGGAACTCTGGTGGTTTGGTTGTATTAAAGAATCCGGGAGCATTGGGTTAGTCTATCTGTTATTCAAGATTTGCCATACTCGGGTTCAGTGACCACAAACAAAGCGTTGAACCGGGACATCAAGGAACACTGAGCACAGATTGTTTCTTGTATGCTCACCGTACCTTGACGGCTCAGTTCAATGCCTTGTTTGTGGTCACTGAACCTGAGTATGGAATATAGTGAACTAGTGTTACTGTTGTTACTTATATTCACCTCATATTCTTCGGCAATGGTTTGTATGAGATAAGGGTTTATTATGAATATGATATGTCAACACTTCACCAATTATTGCAAAAAAAATCTTATTCTCTTGATGTGCCATAAAACCTCCATTAAAACATAGTGACATGATGGATTTAATTGATAAAGGTTTTGTGATAAACAATGATGGATTATACTGATAAAGGTTTTGTGATAAACAATGATAGATTATATTGATAAAGGTTTTGTGATAATTTAACAGGTGTTGGTGACTATGGATCAGACTCAGAATCAAGTGATGAAGAAACCCCAGAGCCAGAAGAAAGACACCATGCTCCTAGCGAGCTCCCAGAAAAACCTAAACAATCCATCTCTCCTCTTAGAGATCAGCATGAATATAAAAGCTCCAGTCAGTCACGCTCTAGTTCTCCACGTCATGGAACACCTAGTGATGTATCTGATAGAGAGAGCGAAAGGTCAAGTTCATCAAAAAAGAAAAAACATCGTTCAAAACATAAAAGAAAAGATAGAAGTCGCAGTACTTCCAGGAGTAAACATAGGTCACGGCGTAGCAAATCAAGAAGTAAATCTCCTAAAAAACGTAAAAATAGAAAGAGGGAAAAAAGTAGATCCCCTAGTGACTCTCGTAAATCAAAACGTCACTCTCGTAGCTCTAGTAGATCTCCAAGAAGACACAGAAAACACTCTGAAAGTGGCAGCAGGTCACCAAGCAGTAGGAAACACAGTAGAAGAAAGAGAAGTGAAAGTGATTCGCCAAGAAGAAAACGTAGTCATCGAAGTCGCAGTTCTTCTTCTGATAGGCATAGGGAGGGTAAGAGAGGACGCAAACGAAGATCTCGCTCCAGATCAAGGTGGTTTAATCCTTCTGTTTTAATGTTTATTGTAGGTTTAATAATTATCCAAGGTCTTGCCAAGTGGTAACATTTTTCCCATTTGTTCATGTTTTCTCTTTTCTATTCCCATTTATATCATGCTATCCTACTTTTTCATTCTCCCACTGCCTTCCATTTTGTCCATCTATGTTTCACAACTATTGTGTCAGAATTCCTTTACAACTTTTCAATTGTCTTTTGTAGGTCGTCAACTCCAAGACACAGGCGTCACTAACAAAATACTAAGAACTCTTCTATGGGTATCTCTTGATATGACCCTTATTACAATTACAGGTTTAAGTAGGATAAGGAATATGAAAAAATAGCAAATGCTGAGTGTCCTCAAAGACTGGGAGGAAAAGGGGATGAAAATTCCAGTGAATTTCCCATTTCATACTTTGCTATCCCACCCATTTTAAAGTTTTCAACCACAACAACCATACATTGTACTAACAAACATGATTTTCCGTGTCCTTACAAATAAAATCATTACAACATTGGATTGTGTGTTGTTATTATTTAACATCTAGAGAGTCATTACAGTCAAAAGAGACCGATTGTGGCCATTACATCTTTCATTAGCCTGCGTAGCCAGATGTTCCGAGAGTTTGGGCATCCAGAAGGCCCAAACTTTCTTGGATAAACTAGGAACGCCTGGCTACGCAGGCTAGTTTTTCATAAACCCATGTGGCAATGTCGTTATTGCATCATCATCAGTTTATGAAACATTTATACAACTTTTCAGTAAAATCAGACGTTTTGATTGGTTGGCTTTCGTGTGTTATCAAAGTATAGATACACGGATTACGTCAAAACTAATTGTTTGTTGTATAAAACAGATAGATCTCATTTTCCCGTGCTTGTGTACTCTAATAGATACACAGATGACGTCAAAATGTAGTGAGAACAACAGTCACGCACTCGACTGCGTCTCGTGCGTACTTTTTTGTTCTCACTACATTTTGACGTCATCTGTGTATCTATTAGAGTACACACGCACGGAAAAATGAGATCTATTTGTTAATTAGATTAAAATTGTTTAACAAGTAGCCATGTTTTTTACCACCTTATTCATATCCCCTGTGGACTAACAAATTGTCTTCAATTATTCAGTGAAGCTTTTAATTGTCTCCTGCAACATCTTGAAAGGTAGCTGTGCCTTTACATCAAAGCGAGACTGTTGAGCTTGCAATGACAGTTACCTGTAAATAATTGTCTGTAGGTGTGAAAGTAGGTTTCTATCATTGCATGCTCAACGGTCATCTTGCTTCAATGCAAAGGCATGGCTACCTTTCAAGATGGCGCCGGGAACTAACTGTGAAGGAGACTATTGGCTGGATATAGCAGCCAAAATCATTTAAAAAATTATGTATTCTTTATGCACAATTATTGTATTATTACCTTACAATAGGGATTTACTGAAGAAAAGAGTATATTACATAGCTTAAATAAGATAAATACACTCGTGTTTCAAAGGTTTATCAAAACACTATAAAACATCCTGTCATTGTTAAATTAGACGTGACACACTTAACTGTGAAACTAATAATAACTATTAAATAGTGTGTTGATTACACATCCTATTTATGTTTTGCAGATTAAGTGTGTTGGCTCTACTCTAACCTCGTTATAAAACGCTGAAGTTATAAAACGCTCTATTGAAATGTAAACAATGAGTATATTAACATATTAATTATGTTCGGTATGCCATAAATCCTTATTGGTTTCACGGATTTTCCTCGTGAATTTGTATATACAAATATTGCATTAAACTATGTTTAGTGCCATTTTATACTAATTCTAAAGAGAATCCTACTGCTAAGACGTCACTTCTTCCAGACCTCGTAGAAAGTCCATCTAGCGCGTTGTTAAGGAGTGTTACACAATATCATATTTTACAAAACTCGATGTATATATTTTTTGACCCCACCCTAAAGTTAACACGTGGTAAACGCATACTCGTGAGCGCAGTTGGGCTCGCTTTTTCCAGGGGCGCGCAATACATCAGTCCCTTTAGCGTAACAAAGCAATATTCCGATTCTAACAATCAGAGACGCTGGAATACTTGGAGTATGCATTATGTCTTTCGAAACTCGCGTAGCTTTCTTTTTAAGCAAGAGTTCAAAACGGGAGAGAAACGACTGGGCACGAGTATGTGTTAAACGGACGTGCCATTAAACCGCATCAACCAACCAGTTAATAGTGTGTAAGGATACAGTTCGAGAAATGATGGCACAAAGACCAATTCTTTACTAAAATCTACAGAACACGAAGAAGATGACAATATCTTCTCGTAGCGTTCGTGAGCGAGATGGTTATTGGCGCCATTGGTACCCTAATAGATCGTAAAAATCAGTATATGATAAATATTCATACGTGTATAACATTTATAACAGCTCTCATGGCCTGACCATCATGTTGATATCAGAATTCGGAGACGCGGTTTACCGGCGATTTTGGGGGCACGCAGAAGCAGAAGAATTTCACAAAAGAGCTATAGAACGGCCGCGCATGTCTCTCGGTCTGAAATGAACAAGTTGGGAGGTATGGAGTGCACTAGTGAGAAACGAGCTGAGAAATATGAGTTATTAACGAACCTGTGCAAAATATTTGCCTTTCTTGTCGAGCGCCTGCAGTGATAAATCTAGTACATCTTTGATGAAACCCCATCTCGATTCTGAAACGACATCATTTAGTTACTAACGGAATTCATGTCCAAGGGTGGACTATAGGGGGGATGGGGTGTTCATAGACTGTGTAGCGGACTATAGGGGGTGTTAGCGGACTATAGGGGGTGTTCATAGACTGTGTAGCAGACTATAGGGGGTGTTAGCGGACTATAGGGGGGATGGGATGTTCATAGACTGTGTAGCGGACTATAGAGGGTGTTAGCGGACTATAGGGGGATGTTCATAGACTGTGTAGCGGACTATAGGGGGTGTTCATAGACTGTGTAGCGGACTATAGGGGGTGTTAGCGGACTATAGGGGGGTGTTCATAGACTGTATCCCATATTAAGCTTCCTCGGCATACCTGTGCATCCCTCCGCGCCAATGGGAAGGTCTGTCAAATCGTTCAAAATGTAATCAAACACCTTTCCTTCTTTGATGTATTTCCGTAATTCCACAAAACAGTCCTGTACGATTATCTATGAACAATATTAAATAGGAATATATTATCAGAGATTATTAAAATAGACGATTTCCTTGATCCGCGGCGCTTTGAAAAGTATCATAGGTGCGCACGAAAACGAGTTTGTTTAAAATTTAAGTGGGCCTCCGAACTACTGTACGATAATACCTCGCTTTGCCGAAAATACATCGCTTTACATGCGCGCATCTGCGATATTTTCTCTCGAAACTAATCTTTGATAAGCATACATGATTTGAAGGAGGCGCAATAAGATACCGTACATATTCTTCCCTATGGGTAGGGGGGAGGGGTAAAGGAAGCTGTATATCCGGTCCCTGTTTTTTGACGTAAAGATTGTCGAACACCAAGCTAGGTAACGCGTGGTCTTACCTCATAATTTCTTCCATTTAAGGAGTCCATCGTATCACCACAAATATTTCGAAGATGTTTCCTAGCAACGTCGATAACCAGTTGATCAATGTGCCATGATGTCAAGAAAAAATGCACAGGAATTCCAACAATAATTATAACGACTGTGACGCACTTTTGCGCAAAGAATTTTTTGAACGCAAATAAATAAAAAAATTATGCTCTAATGTGAGAAAAGGATATCTCTACCATGGTGACAAACTTCGGGTCCTCCTTTAGAACCTCGTGGAGAATTCCACCGTCACCACCCCCCAGGATAAGAAGCGTCTTGTCTTTAAAGTTCTCTCTACCATTACCAAGAATAGCCCGTGTATACGCGATGTCACTGTCTGCTAGCACTAAAACATGAACCAAAAGCAATGAATCGCGCACAAGTGGTCACAAGTTGGTATACAAAAGAGAGTTTTAGATACGCCAAACGTCAAAACTGATCACGTGATCACTGTTTTTCTATATTAACGCTCCGTTCTTTCGCGATTGTGTATAAAATAAATCACTTTTTCGTGCATAAGCGCATCACTATTCCTTTCGAAGTGTTTTTACGTTTGTTTGAAATTTTGAGACAAATTATAAAAGCCAATTTGACGTTTGGCGTTTGCAGTAAACGTGATTCCAAAACTGATAAGCACATAGGAGCAGCAGTCACTTCATATGAAAGTAACTGACGAAAACAAGACCCATAATAGAAGTTTATGTCTTCAAAGATTTATTAGATATCAATTGTGACAGACTTACTTTCTTCGTCATCTAAGAAAAGCATGTTGCCAAACTGCGGTGAGTGTACGATGAGAATGTCTTGGTACTCTGACGAACCGTGGTAAATCACCCTGGGCGATAACAAGCGACAACCGACCTTATTAATGAGCGACGACAATCCATCGTATGCACCCATCCACTCACTTATTACTCTATTCATTTAAAAGCATCAATTCTTAATCTATTTATTCATCCATCCGCTTTATGTCATAACCTTCATTCATCCAATTGATTTCGCTCCGGACATCATCACGTGGTAAATTAGTTTTCCGCGTTTTTCACTCACTTGTCAAAGTCGTATTCTTTCATTCTCCCATCTGATGTATCGTAGTACTTCTTAATGTCGCAGCCACGTGCTATTGGAGGGATGACGTCAGGAGACACCAAGCTAGTATTTTTCCTTAATCCTTGCTTCAAATTCAAGAAAATCTACAACGTGCCATTTATTGATTTAGAGACGTCGAAATTCAATATCAGTAGTGTTGCTCGTCTCTTTTTTTTTACACACTAGCTTATTAAGGAGAGAGGGGGTGAGGGGGGTGGTCAGTTGCAGCTCCCCCCAACAAGCCTCCCCCCCAACAAGCCCCTCCCCCCAACAAAAAAATGAAGTATACGATTTTTCAAGCTTTTTGCTGTGTGCCCTCAACCCCCCCAAATTCACTTGATTTCAGGCTCTCGCTACACCCCTAGAATATACGATCGACTAAAAAAACTGATCTGAATGCCATATCATGAAATTTTCTATGTCTTAACTTTCCACGTGCACGCACGTGTTTCAGATGATACCTGTGTGACTTGTTCATCGTTTTGATTATCCATGTTGAAGATAATATCGATCGTCACCATGCCATCGGGGAACATGCGTACTGTGCATTGCCTGGAGATGAATAAGTATTCAACAAAAGTCACGCAATCCTGAATTACCACAGGCTCTCCCCCACCCCACCCCCTCCAAAAAACTATACTTTGAAATGAACGTTGGTTAGACTGGAGTATGCACGATCTAATTTTACTGTGAGTGTTGCGGTTAGACTATTGAAGGGATATCTACCCATCAAAGCCAGCCATCGTTGGTTTAGCTAAAAAATATGAGATCTTTCGTGATTGTTCGTTTGGATATCAATGTAACTATCAGTCCATATATGCTATTAACTATGATATATGAAATACCTTTTGTCGCCGTCTTCATAGATCAGCATTCTTCCAAACCCCTTGGAGTTTGTAGAAAAAGTTGGGCCGGTAACTCCAACATGCAGTTTAAGTAATTCCGTCAAAGTGTTCACGATGCCATCGGCGTCTGTGATACATGAATTCCTCGTCTCAGGAAGCTGAAAGTCTGCAAGCAGCTGTTTGATGACCATGTTTGTTTATCTATGAAGAAAATGAGAAGGATTGAAAGGTATCCGATGTATTTTGAGGCGTCCGGGGCACGGTACATTGATCGTAAAAGTCGGTACCCCCTTAATGTTTTGTGTTGCATGACTTCTTTATACGCTTCGCTTCAGCTGCCCTCAAGTACAAGCCTGACGTGGACAATGTGTACCAGTTTGTAACTAAGAGACAACGAGGCAAGTTAGCACGGGTTATGATCGACCCACGCGGCGAGTGCACGTCATGTCATCCCGATGTCACCCGGGATATCACGACGTTCAAGACGAAATTAAAACATCGGCAAAACCTACTTGAATACTGCCTTAACACTGACAATCTATTGTAAGGTTTGCATTGTTTGTAGGAGCATTCGTTGTCCATGGTTTTATCAACCAATCACAAGATTGGTTCCAATCAGTATGCCTAGCAAAACGTTTGAGGCCGAGTATAGCTTCCATGCAGGCAGGTACTTGCAAAAAGAGGCAAAACATTATCGCACTGCTATTTTCAGACACTGAGAGACGTGCAACGCACTGTTATTTTCTCGTAATTCACTTATGTGTTGGTGAAACTGACATAATTACTGAACCGCAAAGAATTACTGAAACCCCCCCAAAACGAAGTTGAAGTAGACGAAGTACCTCGCAAATCTTCGTGGTCATACAGTGTGGTTTGCAAAGCATGTAGACTTAGCAACGAACTACACTATATAGCGTTTTGTACATAATTTATCATTTTTTATGCTGTGGATTAAGTTTGCATTCATTTTCAATAACATTTTGGGGGGTAAAATAAGTTAAAATAAAAAAAATTGAGCACATAAAATATATTTGTGATGTTTCAAGTGTTTTATATGAATCCAAATTGTTGTAATTAGCAAAAAAATGAAAACATATTATTATTAAGCCGGTTTGAGGCAAAGTTTTAGAGGCCTTTACAGGTTTTGTGATATTGTTTATACCGCTACATAACATTCACATTATATTTCAGGCGTTCACGATTTCATCCAAAAAACGGCTATATTGTTTTAGAAATACTTTATTTATCCAACTGTTTGCGAAATCTTCGACGAGTTTGTCAGTAATAGAGAGGGTCACGTACGGGTAGCTGTCACGTACGATGCGATGAGGGGGCCACTCGAATACAACAAGCCGAGTATGAATAAGAATATGTTTGGGACACGCAAATGACAGTCTTTCTCAAAATCGCTATACAACACACCATTAGAATAAAGAAAATCCATGAAATGGAGATTACTCTTCAATACAAGGAAGACTTAACTTGTTTCCTTTGAAACCGCCTGAAAACGACATGAAAACATGAAAACTTGAACATTTTCGCCAGCAGCGAGAATCGATATTGGTTTACGTCTTCCTTACGAAGATATTGTGTAAAACAGCAAATGAATGGTAGTGTTTTTATTGAATTGAAATATTTTGACAAAACCTGCCTCGCTGTAGACATCATACGAGAGTCTCCAAGTATGCAGAAACATTTCAGGGTTTTTCAGCTGGTAGTGTGTTCTGATGTGTGGGTATTGGAGTCGTTACATAGGAAACCAAGGAAGTAATTTAGCACTTTTAACCCCAAGTAAGAAAGAAAATTTGCAACGCAACCTTTCCTCACAAAAACAGACATCAAAATCACCTGTTTCTGTGAAGAAATGAAGCGTGTTTCTCGATCGTTCAGGTGGAAACAGAAGCTGATCGACAGTCGTTACTGAAAATCTAAGCTGAGAGACCGAAAATGTGCGTGTAAATTGCAAAATGCACTCGTTATATAGTACTATAATAAGAATATCAGGTGTATTATGTACTTACATTAGATTGCAGTACCGTAGTGTCACAGAAAATGAGGATTTGGCGGTGTTTCTTTCTATAAAGGTCTAACACAGTTGATCCCCATGTTTTGAGTATAACAATAACTCCAGGGCCTCCCCCAGCGTATCTATCGAAACGGGGAGGGAGAAAATCGAACCGCTAAGAACGTCCGCTACGGAGGCTAACCGCCTTGCACAAATCGGAAATTCATATAAATCAGATATATAAATATAAACAAATTTCTTATAGGGATTTTGCGAAAGCGCAACATTTTCAGCATTTTTTACTCGGGGTTCCTGTGGAACCCAGAGTTTAAATTTCGGGCTTCTTATTATTACTCGGGGTTCCTGTGGAACCCAGAGTTTAAATTTCGGGCTTCTTATTATTACTCGGGGTTCCTGTGGAACCCAGAGTTTAAATTTCGGGCTTCTTATTATTACTCGGGGTTCCTGTGGAACCCAGAGTTTAAATTTCGGGCTTCTTATTATTACTCGGGGTTCCTGTGGAACCCAGAGTTTAAATTTCGGGCTTCTTATTTTTTTT